ATATCGGTTTGATATACGGTTCTGCTCCGGAAATCTTCCACGCATTTGGTTGCGGAAGCAATATCATTCATACCAGGCACTTGAATATTAACTCCGGAAGAAACTTAACGGAGCCTGGAGTAAGTAAGATATTGGGTACTTGCCAGAGTGAGACGGAAAATCATTGGAATTCCCGCAGGCCTGATATTAAGGGCAGTAGGAAGCGGGATATATATTGCATAATGAAAAATCGCACGTAATGAGCTAATTAAAAGTTTGGAAAGCTCCCTGTCTCGCGCTACTTCCAGTACTTGCAGTATTTGCAGTACTTACAGTACTTGCTACCCGGCATTGGCCGATGCTAAAACCGTGTCCTGTAACCCAGATGTATATTCAGGCGATCGGCCCTTTTAACGTCGATCGATAAATGTTTGGGAAATGGAGACCATTATAGACGAATCTACATCGTAAAGATACCCCCTGAGAAATATAGCTACTTATTACGCGATACCAAAAGCAAAGCGCGGTGTACTTGCGCGTTATCAATTTCCACTCCATCGAAAAGTGAGGTCCACTAATTACTAACAATTCCCTCGAATCGTAAAATAAATCGTGTTTACTCGACCTTGTATATAAGTACATTTACTCGAATCTCTCGGTACGGATTTGTTGTGATTATTGGCATCTGGTAAAATCTCAAAGTGATTAAATTCTGAACCGCGATTATAGTTACCCTTAGCAAATATTTACGCAATGGTGTACATTGCTATACGGATAGATATAATGCGGGGTATATGAGGACATGTTTATACCCACTGGTACACATGTGATTACGTGAATTAATGCAACGCCACATTCGCGGAAATCTGACCCGCAAATGAATGAGTACGTTTTCCCTCATTACGGACGAATCAGCAAAGGTTAATACTTGCAGCATCCGCGCATGATTTGAGGCACGTGATTGCAATTGAACTGACTTCGCAATTTCGCATGATCGTTCGATTATGATTTATCGTGATAAATAAACGATGATGAGCGGGGTTTGATTTACAGTAACTTTCGGAATATATTTTCAGAAAAACGGATGCCATTGATGTGTAATTCGGGTTACTGGTCCTCATTAACGTATGTATGTTGAGTAACGAATGAAAATTTCCAAGATTTCCTTGCTCATCATTTAGGCGGATTATTTCTGATTCAAGGTGAGACTCTTAATTAAAATATGGGTAAATTATTTAAAGGGCCCGAGTCTCGTTACTCGAAACGATTATTCATTTTCTCGCCCTTCTGCCCCACTTTGCAGAATCCCCCTCAAGTTTCTCATTGTTTCTCGGTCTCGTGCCAATCACGTTTCTCGCAAGAATGGACTGTCCGTGTCCTTATTACGTGTCTCTCCTTAAGCCGTAACTCAGAATAAACACGGAAGGGCAACGGAGTGCGAAGCAATAAATTGGCTCGATATACTTCCGCCTCTTGCAAGCATTTCACGAAGAGAGCGATGAAGTCGAGCTTTCCTGAGCTTTTCTGTGACACTGCGAGCTGCAGGTCGGGCAAATGTTGACGAAACACTTTCGCAAATGGAGCACAAACGGAAAGTTACTTGCAGGTCTTTCATTCGTTGATACTATGAATTGCCATCGAAACGCAGAGAAACTTTCCACCGGTTCTCCCCCTCATCCGATACTAAATTTCATTAATCCTGGTGCTTACACCGTTAATTAATTATCTGAATTAATTAAAATAAACGGCACGAGTTAACTTAAGAATTGAATAATTACGTGGAGCCGCTGAAATGCGTTATCAATTGCTGCTACACATTTTATCACTCGCTTGGACACCTGTTAACTAATCTATGCAGAAAAGAGATTCAGTACCTCGGTAATAGTTTGAAATCAGGAGACACCTCCGGCGGAATGAAATTGTCAGATATGTTCTGCTTTCGTTTTGTTATCGAGCCAATTTTCTATCTGCAAAAGAATTTCCAAGTATAGCGGTTCCATCCCTCGAGGTGTGCCGGAAGCTATATTTCCCTTTGATGCAGAGGGTAATCTGAATACGTCCTCCTTTGGGAGGAATTCTGCCATCGGGTAAAAAAGTCGGGTCGTAAAGATTTGCATAACACGTCTGAGATCGATAAAAAGAAAATGACGAGGGGTAATTGACAAGGTTGCCCCGAGCTCTGGCTCAGGTGAAACTCAGCCGAATCATTTTTCGCTTTCCTTTCATTTATTTCGTATTATCGTGTTTGTTTTCCACCCTCCGGGAATTTCGGGCTTGCAGTTTCTCTTTAATGGGTTCTCACCCGGAAGTCTGGGAGGAAATTCTAGGTGACACATCAGACATCAGTCACAATTAAATCAGACGAGCCCGGAAGTGTTCGGAGGTCGACTCTGATTTCCAGCATTTTGCATAAAAGTTACTCTTCCCGCGTGAATGTATGGGTGGCTCTGGGAAACTAAACCACTTCCCTATACCGAATCGGTTCCACCACCAAATTGGAGTGAAATTAACAAAGTTGATACCGTGACCACTTGGCTGCCAGACCGTACGTTTCCCAAATACGGGACAAACTCCGCTCGTTCCATTCAAGCCAGCTCATCGTTCTCATTCATAATTCTGCAGATTACTCCCGCGAACTGTCGGGAAAACTAACACGACCACTATCGCAGCTTCAAATTATTTTTCGAATTAATTTTAAGTCAAAACGTCAACAGATCTTTATCAAATCATAAAAGGAAGAAAAATACAGGCATAAGTATTACTTCCAATTTTTCTCCGCCATTGTTAAGAACTATTTCTTGTAAATAAAGCGGTAATTCTCCAGAATGAGAGGTACACTTGGGATAAACATGTACGTGCCGAGATTGAATCTAAAAGTTAGTACCGGGTTACAGTACCGCAAACTACCTAAAACCAAGAGAGTCATGTCCCGGTCTTTTAAGCGGCAGCCAGAGAAAGGGGTGTAAATTCCACCCCAATTTGCATGCAGTGTTTAATACAGAATGCACTACAACTACCTTCCACGTTAATCGCAACTTGCACCAGTTGCACCATTGTCTCTTTTGAGAATAAATTCCCAAGCGAACAGTGCACGGCCTGTCGCGAAGAAAATGTGGAAAAGGGGTATAAAAGGAGTCCACTAATATGCATTTAAGTAAGGAAGCACAGTGGGGTAAAGAATTACAAGTACCATGCAGTAACGCCATGTAATTAGGATTAGTTTTAATTAAGGGTGTGCTTAATCCACCCTGAATGAAGAGAGTTAATTGGGTAAGCTTTTAATATGCAGCAAACCACAATTAAGAGCTTTTCCACGTGGCATTAAAACTACTTATGGCGGCGATTAAAAATGCGCATGTGAAATGGGCGCAGCAGTCCCCGTGGGAGAAAAAGTTATGGGGAAACGAGATGATTTAACCCCTTACGGGGCGAAAAGTTTTCCTTTCTTTCGGAACCGATGAATTGGCGGCGTTCTATTGATGGCATTGAAAACTCGAGAATCCGCGAGGGGAAGAAAGGCAGCGAAATTCGCCGACCTAGTTTAAGATGCGAAACGTTTCCCCGCGGACGAACGCCGACCCCTGACTCAGGTCTTCATAAAATATTAATGAGAATCCTTTTACTCGCAGCTTTTCATTCCGCCCATCAGGTGGGGCGCTAAATAAGGGAGCAGGACGACTCGATCCGCTTTGAGACGCTAAATGATGAAACAACAGGCCTGTTAAGGCCAGGTTTGCGATGCATTTTCCGAGGAAATCAGGAGAAGAAAAGCCAATGGGAGGAAGAGGACCGGATTGAGCGTTTGCAGGAACAAAGAATCGGGAATAATTACCGAGAGACGAGGAACAAAGGCGAGGCGCCTCGAAGGCGGGAAAATTCGAAAAATATCTCCATCTGGTTGAAACTGGTTGAATAAAAATCTCGACGTCGTGGCGGAATAATTCACGTTGCCAGGAAAAAATATCACTTAATTAGGACACCATACACTGGGGAATTTAATAAGGGAAGAGAGGAAAACGCGGTGGACCACGGATAATGAAAAAAAAAAAGAAAAAAAATGTAATGGGGTAAGCAACGAAGAGTGGCGGGCAACGCGTAACAAGTTTGGTCCTTTTGTTAGGACAAAGAAGCCTGAACGATTACCAGGGTCAAAGTGGGGTCTTTGAAAACTTGAAGAGTGTCTGCGAAGACTTAGAGCTCGTTTACACGACGTCGCTTACGCGTTCTTCCAGGGCTTATGGCGGCTCTCTGGGGCCGAGCTTTTCCCGAGCTTTGTGGCTGCGAAAAAGGGCAAACGTGCCGGGGGAGAACATTAAGGCCCCCAGGACGCTCCTGCCGAATATACGATCCTTTTCTTTCCAAGGATCGTTTTCGTATTCCGGAAACATCCCCGGAATTGATCGAGCTGGCGGAAACGCAGCTTGCTTCCTTCGTCGCTTTCTTCCCCGCTTGAATTCACTCCTGCGCGTCTCCTGAGGAAATAAATAATGTCCGTGGAACCGTCGACTATGCCGATCCTGACATAAATCCCTTCTGGGAACACTCGACTTTTTGTACCCCGCGAATATAAAGTTCACAAGGGCAATCCGATACCTTCGCATTCGCCGGGAATAAATTCGATACCGTTGGTAGGAGGCACAGCAGAGAAACGGCGAAAAACCGCGGCCTAAAGGAGACACGTTTGCATTAAGATCTTTCATTATAAATCGTATTTCTTAATAACGGTTTTAAGTATGCGGCGTACCTACGCATAGCTTCCATTTTGCTGGAGAAATTTGATAAGGAGGCCATTATAATTCCATGAAAAATTCATTTTAAACTCCTGCAAGATTTCGGAGTAGTCGTCGGTCGGGTCGCTTTGACGTGATTAATTCTTCCTTGGCTGGTAATTAATTTTGATATCATACGTGTAGTGGTTATCGAGGTGCTTCGAGATATTACGACGTATTCGAGGGTTAGGGGAGATGCGTAATCCGTTTAATTATTATTTTTCAGTAAGTGGAACGGATTGACGAACCGCCATGAACATCAGCCTCCTGGATGACTCGGAGGACCTCGGACTGCGAGGCACCGAAATCCAGTGGTCCTGGAACTTGAGTCAGGATGTTACTTGCGACGAATTCCCGGCAGGAAGTAGCGTCCTCTCGTCTCTCTGGTTTCAAGCTACTATCTACTTCCTGTACAGCACGATTTTCGTGATAGCCCTTGTGGGGAACGGACTGGTGTGCTACGTGGTCTACAGCAGTCCGAGGATGAAGACGGTGACGAACTATTTCATCGTGAACCTGGCAGTAGGTGACATCTTCATGGCCCTCTTCTGCGTCCCCACCAGCTTCATCAGCACCTTGATCCTCCAATACTGGCCTTTCGGCTCGGAATTGTGTCCCATCGTTAACTACTCCCAGGTAGGTAGCTTCACTCTAACATAGTTCCTTTAACGCGTTAATATGTCAAACATATTAATACATTCATATATAAAATAACGGACTCACTGATAATCAAGCCCCTGCCCCCAGGAACTTAAAATCTCGAGACAGGATTTTTGGAAAAACACCCATTATGGGACTTTTCCAAATTCGACCCCTAAAAAAGCGAAGTTGAGCCTTGAAATTCATGATGGTCCAGCCCCCCCAAGACGGGTGATTACCGTAGATAATTAAATCCAGAAACGAGTATCCGCGATAAAGTCAAAGATGACGTGAAATATAAATGTCGAGAGGAATGATCAAGGGATACATCAAGCACGACCGTAGTTTGAGTTTTCCTCTCGACGACTCGATTCGATCCTCTCCGTGCTCGGAGGCTATTAAACTGCCAGTCCTCTCGTTAGCGCAAAGTGTCATGAAGAAAATCTATTTCCAGCGAACGTGATAATTTCGATTCATCCTAAATTCCGCAGGTACATCCGTGCCTCCTCGTAATGCAAACAAGATTGCGAGGTGGCAGGAGTTACGTGCCACGTGTCAGTCATTCCTGCAAAGTGAGGCGGATAAGGAACTGCAATTAATGCGCGGCTAATATAACTTCGAAATTCCCTCCACCCCGACACTTCTTCATAACGCCATCATATCGCGTGTTCCGTTCCATTTTCCCACGAAATCGCTGTATAGCCCTGTCTACTAGATGTAAACGGATCGATCTGTAAATTCCTGTAAATTCTCTTAGGCGGTATCGGTTCTGCTGAGTGCCTATACCCTGGTTGCGATAAGCATCGACCGATACGCTGCCATAATGTGGCCACTGAGGCCACGCATGAGCAAGAGGCAAGCTAAACTTTTGATCCTTTCTGTGTGGATGGTGGCATTAATCGTGTCCTTCCCCATCGCTGTGGTCTCCAGGCTTTTCCAGCCTACGGACGGCTACAGAAGGTGCGACCGCTACGTCTGCCACGAGGACTGGCCGTCGTTGCAGCACAGGTAACCCCTGGGGAGATTCGTTGGAAAATTAATTACACATTTTTTTCTGAAGACCCGAGATGTCGAGCATGCTAGTTCGAAAGGGGAGCAACCTTATCAAGCTATACCGTGGCTTAGGGAATTTTATTTAGGGAAGATAACAGGGAATCGGACGCCGAAGGTCCGCCATCTTGATTTTGCCTACCAGAGGCGGCTGCTCGTTAACGATAATCGGATCAGCCAGAACTGTGGCGAGGAAAACATTAAACGGTTGTTTATAATCGTGCTATTCGGTGAATCCTGATTTAGGGTGTATTGTCCATGCTTGGTGCATGCAGGGATTAACCCTTTTGTGCCCACGCTCCGAGATATTCTCCGGTGTCCTCGTTGAAATCGCCGTTTATACCGCAAAAGGTCGGCATGTTCGATCAGGGTGCATCGCCGATGCATCACGGTGCAACAATGCCTCGACAGTGTCGCGGATTCACCTCCTCGCGTGTCTGGATGAACGTATTAAGCAATTTATTTGTCCCCCAGTTGTAATTATCGGAATGGAAATTAATCGTCGTCGGCGGGTGCGGCTGTCGGGGGATGCGATTATGAGATAATTCCGCGGGGAGATGGAAGTACCAGTTTTCAAGACGACGTGGTTTAAATTGTAGGAATTAAGCTCGTAGGATATTCCTGGTGTCGGATCGATGGACGTACTTTGGGGAGAGATTAACTACGGCTCACTTGGATAATTTTAAATTGGGAAAGATGTGGGAAGGATCCACTCGATAACGTCTGACCGATTTCAGGTATTACTACTCCATCGCTCTGCTGGTCGTCCAGTACCTTGTGCCTCTCATGGTGCTCATGTTCACGTACACCAGCATAGCCGTGATGGTATGGGGAAAAAGACCGCCAGGCGAGGCGGAAAACACGAGAGACCAAAGGATGGCAAGGTCTAAAAGAAAGGTAAGCCAGCTTCCTTCCGTCAAGGAGAATCGGAACTCTTCCAAAGAATTCTCCTCGCCTCCAAGATGGACGCCTCAGGCCACTTACAAACGAACCAATTTCTCAATACAAATATTTATAAAAATTCTTCTATCCACTTTAACGATTGAAAATCGATCTTGCCGCGCTCCAAGGTAATAGTAATTTTAAGGTCATAATAAAATCATTAACTTCTAGTACCACAAATGATTAGTGGAAGTTGTAAGTCAGGGATCACGAGATGAAACGGTAATTCTTTTCCGAGTAATAACTAGTAGCGCAGGAAAGCTCCGAGCCTCGTATTAAAAGTATTAATCTGGACCGAAGAATTGAGTGTAGGGGATGATCTCCGGGAATTCTCTGACACAAAAGATAGAGAGGCTTATTCAGGGACGTTCTCAGGTTGAAAAGGCTTCATCGTAGAGGCTTCTCAACAAGAAGACGACTTATCTCGGAAAATCGATTGTCTGGATGTGCATTCCGAAGTGTCAATAATGAAACACGGTCCCAGCGATTCGCCATGAGGCATGATAGTGGAAAACCTCGATGCTTTATCGAAAGGGTCAAGACCTCTCTCAGAGCTTTTAGCGCGTTATTCCGGGCGAGGAAAGTTAGTCAGAATTCTAATGAAATTCCGCCTCGCCAAAATTTCTCGCGCCTGTTATCAAAAAGCCGACACGGGAACTCCTCGGCCGAGAAAGCTCTCGGCTCGGGAGCTTTTAAAAGCATCGGGGCTAAAATTCCGGGCGCGCTCGTGCGCCGAATGGTCCGCTCAAGAAAGCCAGATGAAAAGAGGAACGGCGTATTCGAACGTAAAGCTCGAGATTAACGAGCCGATATGACGTGCGCGCTTCTAGGACTGGAAGGTGCGTTTATTGGTTTCCACAGTGCCAGAGATTTGAATAAAGTCCCTCGAGTGGCCTTGCCAGTGCTTTAATCACCGACGTTCACTCCGACACGAATGACAGCTGGCTACGACAATTCAATTGCAAAAGAGTGACCGAAGCGGGAATTACGACACGTGTTCCGCCAACTACTGTCGCGACGAAGAGTACCGGAAATTAAAAATCTCTTCGGCTAAGTCCTCCTCGAAGCGTTTCCTTTATGAGCGGACATCAAGCCCGGAAGACCATCTCGCATTATGCAGTCTCATTGTTTCGGTGTACGGTCCGACTTTTTACAATAACTGACGGTTGCAGCTCTGATCTTTATGTATATTCATGGTTTGCATATTAATAACCAGGAACCAGCCTTGCAAGATTACCCACGAACACCTTAGAAGGTACTTCAGCAAGATGTGATGGTCATCTATCCTTTACTTTTCATGCAAATTCCCGAGGGATTATTCGGAGGCTCGAAATTACTGGAAATCATTGGAAATCACCGAAAAACGTTTTAAGGTCGACTGTCACTCGTTACCGAATCGCATCGTTCATCATATGAAATCAAAGGCAATCGGTTCTCAATGAAATCGTTTTTTTTTTTTTGTTATTATTATTACCTTTTTTTTCGTTAGTTTCGAGGGAATAGCCCCACGGCAAGTGTGTCTAATTGACTAGCTCAAGTGCGGTTGATCTCGACGTCTTGATGTTGATCTTGATTGGTGATGGAAAATTGTGGAAAAATCTCACGGATGGGTGGCGATGCATCTATGGCTTATCGATGGGAATGGAAAAGTGTCTTTACGGAGTCGAAGAGGTTGTTAAACCGTATCAGCTTGTGGGAAGGTCTTTACTCTCGCCTGGAGAGAAATTTGTCGAGGAAGGTGTATTACTATCCTGTGGTCGTTAGTTACAGGCTTCCTTCGGCCCCTTCGAGTTTCCTGCCGTAAGGGGACTGCGAATTGGTTTTCAAGTAGAAAGTGCCATTCCTGAAACGAGCGACAAGTCAAGGGTCTATTCACTGGCGAAGTACTTTGTCAGTTAATTCTCCGATTTCGAGGAAACCGCGCCGTAATGAATACACTACAGGTATACGAAGTGATAACTCTAACGCCAAATTGAGTGATTTTTGATTAACAATTAACGCGACAAGTCGGAATTAAAAATGAGTTACTAACGTATTTGGAGGTGTTGCATAGCCCATTACAGCAGTATCATTGTTGTCACACTCCCCCGTGGTGAAACGAAGATAAGAGGAACAGTTTCTGCCGATAAAGGAGTCCTCATCTGTCAACGATTCCGCGTAGAAAACCCAGGATCGATGATGGCTACAAAAATCTAAATTGCGTAAATTATCTATGAATTGTATTACAGAACCACGTGGTGCACTGTGCCGACTTGACTGACAGTTTGACGACTGCACCAGATAATTGTGATAGCGTTAAGGATATGCACCGATAACGTGTGTACTCTTCATGATGACAGTCGTTCTGCCACTAATTATCCGTTGACAATTTTAAATTACATCTCCATACCTTCCTGACTTTCAATTTCAAAGGTGGCGGGGCATCCAGGCTGGACGCGAACGCCGCCATTTGGGAAAAAGTCTACAGAGCCTGTAACTAATCTCGTTCCGTATATTCCTGCATCCGTATGAATAATGTCCACAAAGTCGGCGTCGCCAGCCTCGAGATGAGGTATAACTAAATTATAGAAAGGTCCCGCGGGGTCCAGGCCTGGGAAAAATTCAAACGAAAGATTTCAAGTGCCCACTAAGCGCATGGAAAAAATCGCCAGGAAAATTCGCATATCCTTCCTTTACTCGGTTTACGTACCCGTTATCCTTGGAATCGGGAAATTACTGTTTTTCCCAAGGAATCCCGCGACTTGTGCACCCAAGGAATGTCCAATGACGTGTATTTTCTCGCGACTTAAACCTCCTTCGACCATTTTCTGTATAGCCCGAGCAATAGTGATCCCGACATCTTTGCTATTGGAAATCGCACTGATGTAAGGACTCGCCGCCAGTTTGCTCCAGTCAACGGCGATGATATTGTGATCCTGGCGCTTCAGATATCCTGCGAGAGATTAGGGAGATATCAAATAGATTCGTAGGACAATAAGCGAAAAATTGTAAGGAGCCGATGAGATAGAAGCGAACTCCCTTAAGAATTTCTGAACGGCGTATGGACTACCATTGTTAATTAATGATTTAATATTCTTTTTTAGATACCTCCGACGATGGTTTTCACACTATTCGAGTCCACACTTTCGGTGTATCCGTGGATGTAAAACGCGGTTTTACGTGACAGTTGCATTTTAGGGAGCAACATTGTAGCATTTTCCACGTACACGTCCACAAACTCGTCCAGCGTGTCTCTGAGAAGGGAGGAATTTTTTTTAATAATTAATTCGATGTCAAATGCATGTGCAAATGTGAGGGAGGAGTGCTTCGCATAATGCAATGTAGAGAGGGAGATGTATTGAGCGAAATCAGAATTGAGCTTTCCTTACCCATTGTATAATCGCAAATAAATGCTCAAAAGCTTCTCGGGATTCGGCGAGAAAAGAGCCCAGGCTGAAATGAAATAAAGGAATAAATATATTAAAGAGATACCGGGGAAGAATCCCATCGTCGAAAACTCCCCGAGGATCATTGGGAGTTCGTCCGGGGCAAACTGAATAAAGGAACTTCTCGTCGATGGTTATTAATGAAGCAGGGACGGGCGAAACTGATAGGGGACTTGTCCTCTTATTTTCCGCCATTATTCCGCATAGTCTCAGCCCGCGGAAACGCGACGAAAGGAGTAAAATTCCCAGACAGTCGTTCGCATTTAAACCAACGATGAAATGGCAGAATTACTGAGCAATTTCAGCTAAGTGTCAGTAAATTAATTGCTAAATAAATTATGGGAAAGTATTACCTGAAGTCATCTCGACGTATAGATCCCACTTTACGGAGAAAATGGCGATGATGGCAAAAAATGACAAAAGTGACCCGCGAAAACGGCCAATATGAGGTCCTGACTACGGTCCACAAAAACGCGGAGGAGACGTTAACTCGGCTGATTCGTACTCACTATGGCAAAGGGCGTCAGCGAAGAGGATTAAAATGACAAGATCGCAAGTTGGCCTCATGATAACAGGGAGATAGGAAATGATAACTCGTCCTCGAGGCTGTTGAAGGTGGCCGGACTATAATTCCATCGGAGCTCGTGTGATATCGCTCTCGCGCGACTTGCGAGCGTGCCGTGGAATTTATGTGGTTCTCGTGACTTATCCGGACAGTAATTATGTGTATCGCGCACGAAATAAGGAGGCGAATAATAATGCATGGACAGCCGGGTCGAATAATCGCCTGAAGGGTGATAACGAACCTGGCTGGAAAAAGCTGGAAAAGAGGTGCACACACGTGCATGCCTCATTCCGAACAATTTACTAAACAAACCTGAGACATTCGATTCCGCTTATCATGACTTATCACCGACAGTACGGATAGAGTCAATGGTAGAAGGGTTCGGCTCGCCCTGATCGCGCTATCGCGACGCTGTTATCACTGGCGGAAATGTCCTCCTAGGAGGAAGTAAACCCAGAGAACGAGGGTCCAATCGCACATCCCGTTGTCCCCAAATGATCCCTATCGATCAGTTCCGGAGTTAACATCTTCTTGTACCCCTGACGAGATGTTAACATCCCCGATGTTAACGGGGGTGGTTGCGTCGAGGGTATCCCTTCTTATCCAGGAGCGAATGGACCTTATCAGCGATTTCAAAGGCCATCGTGGTGAAAATAAATCAATCGGAATCAAAATATCGATAGTTTGATCGATGCGAACTGCGGTCTGCCATTTCCTTTCCTGATTTCGAATGGATATATATTTTTATATTTACTCCTCGTGATAAGATTCTTTCTCCTAAAACAAAGGGTGGAAGTGCCATAATCAGGCTCAACATTTTATTTTCGCTGTTAAGAAATTTAATGCGCACGGGGATTAATGGTAACGGCTACCCTGAAGGATAAAAATGAAGAAAGTGTGTGCCGTTGGATTAAGTCGGGTTTATGGGCTGTAAAGATAATAACAGGACTATCAGCAATTGCTTGGCACTCCCAAGTATTCCTTAAGCTCGTGGTTTAATTGATTTTCCTGGTGGTGCTGTTAGGAATTCTAATTGAATTCCGAACTTCAGAGCTGCGTTTCCTTTTGATTTTAAAGTATATCGGAGGCAAAGGAGAGCCGAAATTCGTGATTGTTTCTAGGTCGCGTGATGGACGCAAATATTGATCATTTAAACGTAATTGTCGTACTTGACAAGGGCCAAGGGATACGTGGAATATCAGATTAAGTACTTGTGATACCCGATAGTTCGACGCCGCCGGACAGTACTCGGGAAACTCGAATTTCCCGATATACCGCAATATTTTGGGTAACCTGTGTTCTATTGGGTACCTGAAACACATCGAATTACTCAATATAACCGGCATTATCGGGTGTCGGACGCCTGCCCGATTTCAGATATCGACAGCCTTTAACCAGTCATGCAGTAAAAGATTACCCAACAAATTATTAAACGATGAAAACCATCCAATCCAGTAAAAAGCCTCAAACAATTTCCTCGAATCATAAAATATACAAATATACACTACTCTTTCATCCCCCCAGGTGACACTTTTGATAATTAATAATTTGAAAAAAAAAAAATTCTCTTTAAATCGGACCTCACGAATGCTCGAATAATAACGTTGATACAACTGATCAGCGAAGATTTTTCTAAAATTACACGCGGCAAAGTGCTTTTCTCAGCACAAAGGGATCATTTTTCAAAACTAGGGCGAATCTCGGAAGCGTTGCGGGTCTTCTCGCTCTCTGCTTTCAAGTACTAGTCCGTTTGAGTTCTCGGGGAGTATTTAATTAATTAACGGCAACGAATAGGAATATCATAGAAATTACGGCAGCCGTAGGAGGGTAATCTGGCTTTGAAGATGCGCCTCGGGAGAAAAAGAACAAGCTGCCAGAGATCAGAGAAATAGTGGAAGGATATTGTTACGTCCCATCGAGCAGCCAAATAGGGAACCAGCCAGGTGGAAAAATTAAAGGCTTCCTTTTCTCCACTTTTATGGTGGGAAAAATCGACGAATTTCCGCTTTTGCGAATGCCAAGCGTATCATCATCGTTTGCGAGGGCTTGAAGTCCTGTCATTTTGGCAAGGAATTAAATTCTACTGGATTCCTGGGCCCATCTATCGTGGACCTCCATCATCGTTTGCAAGGGCCCGAAGTTCTGTAATATTGGCAAGGATTTCGATTTTACTAGATCCCTGGGACCATCTATCACGGACCTCCACCTGGTCTGAAGCATGGGCACTTAATTCAGGGCAAAAGCTTCGTAGCCGAGAAAATTGTGCGTGACCTTTCCGAATTCTTCGCGAGAAACCCAGCTTGGTACCACCCAGGGATCCATCAACCCGAAAGGAGCTGGAGAAAAAAAGTGATGAAGACCACTTCTAACAAGTACCCTTCTTATCCTCCGCTGTTTTTTACTCTACGAAATAAAGCACGGGTCGAGGAAAAATTTATGAAATGATTGAACAATTTCCTGATCACGGGGAGTACAAGCAATAATAAAAGAGGTCCGTGGGCGTAATTCCATAATACCGAAAATGGCATTTGAATTACTGCTAATTCCACGTCGCATTACGAAAATGAAAATGGTTTATCGTGGGCTTTCACATTTCGTGCATATCTCAATGTGAAGTGTATATCTCTGACAAGGTGGTTTTTTATTCTTGCTGCCATGTTCGCCGGATGCGAGGTGCGATCCTCGCATATATTAACGTTCCGTTTCCTCAATGTATATTCCCTCCCGTATCTCCGTTGATCTTATTTAAATATTTCACCGTCGCTTGCCAAACCCCACGTGTTTGCCGAGTCAATGTATACACCCTGGGGAAACGGTATTATAAAATATTACTAAATATACGAAAACCCGCGGGCGATTTATTTTTACGAATGGACGGCCATCGGAAAGCTCGACCGGCCTGTCAACTGGAAACCTGATTTTCACGAGAAATTTTCACTCGATCCGTTCCATACATCGGAATTCCAGCCACGCCAGGTGCAAATTCTTCCCAAAATCCACAGTCAGTGATAACCGCACCCAGATGACCCCCCACGAATTAATCCCTATCTCAAGCGGATTCCACATAGACCTTCGGTGAAGAAATATCTTCTCCCGGCAAGCTAGCTTTTCGATTTGGAATTTAAAGCCAAAGGTACAACACCTCCACGCGCCTAAATGATTGAATAATATTTTCTATTTTTATATTAATTAATTATGGGAGAAAAAAAATGATAGACGGATGTCGACTTCGTATAATCCTTTCTTCGTAACAATAATTTCCCCTTACAAGTTGCACGACGTAGAAATAAAAATCGGCGTGTCTCGAAGTGCTGCCTCTTAGGTAAGGCCATTGTTTCCGGGAACATATAATAGAGACATCGAGTATCGCCGATTTCCGGGGAAAAATGCTCCTCTATCTCGTACCAGGAGCCAATATTCGCACAGATGATATCATAAATCCCGGCAGGTTATCGCACAGTTTGGGGTTGACCTTGCGTGCTCCACATACATCAAGGACTTCCTCAACCGAGAAGTGTCATCGATCCTTTACGTCTTATCGATTTCCCTGCCCTTCGGTCCGGACTAGGGAGGATGAATCGTCGACCCTGGAAGGGAAAAATTGACCGAGAGAATCGAATTGAAAGAGGAAACGCGCCTTTATCATGCATAGTAAAGGGGGACGCGTCAGTGCTCGAAGGTATTCCCAAGGAAAAGCCTTTGCCGAAGTCCATCGCGTTTGGGAGAGCGAGGAGGACAAAGAGAGGAGACCTGCCAGGAAATGCGAGATCCCGGGCGAAATAGGGCGAGGGAAATTCTTGGGAGAGTAATCGGACAATGGGCGAAAAAAACGCGGGCGAGAGAAAAAAGAAAAGGTAAGATAAAGCCGACCGCCGACGAGAAAACCAATTACCGAGATGCCGAAAAATACAGCCCAATAACGCGTTATTCACCTTGGCACGCAACTCCTGGAACCAGCCAATGGAGTCCTGGCCGAAGGATCCTCTTCAAAGCCACGCTGAACTGGCAGACTTGGGGCCAGACGAGGAACAAGCCTGCCAAATTACAAGACAGGCCTCCACTTTCGCATTTACCCGATGCACGCTTAATTACGAGGTCTAGGGAATCGATTCCTGGTGATAACACCAGGATAACGCGAAACTTCCTCCAGGATGGACCCCTCAGGAGGGGAAACTCGAGGAACTCTCGTGACTCCCCATCGTAGAAAAGAGGGCATTTTCAGAGACTTCAGGGCTCCCTGGAAGCGTGAGAACTCGTCATTGCAATCTTCCTGACGGCGAATATCTTCTTAACTTGGCAAAGAACGTCTTCTGGTCCCTCGACCCAGAATGGCCGCGAGTGGGAATATGACTTTCGTTATTTATTGGCCCATAAAGAGACATGGTGCCGTACCTACGATCCTAGTTTATTTCGAGCCATCGGCAAAATAAATCCCCCCCCCCCCCCCCCCGTTAGCGCACTTGGGGGAAATTTATTTTACAGTGCTGTACTTGTGTCCGAGAAGATCCAGGATGATGGTCTTGTACCTTGCACTGAAATTGCATTTTATTTGACAATAGCCCCCAGTGTGCAGATCGATACGTCCTCACGGAGTTCAGATTCGCGGGGGGTCCTGACTCTGTTACAGAACGCATTACGTGGATCCTTTCTAAAAATTGAAGAGGGCATGCTTGCAACGAACTCTGCATAATTTATAGAATTACCTAGAACGAACGGTGTACGCTTTTCGCTGTTGTGGTAACCGCAAGCCTGTAGTTTATTCTGGACCACTTCTTAAATAAATCCCCACTATTGGCGCACTGAGATAAAAATTGATCTCTTACCAGTAATCGTATCCAAGGGAATCAAGGGTAATAGTTCCGTGCCCTGGAACGAAATTGCATTTTATTTTGGCAATCGCCCCCCAAGAGCAAATCGATACGTTCTCACGCAGCTCAGCTTTGCTGGGAATACCCTGACCCCATAACAGAATGCATTCGATGAAATCCTGAAAATTGGAGAAGGCACACCTACGACAATTGTTGGATACTTTTTGCGGATATGAAAAGTGGATATCTGACTGATTTTTTAAATAAATCTGCACTGTCGGCGCACTCGGGTCAAAAATTGATCTCTACCTAGTAATCGTATCCAAGGGGAGCAAGGATAATGGTCTCGGGTCCTGCGGCGAAATTGCATTTTATTTTGGCAATGGCCCCTCAAGAGCTGATCGATACGTCCTCATGGAGTTCAATATCCCAGGGGACCCCTAATCCTGTAAAAGGATGTATCCGACGAAACCATTTCGCAAATTGAAGAGGGTTTACCTGGAACGAAAGTTACATTCCTCTCACGGTTATGGAAAGTGCATACAGGTTTGCTTATAAAGGACCCTTCCAGGGACCATCTCCTTGGATGACACTTGACCGAGTTTCCGGGCCGGAAGTAAGCTCGAAAATTCAAGGCCGCGGTCCCTCGTCACATCTTGTCGAGATAAGTCCTGTGTTCCTGTCTGAAAGACAGGGAAGGACGGTTACCACTGTCAAGGGGTGCCTCCTCGTCTCTCTTATCGCCTATGAAGCAGCCATTTCAGGAGAACGAGGTAGGAAAACCGATGTCAAAGGAGGGTGATCATGGACGAAAAGGGTGTCCTTGCTATGGGGATGTCAACTCCCCTAGGAGATTCCTGGAAGACTTAATGAACCGGAACCCGACGTCGATTGTGGATGTCATTTTTGACTCCCAAACGTTCCCTCGGGACCCGCCCAAAATTCTCAAGGGAGCTCATTTGAAATTCCTCTGCTACCACGTGGAATCTCGAGGGACGAGGCGTAGATTCTATGGGATAACGCCTAAGAGGTACATGGGATGTTAGGAAATTCGTGGCAAGACTTGTGATGTTTGCGGCGCCACTGCTTAAAGGAAGAACAACGTATATTAAGGCTGTAGATTTTTATGAGGGAATTTTAGTCAATAAAAAGAGATTCAAAGGATGTAATCATATTTCAAGCGACTGAGCGACACTCCCTTTGAGCCTTGTTGGACCTCGGAATGAAATCACAACGCTAACGTATAGCGTAATTCGGTGCAGTATGTAATTTAATTACGGGGAACGTAGCGTAAAGTAAAGTTCCGTAGCTTAAATAAATATCCCGGCGATATTTTTAATATATTCAGAAAATATCCAGGAGGATAAATATGCGTTTAGGAATAACAATGGGCAGTTCAGGAGGGTCATTCTCGAGTGTTTAATCGAGGGGAGAAGTAATTCACTTGTGAACTAAATTAATTAAAGCTGTCGGGTATCGAGCGCGCCGAGTCCGTGGAATTGCATGTTGCTTACTCTTCCTAATGGTGTTGGGTTTCCATGTAAATGCTGTCACCATAAATCATTCTTAGTGGCTCGGATGGAATTTCAAACGAGGAGGTGAACCAGTCGCCTCATTTTTCAACCCCTGCAAAAATCTGCTTTCGATCTCCCCGGCGTAAGGGTGCCTTTAACTCGTGATTGATCCGTCCAGATTTTTTTGCCGCGTAAATGGCCCGGCCTCGAAAATCATTTTTATTTCCCCCTATCATTCATAATCCCCCATAACTCCTGAGCGGAACGATCGAGGCTGAAAAAAAGAACCTCAGCAAAAAATCGTAACGACTTCGTTAGTGGAGCCAAATATTGGATTTGGCAATTCTTCACTTCGTAAGTGACTGAGAAAATTCCGGAATAATTATGGGGAAATCTTGACATATCCGAAATCATTAATAGGAATGACCTGCGTTAAGCAATCCACACATTCGTGAGTTTCTTCGACACGCCTTTATCTCCTCTCGGACTATCAGACTTTACCGGAAGTGCCAGGAAGTCGATACTTGCTTCCTAGGGGAAAGTTACTCTTGTTTCAGGAGTCTCTTTCGTCCGGAGCTATTTAAACATTCCGTTCTCGTTCTTTACTTACGCCCCCTTTCAGCGCTTCTGGTTATTTAACACTGAAACCGTCGTGTCCATTTGTTAACAAAAGACAGCAGAGAGGTCAGATTTGTTCTTTAGTTACCGCGGACGGGCAGGAATTTTCGTTGAACATTTTGCGCCCGGAAGAAGTGGTCTGCAAAATTGGTTCTTTCAGTTCAACGATGATCCGCATTGAATTCGCGTAGCTATTTTCAAATCGATAGCCACTTCCCACTTCCATCGAGCATAGATAGTTAATAAAAACAAAATGCACCAGACATCCCACAAGTCTGTTCTCGAGATAGAATGCACGAAACTCTTATCGAGCTATCACAAAGAAATAAATTAAATAAGAATTACATTATCGTCTCGGAGAATAATTAAAATGACGGATGTATTTATCATTCCAGATGGTGAAGATGATGATGACGGTAGTAATCGTGTTCACCGTCTGCTGGTTACCATTCAACGTCCTAATAGTAAGTTCAGAAAATCGATGCCACAAAGACCGTCAAAAATCGCAGTAAAATTAGCGACGCGGCGATTAATATGAAATATTGCATAGCGATCATTTCCGTGTCATGTTAATCCGGTCGTCAAGAAATGGCAAATATTATCCGAAGTGGTTGTTAGAACGCACTTAAATTGGAATACGGCCGGCGAGATGCGTTCGCGGGAGATTCTGGATTTCGATCGCACATGTTCCGGTTTAGTGGAGTCCTAAAAAGGGCCGTCATTGGACGAAAGCGCCATATCGGTCTTTGGCGGGATCATTTCGGCCGATTTAGCCAAAATAACCGCTACATAGGTGGTTGTACAGGAATTCCGCCATCTCGTGGGCGATTAAATTGTTACGATTACGGAAACGCGAGTCTGAAGGAGGAAGGACCATGGTCCATACAGCAGCCCTTTCCGGGTTCATAAAACTTTCATTCCACGCAGTGGGTCCAGGAATGTCGCCTCCTCTCCCTCGAGATACGCTCGTTTGCCGTCATCCCTCGAAGAGTTACTGCCCGAACGAGCAGATATATCAAAAGTATCGTGCCTTCGAACTATCTTCGAAAGGTGGGGAGTTAATACGCCCTTGGGGACCGGAAAGGGTGACCGAAACTTTCCAAAGAGTAATTAATGTTGCCCTCGCGCCACTTACGAAGAATAGTCCGAGCGGAAAAGGGCGGCGCAACTTTCCTGGATAAGAAATAATTCATATCAAATCGGAAGTGCGGTGTATTACATTTATAACGTAATTGTAGGAGGGTACCTTGATAAAGAAACTTGTTGCACGCGTATATATTTGCAAATGAAACTCTACCTCCAAGTGGAAAAGTAATCAAGCGTAAGACAAATTCGACGCTTGGAACAGCTCCAATTGTCTTCCTATTCTCCTTTGTCGGACCTTTTCAGCGCTATTTGCCGTTTCGGTATACTTAGCCTTTTCCTACATTTCCAGACTTCCGATAAACTTCTCTTGGCGACGATTTTTCCCCTCTAACCTTTCCGCCGAGGTGGACCCTTCAGCGTCCTCTCGGTATCTGCTTGAACTTTCGTCCCGCTGGCAATTTATTTCGCCGCCAACTTGCGATTGGTTTTTACCTCTCAACTCGTTATACCTCAGGCCCTTGCTTTAAGAAGCTTCCTCGATATCCCACGTACCTTTCCAAGTATAAAAGCCTCTCAGAAGCGTTATTCCCTGGCCTAGTTTGAATAGTCTTGCACGAAATCCACCAGCAACGCGAACGCATATTCCTCGTTAGGAAACATCTCGGACGATACCCCGCAATATTCAATTTCAGAAAAAATCCTCCAAAGAACTAGCGTTAAAAATTACATTAAATATATACCAAACTCAGTCGTATGCAGCTCAACTAACTTCTTCGAGTACAAAAGCCCCTTCAAAGAGCATTCCTTGCTGGCTCGCTTTGAATAGTTTTACATAAAATCCATCAGCAACCCAGACGACGCATTTTCCATGACGCGAAGCGCTGTGGGCGAGACCCTATGATTAAAAAAAAAAATGGAAAAGGAAATTACGACTCGTCTACGGACGCGGTAGCCGGACGCCATGTTGGTCACCTGCAAAATCCCTCTCTTAAGCCCTGCAGTCGAATAAACTGTGACACGGACCGTCGGCATTGATTTCTGACGGGTGTAGTCACCCGATACCACTGTTGGCCATATTTACAGAAGCAATTCTCGTTTTGCAGCTGGTGATGGACAATGACGAGCGACTCAGCAACTGGTGGGGCCTGCCGTTTGTGTGGACCGCGCTCCACTGGCTTTCCATGTCGCACTCCTGCTACAATCCGGTCATCTATTGCTGGATGAATGCGAGATTCAGGACAGGCTTCATCGCAGCCCTCGCACGGGTCCCCGGCATTCGGCATGCCTTTCCGGAACAAAGGAGATGCACTTATAACACCAGCATGGGGGGCATCGCTCTTGCCGGTGAGACGCATCAAAAGAAAACCACCAGATAGACGTCCTACCCTGCAAGTTTTACGCGTTCGCGTGTCGTAAACCCCTCGGGCCGATCTTTCGCAAAGTGGGAAGATTGCTCGCAGTGGAAATGGCTCTCCATGGCCGTCCACCCCACGGGCGATAAATCCGCAAATTAATGTCTCAAGTTCGCACACCTCGCCTGGTATCAATGTTTTTTCCGGGCGAATCTTTGATAAATATCGTCGGATATGAGAATGGAAGAAATCTGGGAACGATGCACCTTTTTCGCAAATTCTGGTCACCTCGTGGCATGGCATAAGAGATGTACAAAGGGGCCATTTTCGTTTCCAGGCTTAGACGGGAACGACAACTCGATGCTGCGACGAATGAACACTTGCACTACTTACACGAGCGTGCGGAGGAAAGCTAACGGAAATCATTACGCCCCGGCGAGAAGTGCGAGTCTGCGAAACAGCGAACTTTTGACACACACCTCGCAGGGTCGAAGGATGTCGCCATTGGAGTCGCAATTAGAAGAACGAATATGAGCCGATTCACGGGAACGAGGGGATGCAAAAGAACGCACAACGAACCCAACAGTGGAAAAATATTTCCAGCCTGCGGAGTCGCCTCTTTAAGGACACCTGAAAATCCTACATTTGCAGGGAGATCCCCGATATTACGAGACTCTTTAGACTCTTTTCGTCAATCGACCCACGTTCAAGTGGAAAAAAGAAAAAAGAGGGATCCACCATTTTCGAGTAAGACAGGTCGCACGCCAAAGACACACACATTAACCACGTGGTATTTATTTCGCCTCCAAAGCAGCTAATTAAATAAACACTTACCTACTGCTAGGAGACTGTTAGTCTAGATTGAAATTAGATCGGTACATTTCACCTCCCTTTCTCAGCAAAATAACTGAATAAATGAGGGAGGAATGAGCGTTTAACCCGGTGTAACTGAGTTTTTCGATGCCGAGAAGAAAGTTATGGAACCTGAAATTTGCAAATATTAGTCCTCTGGTAGTAAGAAAAATATAAAGACCTTGAGGTAGATGTAATTAACGGGTTTGGAGATTTATTTAAATATGTTGGTGAATTGAACAGTTATTTAAGTACTTGCCGCGTGTTCATTGTATGCGTCTTTGATGCGCGAACGAAGCGCGCTCGAATGTTCTTGTCGCCGAGACTCGACATCGCGAAGTATAAAAATTACCCTTTCAATTGTAGGAAACAATAGTTTAGGTGGAATCGCGGGCTAAGGGCAGGTGCGAACCGATTTTTCCACTCTGAGGCCGGAAACGAAATCGTACAATGAATGGACAATAGGACAACGAGCGAAATCGGAGTTCTTTACGCTCGTCAATGTACATTCGTTATAAGCCGAGACCAGCTGGACTGAATCGAACCTATTTCTACTAAATTAGTAGACAACTCGTGGATACGTATGAACCAGATTATAATTAACAAACGCTCTATTATTAGCGAGAGCTTACGTCACAAAGATGACGCTAGTCTACCCTTTGAATAGCGAAAATAAGTCTACTTCTCTCCAGGATGGGACAAACGACGTGCACTTTACCGAGAACGATTATTAATAATTTTGTACGCTTAAATTGCCAAGTACTCGAATAAAGTCGTATATGTTAATGGACTTTCGGCAGGGACGAAATGTCCTTTGCTCGCCGGAAATGAAATCGAAATAGTTCGATGTTTACCTTTCAGGTAAACATCGGCAACAGTTCCCGTCTGTCTACATTCGGATGATCTAATTGCGAATAATGTATTTGGCTCTAATAAACCTCTCAAGTCTTTCATTCGGAAAACAAATTGCAGGTCCAATATTTTTATACGAAAAATGAAAGTTATTATACGTTGAGGGGATCAAGCTTTCATTTTTCTTCGCGAGAATTTATTTATAAGAGATGTTCGACCTCTTAAATATCGGGCTTAGATATTGAGATTAACCATTTTTGCAATGAGAGATTGGCGTGGTTTTTGAGATTGTAATAAAAAATTTCATAAGATTGGTGCTCGTATGTTATTAACATTTTCGTTATAGGGTACAATTAAACCGTGAATGGCCGTCAATGTAAGGTCATAGACGATACTTAAAGCTTAACTGCGAAAATTTGTGAGATCGTAATGCATAATTTACGGTTCGTTGCACGCATTACAATGGTCATGCAAGAACATACGGATACGCGTTTTTACGCAGCGGAATAAAACATTTTTGTAATAATTCTCTGGGGAGTTCAGAGCGTATGCTAAGCTCGGTGAATTGTTTTCGTTAATTCTTTTTATGCATTTTTAATGTATTCACCTCGCCAGAATATTTTCGTACAATTATTAAAAATCTCGTTAAAAGTCCACACCAGGGGTCAGGGCTTTAGGAGACATTATTTACAATGTATCAACAAGTTCTCCGCACTGCGAGAAGATAACATCGATAGTTTAATTAGTAATTTCTTTAACATTTGGCACATACATTTGTAAGACACAACGGTTACCAGTACTACCGCATTTCCGCTTGAAATTGCGTGGGAACGATACATTATACTAAGTACCGATAACATGTCACTGATAAAAAGACGGAAACGAGGAATTAACAGATCGGGTGTCCCCTCATAATTTCTACTTTCGTAAAACTGGAACAGAGTAACGTTATGCGACGTTTTGTAATTAAGACTGGTTTAGTTAGTAAGTTATTGGGGCTAGAATAATATATAATGTACAGTTAAGTAAACGTGTAATGTACACGAGCATATATTTCTTTACACATAAGTCTGCCTGTGTACTTCTTACATGTGATCGAACACATTTGACTGCTACTCGAATTCCGAGCCTGGATTCCGTTGGAAGTCAGTGTTCACGATTTTCAAATAAACAATGAACATTAATGAATGCCTGCGTGATCAACAATAATCCGAAAGGGTTGGAATTGAAGGAACCCGTTGGAATCGACCACCTATGAATACGATCCGACTATATGGATTTAGGAAGAGAGAACAAGACTGAGCGTTTCCAAAATTTGTGTATCGCGATAAGCAATAAATCCATCCTTATTGGAAAAATCCTTACCTTCCGTCGAATACGTTAGGAATGTATCGGAGGATTTGGAGTGTTTCGAGAACTCTGAAAAATTTATCAATCCACCTCCTAAAGAATGTAAAACAGCTTGAGGACCGCAAGTGTCCCACCGATAAGTAGAAGACTTAGATAAAATATAAGCATCAGCTTGACCAGTTGCTACGGACAAAATCTTGTAACCTGCTCCGGTTGCTTCGATCAGAGAGAAGCCACCTTTCTTGAGATTGCACTTTATGTCTGGATTTTCAGACTGACTAAGTAATATCACGTTACCAGGTTTCGTGGCACCACCGAGAGAACATTTGTTTGTGCCGTTGTTACTGTACCCCCAGTAACAAGTTCCCTGCCATCTATCAAATTTATGGGGAATAGTACCAAGAAATATAAGCACTGGTTTCTTACGGTGATACGTAACGGTTAAAAATTTCTCTGCTTACTTACTGCGAATCTTTGTTGATATAAAATGGTTGATTAACTACGCCTAAAACGGGTAGTCCTGTGCTTTGAAGATATACACCGATCAGCACAGTGACGCATCTCAACCCACTTAAATGTATACCTGTTTCCTCATCCACTTTCTCTATAGCGTTAATATAGTCAGCAGTTGAGTCTACAAAATTTGACCAATTATTTTACAGAAGGTATATCTACGAAAAGCTAACGTACCTATAGGGTCTATCCAAATTCCTAAGTCATTTATGTGAAGATCGAGATCTTTGGGAAGATTTGAATCGACTGGAACATCGGACATGGTAATATCCTTATGAACTTCTAGAGCTAATAAACTGGCTGCCTCTTTATCGTCTCCGAGGACTTTTGAAAGAAGGTCAGCAGTTTCGTTAAGAGAGGAACAAACATTTACAATTATTGTTTCTCCTAGAGTGTTACTAAATACGTTACTCTCTTCGCCTTTCACCGCCTCTACTAATTCTGGAAACTAAGATTCTTGTTTACGGTAGCCTAATAAAATTGCTCGATGTCTCGCTTTATTGTGATATACTCTGTGAGACCAACCTCGAGACCAATATCATGCTTAATCGTTTCTTGAATAAGAACATCCGCTAGGGTCTTAAAGTCATGAAAGAACCTAGGATTCTTTTCTTCTTCGGACTTTTCCTGAACGAGTAATTTAAAGAGTGTTTCATTCTGACGGCATGTTCTGGCTATATTAGCAGCTTTCTCTGAAACTTGCAAAAGGAGTTGCAATAGTCTACTACCGTCGGTCATGTCTGAAAGAAAAGACGATCCTATGCAATATCATATAAACAAGTTTAAATGTCATAAACGTTACATCGACATTCCGTGGGAATCCATACAAGGTAGATTGTGTAATACAAGACCACTGCAGATAAATGCTGCAGTGGGAATAACTGACACATTACAAACATTCTTCGCTTTAATCTAGACTTTCCTACTTACAATCCTTTATTCAATGTAGTACTAAACTAATTAATCCTCTACTAAACACAAAGCGTTACTCTTGCCACTGGTCGTACTCTACACAAATCAATGTAGTAATAATATTAAAATTACTTGAAAGTGTTACCTGGTATTCTAACCTTACAATATGTTCACTATCGAAGTTGAATCAATTTTCGGAAAGACCGATCGGGCCTTCCGAAAACTGATTATCAATTGCCTTCTGCTCGCCCACAAATGCAACTGGATACAGGGTTTGGAGCTTTGTGAGGAGTTTATCACTTTTTCAGCCAGTTCTCGGGCTGCCCAGAGTTGTAACAGGTGGTAAGTGCATTAGCCGTCTGCATCCTCCATCGGAGGTCGCACAGGACGCGGTCGCTCGATCCTTCCCGTGAATCTCTCAACTCATCTCTGTCTCCTAACTCATTTCTGGTTGGAAAGTCATCCTTCATGTTGGTCTGACGTCAATACTTTGCAGGCATACGATAGTACCGATGGAGTTATATTTTTAAAAAAGGAAAGGTCGCTGTCGTCGCCAAGAGATGGCACCATGCTCGTCCTGAAATTAAGGTTACTTCGATACTACTTCGCTTACCATACTATGTGTGATTAAGAAACGAGGAATATTTAGTAATTTGCAGCTTAAGGAATTTTTTGGTATAATTTTATTGACAAAAATACGAATGAAAGAGACAGCCGGGTTTTTTCACGAATGAGTGATCTAAGAACATTTAAAAAGCGAAGTCGTAACATAACCACGTGGTCGGTTTTGAGAGTGAGGTTGTATTGACAGCCGGCGTGATGGCATCCGAGGATGAAAACGAGGAGAAACCCAAGAATTTCTACGAATTTGAACTGGATGACAGAATATTAAAGGTACGAAATAATCTCATCAAGTAGGGAGATTCATTTTGGGAGATAATTATATGTAATAATATCCGTCACAGGGTATCGCACAATTAGGTTGGTTAGAGCCTACTCTGATTCAAGAAAAAACAATTCCCCTGTTACTCGAGGGAAAGGATGTCTTAATTCGAGCACGCACTGGATCTGGCAAAACAGCTGCATTTATAATACCTCTTATACAGAAGATTCTGATGTCTAAAATGACGCAAGCAAAGCAGGAAATTAAAGGACTGGTCTTGGCACCTAGTAAAGAACTGTGCAGGCAGATACATGACGTTGTTGTCAGTCTAACGATAAAGTGCCATCGAGAAGTGAACTGTCTCGACGTCAGCCCACAGGTAGAATTAAGTGCCCAAAAACCTCTTCTTGCCGAGAAACCTGACATTGTTGTGTCGACACCTGGTAGAATACTGCAACACTTGAAAGCGAACAATCTGAACTTCAAACGCAGTCTTGACACATTAATTATAGATGAAGCAGACTTGGTAAGTCAATTTCTATTATTCCGTTATTATTTTTTGTCTTCCTAGGCAGGAAAAAATAAGAGGAAACATTTTTTCACAGATCTTTTCATTTGGGTACGAAGACGAGGTGAAGCAGCTCTTGTCCTTCTTACCGACAATATATCAAGCAGTATTAGCATCTGCTACGCTTTCCGAAGATGTTCTAACACTGAAGAAATTGGTGTTACACAATCCGGCTACTTTAAAACTGGAAGAACCACCCTTGGCACCTCCATCCCAACTCTCGCATTATACTCTAGCAGCTGAAGAGAATGATAAAGCTGCAGTTTTATATGCCCTTTTAAAGCTTCACCTGATCAGGTATGCTATTTGCATAACTTAGACCAATTACAAATCATATAATTATAAATATTTTATTGATTTTAGAGGGAAAAGCATTATATTTGTAAATACTGTAGATCGCTGTTATAAACTGAAACTCTTTCTGGAACAATTTGGGATTCCCACATGTGTACTTAATTCGGAATTACCAGCAAGTTCTCGATGCAGAGCTGTCACGCAGTTCAACAGTGGAACATATGATATTATCATTGCTTCAGATGAAAAATCCTTGGAAGAACCGTATGCCGTAAAACAGAAAAAAGGGAAACGAAGGAAAGACAAAGAATCTGGGGTTGCACGTGGCATAGATTTTCAATTTGTGTCAAATGTTATTAATTTTGATTTTCCATTAGACGTTAACTCATATATACATAGAGCGGGTCGAACTGCTAGAGGAAAAAATCAAGGCACTTCGTTAAACTTTATATCGCTGCGGGAAAGAGCCTTGTTTCAAGAAGTAGAAAATGAGTTGAAAAAAAGCTATAGTCATGAAAAAGTGTTCAAAACTTATGAATTCAAATTAGAAGAAGTAGAAGGCTTTAGGTACGTAGTAGCTATATGTATTTATGCGTTCTATTCTTGAAACTCCTCTAGGTAATGTCTAAATTATTTCGATAACAGGTATAGATCACGAGACGCCTGGAAAGCTGTTACTAGAATCGCAGTGCGAGAAGCCAGATTAAAAGAGATTAAACAAGAAGTTATTAATTGTGAAAAGTTGAAGAGCTATTTCGATGACAATCCCAGAGACTTGCAGTCGTTAAGACAAGACAAGGCATTACACACCGTTAAATTACAACCACATTTGAGAGACGTTCCAGATTATATTGTGCCTCCCTCATTAAAAAGGCTTATCGGTTTTGGGAAAAGGAAACGAAAGTTTAACAGAGAAGCTGCAGCATCTGGAGCTACAGCAGCTAAATCAAAGTATCAAGCAAGAGCATCGAATCCTTTAATTAGCCTTAGTATACCGAAAAAATAAGTTTATTTATAATTGACTTAGAGGTTAAATGTTAATGTACTGCATTAAACAAGAATAAATTTGTACAACTGTAATAGATAAAGGAACATATCTGGATTTTTGTATTTTATTAACACGAAGACCTATATATGTATAAAATTACTTCCACGTCATATAAAAATAATTATGCACCAATATCGATGCTTAAAATGACACTGACTTAATTTACATTGTAGTCATGTAAATTAAGATTTTGTGGCAGTTCTTCTAGGCTTGTATAAATCTCGTATGCAGTCATTTAAACCTTCCCTGTTTCTTGCCAGTTCAATTGCATAAAATTGTATTCTTGTCGTTAATATGCTATTCTGCTCAGAGTAGTCTCCTTTGCAATCGGCTCTAAGTAACGTGCCAAAACTATAATCTTCAACAATACCTTTAAATTGCTCACAGAATGGTCTCCATTTATGCTTTCCCTCATTCGATTTTAACTCGTCTTCCTTTATCACATCTACTGCTAAATCAGGAAATACTTCTCGAAATAATTTATAAATCTGATCATCATGAGGTGACAGTCTTAACAGCTTGGGATCGACGGAACATAATATCTGATGATCAAAAGTAATTGAGTTAAAAAGTACATATATACTGAATTATAAAATATTATGGTATTGAATATTAGATCCTTACATTGAAGTATATCTCAGCATGCTCCCATGCTTTCATTGCCCACATCGCTTCCACAGTTTGCTACAAAAAATAAAATAGATATTCAACAGTCACATGCTGTATAAAAGTGTAGGACATTTATTTCTTACATACATCATTTTCAAACTCTTCTGCGGGTCTAGACAATACACTAGAACCAGCAATCAGCTGATCTGCTGTCTGCAAAAATATTGATATATTATTCACTATGAGCACTCTTCAAAGTACCTGGAATCAATTTTAACAATAAAATCGAATTGAAAGACAAGATAAAAAATGTTATAAATTTGATCAATCCTTTTCTAATAAATTTTAAGGTTAAGCTATTTAACTTTGATTTTTCATCGAAAGTCGAAACCTAAATTCCACAACAATTAGTACTTTGCTCCACTAAAAACTTACCACGTTCCCAATATGAGCCATGTCTCGTCTTTATTCGAACTATTGTTTAATATTAAGTAAGAAAAAGCCGCTTACGTCTCAACCGATTACTTGAAAAATAATTTTCATGGCATAAATGACCATACTTCCCGCACTGTCCGTCAGATGGCTCAAGAAAACGTTTTTTGACCGTTTTTGAACGTTTTCGAGCGTTTCTCGATAATTTTCAGAGCGGTTTCAAGCGTTATCGACGACCGAGCGCTGAGGGCAAGTGCATTAGTCGCCTGCATTCTCCACCGAGGACAGCACAGAACGCGATCGCGCGATCCTGACCATGAGCAATCTCCCAACTTATCTCTGGTTGTCACTGGTTGTCATTAAGTTGAAAATAAATCACCACCATAGGAATTACTAATTTCCTAATTTTTCGAGGGTGTTACAAACATCGATACATAATTCAAATACATGATCGTATCAAAATATAATCATTTAATCAAAATAACGTTAATGGTTTCCAATGTAAATACCGAAAATAGATATCGTGTAGGCATAGATAGCTTATTTCGTAACTTACATTATTATTTCAGTAGGTACATACACTTTATCCCATCACAGATTTCACGCATACTCAACTTGTTCCAAATCCGTACCAGCAAATTCTCAAAGGAACTATATCGACGAATAAAGGATAAGTTAGACGAACGACTAATCATTCAAATAACTAGATAACAAATGGGACCATCAAGCCATACTGGTGCAATCGAACGTGTAACTAACATCCTGCTGGTATCGATAACAGTGTTTCTCAACATATTAACTAAATACTTATCACATATTGTTGGGTATTATCGTTACATTGTATCTTTAATAAGGATTAATAAATCCTGTTATGTTAAGAGGTATATTAAATAGAGAATCTTGAGAATTCTCACTTTCGTACATGTGAAATATCATTCAAAACGTAAAACTACAATTCATTTCTTAATTTGTACTGAACACCTCTGAAGGCTATCGTATAAATCACACTTTCGTACTTTCGTACTTTCTACCATTATCGCGAGATAAAAAGGATGATATGCATTCCTTGAATATATCCCTACTACCCTGTCATATTTAACTGCAAAACACATTTTCTTCAGTCTCGTATACACTTCCTGTTTTTTTTTTTTGTTAATCGACACAGTTACAGTACTTTTACCAATTATTGTTCCAAGTCGTACTTAATATGATCCGCAAAAGAAAGTAGATATTAAGTAACTAATCCAGTATGTTAATAAAAATATACAATATTATATACATATGTACACATATTTGTGGTGCTTAACATGAAAAAGTTTTAAAATAATTCAAACAATTTAATCATGCTATAAATACATGTTATGGTAAACCCAATATAGTGCTACTAAAGTAACCAATGGCAGACCGTAGTCCAAATATTTAATATGATAGTCAGTCATGTATTATAAGCGCTAATATGCGAAAGATGAAAAAAAAATGTATATGAGGACGAACTAAGGAATTATATTAATAGGATTAAAACGGCCCCATGTATGTACATCCCTTTCGTCAATTGCTAATAAAACTCATTTGGTGAACGAAAAATTCACAAATCGATTAAGACTTTGTTTATAAATTTTTAGATTATCGTTAAACAAACAAGTTGGATCTATAATAACGAAAGGACAATTTATCTAGATGAGTCGTAACACATGGTAGCCAAGGATGCAGCTTATACACTAAGTTATAACATTTTGGCACCAAAAAATATGAATTCAAATAAAAATGAATATGCAATAGTCTACATTTTCTTACTCACGATTCCTATCAATCGTAATTGCACGTTGCTTGCCTCGAGCCAAGAAATCCAATTTATCGTTCAAACCTGATACGTTCGAATGAAATCTAACTTTTTTTATAAATACTTCTATATTCCTGACCCGAGTCAACAATTCAATTATGTTACCAAGTATACTTCACTCTTTTAACTTTTTGGCGCTACAATGACACCAGCAGTAGCAAATCTTAATTGTTTATTGTTGAAAATTAATGAACGGAGGACTCTCAGCTCCGCCTGGATCTCGCACGGACGGATATCACACTTGAGTCAAATGTCATTTGTAATTCGTACTTATTAATTACAACTACTTAGGGACTAATATCAGCTCTTTTTTGGCGTAGCGTCACTGTCGTACGCTTTGACATCAGTGCCCCTGCTTCACTTCTAACAATTGAGGATAGTTATCGACAATATTCAACAGTATTCCGTCTATGTAGGCTCTCAATTGGGTGTTCACCTCTTGTTGTTCCTTTAAAGCTTTCCTCATCTGAAAATAATTATTCATAATCGGTATTGCTAATAATTTTTACATTCATAAAAATCTCTTAGAATTCACGAAACCATTTAAATCCTACACATGCACGGACTGCTACAACAGAAAAAGGTGATTACACACAGAGAAAACGGAATTGTCGAATAACGTAACATGCACAATTGTCTGATTAATCATAATAGCAACATCAACTAAATTCATGGCTGGAAACGAAAATTCATGCTTCAAGATAAGGAAGAAAGGAGATAAAAAATGAAGGATTCATATACAGTATATCCACGAAATGTAATTACCTCCGAAATGGTGCAGGGCTCTTCGGGGTCATTTTTGGTCTGCCCGTCAGCCTGCGTATATGGAAACAAGTCAATACTAAAGTAATACTACTTGTAACTAAAAATTGTCATTTGAATCGTTGTGCAGTTAGTCGCAATAATCTAAAACTAATATAAGCATATCAAATTAACCTCATGGCAAAACATCTCATATTCATCCTAGCTACCTCTAGTCGTGTCATTTTCGATTTGAACTAACTGCAAAACATACTATAATTTCAATGAAAGCAACGTGCGTATCACGTATATTCGCATTTTTTTTTTTTTAACCTTCTGTTCAATGTCTTTTATAGCGGAGATATATACATGAAAGGTGTAAATTACCTGATCTTGATTCATGCCTTCTAGTAACTCCGCTGCAAGACTTGGACCATTTTCGTTATTACCATTTCCACAAGGATTCAGCATCAACAGTTCACGACCAGCTTGTAACGCAGCCGCAGCTTGCAATTCGTCCCGCGACTCTTCTAAACCTAATTTGCAGTTACATGAAAATAAACCGATTAATTTCATGCAACAATTTATTAATGTGCTCTATTTCTATATTTTCCTAAAACCGACTTTTACGTTTTACAGTGAAAAAAAAGACTTACTCTTGTTACGAGCTCGAAGACGGGCAACTTGTTGGACCAGTTCATCAATTCTCTGCCGGTCTTCGACTCTAGCTGCCAATTCCTCCTTCGCTTCTTCGAACAAACTGTAGGCTTCGTTCGCTCTACTTATGGCTTGTCTTTCGGACTCTCGAACAATGTCGATCTCTGTCCTCAGTTCTTCCAAATTTCCTTCGAGGCGAGATTTGTCAGCTCGAACTCGTTCAAGCTGTTCTCGTAATCGGGTTACTTCGTCTCTTAAACTAGAACTCTCCGTCTCCACTGCCTGCAGCTTAATGGCATAGTTTTCCAACTGTAACTGCCGTTCTCTTTCTAGTCGACTAACCCATTCTCTATGCCTTCTCTGTTCAGCCTATATAAATAAACTATTGTAAACGATATTCCAATAAAAATTATGTTCCCTATAGAATTACTTACTTGCAGCCTCTCTTCGGCTCTTGCTTCGGCATCTTTAGCGGATTCCTCCAACATAAGAATTCTAGCTTGCAGCGTTGCATTCTCCTGTTTCACTCTAGCGTACCTCTCTTCTCCCACTGACTGCGTATCGACTAAGGCATGCATCTGTTCCTGAATCATCTGGACCTGAAACCCACAATAATGTCCATCACTCTCCATTAAGTTATAGCACTCGATAAAATGTTCTTCCGCCTTCTTCCTTCGCTTTTAATCTCCCTACCCCAAGGAGCCAATCTTACTTGCTCTCCAAGTTGAGGCCGCCTCTGTCGATCTAGTCGACTTTGGGTCTCTCCTACGAATTGAAACTGTCCCTCCCACAAATCGTACTCGAGACCAGCCCCAGGCCCTGGTCCTTCTGCGATCGCACCACGAGTGTCACCCTCGCTATTTCTCTCTTTATTCTCTCCCTCCTCGGAGTCAGACTCCATGTCTATTTTCAGCCCGTTTTCCATTACGACCACGGTACTATCCTCGGTGGCTCAGTTGGAGCTCTGTACTCTGTCTCCAAGCTGCGACGCCTCATGACTAGCACCACCGATCCTCCCCAGCCGTTCTGCTTAAAGTCAAAGAAACCGCAGAACCCTTTTACCGACTGTTATTCTTAATATTCGTAGTAATACAGCGGCACGCTACTCAGGTTTCATCATAGGCATTAATCAATTCCGTAAGAATGCAGGATTCATCAACAATGACTATTATCTCAACGGACCAATGGTTCTGTCTTAAGCATACGAAACTGTAAAGTCAATCTCCGTTGCCTTTTACTCACTTTGCAGACAGAAAGGTATTCGTACCAATGCGTAGACGCGCACTCTGCTTCTGACCGAAGCCTCGAGTTGCTCGAATAGCTCCACTGCGAGTCTCTCGTGCCAGAGCTCAAGACAATATCAAAATCTATTTATGTGCTCTATACTAGGTGCTGACTAACTCCTCGAGCCGGCAAAATCTGTGAATGACGTGCTATGCGAGGACGAGTCATGCTTTCAACGAAATTCGCCTTACTAACTTTGAGGTTAAGACATCACCTGTCCAATCGCTCGTGTGATTTTACTCTTCCACAATTTCCCGATTCTCTTTGGGCAGTGAGAAACTGACAAACGTAAAGCAGGAAAAGATTAATCAAATACTTGTCAAGCGTCATTCCAGTGGGTTTCCACCGGTACAGTGGAACGAGTCTATTCACCGATAGTAGATTAAAAGGTTAGGTGTCACAAGATTATCTTACGGCTCGCCTTCGAGTTTTCAGCTTTGCCTCCCAAGTCGACGAGATAAATATTATTTTTTTCAATCCCTCGAAATGTGGTCAATGCAACGCCCATTCGATTGAATCACCAGTGTCGACAGTCGGTAAAGGTGAGACCGATCATTGATAAAACTATTTGTTACCGATAAAACAGAAATCCAAGGGAGTCTGAACGAACTTTTTTTCTTTTACATTGCAGTAATTGTAAAAATATCGTTCTACAATTACCGTATATATCTTGTCATGACGAATACTGAAGTCTATGAAATTTTCAGCACTCAGTGCCGTACAAGGAAACAACTTACGAGGTGATATAAGGCGGCCATGAGTGAAAAGTAGGTAAAGGACTAGGTCGAGGGAACGGGTTTCTTGACTTATTTAGAATTTCTGAGTTTCCAGTCTTGCATCATCGTGTAGCCAATGTATCCGACCCCGGAAAGGAGGATCAAGAAACTGAGGAAGGACCAGCCGCCCCATTCGAAAAACCCCACAGGTTGCACCCTCGAACACGCCATCGGTTTCCAAATCTAAAATATCACCTTTTTATCCAGTTTTAACATCTCTACCGAGTCAACAAATCCCGCTCGAGCAATCAATGATACACACCATGTATTATTACTTGTGAATTTTCTGAATCTCGTCACTCGGAGCTGTAATTTTGATGGTTGCATGCCAAAAACAACTGCGCCTCGTCGTTGACCGGCAGTGATTGTTTTTCTCTTTCGTTGATAAATCGGCAGCGATCATAGTAGGCTTGTATTTTTCATTGGTTCATAATTTTCAATTTGTAGATTATTTTATCTCACGGCTATTAGGCCTCAGAGAAGCTTGGAACGAGTTCCGTTGATATTTCCAGCGGTGGAGGTGGAGGTGTCGATCGTCCTGCTTCGTGGAATTTCAATGACGTCCAGGTCCTCCTCGTCGTCCTGAGATCCTGTCCAGGTCGGCCGAGACTTCCCGCTGGACGTGGCAGGACGTTCTTTTTCCTGTCGTTGAAGACAGGGCTCGGTCGTTATTTCGATGCAGCGTTGAAACTCGGCCGGGCAATTTTGCTCTGCATTTTTCTTCTTCTTCGAGCTCTGCTACAAAAGGAACGAGAGGGAAGCTACGTTTCAGTGTCTTCTTTGGCCACGTCTTTGGCCCTCAAGACGACGAAAACGGCGTCCTTTCGAGAGGGACATCATTCCCCAAGCTCGTTACATTCTCAGGAATGCCAGGATCGCCGTTAAACTCGCGACATTTTCAAGAAGCTAAGGTTGCGCTCCGGGCACTCGCGAAACGCGCTCGCAGTCCGAGAAAATTACAGGAATCGCGTCCCACTTAATCTATTGTCGTCGGGCCTGAGAAACCCGGCGGAAAAAAGAACCGCACGCCGCCCGGGACAAATTAGTGTGCGGCCGGAAGTCGACCGAACTCCGGCATTTTCGTTTTTAAATAATTTCCAGGTAGAAAAGCGAGTAGTCATTTGACGGCATTGTCTCCTCCAGAATATGCAGTGTGCTTTCATGACGAGTCTACGAAGCCTGGCAGAAATCGGGAGGCGTATCTGTGCTCTACCGTTGTTCCGTTAATCATCATTTTCCATGGCCAGTATTGCGCAACCCGGTACTGTTACGCCCATCCGGATAAACAGCAACGTGCTCTCCAAGAGCTCGTCAAATGACTTCCTCGACGTTTCCTCGGGAAAAGTGACGGTTTTAACGGTGACCATTTACCGCGTCATCGACGACATAGGTTCCCACTTCTTATCAAGCCCAATAGATGCGTACTATCGGTAGGAACTCATTGAACTTTGAAGAATTAACATTGAATAGGCTAATGTCGTCGATGAGCTCACTAGATAAATGGTCACTCGTAGACGTTCCCCAAAAAGGGAACTCCAGTAAGTTCGTTCATCGGACGTCCTGCGTGGGCGATCCTCATACTTGTTGAAGGCGACGAGAGGCCGACAATGGCGGGTCAATCCTCCGCGGTGAAGAAGATGCGAATAATCGTTGATAAGCCACGCTGATAAGGGCCAGTATCAGCAGAATCACGAAGGCGATGAGGAACCAGGGTCGCCCCCGTGGATGGCAGAACGTTGGACAAGGTTGGCCACAAGGTGGACAGGGTTGATAGCACTGTCCGCAGCGTTGATAAGCTTGTGGATAGGCAGAACAGTCAACAGGTGGTCGTTGATAATTTCCAGGACGATGATGTTGCACCAGAGGACGTGACGAAGCACACGTTGGTTGAGTGGAACACATCGGCTATTCGTTCATCCAAAAATCCAGAATGGACGTTTCCATGCGACGTCTAGGTCGTTGATTTCCTCGACGGTTCACTTCTAGGTCGTTAATTCACTTGACAATTTTTCTGCCTCTGGCTCACAATAGAAGAGTTTCCTAGGCGAGTTTCGTGTCCGGAAAGGTTAAGGATAGTCTGTGACAAGTTCAGGGCGGTTCCATGGCGCTTAATGCGAGGCGACAAGTTCGGAACGACTTCGGACTGCTCCAGGGTGATTTGCTGCGGATCGGAGGGAGAAGACGAGTGCTCTGAATCGAGTTACGGCTGCTCCACGTGATATCTCTGTCAAACTTTCGAGCGTTCTCCCTTTCAGGAGTAGAATGCGTCTCCTTGGAACGCGCGACGTGGGACCAAGGGACCGGCACTTTCTTCTGGAGACCTTACTTCTTAATTACTCCATTGATCCAGTACTTACCCACACTTTCGAAACTTCGTTTACTCGTTACCTCAGATATCGAGCCAGAGTGTTCGTTAATCAGCGATTGCAAAAACACCCTTTCAGACTTAATTTCATGTGAAACGGTTTCAAGCAGATACGCAGGTCTGCCGGGCTGAAAAGCGGGAAGTGCGAGGCGATTGATAACGTCGACGCAGGCCCGAAAGGAAGTGTCCAATCTATCGAGTTTTCCGTAATGGCGAAACCCTCGAAGCGTTCGCTATCGATGGGAATATCGTAAGGACCGCTTCCGCGAGTCCAGTGTTACGAGGAAAAGCAAGATGCAGCTCCCACGCCGAGGACATTTCGCTTTTGACCACGCTGAGAAAATTAGGGGGTTCTCTTACCCGGTGATTAAGATCCAAAACGTCATCTTCTAGGGAGACATCGCTGTACATGTCCTCCGTGTTGTCGCAGGTGGAGCCTCGGCCGGAACTGTTGAAGCTACTGCTACGGTAGAGCTGACTGGAAAGGCGAGGACAGCGTGAGACGAGGAAGGAAAAAAGGAAAATAAGAAATACATACACGCAAAGAAGAGTGAACGAACGTTATTGAGAACAACATGCGCGCAGTCGCGTTCCCCTAAATGCGGAAGTTATTGAGCGAGTACATCGATTCGCAATTGCGCGTAAAAGAGCCCGCCGACCATGAAGTTCGCGAGTAGACCACGTTTCTTCGTCCGTGCAGGATTGGCCATAAAGAAATAAATTTCAGGTATACGTAGAAAAGGACCAAATTTCGTGACAACTAAACGTAACCGTATTATGCAATGACTGTACCTTGCTAGCGCATTGGAGCTGAGCCTCTTCTTGTTCGTGCTGCAAAAGAAATAACGGATATAATTTAGTAAATTAAATTAATTGCCCGTTTCTCAGATCCTACTCGGGCGATTCAACCGGAGGAAATAATTCCTCCGGTGGTGTCGATACCCTGTACCCAATAATGAGGATAATCCTGGCCCACGGAGTGTCGCCTAGACGCCAATAAGTTACAATGATTATTCAATGGCCTGGAAATTATCTACTTCACCGCCGAGATAGCATAAAGAGCTCCCTAGCCTTATGATTCACTATGCAAATGTTTAAGAATACCCCAGTGCAATCGATACCCCCGAATCGCAAATAGAATCACGGCTCTTGACTCTTCCCTGTATTCGGAAAGTCTGCTTTCCCCGAGAAAGTATCGACAAACCGTTTGTGAATTAAAAGCCATTTATCTACTAATTACCCCCGTTATCTGCGAATTCATATAATTGCCCTCGGCTATTGCAAAACGTTCAGGTAAATTTAGACGAGCGGAGATAATTTAAAAAAAAATAAGAATCCAAAACAAAAGTCTCCAGCAAAATGGAGAAATTTCTCTCGGACTGAGCCAAATACCGAGTTTGCTGAATACCCGAAACTGGATCATTGCCAAAATCCAGTGTACGTTGGCCACTTGGCAACTTTACTAAATTGTCACGAGCGCAATGCCGTCACTGACATTGAACTTAATATGCCGCAACGAGCCGCACCTTTGACTAGGGCAATTTATACAGATTCAAAATCGAGCAGGAAAAAGGGAAATAAATAAATAAAAGAAGAAAAATTCTCCAGCTCGATATTGCGACGGTACGGGTCGAAATATGCGTTTCTCATTCACGGTTTACAAGGCACGGTGCTCGCTAATCACTTCGTGCTCTCAAGTTATTACGACCCGTTGTTCGGTCTATCGTAAAAAGGAAATTGTTCCGCGATTGAATACTTTCCCATCGCTGCGGGTGCACCCGATGAGAAAGTAAAAAATAGATATCGAACAGAGCTCCGCCTAGCCGGTGATTTATTAGGGCGCGATGTGCCGGCATCGTTAGTCAAGTCAGCGTGTTAAAAATATCGGAATCATTGGCACAACCGAGTCTTTCGCACTCTCGATTTGGACCCTCGAGTTAGACCAAAATTAATTTAAGATTAGACCAGGATGCAACGGCAAGTGGAAAGTCAGGTTGAAAAGTAGGCTTCCAGGCGACGACACCGAGGCGGGTAATCCTGCACCGTAGCTCATCCTTTCGAATCTGTCGAGCTAAATTTCCATATATGAGTCACCCGTAGAGTATCCTGAGAGTATCCAGAAACCGTCATCCTCACTCACCAAGGCGGGGTCCGTCTCAGGGAGGTTCTCAACCAGGAATGCCTGCCGATAGTGGAGTTCGGGCTCCTCGGGTTCCTTCGGCAAAAAAGAAGGAAAAGAAAGTTGATCTCTCGCAATTAACACCGCGCGCCCATGCCTCCGGGACTTCATCGGAGCCACGCTCCCTTTTACAAACAGCAATTGTAAAACAAAATCGTCTCAAACCTCCATCCTTATCCACCTTCCCAGCAACGTACAATGCATTTGAAATGATTTAGATCTATAAATCCCTTGGAAGACTCCAAAATACCGATAATCAAGTGAATGAAAACAAGAAAAAAAGGGGTGGAAATATAAAAACGAAAAAATCCTACCTGAAGGAATTGGCGCCAGTAGGGGAGGGCGCGGAGCTGCTGCCCCCTGGCGACTCGTCGCCGTCTACCCGGACGTAACCGAATCCCTCGTAGCTCTCCTCCTCCTCGTTAGGGGCGCCCTTGTCGGGGGGACTGCCCGCTTCCTGTCCGTACGAGCTGACCAGGTTGTGCAGGTCGACGGACATCGAGAGGGAGGGCGGCCCGCTCTGACTCCAGTCCTCCCCCGCGGAGGTCGGAGGCCTTGGCGCGCCCCCTATGCGGAGGTCCGCGGAGTCGGCGACTCGCGATTGGTCGGCCGGCGCATCGCCGTTGCAGGTCAGGAGGTGGTCCGCGTTCTCGCCGCCAGTGGCGCGCTCGTCGGCCTCGGAGTCGGCCGCTCGGCCGCCGACGTTTACGGTCGGGGCCCGCGAGCTGACCATTCTCCGCCGCGGCGGGGGCGCGCGGATGTCCTCGCGGTCCTCGTGGCTTTCTACGGCCCGCCGGTCCGTGGAAGGCCTGAAAGAAGACGCGCGAAAGGCGCGCTCTTAGGATTCACTCGAGCGCTGACTCACCGGGGAAGATATGCGCCCAAGCCTCGCCATACTGTCCGCCTTGGAAAGAAAGAAAAAAAAAAAAGTACCATCGAGCCAAAGAAATATCTCGTCAATTCGAATAACCATCTTCCTGGAATAAACTCTGAATAAATCGGACGCGGCGTATCTTCGTGTCCAGTTATTCGAGTTCACTCGAGGCAAATCGTTACTCCTTGAATGAAAACAATTAATATTCCTTTGGTCCAGTGAATTCATTTTTTTTTTTCCTAGGTACAGCCGTTCCCCCCGTCCACCCCATCGCTCGCCAATACTCCCTAGACCGTGTTCCCTATTTCGAATGGAGCGCCGCTCGTTCATTATGCCCGTCTCGCCGAGTAAACCCACGGGGGCGTGCGAGAACGAGTGTCAACGCGTAGCCACCGGAACGGGCCTCGAGCACCGACACGTAACGTCAAATGTTACGTGTCCCCGATAAATCGCCACACTCTGCTTACAATTACTATCTAGTCCAGTCGCACTCTCGACTAGTTACTTATTTTATCCATTATGCGACCCTCTACACCGCCGCGTTCTGCCGAATAGTCCTCGATATACCGGCCCGCTCTGATCAATTGGTAGAAAAAAAAAAATATGAAAAAAGCGTGTAACGAAACTCGGTATTGTTTCAAAATGATTTCGAAACCCTGCCCTGTAAGATCGAAACTCGCCTTATGTCCGGCTCGTCGAATTACGCGTACCTAGCAGCACCCGCCTCGAAGGTTACGAGCGCTGATTAAGTATTCGCGTTATGCCGCGTGCAATGTTTCGAGATTTCTCAACGTCTCGGTTCGATGGTCCCCTCATAAAAGGTTTTCTCTTTCTCGTCCGCGAGGCTCTCCCGTACCGTTAGTCAGCCCATAGGCATCCATAGGTAAAAGGGGTCTCGTTCTCACGCGCGTCACGTGTCGTCGCCTTCGAGAGATTCTTAACCTTTATTAGACGCGATCTATGCAGACCGGGCACAAGAGGGTACTGTGTTTTCGCGTTCCCAAGCAGGAAACCGGCAATACGTAACCTCACCTAGGACAATCGGTAGTTTCAAACTTGCTGAATAAAGATGGTTCCTCGGCGTGCACCGAGCGCGAAAAAGATTCATCGGAGCAAGGAAACATTTCGTTACTTCCGAGAATGCAATTATTTCACCTCAAATAAATTCCCATAATTTCGAATGAACGTTTGCATCCGATCGAATTCGACGTTTACTCGAGTTAAGTAAATATTCTTTGAATTAACGGGATATTTCGTCGGTTCGATGACATTCCTATTTTTTTTTTCTCGGGGTGCCCGTAGGAAATTTTCACACCCTGGGAAAAAGGTTCATCGGTCGAGGTCCGATTAAGAGATAACAGGTTTATATCTTACAAGGGGAGCATCGGGAAGAAAGTCGGCGGAAAGCCGATAGCGCCTACTCCTTGGAAGGTTCAACTAGTGCAGTGAAATCGGCCAAAGGGGAAAGTGGCCAAAGGTTGTGCGAATATCAATGGCCGATGAAAAAAAATCCAACATCGGCTGGAAATACTGCGCCCAGGGTAGAAAAAAAAAATGAAATCATTCCATCCGTTCCTCGAGAAGTAAAATCCTAAAAATGGAATTACAGGTGCGCGCGTCATCCGGGGCAAGTCAAACAAGAGAGCAGGCATGTGTCCAGATCCGATTTAAAAATCCGAACACGCGGATTTACATAGACTCGAGACCGTTACGCGACATCGAAGATGTCTCCGCTGGCTTGCTCGAGGACCCCGGTGACGTCACCGAGCACTCGATTGTCCATGGTGTAGTCAATCGTGGAAAGTGCTCGAGGACGTCAACAGGGCACACATACTACATATACCGTTGACGCATAACTGGTTTAAGCAGTGGTCTTCGTGCGACCTGGAAATCCCGAGGATCGAAAATCCGTGAAAACGTGAACGTCGAGTTGGTTAAAAATCCAACGCGCGACGACAAACGCGTTACGATAAATCCAAGTTAAACCGACCCGTAAAGTTTTCCACCGTGAGAATAACTACTTAAAATTTTTCGAGAATGTACATAAATATTTAAACCTCGAACGAAACAAGGACGACTGTCCAACCGGAGATAGCTCGACGTGCAATTTTGCATCGTTACGTTCTAGTTGATTTTCTCGGGAATTTTCGACCTCCATGGCAGCCACTGGTTGAAATTCCTGTGATAGAAGCGCGCGAGCTTCGGGTCGGTGAAAGGGGCTCTCAAACTCAACCCGGTTGCGCGCGGCCGGTCACGTGGGGCGCTTCCGCGCATCTTCCCTGCAACTTGTTTCGCGACACTACGCGACACGTGCCGGTCGGTAGGGTAGAGACGCGACGTTATGCCCGATAATCGCGTTAACGTCGAACGGGAGTCGAGGAACGCATGAGTAAGTGACCAAGGTCCCGGTGTTCCCTTTAAACGACCCACGCTCCGTGCCCGACAAAGACCATGGACATGAGACGCGTGAACTCCGCAGGGTGACTCGTCTATGAAAACACTAGAAGGGAGATTTCTCCCCTTTCGACGTTTCACCTCCAACGGTCACGAAACGGTCGCATCTAACGTTCAGGAAGGAAAAGAGAGAGAAAAGAGGTAAGAAAGAGATCCTACACTCGCTCCGTCGTTTCTTTCCGCCTCCTTTGCGAGGATTTCGAGTGAACGGCTGGATTCTCGCGGTCCACGGTATCCTACGTCCTCGACAAAGGCGGAGGCGCGCGCCGGAGAGATTCACGCCGCCATCTTGGCTCGGATGGAAAACGGGTCACGTGGCGGATGAGACGCGCCGCGGGCACGTATTTATCCGCGGTTCGTGCCTGTGCGACCCGCCGTTTATCCCGCGATTACGCAGGTGTAAGGGGTTAGGTTAGGTTAGGTTAGCGCTCGGATAGGCGGATCCGCGCGATTTCGAGCGTCGCGCTCCGCCCCGCGCATGCGCACAAACTCGTGGACCGTCCAAATGGAATGCGGGAATGCGTTTCTCATCCCCCTCCCGGCGACTCGCCAACCGGTACGACGTTGACCAACGACATCGCGCCGCTCTCCGTTTCCGACCTGTTATGTATATGTTATGTATAACGCTAAAAATAAGCCGCGATCTATGCCCTACACTTGCCAACGCGATAGATCGGACGGAGTGTCTTCTATCGAAGCGAGACGATTAACCCTTCCGCGCCAGCTTTCCCGTCATACGGGCGAAATTCGCGTACCCGTGCACGCAATAGTCGACCAAACGTCGGTAGCGCGTATATACGCTTCCATGTATTATATAGGAAAATCAACGAAATTGCAAGAAATGGAGATCCGACGGTTATCCGTCGCCTCGTCATCTTGCGGTTTATGTCGGCAGGTGTATACCGGGTCCTTTGGAAACGACAGCCTCGTAATAACGTTCCACTGTCTCTGCTCGTGATATAACCGCGGTCTACCCGTTTCTAACGAAATTAATGCACTTCTTGTCGGTCGAGTTGGTCCGGTCGGTCGCGCGCGTAAAAAGATCTGTTCAACCGGTCCTCGAGTACGGCTTCGTTAAACGACACCACGGGTGTTTAAATTATTTCCGAGCACTCGATTCTCCACGTTGTCCGAATTTACCAAACACACCCCATGCGTGATTTTTCGAGTCCTCGGGGTAGCTCCAGGATTTTCAAATCTCGCGCCACCGCGTAGACCGCCGATCGCCGATCGTCAACTGACGCGACAATGGCCGTCGCGCCGCCGCTCGTTCCGCCTTTTTGTATTTTGAAACGCTCTCAAGGTAACTGGCCTTCAACCAAGTACAAAAAAAGAATATCTCCCTCCCGAGGATTACTCACCGATCCTTGCGATCTAAATAAACCCTCCCTCCACTGCGGGGCAACCTTACAAAATCGCGAGGTGGAGACACACGAGCGCCCGTTCACGCTGTGTTACCTCGTACGTGTGAAAGTATAATTTCAGAGCGACGATCTCATATTTTCTACCGTCGACAGTTCTCTCGCTTAGTCGATCCGAGAGATTTTCACTTTTACACGCGGAACCGAGTAGCGACCGCTCTTAAATAATTTCCCCTACTTGCGTTACCTTCAATTGTTGATTTATGAACGAGGTTAAGTACAGGGATTTAACTCGAATTTATATTTACATTAAAAGCCTGCGAAAGAGCTTGGGGGAATTAACTGCGTTATAACATTTTTTCTTTTTTTTCCAAAGGTCTCCGTGGACGTTCCATTTAGCACGCTTCGAATGGAGCCGTGTAACTCGGTTTAACTTATTACATTATAAATTCCAGTCTCACTGCGCCGACTACGATTTTCTCCTTGATCGGCTTCATTTCTTAAGCACGCAACGTTATTGCTCTTTCGATCCCTCGGTAATGGAATGCTCGTAATGCTTATTCAGTTCTCGACCGATCGACGTCAAACTTCGCCTTCCCTAATTATGCCTTAATATTACGCGGCGTAAATTCCTGATGATTTGTAAAATTTCACAAATCGTCCAGACAGTCTTAAGGCATTCGTTGCGAGTCACTGGACTTCCTTAAGTAAAGGAAAAATAAATCCAAGGCAGAGAGGTAAAACACGCGGAAAGAAACCGGCAAAATCGACGGAGAGGAAACCGCGAGAGAGTAAAGTCTTGGGAAATAAAACCGAAGGGAATTCGAGTTATCGAGAGGAAACGGTGAAATTTCGAACCCAGATTCGCGATAAAAAAAAACTCCAGTAACCGTAAAAAGACCCGATCTACAGTACGATTGGAACGATCGGTAAAAGTACCGAGCCATTCGTTCTATGAATCCGTATCGGAATTTAGGTCTCCGCGAGAGATTCAAATTTCTCGCGCCTGGATTTCCCCTCGATTTTCGTGAACTTTCCGATAATTTCGCAGGTAGCTGTTTACTCGAATAAACTCTAAAAGCGAACCTTTCTTCCCCCCGACGAATTACCTGAACCTTTCCCCGAACAATTCCCAGTGATTCTCAAGCCATCCCCTCGATCCATAAACACCCTAATTGCCTCTAATAATCTCCAATGCGCAGACACGAAACCTATAACCGCATCAACCGTTCGGATCTAACCTGCAAATTGTGATCACCGTGCCAAAGCATCCGCGTCAATTCGATCAAACTTGAAAGCCCCTTGGCCGTAACGAATGCGGCGCTAGAGCTCCGACGTGAGAATTTAATTACCGTTCCCCTAAGTGATAAAAGGAAAAAAAAAACATTCCATTCCCTTTCGATTCGGTACGTATCGCGTGTCTTTCCCAATAGGAGCCGAGGAATTCAAACGGCGCGCGCCATGTCGCCCGTCGATTTGTCACCGTTAGCGGCGATCGGTCGAAATGCGACTTTTAATTTTCCGAGGATTCCGGAGACCGCGGGCCGGCGAATTTCTAGAAAGGAAGTATAGTTCCCCCGCAAGGATTACTCACCAATTATTTCGAGTCGATCGGTCGTTCCCAGCAGCTGTAGGGGCGTTCCGAAGTCGCGAGGCGAGCCTGGCTCCGTGATCTCTCGGCACCCTGGCTCGCGGCGCAGACGTCTCTCGCGGCTCCCTCGAGCGTGGAAACTGTCTAGGCACACCTTACGCGCCGAATCCGTCACGAGGCCACCACACCTGACACGTGTCGAACCGTGCCGCGAGTCGGCGAGACCCACGAGAGGACGCGATCCTGGCGACTTGGAGCGCGTCCCTCCGTCTGCCACTCACCTCCGTGCCGAACTGAGCCGTCGGTGGTACCTTGAGGGTCCGCGCGCGGTGTGGAACGCGAAACGGTTGGTCGACGAGGCGACGCAGCGACAGGTGCGCATGCGCAGGCCGCGCAACACGGGCACGGGTCGCGACGCGGGGGAGGGATGACTGTATAAGTGTGTACACAGCCGTGGCCGTACCTGCAGGTACGGAAAGTACCAGTGATCCTCAACCCAAAGGAGCACTAACCTTCCACTCCATGGCCCGTATTATGGCAGTCCCTAAGGTACGGGCCCGAAAGTGAACTCGCTCGTCAAAGTCGAGTAACTCACGTGAACATATTCACGTGAAATTCGAGGTGACCCGGCGTAATTTCTACATGAATCTCTCTCGTCAAGGCGAAGATGATCGGGCATGGAGAACCGTGAAGATGCTCCGCGGAATCTTAAATTCAGCTCTGAAATATTTATTGCAATTCCGTTATCCTAGTTTCTCTACAGAGGGAGGTATCGAGGGTATCGTTTAGGGTCCAGAGGGTTTAAGGCGCGTTTATACCTGGAGGATGTTTAACGGTATATAGCGAGGGCACGCGTATTGGAAGAAAAACCAACGAGCCAGTGAGTCTTTCACGTGTATTTCTAGACGCTGAAAATATATTAATTAATCGTGGGAATGACGAGGATACATAGGTGAGAAATTGAAAAATTTGTACTTCCCCAAAGGTGCTATTCTGCAACTAGGCTTCCCTAATGTCGGGTCTCTCTCTCTCTGCAACTGCGCTAGATCGAAACGAGGAACGTGACGGAAGAATGCAGGATTACGCCTCGGAGACTGCGGGACTCTTTTCTCTCCTTTTTTTTCCCCTTCCTTTTTCCTTTAAACACCCTCCGACCTATCATATTTTCCTTGTATGTACAATCCTGAGCTCGCTTACCAAAGAAAAACGTAGAAAGATAAAAAAGGGAGCATGTCCTTCGCGATATTAAAATACATCACTATGGCTTTAAACGAAGCTCACGTAAGTCCTAGGATCTAAAACAAAGAGACCTTATCACGCGTGACAAATTGTTCGTCGTCGGAGTTTAACAATCGGACGGAGTTCCTTGGGAAATTACATTGCGCGAGTTACTGCGGAACGCCGTCCGGCATTTAATAAATAATAAACGCGAGCGAGTTTGAGTCTCCAAGCCTATACGAGTCCTAATCGATCTTAATACTATACGCGACAGGACCGATCGCGTAAATACACAATACTAATCGCCTACTACTTGGCTAGTTGAGTAATGCAAGGATAGCCTCTTCATTTTCCCAGCGAACGTCTTTGTCACCTGGACAAGATCGGCGGAAAAATCAGCGTCCAAGTCGATAAATCGTAATTTACAATTGCCATTTCAAACTCTCTCATTAGTCGAAGATCTCAAGCACTGATGAAATTATTTCCGTCCGCCTAGGTAACCCATGCTGGACCATTATCCCACGAGCGGTACATAGTCACGAGTACACCGATAATTCCGCCCTTAATTACGAGTTGGCATCCCCTAGGAAACCTCGATCGCCAGGTTCGCCCATGAAAAGGTAATGCCATTAATAACACTAACCATAAAACTCGTATTCCTAGCTCCAGAAGTAATTCTTACCCCCCTCTAATTATCATGCGCAGGGTGCCATTAGAAGCGTACAATTTATTCATCATTTTCCCAGGAGGCGCCCCCGAATCGACGAGTAACCCTCCCAGCGGGGTGGAAAATCCCCGACAATAGGAAAATGCGATTTCCCGGCAGTAAAACCCTGGAGTACGCGCATTAACCTGGGGAATTCATCTCCTAATCTCAGAGGTAATTCGCGTGTTACGACCCTATTAACGTCTTTCTCGTGGAACTGCAGTCTCGACTACTTTAGGTCGTTTGCAGGATAACGTCTTTCCACCGTCGCGAGTCTTCGAGGACGACTTGCCCTCTCCTGGATAAAGGGAGGGATTCCTGGCGGAATATTTCCTCGGCTCGCCCTTGGAACGACCGACCATCGAGACGCTGCAGCGATTTTCGAGCGAGGTACTACTCCTCGCAGTGGAGGAACGACATCCCCGAGGGCCACCCTCTTCGGGGGTGGTCCCTCAGGGCGCCGCGGCGTTTTCGCCGGCTGATTTCTTGTACACCTCCTTGTAGACCAGTTCCTGCATCTGCATTCTGAGGAGCATCCGGCGGTCTGCAGGGAGAGTCTTGATGTGCGGCAGCAGGCTCATCAGGAAGTAATAATTGTCGTCGAAACGGCCACCCTCGAGGGGGTCCACCGTCAGGCCGATGCTGGAGTCGCCATCCCCCATCAGCACCTGCTCCGGCGAGATGTTCTGCAGCATCATCTCGTTCTCCGCGAGGTTCTCCGCCACGCTCTGGAACTCCAGGTTCTCGAAGCTCTCGATCGGCTCCTGCTTGACGTCTATGTGGCCGCTGGAGACGATCTTCGGCGAGTTGTCGCCGTTCATGGCGAGCAGGTGTTCCGCGAGAGCGTCGTCCCCGAGGCCGGAACCGCGGCCGCCATTTTGGTGAACCGGCGACTCGCCCTCGCTCTCGCTGACCCTGTCGTTGTCCCTGGAGTTTCGCTCCCAGATCGGCGGCCTGGGGAGCATCTGTTCCTTCAGGAACTGCAGACTCTTGAAGTGTATCCAGAGCGGACGCACCCGGTGGAACTTGCTCTTCCTGTAGATCTGCTCCTTCTTCAGCTCCGCCCGGAAAGTATCCCGGAGACCTTTCCATTTCGCCTTCAAGACCGGCTCTGTAAAACCATTCCCCGCATGAGCAACTAAGTTCATAGGTACCTCGAAATCCTGGATACGCGCGCGCACGATCGCCCTCTTGAAGATCACGATAAAAAGTTATCTAGGGTAAATCATGAATTCCTGACGGCGAATTAAAAGTTAAGTTAAAGCCGGACTTAATGCTCGCGACTGTACCCCCGTAGTTCCGCACCCTCCACCCGGCGCTGCGTTCGCCTCGCGCGTCCTGCGCGCCGCCATCGGCGGTTATGTCGGGCGCTCCTAACCTAAAAGCCGCGATCGTTCCGCGGGTGCATTTTCAGGGCGAGGACGTGCCGGGCGAATGCAAGCTACGCGGCAGCCGGCGTCCCTCGACGCGTCGGCCTCTCGTCTCTGTGAGTCGACGATCGTCGGACGCTAAACCCATCTTCCGGTAAACCCCCCTCGAGAAGCGTCGCCGACGGGGGGGACTCGCATTATTTGTGCACGCGCCCGCGTATCCATATCACCGCCGCGGCCGCATAGGTTAGGAGGTGAGACGCACTGGGGAGCTTGAAGATCGCGGCGATCTCCATCCAGACGCGGTTGGTCACCTCGCGGTTGTGGTACGAGATGTGCCTCTGGTTCCAGAGAGCCGGCCTCTTATAGACCTCGGCGATCAAGCGATTCGCGTCCATCTTCACCTCGTCTCTCATGTTAGCGCGAGCGGAACTCCTCCGGCTACCTGGGCCGAGGCACTTGCCGTCGCAAGGGAGTCGGGACACCCCAGGCCGAGAGGCAAACCGATGGGAGCGAAGCACGGGCGAATACTAGCGCCGGGATAGCGATTAGCGCGCAGGACGCCCAGTAACGATCGATTCGCATTTCGCCCTCGCCTCGGCGGCCTCGGCTCGCTAGCGCTAGCGGTGAGCGCGCCGTCCGCCGTCGGCACGAGTGCCTCCCTGTCCCTAGCCCTCCCCTCTCCCTTCCTCCCTCCTCTGCTCCACCCCTTCCCCCAAAGGAGCGAGTGAGCGAGCGAGCGACGGGCGAGCACACCCTTCGGCCAAGGTCGTTCGATGTCGGGGGTTGCCGAACGTTCGTCCTTGTTCTTCCTTGCCTAATCCACGGAATAAGGGCGGAGAGAGATGGACCGTACCATTTTTTTTATATATACCCTGAGAGGGAATTCAGGGAAATTCAGGGGAATTTAACGATATTGATCTAGGACGCGGTAACCTCCCAAACGAGTTCGTACCTCTTTTCTTTTACACCAAAGGTGTTTTTTTTTTGTGTCGTCGACAATGTACTCTGGCGGATTTGAGATCCTTTGCTTGGGAGATATTTCAATGCCAGGATGGTAATGCCCCAAGGATCCTGTGAAAATGGAAAAGGCATGACGTGATCGGACTTTTTTTTTTTTTTTCAGAGATCGAGAGTCGTCTAGCTGCGGCGTCCGGGGAAATGGGGATGCGTGACGGTTTCGAATTGATCGCACAGGGCGCGGAAGCCAGGCTGTATAAAGGAAGTTATTTGGGGAGGCAGGCACTCCTGAAGGAGAGATTCGTCAAGAAGTACAGACACCCTGATCTCGACAAGACTTTGACCAAAGAACGAATCAAAGCCGAGGCACGCGCCATAGTTCGCGCAAAGGCAGCAGGTAGATTAATAGAGATTGTATACTTGAGGTACAAAGTGATCTCCATCGTCCAGTTGGCTGAGATTCATGGACCCTTTATTTTAAGGAGTGGTGACGCCAGCGATATTCCTGGTTGACTTCGAGAGGCGATGTATATTTATGGAGTACATCGAAAACTCAGTGACACTCAAGAATTACATTGAGAATTATGTCACCGGGAAGGACAATGTCAATCACGTGACCAAATCTATTGGCCGGACCTTGGGAACCCTAATAGCGAGGCTACATTCCAAGAATATCATCCATGGAGATCTTACCACTTCGAATATTTTAATCAGAAATCCGAGACACGAAGTCTCCTCTTCTGGAGATCAAGAAACTTTGGGAGAGTTCGTCATGGTGGATTTTGGTTTGGCACGAGTCGAGTCGACCATCGAAGACAAGGCCGTGGACTTGTATGTTTTGGAACGGTCCTTGGTGAGTGCTCACTCCGAAATACCTGAGTTATTTCCTCTGATTTTGATGAACTACCAGAAATTCTGCACAGAGAAGAGTAAGGCGGAAGTGATCGCTAAGTACAAGGAAGTACAGGCACGTGGTCGTAAGCGATTAATGATTGGCTGATAGCTGGTTAAAATTATTTTTTTAATCGAGACAGAGAAATATCTGCTAAGTACAATTCGTGAAACACTATTTGGAGCTGTTTGGAAAATATTTTTGAAACTAGAGAGTGGAGATTTCTTAAATAAAATAAAATATTGCAATAGATTGCATGGTTTTATTTTCTTCAGTGTCTAACCGAACAACAGATCTTATTTTATGTGAATATAACTAAAGAGAAAAAGTTTCATTTGCCAGCACCATTGTTTGTCCAGTATTAGGATTAAAAAAATACTTGACTCAAAAGCATCAGTCTACTTAACACGGTTATTGCGATAACGGTGTAAAGTAATAATCCAACATATTGAATGCCCTTATACGAATTATTGACAGGGATATTACACAGATGGAAGTCTTTAGATACCGTTGTCCAAATGTGAACATCGAATGTATAAATATTACTAAGTGTCCTTAGTATTTTAAGTCTAGGTAAGAATACCTTCAGGTGGCATTTTGAGAATGTATCAAGGACTATAGTTTCATAGCAATAAAGTCAATTTTACTTAATCTATTTATGTTCTAGGCTGGATTTAAAAAACTCTTATCCTTATATAGCATTCGAATTGCTGAACTTGTACTTAGTTCTCCATTATTCACATCACTGATTGCAACGTAGATGTCACACATCACAACCTTGTCTAGAGTTTCTGTGATTTTAGCATTCTTGTCACTGTTCCTTCAAAGTCTAGATCGAGTGAAATCGAGTCAGTCAAAATGCAGACCAGAATATATAATGATCCACGTAACCTGCAATGTATGTAAAAAAACGATTGAGTTGTCACACATACCCAAAACTTAGAAAAATTGCGAAATCTATTACAATCTCTGCAATGCCTCTTACCAAAAACCCAGCAAATGAGGTCATGAACCCTTCTTTCGTTAATTCCCAAGCACCGCCATATTCTTCCTCGTCGACTTGTTGATAACTACTAAAGTATACGTACATCGCTCCTGCATTGACTAGAACAAACCTAAGACATCGAGCATTTTTAATTTACTTATTCCCGCTCTCTGAACTTACGAATCGTCGTTTCTTTATATTACTCACAACAACAGAGCTACAAAACCCTTTAAGGGTATCAGACCCCATATAATTCCAACGATGATTCCGATCACCTGACGTGACCAGTATATGACGTCGAGGAATTCGTCCTAAAAATACAAAATCAGCAATATGTAAAACATCGGAGTCGAGTGTTGAACTAGATCATGAGGTGACGTTGAGGTTATGTTTACCTTGTCTGGCCACTGAGAATTCGCAGTAATCGCCCGCGACCATACACTGAATTCACATTTTCCGCCATTTCCCAGTTTGTCTGATTTCACCCGTGACATCTCTTTCTTTCGACAATTCACTAAATCCTTATTACTTGTGAACGATTCGCGAACAGATCCAGCCCAATACTGCCAGAAATCCCGCACGACTTTCCCCTCCAAAAATCCCGCAGCGTGATTTTTTCCCCCTCCACTTGCCTACCCCGCTCGGCCCCACAGTGCCGCACGGCCTAAACCATAGATATATATGTTTAAACACGTAAACGATGACATACAGTTCTGTTGGCGCTAAAATTAAAAATAAAACATATAAACTGACTGCACAGAACGATTTTAGTGTCAATAACACAAGCAGAAAATCTGAATTAATACTAACGTTTGATCATGATTTCCTCACTGAATCTTTATTTCTAATACCGGTTATACCGCGATATTTCTATAAGTAATATGTCATATCGGGCTTCCAGGGTACGGAAGAATGGATGGTTAGAACAACGTAAACGACGTTCAATCTTGTGGCCACGGAGGCTTAAAATAAACCAGTGATACAATACAACGTCATATTTATACGGAGCGCGTAAATACAGGAATGTATAAGGTCGAGTTAAAATATATGTATATGTATATATGTATAAATACGGAGCACGCACGCGCAAATGCATACAGGTATTCCGCTCCTCGTTAGTTTCATCCTCATTCTCGCATACAATTTTTCTCGCACACGTGTATGTCTATGTATATATTTATAAATTTCTACGCGAATGCGAATACCACGTGTCATACTTTACAGGCGGCTCTCCCATGAGCATCCGAAGCAAGGAATATAATTGTGAACGGCTTCAAATATTAAAAAATGTAAGAGTGAACACAATGTCCCGAGAGGCAGTGAGGATTGTGTGCCTTTCCAATTGTGAGATTTTTGCAAGCTAGCGATACATGTGATACACGAAAATTTCTGTAAGGCCTTGCGTCTTTTTTCTTTTCGCAATTGTTGGTTTATAGGCGGCTGTTGGTAATTCTATTTGTTCTACCAGGTTGGGCAGTTCCGTGTGTGCGTGCTTACTTTGTAAAATTTGGCACAAGCTAAATTCCAGTTTCGAGGCCCTTTTGGTGCGAAGCACAATTCATCGAATTCGTTACTTCGACTAGGTTAAAAAATGTAGCACTTATCGGTCTCCCAAAAATTTGGCACGGGTACATACAACAAATGCTACGCGATCCTATTGCAGTGTACAAACTAGGTAAATCTTGTGTAAACATCGAAAGTCAAGCACGGGCTTCTAGGACGATTCTGGTAAGTTCCTAAAATTTGACCCAGGCGTAGAGAATGTTTTGCAAAATAATTCTCCAATTGCATAATTAGCTCGCTTCTTATATCGCCACGTGAGAGAAGATCACCTGTAATGTAATTACAATGGCAGACGTGTACGCATGTACATAAAGAAAAATTCGCATACGCAAAACATTCTCATCGCATGAGAATAAATATCATTGTCAGGTCTTTATAGGTTATTACTTTGCATCGTAGTCGTCCAAACGTGGTATCGAGAGTACCAAACGTTTCGTCATCCTAATCTTTCTATTTTGCAGAAAGAGCAGAAAAGAAGGTAGAGTGTGAAAAATCTTGCACTCCCAGATATTATACGTAGCCAACTGTCCTGTAATAATGCATGAAATAACAAATCACGAGGCTTGTACAACGAGAAAAATCATTACCAAAGCAATTGACATCTTCATCGTCTACGCTATTTATAATATTATTCTTATATAGTTGTCCAGCCATCCACGTTTCGATATTTTTTTTTTAGAGAAATCCATAACTCATGATTCGTTGTTGATTTAGTGCAGTGAGAAATTTTTTATGTAAAGTATTTTCTAAAAATATCGAAGATGCTGTAGTAACCCTAACGGTAATGTGACTATCGGATAATCAATGGACTATTGACAGTGGGTGTCAAATTTCTCCGAAAATAAGACTTCTGTAACAGACGGGCATGCCAGCGAAAATTTTCTATACATGGATTCGCTCTCGTGCAATACTCTAAATGACTTAATCGAATACGGTATGCAACACTTTTGCGGAAATGCGTTTCAGCAATTAATTTTGTCATCGATGCAGAGGCCTCGCGATTCTTCCCGTTCTCAAGTTACCGTCTCTATTCTTAATTAACTACCCTTTATCATACTGATTCGGTTGATATTACATGGAAGTTTCATACATATACAGCGTTAGCTTAACTCGTCCATTAATCTACCCAAATTTTCTTTCGTTCAACAGTGTGGCATATTGTCGCGTTTTAGCTAGGCCAGAAGATCGGAGCGATTTCTTTGCAGCCCTCAAAATTCGATCGACCAGTTGACAGAATTTTTTCGTGCAAACAAAATCACTCGGATTTTCAGACCAAAACATTCAGTACACAACATTCGAAGAACTTTACGCAAATTATTTATATTGAATCTTATCGGGGCAGCAAGTCGTTACACTTAACTAAAGCATACATATGCAGTTTTTGAATAAGCTGAAAAACGTAATAATACGTAGGTGACAAAAACAGTTATGTACAATGAATAAAAGGCGATCGAAAAAGCAGTCAGATTAATGGATCCTTAATGTTCCTGTACAGATACTTATGCTACGGTAAGTATCGATCTGGTCAAGTACACGAGAAAGTAAAATAAGACATAAATAAAAATATATAATCGAAACGTACTTAAAATATCTCTTTTACATACAACGAAACAAGATATAATTATGCGCTGTAACAAATAAACAAAAACACTGTAGCACAAGAGGTGTTAATGTTGCATACGAAAATATCGGATCACCATTGAGGAGAGTATTACGATATTCAATAAAATCATACATAACCTCTAATTATTATTTTACAGGAAGCGTTTCGGATGTTCCTGCAGAACGACACCATTCATGACATTCAGATGCCTCACCCATATATCGGAGTGGAATTCTTATATATAACATTATGTACAAATAAATAAGCAAAGCATAAGCGTATTGCATTCTAACAAATAAAAGAAATAAATAAATAAGAACTTAGTGCGTTAGATTATTCAGATGATTATTAAAGTACTTGGATTTATGAAAAGTGCTCGTAAGAACAACCCTGAGCAGTGCTCATACCCTGGGAGAAATTAAAAATAATCTAACCGATGACTCGTCAAGTTCTTCGATGTTTGATTCTTTATAAGAGCGACGAAAGAAATTTGCGTAGCATTGCGGGACATACACTTCAATATGAATTAGGGCTTGCACCTTAGGGCACTTACTATCAGAGCAGTAAACAGCATAAAAAGGAGAAGTAATTAGACTGCATTTTAGCGAGGTATTAGGACAATAAGGAGCGATCGAGAATAATTAATTTAGGCTATTATAGACAACGCTCTGTTTAGTAGTAAATGTCCTAGGGCTTACACACGCACTCAATATACTCGATATAAAACCATTAATTATATGTATACTCGCTTTCACTACGAAATCTATACTTTCCATTGTTTAACATGCAATACCACTTCTATGTATATATACAAAGACACAATCGTGTGAACCTAATCAAAAGAACACAGCGATTACATTGGAACGGTGCCATTGAAAGCCTCGAAACACGATTATCAGGACACTTCGGAAATGCTCCCTCGATCTCGAAAGCGCTCTTAAGAACCTTAGGCCAAAGTCTCTTGAGTACTTATCAGAATGTTGTAAACGAGTTTTATAAATATATCGAAGCTGCCTATTATTTACAGTTAATGAGAGCCTGCGAATCGGAAGCAGCTTTTCAGAAGCGGAGCCCATTAGTGACTTGTCAAGTAGCACCGTTGAATTCATTCGGTATGGGCACTACTTGAAGTAAAGCTTACGCTAAACTGCACCGAACACTAGTTTCAGTGGGTTTGCGCAGGCTCAACATCTTCGCTTAGCTTTAAGAAAATTTGATTAACATTCCTACAGTGTATAAAACGAAAGAAATCGTTAACAGCACATTCTGCACACTCATCGAAGGCAGAATATCACAATTCTTCTGCATCCTTAATAAGAGCTAAATTAAGACCTCGGAAGAAGTTAATCCAGCTGCGCAAACCCAGCCTTCTACGTGTCCGATTAGTTCACCTAGTACATTAACTTTTTATACATATGTATGTACATACGCTGCTGGCAGAAGACCAATCGAGGGTAAATTGCACGAAGGACAGGATTGCTTTTTAAATATTTAAAGAGACCTCGAAGAATCTCCGACTCTCTGCATTAAAGCTATCGTTGGGTGCTACGCGGTTTTCCGCGTTTATCATTCCTACATACGCAAGAGATCCGCTCACGGTTCCTAATAATCTGTCGACAAGAAAGGGAAAAAAGCACCTTCGTACACCACCCCAAGAAAAGGCTTCAGAACGCCTAAATTAACCGTTTTTAAAAGTCACAGGCCTGCCATTAATTAGGAGAAGTACGCACGACCGTACAAACTGAAAAGAGATCTGTACTCGGCACCTCGAAAACGTATAAAAATTAGAGATATCAAAAGCTCGACGGCAACTTCCGATGAGAAATTCCTTGCAAATAAGGCGCCGATGAGAATCTTTAATTTATAATTAATCCACCACTCGGGAAGAACTCAGATTTGCTCTCACTCTCGACAGATTGTCCCGCTTGCGAAAAGAGTGCCAACGTTAGTCCAAACGAGTCAACAACGATGAAAACCTAAGTCGTTCTCGTAATCATTACGCAACAGGCACTTTGTTACATCGAGATCGGTAGCAGTCTATCGACGCGTGGATAAAGGCAGAGGTACACAGTGGAGCATCGTTGTAAACGGTCGGTAATGATCATGCCTAATTGTCCCCTCTGCCGAACTCCTAAGTACAATCAGTAACCGACTCCTACGTAAATTATGAGCTCGTAGAAGAGAGACCCAAAAATCGGTGTCGAACAAACTCGTATTGCGTTTCTCATCTGTGCTCCACCGTACTCACCGCCCCATCATCAATACATTTCTGCTGCCCTTCGTAACGCTACCACTAAACAGTCTCTCCCCCGGCTAAACAATTTACAGGCGCACGATGTATAAACATCCGAATATTAAAACAAACCGCGAGTCGTTCAGGAGGGCCTCTTAATGAGAGGCTCTCCACGACCCTTAAAATAAAATCCCAGCCGAGTAGTAATCCTAACGGAAGTACTCGTGCCTCCAAGTGCGCAATAACGATTCACTCGCTCGCATTCGTGCCCACGTGCATACATCCATACGTACACCCGAGTCGACGAGGTTCAAAAGCGTAGACCTTGGATCAGGGCACGACGTTATTAAGTTTTTAGATTTAAAGTGACTATTCGAGCCGTTGATCTTCTCAGAAGTCGAAGGTAGTGACTATCGAAGGCTGACCGGTCGATCGAAACCGACAGACCGAGCACTTTAGTACCTCTTAGGAACCCCTCGATGCTCTACCGGTGCATCGAACGGTTCTATACATTTCTTTAAACTAATTCGCTTATGGCACTCAAATGTAAAATTGGAATGTATACCTTCCTCTCCGTGCCATCCTCGAATGAAATAAGACTTTACACTTAAAGACTGGTAGAAAGATCGGATCCTTATACCTTGACTCGTTTACTTCCTTCCTTCGAGATCGGTATTCTGCCCTCTTGCTAAACGTCGACCACATCGTTGTCATAATTGAAGTTTGAATCACGTAGGAACGAAGTTCGTCGAAGTTTAACATTTGGTCCGGAATCCTCAACCGTTTTCGGCGCTTCCGTTGCCTGAAAATCGGTACATTACTATCCTTGAAATGAACATTTTATCCACCCGGCTAGACAGGATCATAGCACGGTACATTTTGACATATCCCATTAAACAGACGAATAACTATGTACAAAGTACAGGGCTCAGCGAAGCAAAAATGCAGTCCAGGAAACAGCTTATGAATCGAACGAAATAAAAAACGAAAATAAACTCTGGCGCGCGAAATTAACGAAATAAAACCAAATCAACAAAATACCTTGAAGGTCGTTCGGTCGACAGAGCGGTGAAGTACCGATCTCCATGCAGCAGGTGCGGTGAGTTCTAAAACGATATTTACAGCGAATCTAATTGAGACTCCAGGCCTTTCATGCACAAGCGTACGATAAATTAAAAAAAATTTTAATTAGTTATAATAAAATATGTGCCAGTGATATTAGTACCTATGCGACATGTGCACCGATGCATATGAGGCATGAATCGTTGAATGCAATGCATGGACTACGGGGTATACTCACCATTTTCTTTCCTTTCCGCCTTCCCTTTGTTCAGACTAGCAGCAAGTTCTCTAACTGATCTTTTCTCAACGCTGGTATTGCTCAACGAACTTGCCGTACTACTTGTCGACAGGGTTGGGGGCAGCGAAGCTGGCCCACTGACTCCACTATCTGTCGATTCATCAAGAGCATCTCCGGAGTCTGGGGTGTTCCCTGCTGAGGTGTTAGGACTGGATCCATCGCTGAGAAGATTAAACTCACCTAGGATCGAAAGAGTAGTTATTGTCCTGTTATTTTAATAAATAAACGATGACAGACTTTCAGCTCACCAGACTTTCTGTCCGCAGCCATGCTCCAGGGCCTAGGCTTAGGTGCAGTCGCCGGAGGGGCAGGTTTGGTCTTCGAATTTCCACCATTGTTTTTTCCTAGATCACTCGAAGAGTTATCAGTCCTCATGGCAGGTTTCAGAATTGGGGACTTGGCCGTATCCGAACCGTTACCTTTGGTACCACCACCGTTGGTTGGACTCCTCAGATCAAACCCAGTAGACCTGAGTTTCACCGATGGAATCAATTGACCAGATTTATCAGTCTCCGAGGTCTTCTTCAAATTCTTCTTATTCTCCGCCTCCCTACCCGCAACCGGAGTCCTGGTGTCCTCCTTTAACCCAGGACCGCTGGTGCATTGTGAAGTTCTATTATTTTCTTCTACGGAGGAGTCTCTTGAGCCTCGAGTCATCGATCCAGATCCAGCGATGGGTAAAGTACTACGCTTGGAAACATCTATACCATCCTTTGTACCGTTGCCACTAGCATCTCTAGCAAAGTCAGTCTTTGGACCATTTCTTTCATAATTCTGGCTACTCTCCGTAGTGTTCCTGCGAGCCAGTGGAGATGCAGTCAATGGTGAATCACCCTGTGACCTTCGACCCACCAGGGGAGAAAACTTTTCCAAATTATCACTCGATCTCGAACGAGGTGTCGGTTCCAGAAGTGTTTTTAACATCGGAGAGTTACAACCATGCTTCTTGTCAAATTCTGGCGGTATACTTTTGTGACTTGCCAATGAGAGGTTAGGACTGCCATCCGTTGGGAATGTGTGCAAAGAACTACGAATAAACATTACGAGATAATATTAATAATAAGGAGAAAACGAGCGAAAGAAATAGTAATAAATCAATATTTATCTAAATTCACAATCTTATGCTTGAATCTGTCAGCATTACCTATCGTCACTAGTTGGAGATACCAGTGGGGTGGTCGGTGTGGTAGGTCTGAAGAACACATCGAGACCTTCTCCAAGCGCCAGTCCATCGACAAGTTGATCAGGCTTCAACATCGGTCTAGTAGGTGCCCTGGTTTTCGCCCTCCGGGGCCTCGACTTCACCAGATGCTGCAACTGTTGGCCAACAGTGTGAGGTAACTCCGAGACTGAATCCAATGACTCCGTCAATGAGTGTTCATTCTCTGATATCGCTGTAAAAATAGATACTTCCTTAGAGAGAAAAAAAAAACAGAAAGAATATTCCTTGCACCAGGGGAATGTAGGCAAATTACCTTCCGCCTGGCTTTTTGGTAACGATGGGAGTAAATCTGGAATATCATCAGCAGAAAGACCTTCGACCGAGTCTACCACTGACTTTGGCCTCAACTTCCTCCCGTGCAAACTCTTCCGCTTGTTAGACAAGTGCGGAGTAGCCTATTCAGAGGACAGTGATTGATTATATGACCAGAATGTATGAAACTCAATAATTTACATATTGATCGCATTATATACGTCATTTTTTTTTCTATCACAAAATAAAGATAAATCAGCTTTTGCACATAAATATTACTCACAAGATTCAGATATTCCAATTTCTGTGCAAGACATGTGAGGAAAAGTATCTCGATTAAAACTGAATATTTTTAAGTTTATTCCAGAGGAAATATACTCTTACCATTGGTGACTGGTCATTGGAATGCGGTACCATGGTGTTGACCAGAGAATATGGATCCGGTGGACAGTCCTCCTCCGAAACAAGACTTGCCCTCCCTCCGATAAGAGTCATCGATACACCAGCTGCACTGCCAATTCCAATGACACTTCCACTACTCATGGAACCAGCACTAGGCCTCAGTACGTCGGGGGTGCTACTTCTAGTTCTGTTTTCACAGTCTCCGATCTGCGAAAATACTTTACTGTACATTGATGTACTGATTTAATCAATCACCAAAATGGTGTGTATACTTACCAATGTTTTATAGCTTCGAGATAATGATTCGATCACTTCATCTGTCACCTTGTCGGAAACATGAGCTGCCACAGCTAGGTTCAATTCACTGCAATGGAAAAAAAAAAGCACATTGTAAAAAAAATATAACTGAAAAAAAAACTGTCATTCGCAATCATTTGTGGATGAACTTACTTAACCCTGTTAATGATATCAGCGCCAGCTTGTTCTGTAACGGTAGTCTGAACGAATTCAGGATTAATCACATTTTTCTCTTTACAGGAATTCCTAAGATCATTTTCAACAGATGTTGGCTCACTGTCCTCGCCTCTAATTACAGTCTGCGAAAGCACTGTTGGACACTGCTCGTGTGCACACTTCAACATTGCTTCCAAAGAATCCTACATTGAAGCAAAGAAGAATTAACGATCATTTCCTCATCTTTCCTTAATTTATTTAACACAAATTAATTCAACGTACCTGTAAGTACGCAGTGACTACTTTGTGAATTTCATCGGCCACGTTATGTAGCTTCAGCTCGATAGGATTATTTTCATCTCGTCTCTGCAGAACTTCATGTAACCTCGGTAATAGCTGGAAACAAATAATTAATAATTAATAAACAATATGTTACAGCCATTCCGAAACCGCTATCGCTAATTTTTACCTGCTTCGAATTATCGGCGTCTTGAATAAGACCCGTTGCATAATTGATGTCGTTATTCGCGTCACAACTTTCTGCAGCCAATGTCTCGATGGTGTCTTGAGTTTGAACGACTAGCCGATCCACCATCTGTTGCGTAGAACTCAGCAGGAAACCTTGCTGAAGTCTAAACGCCTGGCCATGGCTGTACTTGCAGGGCGTGACATTTCGTTGAAGAAGTTCTTGTATTTTTTTCGCGATTTGTTCCGTCTTATCTGCCGAGGTCTTCATGCAAGGTTGAAGATCGTAGATAGGGAAAGGCATGTATCTCACGCTGTAATTCCTGAAAAGGTATTTAATTAACATAACTTCAAATCTGACCAGATCATCGATTGACATGAACGGAATTTTTTAATCGTACTTTTCCAAGGCATGAACGATGTCTCCATATCCTTGAAGAGTAATGTTATTCCTATCGTAGATAATGCTCTTCAGGTGGTTATTTATCTGCAGTGCTTTGGCCAGTAGCCGAGCTCCAGGATCGCCGATCTGATTGCCACTGATGTCCAGGGTGTGAAGACACGTGTTGCTACCGAGAGCATTGATCAAGTTGTACAGGTCTCCTTTTAATCTGGAGTCCGGTAAATGCAGAGCTTGCAGGACACAGTCGTCTTCCTGGATCATCGTCACCAGAGCATCCATCACCACAGCGATGTGCTTGTTCTTCATTCCGACGGTGTTACGACCCATGTAGAGCTGCTTGATGGATTTATTTTTCCCAACAGCAGTTATGGCCTGTGCTAGATCGACGTCCATATCTGTAAAAATTATATATTTACAATATAAATTGTGACCTCACAAAATTATTTATGCATTTTTCGAAAATGGACGCATACTGCTTTCCGAGATATCCAAAGAAGCTATGCATCGAACACCATGAATGCATGATTCCAGAACATGTGCACCCATCGAACCCAGATTGTTACCACTCATATCGAGTTCCAGGCCAACGGTGCTTTCGTTGCAAGCCAGTCCTAGGAGAAGATGCTTGAGCGCTTCCAAGGGTAGCTTGCAATACGAAATGTTCAAATACTTCAACGACAGTGTTGCTGTAAAAAATTGCTTAAAGCTGGGAGGTATCTCTTTGGTCTTCTTGCTAGCGAAGGAATTGCGTGCGACGTTTAAGTGGACTAGATTGGTCGCACAACCCCTCAATAGAGCACCGAACAGCTGTCAAAAAAAAAAAAAATGTATTACGATTACCAAAATAATTTTGTAGTCGTTAAATAAACATAACCAAGCAACATAAATTAAGTACTTACACATTCCAAAGTGGTGTCCGTACTACTGAGGTCTAAGTGAGTGAGATTATTTGGTTGCGCCAAGAAGTTACACAGATTCTGGAAATATCATTCACCGATTAGACTTTGCTGTTATTTTCACTCATCGACTGCAAAGAGTGATCTTGTACGTAGGTTCAATTTCTTCTCTTACGTACATTGATATCATCCTTCAGTGTATTCCCTGAGAGGTTCAGATATTGGAGACTAGTCGGCATGCTTCTATTTAGACTCAATGCATGGGCAATCTGGCCAACGCCCTTTCCTGTTAATCCACAGTGTGCCAAGTTGAGCTTTTGTAAACCTTTGGGCAGCTTACCAATGGGACCACTCAGATGTGTCGCGCCTTTAAAGTTATAATTATGGTTTGTTAAAATACCTTAAAATTAGTTGGTACTGTTGAGACGCAAGCACTACGTGTATTACTGCGAGACTGAAATTTAATGAAGAGGGTTCTAAATGTTAAAAGACATTATGATTCAGGTAAGTGAAGAAGCATTTAAAGCATACTAGACCAATGTACAAGCGAGGAAATAAGCGTGACGCGTTATGAGGAAGATTGTTCTTTGCACACCTTGCATTAACTTTGCTATTATCCCACACAAGCTAGAGGCTCCTACAAAAATATAAAAGGATTACATGGAGATTAAATCGAGCGAATCGAGGCACTATGTCGGCTTAAAATTTGCATAATCGAGAGAACTTGACACAAGGTCAAGTACGGAATCAAAGGGCAACACGAAAGAACGTTGCGTGAAATATTTTGAATTAAATCAATCACACACAGTGCACTTAAACTGGCCAAACGTTACATGATATTGTTCTTTAGGCATTGATAATTTTTAAATCACAATCTTACTGTACTTTAAGCTTCAATTACCGAATGCGGAATGGGATATTACCTTTATCTTCAATGGTGTTACAGGATAGATCTATTGTGTGCAAAATCGTATTAACATTTGAGATTAGTGCCAAGGACAATTTGTGCGCAAAATCCCTGTAAATTAAATAAATCGCATTGTTATTAATTTCGCAGTTAAAGGACATGCGAATAGAGTATATCAAGCTTTTCTTTACCATTTAATCCCTAGGTTATCTAAGTAGATTTCCTGAATGGAGAGGGATCTCCGCATTACATGAAGCAATCTTTCTAAAGGCTCGTGACTCAGCTTTAAGTGTGACGCTCTTAATTTGGTAAACCATGTATTGTACTCTAAGGCCGATATTATCGGAACCAAGTCCTTCTGCTCTAGATGATCGAAGTCCCTTAAATTCAGCTCTCGAGTGTCATGTGATAAATATATCGTGTCGACGTCCTGAAATTAAAATACACATTGAATATTAAATTTATAAAGTAAAGAATTATAATTAGTCAATTACCCATGCGACTTCCTCTCGGTACGGCACGCCATGCAAATCGCACATGCATGCGTATTGCGTGGAAAACCCTCCACATGGTCCGGTATGTCTCGTTGCCTCTGTACTTCGTGCCAATTCGCTACCTCTTATGCTTTGCAACCTGCTCGCTGGTATTATTTCTATTTTTCGGATTATATAGCTGAAGAAGACATACAATGTCAATAAATTAAACAAATTTAACTCTGTCTACATCACCGTGGATACATACTTTAATGGCACCGTCGGAAAGATGTTCCGAATTGCAGTATGCAAAGCCTCGATCATCGCATCCACTTCTACCGTGTCTGCACCCGATCCTGTTGTAGTAAAACTGTAAATCCTTTCTCCGACAGTCAAGCATAATTGGTTCGCTCTCTTTGACTCCACCGACGTTATTTCCAAATAATGAAAATGGCAATCGATCTGAAGAAAAAATCAAATTCTCTTCACGATAATATACACACGATCGTAGAAACTTAATGCTTATTTATATTCTCTCATGTAGGAAACATTTCTAAATAGATCTTAGTGCCTCAAACTCACCCTTGTAGGCACCTTTGCAGTAAGGAGGAACAAGCGACATGGTGAAAACACCTGGAAACAAAAATTGCTGAAATGCACGGCTTCGCCGACGTCAGTAAACATTGTTAAAGACATTTACCAGAACCCGGTTCTCCAATTTATCTGGCTTGGTCTCTAACTTCACAACATTTTTCAGTAATATCTTGACATGTTTACCCAGCAGTGCCTTGACAGATTCTGCAAGCATTTAATAAAAAAATAATATTAACCGTTTTTAATTTTCTTTAAGGATGACACGAAGTTAGAGCAGCAATTTAAGATCCACTGTGCTGTCAATTAATCTAAATCAATGAGTAATCCACTCCATTCCATACCATTACAATCTCAAAGCATGATGGACAATATTAAACGCAAGAGTATTATATGAGGCCGATACAAAGCAGGTTGAAACTTGTTGAAACACGATATCACATGAAAAGGGGGAAAAAATACTAAGGTGGGTTAAGGAAATCCGAAATTACTGGGTGACACATCGATGACAGAGTACATAACGTAAACACCCCGGGCCGAGGAACCCACCGTTTAAATCCTTAGTGAGCTGCGACCTAGTTGACATTTTGGAGCGTCCTTTCTGCAGATTGGCGAGCGGCCCATTTACGACATCGTCCCTGTCGTCGAAAACCCAATCGAGAACATTAGCAGGCCGCTGAGGAAGATTTTAGACAAGACGGAGTCGCGAAAAGACGAGACAGAGCAGCCGCCATGTTGCACCTGGTCCGAGTTTCGTTCTGTTTCGTTCCTCCATCTATACGATGTTCCATGTTCCACATTTTTACACCGCTGAGTTGGAACTTTGTTCATAAATGAATTGAGTCTCCTCACCAATCGACTACACGATCGTAGTTCGGTACTGCCCTCTGTGAAGAAGTTCGGCAGCTCGCACATTATTCTGTGCGTCATCTAAAACTCAAGATAAAAAAAATTTATCGGATAACGGATAATAAGGATAATAAAACTCGTCGTATACAAGTACACGTGTTCAAATAAATACATCATCATACATGTCGGAGCAAGTCCATCAGGTTTGATCAGAGTACTGAGAAAATACCACCCCCTTGCATGAAAGATGTTTTATTATTTGTATATTTCCTTTGAGAGTGTTTCCAAGATTCCGAACATTAAATGCGATTTTTCTCATCAAGGTTTCTACAAGTATTGGGTCCTTCGACTTTTAGGCAAATGACATTAGGATTTTCTCTATAAAAAAATCAACCGTGGTTTACCTAAGCTAAAACGACTTACGTTAATTGCAAAGCTCAATAATTTAATGGCCGACGTATGTTAAATTGGTAATTAACAATTTCTTTATAAAGTATGTATGTTAACACGACTTTTTATGGAATTATTTAACTTTGATTTAAATACAATGTGTACGAAAGACATATATTTCTAGTAAACCTGTGAACACGTCAATTTGTACGACTTCTACTTATATTTTAGGTTGTATTTTAATCTGCAAATATCGTCAGTTTGTTGAGAATATTTTTATGTTAAGCACTATTTTACCATAAGCCGGCCCTAATAAATTTCTATAAAAGAAAAATCTAACTTAAGACGAAAAGCCTGAAATCTACAGCATACCTATATTGTCAAAATGCAAGTAGATCTTCAGTAAAATGAAAATACCACAATCGCTCTTAATACATATATGTAGTCTTATTAAGGAATTAGAGGATATCTCTAGACATCATGGTTCCGTATCGAATACGTAAGGTTTTTAAGCTTTAAAAGAATATAAAGCGAGCTTTCGAAAACCCATGCAAAATAAATGTCAATTACATATTTAATATATTCTGTGACAATGGTACTGAAACTTCAAGAAGAAAAAGATTACCTTAAACACGTTCTTAACGCATGCTTCAAAATCAGAATTCATTAACCATTTTCCAGTTTTTCAGTTAATTTTAATGTTATCTACGTGTCTGTATTGTCTCCTTACAATTTTTATAATTTTGCACGTTTTACCAAAAGGTATGTACTTTAATCCTTTGATATCTCTTTAACGACTGCCTTAATTAACAGCTAAAATTAAAAGCGTTCTGTTTTTAATACCATGAAAGGAATCGAAAATGCAATCTATAGTAGATATGTAATATGCCCTGCCCATTTAATGCTAAAGTTTCAAGAACTCATATAGTACGTAAAGGGCAATCGACAACAATTCCTTGCAGCTTGAATTACGTTCATCGGAGGTATAGTTTTGGTATCTACTGCATGACTTTAAAATAATTCATTCTATCTGGAAAATAGCTACAGGCCAATAGTGGCAGAAGAATAACTCAAATATCGAGAGATTCCCTCGTAACCATTACATCACACCACATGTGTCTATCACGATTTTTGGGTACACATTTAATAATATTTATATATATAATATTTATATATATATATCATATTTATACGTATATTCCTATACAAAATGTCTCGCTTGAAATTGTGAGAACACAATTCATTTGTTACCGCAAAATACTTGTCGCGACAGTAGCGTGTCATTAAATAATAATCTAAAAATCATCATTAATATTAATGCAATGATCTTTTTTTTCTTGGTAATAAACCAACGACTAAACCCTTGCGACCGAAATTTCATTAAAGAGGTACATTAATTAACAACCAAGAAGTAATATCACATATTTTTGGAATAGTAATAAATACACAGAACGGCAAAACTGTCTCTATCTTCCAAGATTCGACAGAAATTATTGGCAGTTATCAGATATTTATAAATTCATTAGTCACTCTTGCAAAGACCTGTTCCAGAAATAGTTGAAGTAATAATTATTCATCGATAAAAATAATTGGAGCGGAGTTAGATTTATGCCAATATTTTAAACACCAATCGAGTACTGGAAATATAATAGATTGGCACCAGTATCTCACATTCTCGACACGTGGGAAACTTTATGAATATACGTTCTATTAAATCTCTTAAAAGGAAAGACAGATCTTTTTAGATTTGCTAATTACAACTACGGAAACAAATTACTGGATTTATTTGTGAAGCAGTAATGTACCCCCTTCGAGCGACTTTCTATAGGACACGAGTAGAAAGTCGCAGACAGAAACTCTCGCACGGTTTTTCATTTTTTTTATTTACAAATAAGGTGTAATTAGTATTCCTAACTTCTCGCTACGCAGTGCTCGCCCATAATGGTACTAACCCTTTACTTTTAGAGCCACAACCTTATGAAGGAAACGCCGATATCCAAATGTACTAATCTATGGTTACCATAGAAATAGTACTCCCTACCCCTTACGATTCTGTCTCATCGATTCGTTAGTTGCGTATGTAAGTACGTAAAAGCGCAAAGCGTTGCCTGTTTTTTCTCTTTGTCCCTGTCGCATATCTCTTCTGCTGCCAAAGCCTTAGTCTAGTTCCCGGACATTTCAAAGGACCTACAAATCCAAAATAAAATCCTCATAAAAGCACATATTCGTCACTTCTGGTGCTACTTTGTACTAGTCTGAAATCGAACGATGCAAATAGGTTGTTTCATCGATATAAAATATGTATTTTTAATTCAACGGATCAACGTAATGATTTTTTTTTTCCAAAGAGATGATTAGGTTCACGTTAATAAAAATTAGATCACATCAACAGAACCAGGTGAATGCAATAAAAAATCAAATTATGGGTACTGCTCGATCACGGGACAAGATACATCGTTTAAAAAAACACATTTTATATAAAAATTATGAAACAACCCAATGGAACAGTCACTACCTTCTGCATTAGGATATTATCCATCGCTATATGTACTAAGTTCATATTTGTAAACATTATCTAGGAACAATAAAAGCTACCATAGCTCAAAAGTGATTGATCTTGCTCTGTAGAGGATAGATCGAAGACGTTTCTTGTTGAGTTTGCAAATAACTAGTTCGATTGACTTCGGTGGCCCTTAGAAATATCCTTTGGTGGTTGTTTTTTTGTTTTTTGTTTAGGTGAGAGCTGAGGTCACTTTCAAGGCAGAGAAACATTGATGTTTCAGCAACTACCACAGACATGAAGATTTGATAGCCACTTCGATGCCTTTGGTCTCTCTGGAATACTCGAAGAAATGCTTAAAGAGCGAACAGAGATTTGTCTTGATCTTTGTTGATTTGACGCTGGGTATTTGTAGTGGATGTGGTCGTAGTACTTGGTGCAGTGGTAACTGTGGGAAGGGTTGGCAGTGCCTCCGCTGCAGCAGCTCGTTCTGCCAGGAACCGTTCGAATTCCGACGAAGTTAAAGACTCCTGATCACCTTGCGCACCTGGCTGCTGTGGAGAAAATTTTATCATTTATTCCACATTCGAGTTCTCGAAATCAATGAAATATTTTACTCAAATAAACATTACTTCACTTGAGCCTTAACGTCAAAACATTCCAGACATTTATAAAAATATATAATGCACATCGGTATTGCTGTTCTGCCATGACACAAATACAAGGTACGACAAAAATCAAAAAGCGAAATTTTTCAACGATCAAACATTACATATTCAGAGATGTTCCTCCTTGCTTGTCAATGTTGTAAGAACATCTCCAAATATAAGCCAACATAAAATTGCACCACTCACCGTATGGTCCAGCCAAGCGGCCATCTCGTTGAATTCAGATTCCCGATTCAGCTAAACAAGACGATAAAGTTCAAAACAATATTGAACAAAAATGGTCAACGAAAATAAATATAAGCCTGCATACACGAAAGGAAAGAGTAAAAAATTAAGACGCAAGTTAAGCAAGGACGTACTTCAATTGCGAAACTAAGAACAATATGCAAAATTAGCAGTCACTAACGATGAGACAGCCATGGTTGTGTGACGAAAGCCGTGCAACGATTAATATGAGCAGCAACTATATTCAAAGGCATCGATAACCATGTATCGTAATATCTACAATGATTGTGCTTTCATATTGTAAACTTATCAATTGAAGAATATGTAGTAAAATGTGTAGATATAAGATCTAAGGAGCAGTTACGCACAGTGGTAGCAGCAGTAGAAGCAGCAGTGGAAGCAGTCTGTTGGGAATAGTTAGGATTACTGCGGTTGAGAATCGCTGTACTTAGACTTCCCCCGCTCACCTGCTCCAAATTGTCCTCATATTTACTGCCGCTGCAATGGGAAAACAGTAGTAACAATTCGACATTTAAAACTCCCAATATGTTGTTAACATAGGGATGTCAAATACTGTTCGGTGATTACTTAACGAGCGTGTCACTGAACACTCATCAACCAAGCGTGGAATTTTAAATAAACTTTAATAAAACAAACATTCCTTACCTTTTCTTCAATGTAATACCTGAATTCTTATTTTACTTGAATAACTATTTAAATATTAATAAGATTTTACGTAAACTCTTTACTAAATTCTTCTATGTAATTACTTGTGCCAGCAAAGTTGCTCACAGGGGCATTAACTTTGATTTTGAAAACGTAGCAACTGTTTTAATTGACATCCCTAAGAGATATCGGAGTAGCAACCTGTTTTTTGAAGTTTCATACGTAGCATTGCGGGACTGTGCGAACATGTCGAATTCGTCACTGTCAGCTTCCTTATCCTTTTTGTCTTTCTGCTCAACCCTGGTTTTTTCTCCACTCTCCGACACACCTACACTCCAAAATATACTCATTAAATAAACATCGAGACATGAAATATAAACTGTATAACAATGTAACTTGACACATACGCATTTTAGCTAAATCATTTTGCACAGCATCCGCTTCATCGTGCCACTCGATCAGTGAATCCGTATTTGATTTGTCCGGTTGATGGCCAATGGTTTGTGCCAATATGGCACTAGGAGGCACAGCCTTGTTCTTCTTGTACCGAGAATAACTTAAAAATAGGTTATTCAATTCATCATTAATGCGGAGCAACTCGGCCGTCATCTCGTCGTTTGACAATTTTCCGATTAAGTCAACTACTCGCTCCTGCATTGCCTTGCACGTAGCAACCAGTTCCTAAAAAAAAAAGTAAAAACATAATCTGTTGCCCTTTTATATTTTGTATAGTCTCAAATAATTTTAATTTGTTGAATAATGTTACCGTTAGCAACTCCATATCAGCGGCATCAGCTTGTTGCTGAGCATTTTGTTCGGGACTGGTTAAATGTGCTAACATCTCAGCAAGAACTCGCATATTTCCTTGTACAATGTCGAGCTCACTTTGCAACTTTGCCAATTGTTGTTGAGAATTATGTACTTGGGCACCTGGAGGTACCGATGGAGGCAGGTCGTTCACAGGAATACTTCCGATGCTTTGATCCACCTCTGGTACGCTCTAATGGAAAAATATTTATTTTTTACTTTCAAAGGAATTGCACGTCAATTTGTCTGTTCCAGTAATAAATTTTTTTTTTAATAAACTTCTGAACCCCTGAGCGTGATCAACCATTAAGAAGTTTAATACCCTTTCTGGTGTAATGATCGGAGCCATAGCATCCAAATCAGTCATAGGAAACTGAATCCCCTTCAGTTTGAGCTCTTGGTACACCTGTACGACACCTTGTGTATGAGGTTGAGATCTAAATGTATCTGCCCAAGTTTGGATTAAACTTAAGACTTTTTCTTGCACTGCAGTTGGAGGTTCGTTCTTTGGTCCAATCAGCTTCACTAACTCTTGGACAAATTCCCTTGAACAGGCAAGGGCATGAAAACGTTTTCCACAGTTCTTTACACACGTTTCTAATACCTGAAACGAGGATTTTAATTTACAAACTGTAATTAACACAAACTTATTCGATGGAAAGTATCATCGTCTAAAATACTGTACACTTTATAATGAGTTCTATTAATCCTCAATAGCCGACATCTAATTGAACTAATTGCACATAATTTGTCAAGGCCACAGAGCTATGGCAAATGACGTAATTCATGTATAGTATTTTAACTCTTTCATTGCTACGACTTCATAAATACATGTACCATTTGATACACCAAAATACATACATGTTCATTAAATTAACTCATCCAAATTTAATTACGTTGTATTTGATGTGAAATGAAAAAAAAATCTAGATACAAACCGTGAGTGTATACATGACAATGGTATAATTTTTTCCAGCAGCCTGATTCAACCGACGCCTGATTGCCTTTATCGCATCCCTTGGGCCATCCTCAGTCTCGTTGATGATGTCACATATTTCCATGTTAAGGGCCCAATTTTCACTAGGCAAGCTACCCTCGGTGGCTTGTTCTGAAAATCAATAAATATAATATTATTTTACTTGGAAAAAGTGTACGATTTACACTCTGACGATGAATAAATGCACAACTGCGCCTTGTCGAGGTATTCGGAGCAGTCGATCGAATCAGTCGATGGGACTAGCTTAGGCAATACCATCGAGGAGAGATAGTTAGAGACGCAATTTCTCGTTAATTAGACTGTGTCAAATGTGTAATCTGTCAGTGAAACTAGCCTGTAATTTCAAGATATATCATGAAAATGTTTGATCATGGCCGCAGAGCAGAGAACATTACCCAGAGGATGATTTTTGTTCTGCCGACGGATAAATACATTGTAATTAATATTCCGCATAATTAAGGTATCGTAGTGAAATCTGAGGCTCACCTATTCTTTGGCCCACAGGCGTCGAGAACGGGTTGACATTTACGCCGAAGAACGACATCGTGCCGCTGATGTTTGATAGTAATTCCAACCTCGATTGCGGTCCTGGTTCAATTCCGCATAGGTGACGCGTCCAATTATCACTGATAGCCACACCGTTCGCCGATAATCAGCGACTTTTCACTTCCTTTTAACGACGAAATCATATGACCTACGCGGCGACAGAAGACAGACATCAAAATCTTCCATTATCAGCTATCTCCACCAATCGGATACCACTTGATGATAAGCCGGCACGTGATTGGTCAATTCCGTTAGATCTTCCAAGCCGCCATGTTTTGTCGTTCGGCCACGAATTTCAAAATCTTCAGCAATGATAACCAGTTTACATTCTCGTGCTTCGCACTTCTCTTCTTTCCTTGACTACAGGATACACCATTTTTCTATTATATATGTTCTTATAGACGTATACGTATTTATTTATATACGTACAGTACCGATCATCAATATTTTCAAGATTTCGCGGCTAACTAAGTACAAAATGGCGACACTAATCAGATGCTGCGGACAAGGATTGGATAGAGGAATATCGTGGAAAAGGAACCAGGCTGGATACGGTTGCCATGGGCAACGAGAGTAAACAGCGCAAATGTGGATCTGTCATTATCTCGTAAAACGGTCAAAAGGTTACTTGTTTTTAGAAAATATGAATTAAAGTGGACATAACACTGCTTAAAAGTTATTTAAATAATTACCTCCGAGACAATGACTCACGGAGATCAGTCTACGATCCTTCACAAATCCGAGGAGCGTGGTGTTATTAATAAAGAATTGTTAATAGCCTTGGTAACCGAACAAGGACCAAAACGAGAGGCTGGTAGACTCTTTCTCGAAGATGGAATTCAATTAGAAAATGTCACTGACATTCGAATAGAATTTCTCAGTAAGTTATTTTATAATATTCTATGCTTATCTATGGTTTACCTTGTAGTACTTACTAACATCCATGTTCTTTCAGATATTTTAAATATCGATCACCTGTGGGTTATGCCAAATTTAGTGAAATTAAAGTTATCTAATAATAGGATAGAGAAAATTGAAAATCTAGATATGCTGGTCAATCTGAAAGAATTAGATTTATCCTTTAATAATATATGTATAATGGAGAATTTAAATAACTTGAAAAAATTGGAGGTCTTACAGCTCTTCGAGAATGAAATATCTGTCGTCGAAGGCATAGATGATTTGCAAGGGCTGACAATTTTTAGTATTGGCAATAATAAAATTGCTGATTGGGATCATGTGCGAATTTAATGATTATTCAAAATTTAGAGATGCATGGTGAATCTTGAAAATTTCTTTTGTACTATATTACTGAATATTATAATTGCAGGTTATGTACTTAAGGAAATTCAAAAAATTACGCAGTCTTAATATTTCTGGAAATTCTTGCATGGAACAAGAGGGTTATTTAGATTATTTATTCGCGTTTATGCCACAACTTGTATATTTTCAGTACAAGATGATCAAGGAAGAGCAGCGTCAAGCTGCTGTCCAAATACATTTGTAATTATCAGTAAACTACCTGTATAGAATTTATAAACAAGTTGACGTTAAATTTATTTCACTTTGTTACAGTCGAGCTATTCATAAATTAGAGGAAAAGGAAGCAAAAGAAAAAGAGGAGGTCGACAAACAAAAAGCATTCGAAGAGCATATTGCTCTTCTATCAATTTCTTATGTTGAATATCTAGATGGAGATTATTTGTTTGAAAAAATGTTTGAACACGATAAGGGTAAATATAATAATTTTTTAACGTTGTAGCATAATTGTACGAGTATATTCGTAACTTTCTGTAACAGACGGCAAAGACCTACAGGGATTAAATGATGACACTCAAAATGCCTTTGAAGAGTACAGAAAAATTTTTTCTGCTATAAGTCAGGAGCTTTATGAACTCGGTCTGAAGGAACAAATCAAAAGATCTGATGAAATTACATTATTTAAAGACATTGTCAATGAAGGGAAGGATGCCAATCAAAAAGATGCAAGGCAGTAAGGACGCTGAAATTAATTATAACTTCCCACACTTCTAAGTTAAGTTTCTTTCTGTGATGTATTTTTTTTTTGCCTATCCTATAGAATAGTAGATGATGTACTGGAGAAAAAAGCTGAAATTATTTCTGGCATAAAAGAATTGATTGAATCGATGACAGAAGAATTGGATCCTGATATACTCTATGAAAAGGTGGAGAGCGCTCAGCATCATTCTGAACAATTCAATGATTTACTCTCAAAAACTTGGGCAAAGCTGATGCATCAGGAAGTAGTACTGCACGAGCAGATGGAAGTATGTTTGAGTAATTTTCAATAAATTATACTTAGCATTAATGATAAGCTAAAGTAATTAACACATTAGACTTTTTAATAAGAATAAAATAATGGCTAATGACATTTCAATAAGGACATCAATGAGGTCTTCAAGATCAATATGACAGATATGGTTGGACAGTTCTTGGAAACAGCTCAAGGATATTTTTCTCAAATGCGCAGCATCGAATCAGAGTTTAACAATACCATGGGAGTATTGGCAACTCTTGTCATGAACAGTTATGGTGGTCCCGATGATGCAAAAATGCCTCCTCATCTATTAGATATTTGTGGCGACAAGGATACACTTAGTAACAATCTTGCTGCAACTCATGATATACATTTACAGGTAGGAAATTTTACTCTATTCTTATTTGCATATGCATCCATTCATAAAATAATGTTCTACAGGTAATAGATGACAGAGAAGATCGTATGGTCAGTCGATTAAAAACGTGGGTTGAAGAGTATACAGAAAAGAACGTTAGGTAAAAAAAAAAACATACTCATAACTGTCATTAATCTAAATAGAAAGAAATTCAGAAATTTAACTGTGAATATTTTAGCGAGGAGAGAGATCGTCATCGACGTCAAGTTTTAGAAATATCTCATTTTCTGGATTACCAACGAACAGAGTTCAATGCATTACAACTGCAGAATGCAGGCAACACCGATCCAGACGTTGCTGCAGTACTTGAGGAATAAATAACTACGTTTCATCAATTTAGCATTTTTATACCACTTTTATATAAAAGATATAAACGTGTGTTAAAACTCGTTTAAAAGGTCGTATACTTCAAAGGTGTACAAAGTATGTATAAACTATGTGTAACAAAGATTTTATAAACATTTCACTGTACGAAAATAGTAAAGTAGTTAGTGCCATTTTTATTGTGGTTTAACCACGCTATATGATTTAATATAGAAGCCCTCATGGATGGATCTAATCACTTTTGTTTTAGTGATTTCACATAAAGATCTAAACCAGTCTGTACCTTTGGATGCTGTATATACGTCAAAAATATATTTGTGTCCAAATCTCTATTACTCTCCAGCCAGGACATTGCATTTTTCCTTATTTCAAGTTTTGTGAATTTTCTCGCATCACCTGGGATCTTTGCATAGTAATTGATGTACTTATCACACTTATTAATAGCATCCTGTTTATCACTAGCTAGTTCGTCGACAAGGCCAATTTTTAATGCTTCTTGTGGGGGAAACAGCGAGCCCCTAAAATTCAATGTGTAATATTACTCAATTGGTTTTGTTAACAATAAACACACTTAAGGAAATTACCGTAATAGGGCCAACTCAGCCTCCCGGTGACCAATCGTAGAAATGTAGCTATCTTGAAACCACTTGGGAGCTATAATGCCCAATTTAGTTTCATTCAGTCCTATCGTGTGTTTGCCTTCGACAAAGACTCTATACTCACAAGCCATTGCCAGCAAACAGCCGCCAGCTGGGCTTGCACCCTATGAATTTGTAATCCATTTAAATTAAATAGTAAATTTCATTTCTTTGCTGGACAAGTAAAAAAAGAATATTTTACATTAATAGCAGCAGCTGTCGGAATTCCAAGACCATACAATACCAACCAGGCATCCTGTAACGCGTGCCAAAAATTGGTGGCACGTTTTAGATCTGGTTTATACATTTCCATAATATCTAATCCACCCGAGAACACCGTCGGTAACGAGGAAGTCAAAATAACACCTTTTGAACCATCACTTTCCACCCTTTGAAGGGTCTCTTTCAATTCGGTTAATAAATCAAAATTCAGCCCATTTACAGGTGGTCTTGCCATCGATATGGTGCTTATACCTGCAATAATAATTATAAATTAAAGAATCAATTAAAAATTCTCATTCATTCATTTTAGGAAATTTCTACAAGCGAGAAAAAAGAAACTCACCAGATTTTTCATTCACAGTGGCCTCGACAAGTTTCCCACTTGTTGCATATGTTCGACATGCTAAAGTCCATTGACGCTTTGATAAAATTCTTACTAATGGAATCATAACTATAAAAAATAATTAACCATATATATATTTTCTATCTAATTTACTAAATAGATACTAGTGATACTAGATTAATGTAAAATAATAACCCTTACTTGTGACTGATTTTGTTTATTGTCTGGTGAAAATTTTAGTGCAGTCGAACGGGATCGTATAGTTGATCGATTTAAATATCTTCCACAGTATTAATAGTCCCTAATCTGTTTCTATTCACTCAACACATTCACTTGTTTTTCGTAGAAATTACACTTGCCATGCCACACATATGAATGTATATAAATACAATACGTCAGACTGAGAACTCATTCTGGACAGTGCTGCCAAAAATCTTTCACGCAAGCAAGAGGTTAACTAAGTAATTCATTTTTCGGCTTAAGTCAAAACTTTGTAAGATATAAAACAACGTTTAATTTACATTTCGATAAAGTAACAACAGTCTATCGAATAATGGAGGGAAGGCACGATGAAGTCTTTCTTAAAATTTTACAAGAAGAGAAGAATATTGCGAACTTTTTGAACGCCTTCTTTGGGTTTCTGTATAGATGGTGAGATTTTGGTCCTTTAATTTTCCATGATCTTATGGAAATATTGTTGCTCACATGCATGCTGTCCGAGCCTACATTTTTATTTACCTTTTTCAGTACAGATTTTTATTTCGACTCATCTCCTGGGCAGAAATTAGGTTTTCCACCAGGCATTGCGGAGAAAATTGTTACTACTACTTTACACAAGTGGAAGCATAAGTATTCCACTGAACAGTTAAATTCAACAAGTCATGGTGTAATGCAAGGTACAACTCAAGATATTAAAAGCAAGTCGCTCACTTCACAAAGTGCAGCTATAACGCAGGACATCGGTGCACCTGCTGTGGCACGAGAACTGGAAACAAAATCCACTGAGGGTTATGTTGCTGCGATACAACCTCCAGATAGTTACAATGGTGCGATGCGTGAAAATTACACATGGTCACAGACTATTTCTGACTTGGATGTAAGCATCAAGATTCCATGGGTGGTAAAAACCTCCAAAGATCTGAAAGTCGATGTTACATCGCAAGAAATTCAAATTGCTATTAAAACAACTGGTCTAGCCAAAAAATCTAGCTTGATAACAAATTTGGAGAAGTCAGAGATCCAAGACTTTTCAACACGTCCAGAATGGACTATTATTTTCAGAGGCCAATTGTGTTTCAAAATTCGAAAAGAAGAATCCATTTGGAGCCTGATTCCAGGACAATATATTAACGTATGTTGGTAATATTATTAATATTTTAATATCTTGCACTAAATAGAAATTTTCTTAATTTTTAAACGAAATAATGTTTGAGGCTAATCATTGAGCTAAAAGTTATATGCAGATCCATTTGGAAAAAGCATCGGAGAGGTGGTGGGAGGCATTTATCGAAGGAGAGCCCAAAATTGAATTGAATAAAATCGATTGCTCGCGAAACTTAGAGGATCTGAGTTCAACTGAGCAAATGAAAATACAGGAATTAATGTGGAACCACCAGCAAAAATTACTTGGCAAGCCAACATCGGATCAGATCGTAAGTTTTATGCTTCCTAATGAACTTAATACAATTATTGTAGCTATAATTAATACAAATCAATTGAACTACACTTCTGCAGAATGCAGAAAAGATCCTGAAGCAGGGCTGGAACGTTGAGGGATCACCATTTAAGGGCACACCTTATGATCCATCGGTGCTAAAATTCAACTAACACTGATTTAAACTAGTTTAATGTAATACATTGCCAAACCATGGCTCTTCTGAGTATTGTATATATTAAGAGAAGGCTACGACTGATGAGCCCTAAATTTTGTGATATTTTTGCCTAATTATCATAGGCAATAAGGCGCTTCGAATATAATGAACTTTGAAATAATAATTCTGGATAGTTTTATATAATTATCTAAGTACAGAATAATTGTTTAATAACGGTACATATACCCGTACACGATGTCTGCGCGCGTTAGAAAAATCTGAAGAAATGTTCACGCTCTCTATCCACCGGTTCCATTGGTGTCGTTTACATTGAAACTTTAAGAAGAGACCTTGGTGAGAAGAAGTCGACCGATTTCTCTATACGCGTCGATCATCGATTGCCAAGGAAATTAATGCGTTTTCTCCTTCTAACTTGCATGCGAAATCGGAGACAAGGTTGAATTACTTGGTGGAAAGTGAGTGCATTCGACGGTGATCAAAAAGTGATATCATTTGCATATCCTTAGCTTAACAAAATCATGTCGACGACATTATTCACAGATAAATATTTTATCAAGAATTCATAGTTATTTTAATTAAACTGCCAACACATCCTCGTTTGATTTTCCTCAGAAGCCAGCTGTAGTCAGCCCACGATACATGCCCATAAATGCCAACTCCATACGCCAACTTTACGTCATTGACTATTTTCTCCTTACGTTCTTTCCGCTTACGGATACTATACGAATACATCTACATACAACGCACAATCTACATTGACCGGATAATCATTTGCAGGTGTAATAGGCGTCCAGAAATCGCCTGGACGAACACATGCATACAAAGCGTGGGTAGAACACCTTCGACGAGTGTTGCTACTATCGAAACGAGTTAACGAACTTCTAAGGTAGAGGAGAATTTTTATATTCGAGCTCATGCCACGACCATGGCGGACCTTTCGACGCCGAGACGACAAAGTATATTGCACCGGTGGATTTTAAAGTCGGATTGGTAATTGGGAACTTCGGGTTCTCGGAAGGTCTAGCCAGGTTTTTGCAACGAGCACGAAGCCCCGAATCGCCGAAGCCTAGGGAACCCTGGCGGCGTTTTAAAGTCTAGGAGACTCGAAGATGGGTTTTCCAGAATGCGAGGAATTCCTCGGTTTTCTCCGGTGCTTGCAGTTTATCCCGGTCGGCCCGGGCCGAACCGGGCCTAGCTTGGGTCCTAAGAGGGAGAAGATGAGAAGGACGTGGCAGGAGGAGTAACCGCGAAGAGCAGGTATCCAGCCCGAACACAGGTGTTCTCATCCGAGGGAGCCTGTAAAAAAGGAAACTATAATAACGCACACCTGTTGATTACCATACGGACGACATGGACCCTACCTCCTATTCCCTAATCGCGGAAACTACCGCTTTCCAGTTCTCCTCAAAAAAACCTCGGTCACGAAAAAATAATCAACCTGACCTCCTCAATTTTCATATCGCTTCCTGCCACGGTAATGAAATGCGAAGACCACCACAAATTAGCCTGCGTAATTGAAAATAAAAATATTCAGGTACCTAAAAACAGCAAGGCAGTACATTAGAAAATAAGAAATCAACTCGGGTCTAAATGGGCTTGAAAAAAATACGAAAGGTTGAACGTCCCACTTAGGTCTGCCTAAGTGCATACTTTTCGCAGGTAAAATCTATTCGCTTTTGTAAACGGATTTCACCGGTGAAAGAGAGGGTGTATTAAATTCAATGGCTAAATTTATACCTGTCCATTATGGTGTTTCCTTGAAATTGGTCTTTGTTATTCTGGAGTCGACGTGTCTGGTATCCATGAGCGCCATTGCGGGAGTCTTTCCTGAGTTTTCAGGGGTCAGGCGGTCTCGGGTTGAGAACCTGTGAGAGTAAAACACAGGTAATATACCTGCTCGAGGCAGTGCATCCCCACCTGGTCGGAGCTCCTCCGGTTTTCGACCGGTGGGTTCTGCTTTTCTCCTCGGCACTCGAGCCCGTCAGTACCGCGGCGAGACCGGTGTGCAGCGCGCTCGGCTCGCCTTCACTCGTGTCAAACATCTCGGCGTCGGTTAGCGGTAATTCCGGTAATTCTTTCGAAAGGCCCGCCGGGACCTGGAGGCCCGTAACCTCTGTTTAACACCCAAGGTACGCGCATTGTCCAGTCGAATTATCCGCGTGCGGCATACCTGAAAAATCGAGAGAGAGTCGCAGATGCTGGCGAGTCGCGAACGCCGCTCTTCGTCGCCGCATAACCCGTGCTAGTTGCTCCCGTGAGGAGATTCACCCTCGAGATGCCCTGCTCGGCGGTTACCCTGTCCTTGGCCACCATAACCGGCATCATAGCGACCACTCTTCTGGCCATCGCCTTCACCACGGACAACTGGCTCTACACCGAGGTGAAGCGCGCGCAAATTCAGGTGAGTTAGCGATTCGAAAGTCCCGCGCGAAAGTCTAGCTGCGCGCAGAGGCTGCGCGTCGCCGATTCCGGGCTTTTTGGGTCACGTCGGACCTTTCCGAGGTGAAAAAACGGTACGTGTGCGACTTGTGCACGCTCGAACCGGACACTAAACACGGTAACTATGATATTTACAGCTAAGTATAGGTTAATAGAGGCTTTATTTATGAGTAAAGTCACCTTCGCGTCAAGAAACTCGTAGGGTCGAATGACGAGCGATGTATATATATATGAATTTCTAAAACCCAATTTACAGGGTTTCCCTCGAATTTGAATCGGATATGGCGGTTACCGTAAGAGTTAATGCAATCCAACGCCTTCAGCTCGCACGCAAGGCGAACGGTTCGAAGATGTCCGAAAACGATAGGACGGTTCTGGAAATGACGAAACATGCGCCCATTGCGAGGTAAAATATGCGTTTTGTCATGGGAGGTATAGGAGGCATTTGTATTTTTTTTTAATTCCATGTGACGCATTGCTGGGATAATATGGGATATCCAAGAAACGTTGGACGTCTTTGGGATATCCTTGATGCACTTGTGATACGCGGAACGGGACAGGTGGTCGATGACCGAGAAGTATGTAGATGGTTCGTGGACGTCGAGTGCACGAGTGAGTTCTAAATCCGGGTTTGATATCCAGACATGCTTCGATGCCTGCAAGTTATACTGCACAGAGAACGTAATCAACGTATCGAGGAAAACAAATCCTGCAGCGGTGACGGAAGCGAAATCGAGCGTTAACACGAGCGGAGACGATTTCAGAAAATCTAGAAAGTTTAAGCAGTTTAAGCAATTTAATGAATTTAATAACTAGTTCCGCCAACATCGATTATCTAACCGCATGTTAAAGTAAACGCACCACTCGTTATAACCGAGGGTTAACTTTTTAACCGAGGTTTGCGGAACTGCAGCTAAGAATATTTAAGTTCTATGACGAGTTGAATAAACGCGGCGCTGTATCGGTAAGGGTATATCAACCGCAGGTTTAATTATTAATTAGATTTAGCAGCAAGAACGCCTTCCATTTCTCAGCGCTTCATTGAAATCTCCTCTCTCTTTCGAAGCGAAAGAGTCGGATGGAACGGCGTCCTTCCTTCCATTGTTCGCGGAAACTATTCGCATGTTATTCTCGCGCATAGCGTTAGAAGAGCACGCTCCTTCGGAACCGAGGTTGTAGAATTCATACCGATGCACGTGTAGAAGGAAAACTTATCCCCTAGGGAAAAGGAGAACCGAGGAAGTCTCTGAAACGATCCTTGTTTTCTCTTGTTCGACATTGTATCGGGAGCCGAAGGCCAAGTGTAGCTTCTCTGCGCTCCGTTTTAGCGTCCAACACTTTTCTCGCGTATCTACAATTTTATTATTAATTAATTATATTTTATTATATATTGTATTGTGTTGCACACACAGGTTTCGATTTCGATGACTCTCTTCGACGCCTTGAACGTGCCGCTAACTACTCGAGATTGAGATTGCGGCAAAAAGCAGGTGCCTTTGCTCGGTACTCCCTAAAAAGTGTTGGAAACGATTTGACGGAGTTTAAAGAACCTCGCAGCGCACTGTAAGGAGTTTAACGTCGCACGTTCATACTTATTACTCCGCTTTATAGTCATCCTTGGGGACCGAAACCCGGCATTTAAATCCCTTCCTGGACCAGGAGCTCCTCGGGGAACTCATTTCGTGCGTTCGACATTCCAAGCCGCGCCCATTAACTCGGGTTCCGAGCTCTCCGTCTCAACTCTGGCTCTAACGCTTTCCTAAGGCACAGTTAGGCGTGTTATGGTTTGCCGGATCGCGAGCGCAACACGTTCTGTACGTACTCGATATTCTCTCGAACGCACCGAGCATGTAAATTAACGTGTTATAGGTGGAGTCCAAGGACCTGCGCGTTCCCCACCGCCCAGAGAGCGAAAAATTCGTTGCGATACGCTCTACGAAAAATCGTAACGAGTTGCCCCGCGTTGTCTAATGAGAGTATCAAAAATCATTGGTGAAAAAAAAATACCATGAAGCTACTCGATGCACAACACCATGCTTCTCCTTGGGCATCACCGTCTAAAGAGCGAAAAGTCATTGAAGTCAGCTGATTGAAATTCTGGAAGAGAAATCCACAGTGCCGAGTAACGAGTCGGTGTCGGATACATGTATGAAAAGTCACCATTGTTGTACAAAAAATTGGCGAACCTGCCTGGGGCACGATTACGCGTGTTTCCTTGGGCATCACCTCCGGACACATGGAACGAAAAATCATCGGAACCAATTTAACGCGATTCCGGGAAGGAAATTCACAGTGCCGAGTAACGAGTCGGTGCCTAATAAGTGCATGTAATAACGTGCTTTCCTCCGGGCATCCTTTCGGCCGGACTCGTTAAGAAACGGGCATTAGGTGAGAGGACGTTAGAGTCACGGATCGAATCGAGGCAGCGACGATTTCGCGAAGCGAAAGCTCGCCTCGAGAGGCGATCCAGGATTCTTTCGCAGAAACTCTGGCTTTCTTACTCTTGGCTCGTCGAGAAGCCGGTACTCTCCTGGGGAGCGTGTGGGATCGTACAGTTATTTTACACGTGACACACATGCACGAATCCGCACGAGCCTATCCGTATGCATGTGAGGACTTTTAGACTCGAGTCTCGACTCGACCAGAGATCTCAGGTTCGCCCGAATCCTCGTGCAGTAAAATCTAAAACGACTGTCATCGCCCTAAAAATCGGAAAATCATAACACGAGTCCTTCCAGTTATCTACGAGATGTATAATGAATACTCTGGCCTTCCACAAGTTCGCGGAGAAATGTAACAAAATTGAAAAGTGGATTTTCTGACGGAAGGAGCCCAGGAATGAATTAATGACGTTTCTCTCTCCGGCACTGTTGACCTCCTCTTGATATATTTTTCTGGCGGGTTTTATTTACACGTAAAATTGTCTTCGGAGGGAATTCGATGAAGAAAATTATCCAGCCAGGAAAAAGAAAGGAGGAGGGAGAAAGATACCCGTGGAAGGAACGAGTGGGAGAATGGAGAATGGAGAGAATGTCATCCAGCCGTCCTGCACGGTTTAAAGGATCGCCGTAGCCTTGCAATGTCGAAGGACATGGAGCCATTTCCTGACAAATCGTTCCCTTTTTCGAGCTTTCGGAAGGCTCTTAGATATCTCCATGAGGTCTCAGAAAAATGTCTCAACCCGTTCCAGTCCATTCCTCGTTGACTATCCGTGGTGCAATTGAATATTTCAAACGACTCCGGTGCAATTGAATATTTCAAACGACTCCGCCGCAATTGCGAGAGTATCCGGCGCTAAGTATCGCTTTTACAATGAGCTGTGCGTACTTGAACTATACATTTCGCGGTTTTCCTCGGCGACATAAGTCGCATGTCATTCGACGCGAATTGGAATGATTACATTTCTTAGATTTATATCGAGATACTCCTACGGTCAGAAAATAAATTCGGTACGTCGAAAAAAATTCATTTGACTGCACCGAGGGAACTAAGATATTTTTTTTTCTTTAAGTTTACTTGACCAAACTCGTTTCCATCGGGTCGTTTAAGATTCATTTGAGATGGCGATGCCTATTTACAAGGATTCGGAGCGAACAGTCGGGTCGAAAAGCTCGAAAACGCAGGAAAGTCCTCTGAAAATCCAGGAAACGCGTTGCGAAACGGCCGTTGCGAAACAACCTGAATAACGTGTCGCCTAAACGGGTTCCTCGTCTGCTCGACTGCGCAGAAATCGCCGAAGACTGCGAATTCTCGGGAGCTGCGATCGGTTGCCTTTACGGCCGATATAAATTCTGGATAACAAATGGCTCACGTCGAATGTAAACTCGGATAGGACATTTCTAGGTAGAGCCTATCTGCCCAGTCTAGGTTTATCACCCGACTGGGATTTTTGGGACGTCGCACCGTAAACCGGGATAAAAAGCCCCATCGATAGGGTACGGTCAATACGGTCGGCGTTACGGTTGATAGTTGAGAATCTCTCGACGCTTTCCGCCGTTTTCGGCCTGGTACTTCGTCTTATCTTCCTGAGACGTCTTGTCTGGCTTGTTTGTCTTATCTCTTGGTCCATGTATGCATTTCTCTAGGTCGAGGGCCTTCTAAGGGCGCGTTTTCCTTTCTATGTCAAAGAAATCGTCCGGCGATTCCCGCGCTCGCCGCAATGGTGAAACAATGTGAAAGCAGCTGGAACTCTCTTTTTCCTTCCTTCGAGCCTCCTATCCCTCGTGCGAGTACAATGGAAACCCGCCCGAAGAATCGGTTGATGTCGAGCTGCATTTAATGCAATTCCATGCACCCTGCATTTTCGGACCGCATGTGTCTATAGGCAACATTCGTGGGAACATGGAGGAAACCGGCGTTGTAGTTTCGTTTTCAATTGCATACATGCCCGAGTGGCCTGAATTTCTTATCCGTTACAACGGGATCGCCGTAAATCCTTCCTCGAATGAAACGTCCGATTCCAGGTGTTAACAACGGATTCTGGAATATAAAACAATGATTAAAAACACGTCATTAGATACAGGTCTCAGAATGTCCCTTAGAATATAAAATTCTAATCAATTTGCGCACGAAATTTCGAAATATTCCACGTTGAAGGAACTTGTACTTCATGCGTGCTATATTTTCAACAGATATTTTCAACAGTGTAGTACAGCTGTTGTATGTACATATCAACGCTTCTTGCACCCTGAAGATGGCTTCGGATAATGGAAACCTGTTCTTCCCGTCTGAAAGACACTTTAGTGAACGAGCCTTCTTTAGGGCTCCCCATGTGTTTAAAAAACGAGTACCAACAGCCATTACGCATCGATGCTGCTTCCTTAGGCTGGAGAATCGCTTTTAACGGTTTCATGGTGAAGCATGGTTCTCGAGAAATTTTTCTTCTCGAGGAAAAATATTCTTTTGATATGTATTTGTAATTTATAAATTAATTTCTTTTTTTTGGGGGGGCTTTGTAGAGGTTGACACTGGTTACGATGCCGCCATTGTGGAGGATGCCGCAAAAATGGGGGACCCACGTTCTTCCTCCTTGATCGTAATCGTTCACAATCGTTTGGGATTGCGTATGATTGTTCTCGTGGGCTCGACGATTGCGAGATTCCGCAGCCTTGAGGAGATCTTCTCGGCCGCCCGCGACATTCCTGTGGAGCATTACGCTCATATCCATACACGCATACTCCGGAGCATACAGGAGTACATCCGTATGTGAAAATCGATAAACACCGGTTTCTAGCCACGGGAACTCGCCATCGGTGATCCAAGAAAACGGCTTTGATGGCGTCTCGAAGTGGCGAACCGAAATTATCCCTTAAAGACGAAAAATCAATTCCGTTAATTTGACACATTTGTACACACGTAAGGAACGTACCAAAAAATTCTTTAACCTAGGAAAATTAATACTGAGCATTTTCTATGGAATTGTATATTTTGCGTTATTATACATATTACGAATATATATATTGCGTTATTATATACACATTTGTACACACGTAAGGAACGTACCAAAAAATTCTTTAACCTAGGAAAATGAATACTGAGCATTTTCTATGGAATTGTATATTTTGCGTTATTTAGTTTGTCATCGTAAGCGTGTAAATTTTCAAATTTAGGGCTCACGGAATGTCTCGGATGTATGTACACAGTACTTTCACCGAGTGCGTCACGGTGATTCATTTACGCTGAAATAGAGTTCTCTCTCCGATGTCAAGCTTCTTTGACACGGGCCATTGTACGAGCTAAAGCAATCCTAAGCCGGACATTTGTATGTAAATTGAAAACCGAGTTCATAACGGAGTTATATCGGCCATTTGGGGTGATTTAGGTGCCTCTTGCGCTGCCCATCCACATTACTGTCTCTGTACAGTCGTCGAGGGGCTCGAAAATCAATCAATCCATCGCCGATAAAATCGTGGCAAATCGACGCGGCATCATAAACGCATAAACCGATTCCTAGAAACGATCCGAGCGAGACGAGAAGGATCATTATCGGTTTCACTGTCTATTAAGTCGCTTTCTGGGGCACGGAGGCGAAAAAGCGCAAAGGGGGTTCGAAAAATCTGCTTTTCGATTTCTGCGCCAGATTTAATGTGCTCCTCTTCTTGGTTTTATTGCCGACTCGTTTTATTTTTTCTTTCTCTCACTCGTTTTGGTACTTTCCCCATTTTCTCCTAAACATTTCCAGGGAAGAAAAATCTGGAGCCGCCTCGATGATTCCTAAATATGAAAATTGTCAGGACGTGAATAAGTATGAATAATTGTGAATAATGAAATCACGGTTTTTATTCTTATGAAAAATTTATAATGCACTCTTTATTACTTGTTATTTATTTTTTTCTATTTTTCACCTTATTTGCCACTTTCCTCGTTTTCCTCCACTCCCAGGAAAGTTATTTTAGAGCAGCTTCGATGATTCTTAAACGAGAGAGTTTCCAGGACGTGAATATGTGCGAAATGCATTATTTTCGATGCGCTTTCGATACTTGGTGGTCAAGATCGGCAATAACGCTTGACATTGCATGCATGCAAAGTGCGGTCTAAAAGTGCGGAACTGTGGCGAGTCGGTCGAGTAAGCGCTCTCTAGAATATAGAATACACTTTATGGGAAGCTCGAATCGATGGGAATGTCGAGACGAGGAAGAAATCCGAGGAAGAGATCTCGGGATCGAGATCGCTCGATAATCGCCGATCGAATCGATTTCATGCGATGCCACTTTCTATCGAGCCGGTCATTTCGGATGGCCTCCTGTTTCCAATTTTCCTCCGTGAACTACTCTCGTCTAATTTAACATCTTCCCCTCGATCTTCCGAGAGGAGAGAATCATCTCCCGAGATTTTCTTCTAGCCAGATTTCCGCGTTAACGCGTTGCCGTGAGATAACGTAATACTTGCTCCTCGGTGCGCTCACTTCGGCTAATACTTCTAATTACGAGTAGGAAATGAAATTATGCAAATTGGAGTAATTGCGCAGGACGAGCAGCTCCATGTGTAGACTTTTCTCTCGTGCCTGGAAGGTTTATCAGAATTCGAAGGAGCGATGTATTAAATAAGGCACTAGAGCGAGAATGCAATTAGCTCGTTAGCATGGTCGCATATTTCAAATGTTGAATAATGAACGCATAATTACCACGTAAGAGGGACACCTTGCGCGTCCATTTTCGTTGCGGTATCACGTCTACTTCTTCGTGCGTGTTTTATTCCAAAGAAACTATGAGTACGTTTAATGCATTTTTCATTTTCTCTGTTGTTCCAGCAATATGCGGCCAAGCATCCGGATCAAAGTCACGTGGTCGAGCAGATGAACACTAAATATTTCTTCTACACCAGGACGCAGGGTCTCTTCAGGATATGCTATCCGAAGGAACGACCACCAACGGGTAAGTCGACTTCGATTAATCGATCCTGGGTAATCTTACTCTGGAAATTATTTCCCGGGGAGGAGAAATGTTAAATCGATAGGGGAAGCGTTTAGCATTTGACCCGATCGGCAATCGATTTGGCCGAGGGTTGCTATCTTTAGACGGTTCTCAATTTCTGCCAAATCCAGCGATTTTGTCGTCGCTTCGAACCAACCGTGACATAAAAGAAACTCTTAAGGTACTCAGTCGCTTCGTAATTGCCAGGGTCCAGTGCGGATCTCTTTGAAGTCTCTCACCATTTCGCCGTTCTTTCCTGCACTCGGATCTAACGTTTCTTCTAGCTGCCTTCTGTCTGTTATCAAACCCGTTACGTAATTCCTCAAGATTGCCTGGGGAGGTACCGAATGGTCCTGGCCTACAACAATCGGAATTATTAGTTAAACAATTTAGAAAGTCTCGAGGCGACGACGCGTATGTAGGAATCGTGTCAAACCCGTCGCCAGAAACTGGTGATTATCAGGAAAGTGGTCCAGCTCTACTGGACCGACCATTAAGATGCAATTTCCTAGGGACATCGGCACGGGAAGGTACGATCTATTTATCGGGGAGAAACTGGCTGGAAGTAATACATTATCTTTTTATCCGCAAATGTTGCGCAAGGCCTGCCAGTCACTACCGGGGTGTCGACAACAGTCTCCGACTTCCGATGGCCCTCCACAGCCAAAAGAAGAAAATATCAGAATTTTATACCGATTACCAAAAATCGCCTTCATAAATCCTCAACTTTTCCCTAAATAATTTCACAAAATTACAATACACAACATCATACATTTATTCAAGAGTCTACAATATTCCTTTTTAATCTGACTTTTATCACTTCACCGTGACTTTTGAAGTGTCCGAATTTTATTTTCATACTTTTGCTCGTTGCATCGAAAACGGTCGAAAGGTGCGCGATAATTGCGCCGTGAAAATCTCTTCCGGCACGAAGTAACGGATCGCAAGACTCGATGACTCGAGACGCGTTTACGAATGTTAACTCGGGTTAAAGGAATCCAGGATATTCGCCGATTCTCCGTTAAGGATAACTCGGAGCCGGATCGGTGTTTCTTGCGCGTTCCCATCCGCCGATCGAAGATACTTTCTACGCGAATCCGCGCCGATTGCCGTTTGAATCGTTCACGTTTCACGTAATAGGTTAAGAGTTTAAGCGGTTACACGATCCCGGAGAGACGCGCAAGGAATATCGGTCCCACTTACGCAGTTCGTCGGCCCTAATCGAGGAGCCTCTCCGACTTCGTTTCATATATATCCGCCTGCGTTTCTCCGGCGAAAAGTAGGCGAGAGCCGAGAAAATGGACGTGGGGTTTATTAACAGGGCAGCCTCGGAATGCACCTCGGGTCAGCTTGTAACACAAATTGTGGAAACCGCGCGTTAATTGCGGTAACGGTCTTGCACCTTGCCGTGCGACATCGCGACGAACCGTTATGCGCATGCGCGATTTCGGACGAGAGCTCGCCTCGATCCTTAAAGAGCCATTTATATAAAAATCCAGCGAAGTTATATTAATTTCCACGGTAATTAGTCACTCCTTACCGTTAAAGTTGAAAAACGTCCTTTAAGGAGGTGAATTTAGGGCAATTCGTCTCTTGATGTATCCTTAGCATGGCGTTCTTTAGAGGCGTCGATGACGCTATATTGTACGCCACCTAAAATGGGAGAAATGTTATTTAGGGTATTAATTAAATGACGTAGTTATTTCTTGAGGTATCATATGGTAAATGGTATACGAATGTAAAGAGTAGATGGTTCAATTCTTCTTTTATGCCGGTCTTTCCGGGTGGTCTTGAAAAACGAGCCCTTAGAAGATCCGGCCTCGAGGACAAAATGGCCGCCGGCACTTCCGCGCCGAGTAACCGATCCCGAATGCCGGCGTAAAGTGTGCTCGAATACTCGAGCGGAAGTCTCGAATTCCAGCCGTGAGATTTTATGTCCCGCGAGCACCGGGGAAGATCGCTCCTCCAGATACTTCGGGGAGTTTCTCAAGACGTGTTTCCAGCGAGCGGTCCTCCGGAGAGCGCCGTTGCAGGAGACCATTCGTAACGCGTCCCGAGAGTTGCCGTCTTCTCCGGACTCCTCTTCGAGAACTAACGTGCAGGCCTCACCTGGAATATCCCCTGGTGAACAGGAATACCTTCCTCTGATCCCTCAACACGGGAATATACGTAATAAAGACGTTCGCGTCCACCTGTCTTATACATGCTCCACATCGTGGTACTCATAACCGCTCATACGATAATCATTTTGTCATTCGCGGAGCAAAGTGCTCTCGCGCCTCAATTCCTGCCGTTGGAATGTCCCTCGAGGTGGGTAAACCGTAATCTCATCAGGGCTATGTTTAAGCAATTAACTTGTAATTCATCTGGAGCCATATTACGACCTGCACAGGTCGAGCTCTACTTTGGGAGAGAAGATTGATGATACAGTTACGGTAATGCGATTGATTTTCTTCTCCAGGTTTCCAAACCGTGATGTCAAATTACTGGTGGTACTCTATCTCTCCTCGGTATTTCTTATCAATTGCTATTCACCGCGAAATGGCTGGGTTACCGTTTTCTGACCGAGAGCGCCTTATCGGTTCCCAACTTCTCTTCCGGCACGTGGCTTCCGGCCGGGAAACGGAACGTATTTGCGATGCGTAGGTTAAGTGGTCCCCGTTACGAAGAAGGGAACTCCTAAACGTATTTTCGAGTTCCCGTTAGAGCTCGATGCCAGGTCGACCCGTGGCGTGAATTGTCATCTCGGAATTGCATCCACGACCTCGATAAAATCGACTTATCATTCATTTTCCAACCCTCCACCCTGCACATCTTTATCTAAAATTCTTCATTAAAATTATCAAATAATTATTCTTCGAATTAACGAAATACTTCTTTGGTGCCATTCAATATTTCTCTCGTTCAATGAACATTTTTTTTTATCACTGTAGTACCGCTAGTAGTACCTAGATTGTTAAATTTTTCTCGAAGAAACGTTCAAGGACCGTTTATCGAGAGTTCGAAATAGGCTTGGTGCGTAGAAATTGATAGAAATCGTCGAAGGCAGCGATCGGGCGATATTTTTCGAAAGGCGAGGCTTTCGAGGCGTCCTGCGAGAGCGAATCACGTGACTCCTGGGATCGGCGCGCGCATGCGCGGCGCGAACTATGACGGCGCGACCGATGCATTCTGGGTCACGTGCTTCTCGAGCTGCAGCTCGTCGCACACCGCGACACCCTCTCTTATCCATCTCCCGAGTTGGCGGTCGACCTTCTCCTTGCGCTCGACCTCCCTTCCTTTCCCCCCGCATTCTTCACGCGGGAAAAGTTTGACGCGCGGGAATACCCGCGAATAAGCCTCCATTATTCCTCGACTCCTTTTAGGTTAACCCTCCGAGTCCTACGGACGATATGTACAGGATGGGGAAAAAGTTCCCGCGCAGCCTTCGAGCGTTTTACGATTAACTGGGAACGTCTGAGCGTTAGGTCGATTATAGCCCGCCCGGGCTCGGGAATTTCGCCCATACGTCGGAAGGACTCGGCAGCGAAGTGCCGATTGCCCCACGTGAAGGGGTTAAAATAAAAGCGTTTCATTAATTTCAGTCGAGACGTACTTGAGCCCCGTGGAGACGCATTGCATGAACATCGACTACTTCATCCCCGACGAGGAGAACCAGACCAGAGGGTTCTCGGACGACGCCATGGCGCGATTACGTAAGGGCGATTAGGATTGGAAGGTTCAAACTTGGTTTAAAAACTCTTAATTAAATATCTGCGCCTTTCCCGCAGATATGGGTCGCTCGGTGATCGCGCTCTTCGTGGTGAGCTTCCTGGCGATCTTCTCCGCCTTCTGGACCGGCGTGGTGGGATGCTGGCGGAGATCACCCGGGAACATCACGGCAACGGCGATTTTGATGCTGCTCGCATGTCGGTATTTCTCTGGCTCAAGGGAATGACCCTCGAATTTTCCCAGGCGTTTCCTTTTACCGTTAATTCTCCTCCAGGTCTCCTCAGCGCCGGAGCCATGGGCCTTTGGCACGGGGTTGAGTACTACGAGAAGGAGAAAGTCGTCGGCGAAGAGTACTACCAGCAATGGAGCAACGTAAGTTCCACTCAGTTCCATCATCGCTCCACCCAGTCGATATAGAACCAACCATCACGTAGAAGATTTCTTTCAGCGTACCCACAGTGGCACTGATAACAGTTTTAGAAAGGATTTTCAGTCACACGGTTGACTCCGTTAGCGAGTCCACCTTTCCTTTAGTTCAGAACTCACGTCGAGTCTTCGTCCCACTCGTCTCAGTCGCACCCATGGTGGACCGTTATGCTGCTAAGCAGCCCATGAAATAAGATGGCCTTAGAATTCTTAACGCCATCTTTTAAATTTAATGCCAAAGATTGCGGCCAAATATCATCGCACGTCGTCTCCGACCTCCCAGATATTCTTCTCTGAATTATGCTGGATTTACCCACGTCCGTTCCGTGTCGGTTCAGTATCCGTACCGTGTACCTCGACCAACAGGAATTTATTCCCTTGGTACCCTGGCGAAGGGAGGATTCATGTCAGTCGGGATATCCTTTGGATAGGTAACTGATTTAGGGGATGAACCTGGGTAAATTGATATTGAATTTAATTTTATCTGGGCGTTTCGAGTCGGCTTACGCGCGATCCAATATGGCGGCGTACGTGTGCTACAGGTCCTGAAGGACAATGCCGCTCAGTGGTACGACTGGTCGTTCTACCTGGCCTGGCTTGGCGTCGCCACGTGTCTCGGCACGATGACGCTCTTCGTGATCGCGGCCACCTGCTTGAGAAAGGAACGGGCCCGCGAACAGGCCCAAAACATTCAATACATCATGCCAGGTGAACCTCCCTCGAGGCCCGCTAATCCCGCCGTTTAACCCGGTTCTAGGTCCTGAAGGATAACTCGCTAATCTCGTACGACTGGTCGTACGTGGTGGCTTGGGTCGGCGTCGGTTGGTCGCTGGTCAGCGCTATCTTGTTTAGCGCGGCCGCCATTTGCTTGCGGGGAGAGAGAATGCGCGAGGAATCTATGAACATGCAGTACCTCATGCCTGGTATTTAACAGTTTTGCTTCTACTAACGTTAATCTAAGGTTAATTCAGTGATAAATACGTTTTATAGACGGGTGCGATCAGGGCTGCCCACGATGGCGGGGTCCGCCATCTTGGATTCTGTAGCTCCGAACGGTAGTCCAAAATTTCGCGATATCTCGATTGATAGAGCTGATAACGCCGCGGGGATGGTAAATTAAATTCAGTTTCCGGAATGTTCTATGAGGATCTAATTGCTGCGATAATCAGACCGCATAACCAAGGTGGATGCAGGATTTTTTACATTCACCGCACGGAGTCGCGGTCACCTGTTGAGTGAATCTCAAAGAAGGCCAGAAGAGAACAAGGTCGTTGCTACTTTTAATCTTGGATCTCTCCCCGATTCGCCGGATGTCCGCAGCCCTGGTCACATCTACGTATTAAGTTGTATTGACGAAAGAAGAGACATTTAGAAGCAAGAAGAGTTAGTGAACCGAATGTTCCTTGATTTCTGATTATACAAGATGGCGCATCTCCTAAAGTAATATTATGACTAATAATAAGATCGCGATGCCGACAGTTCAGTTTAGGTAATGGTTATGAGAACGATGAAACGTAAACGTCCATAAACCCGAGGGATATTACTAATCGCTTCTTAATCATACTTAACTTGGAAAGAATAGCGATTACCGATTAAAGTACGTTTACTAGACGTTAAGTGCGGCGGGAGGCGGACATTTGGCATACATTTGAGATACGTTTGGCATATATTTGGAATTACGCAGGACCGATCTGTCAATCGAGGAGCAACGATGACGCTCTTACTTTTTGTCTCACGCTCTGGTTATTGAATGGCAGATCGAAGTAATGGCGTCACGCTCTGACTCTTGGGAAGCGGTTAAGACTTTCTAGATCGTCTTTCCGTTTGATCGGTCCTTCCACTTCCCGATCCGTGTGTAGGATTTTTCGCTAGTCGCCTGCAACCGGCAATTACGAGATTGCCATCGAGGAAAGTAGCATACTTTTGTTACAATAAATCCTATCCGGACGTAAACGCATCCGTGAGAGAATTCTGCGGCTTATCGACGACTCGAATGCCAGCTTAGAAACCTTCTACAATATTGCCACGGGAAATCCTAGAATGTCCGTCTCCTCGCGATTAAAAAAAAAAAATACATATATACATATATTTTTGATTTATCAATTCTCATTTAATTTATCATTGGATTTATGTTCGCAGTGTATCCTCAGAAGCAACAGTACGCTTATGCCGGATATCCGGCACCAGCAGCGTATCCAGGACCGTACTACCACGGTTCTCAGTACGGACCTTATAATTACTGAAGACACGACAAGGCATCTCAATAAATTCGAATTCGACTCAATACCGACCTCGTTCCGATTGCGCGTCGAGGAAACAATCGGCAAGGACCTTAATCGCGCGACTAGTTTTCCAGAGTGCGTATGAATTTTCGATTTCTCTCCCACTGGGCAGAAAACTCCACCCACAGTGGACCTCGACTTTTGAATAAATGTCGCGGCAACGTTAGGAATTTTTTTTTTCTCGAGGACCTGGCCGAGATTTTCCACGGAGAGCTTAAGTACAGTGGTGGGGAAAATCGAGAATTACGCGGCCTTGGTGCGTTGCTCCTTTAAGGATTTAAGTATTGCGAGGATTCCGCGAAGGCTTCGCGGCTTTCCGACGAAAGGGCCTTAATATCGACCTTAAGATAAGCGAAGTCTGCCGACCGAGGCCTTAATCCTGCCTATTTGGCGCCGGCTCTTCTATTTTAGGTTCTTCAATACGAAGCTGCGGATTTTATCGTTAAAGTTGGTCAAACTCGCAAGTGACCTCATATTGAACTACCTAACAACTCGTACTTAGTGCATTTCTTTCGATTTACTGAGAAATTATACGCGTCCCCTAGAATTCGGAAGGGAAATTAGCATTAAGCGAGCTTGTCTGAACTTCGGATTAACAAATCGTTGTCCGACCTTCCGTCTAATGTTTATTTTTACATGTAGTCTTGGCGTAGCTTGTAACCGTATTCCAGAGAACTCTAGGATTAAGGAAACGCAATTAGAGATTTGGGCCATGCGAGTTGTCACCCACCAATTGAACGCGAGATATTCGAAGTCAATCCGTGGAAATATTAGCTATCGGATGTTAGTTAATTATCGAGAGAATTATTTGTAATGGTTATTGTATTCGAAAGAGGTCTAGGACTAACCGAGCGTTTGTTATCACAGTTCTCGACTGCCCAAAGTTTTTACTAGAGCTGTGCTCCTGCATTCTGATGAATTATTCGACTCGATATTTCGATTAATTGGCGATTAATCGTTTGTTTTATCGGGCGAGTAATTCTCCAGTGCACGGTAGTTGTGACTTTGCAATTCTTTCGACGAGCTATCGCAGCTCTACTCTCGAGATGCCAAAAGAAAATTGAAAAATCTTACCCACTTCGCCCACTCGAGCGGATCGTATTCGAATGATTATTTTTTAAGCGACTCTTGAATTTCATGTTATCATAGTTATGGGAAATAATTGTTCGAATTGTGTGATATAATGTTTCGAATAATCATGCGAACGAAGCACACCGTTCTAGTCTACCGGCGATTCAAGTTAATTCGAACGAGACTCAGCGCTTCGTTCGGATGATTATCTGGACCATTATATGTATGTTGAAATTCTCCAGTTGCAAATATTACGGCAGAAAAACAATTGTTGGATGCTAGGTAGTCACTAAGAATAATTTAAGGTTCGCCGTTTGAATTAGTTCGATAAACTGCGGGGAACCGCGGTCGGTACTACTTATTTAAGACTCCATGACGCGTAAAGCATGTTTTTTTTTTATATACACTATCGTAAAATAATAAGTATTCCATTTTACAATGTGCTAAATGTTGTTATCTCGGGACGACTCTCGAGTCGTTTAACTTACTGAAAGCGAATCGCGAGATCGGGACGAGCGGACTTTGACAATTGTTTTCTTTGAAAGTCCAACGGATGAACCCTGTTGAATTTATTTAACTAAGACAAAGAGATGGCTAAATTGAATTTAAATATTTATAATGAACAAGCAGTCTTTTCTTTATGGTCACCGATCCCTCATCACGTTTTATCGACTCCGCTGCTCTCGTTCTCCACTGATCGCAGTGCTGCCAGCAATTTATAATACAGAATCGATTATTTTTAAAGAACATGTTTAATGGATAATTCACTCCTTCAATTAAAACCAGAGGTTCGACGAAACGAGCTTTATCAATTTGGTACGTCCTTTACAAGAGCGGGGCATTTATTAAAGAAATAATTAAAAATGAACGTTGCATACCCTCGACGAGGATTCGTCATTTCCATACAGTACATTTTAGACACACGACTCGGAATAAATACCGTATACAAAAAGTGTGGTAAGAAGATCCTAAAGAAATATCAACCGAGGTTCGTTTAATCGGAGCGCATGAGCTTGATTTATTAAAAGCCAATATTCATAAAATTCCGGAACAATGTCAAACAGAATTTTCGTCCTTTCGGAGCATGCTGTATACAGAGAAATCACTCGGGTTAGAGTTTTATATTTAAACATGAACCGATCGTAAGTCTCACTTATTACTACCCATTCATTCAACGGACATAATGTATCCTGTTAAACAAAAAGCTGTCTGCATTTCCAACCGTTTGAGATAAATGTCCAAGTTTGTCGATCCGGCCGATATACCCAAAAACGGTCGCAGAAAATTGCACATTGCATTCCGACAACGTATAACATTTCCTGCGAATCGTCCCCTCCTTACCGCGCACCCTCTTAATGAGTAATCACTGTCAAACAGTCAAAATTGCAATAACAACGATTTTGCTTAACACGGTAGAATATGATCGATCGTCTTTCCTTACGTTATACATTTTTACACGTGAAAAAATATAGAAAAATTGATTGCAAGTCCGGGACCGACACAGCGTGATGTTACCGCGAGAAGTCGACACTCGGGACATAACTTCCCGTTAGTGTCATAATTCATAAGTCATCGGATCAATCGCAGGTTTCGATTTCTTTGACGCTAGTACTCCAATTTCAGAACACACTTTCCGCCGGAGCGAATTCGTCCCCGCCCTAGCAGCACCTCGGTCCAAATGAATGACAAAAGAAGGAGAAGCAAAAAAAAGAACAAATGAAGTGAGTATTCTCCCCTCGGACTCGCCATAAACATCTGAAAGCATGTTCCAAAATTGAATTTACAAAAATCCAGGCTTCAAGGGGTGACGACAGTGAGCTCTAGATAATCGACTGTTCCCAGTACCAGTTTAAGGAAGACGTAAAATTAGACGACACTCGACCACGGAATCGCATTATCGTCCTAACCAAAGCTCACCTCGGTATTGTCGAGTGACCTAACAAAACATCCCGTGAGTATGACTCCTCGTGTCCTATCGGTAACACCCAGTAACGCGAACCGCTTCCGATTTAATCCAGAATTCAGTTAGATCTACCCTGAGGAGAGTTCAAGAATACCTTTCCACCGCGCCAATAAGTCACCCCAGCTCCTCGTTACCTCCCGAAATTACCGGAAGAAGCCGAAGAAGAATCCATCCCGAAGGCATCCCGTGTCACCTGCCCCTAACGAGGAGCTAAGACGCCGACCGACCGTTAAAAAGTCAGACTAGAACCCTCTAACCGCTCCACAGAGCACATTTACAGCTCCCACTTTCTATTCCAGCTCCAGAAAGTCCCATCACGAACCAACGAAGCACCTCCACAGAGTTCACGCCGAGTTCACCACCTTCGAAAAAGTCCCTCCCCGGCGCTGCGACCTCCTCGCTGCACTCTTATACGTAACGACGTGCACTGGCTAATCATGCGGATTACATGGTTCTCTCTGTATCTCTCTCTCTCTACATATGTATATTTACTCATTTATTTATTTACTTTATAATGCATATTTATACTAACAACCATAGAGCATCGTGTACCGATCGGTGAGTCCCCGAGGACGTGTCGCAGGTCCCCCAGACCTCCCAGGACAAGATCTCTCTTCGGTTTGGCTCCCCGTGACAATGAAACCATACCAAACCACCGCAGGACCGTCTTCGAACAGGTCCAGGAAGAATCGGCCGTTTAACAATAAATCACTGGACGACGGTGGGTTCGCCTTCCCCGGACCTTCCTTCGACCGCTCCTGCGACCTCCACCTGGCTCGGTTTACATCAACCCCTTATACCGTCGGACTGGATTATCGGATATCGAGGTGACCCAGCCTCGAGGAAGGAAAAGGCCACCTCTATCTCTACTAGTTAAGGGTTCTCGAGGCTGCACCGAGTACGGAACCAGCCACCGTATACATCGATTTCCTAGAGGTTCGCCCTACTATGTACACGCTTCGCAGTTGATAAGCAACGGAAGATCGCTGAACTCTCTACGGTCCTCAAGCCTCGCTTTCAGCGTTAAAAGAGGTCGCCAATCCCTCCCTTACCCGTACTCGTTATGCGCTCGAGTGCCATTGGGAAAAAAAAAAAAAAAATCACACCCTAAAGTGCCAAACGCTCTTCCGTCATTTCAAGTCGAGGCACTCTTAGGCACTGAACGGGATAACAGCGGTCGCGCCTCCTGGCACTCTAACAATTAAGTAGCTAAAAATCTTTTAACTCTACAAGCGAGGCAAGGGGTCTCCCTCGAATCTAAGTTCGATCTCGCCGGAACTACAATTAAGCCAGCCTGGATCAACGAGGCTCCTTATCGCTTATCCTAGGGTCTCCTAATATTCTGCGTCTCCTTGTGGGTGATCCGCGGTTCTTATCCACCGCATGGATAGCTTACAATCGAAGCATGAGCAATTCGGGTAGAAGCCATTGCGAACGCGCGGTTTAATTTTCGCGGACTAGGCTGACCCGAGCCGAATCGCCCGACCGGTCCACGAGCTGTGTGGCATTTAACTTGGGTCCCTCTACGATCCACTTTCCAAGTTTTCTTTATCCCATCTCGCCACGCCAATCCATCTTGAGCAGTCCGTTCCTTGTCCTCGGCGAGACGCTGTCCTCTTTCTTCCTGCAGACGCTTCGCCGACTGGCGTGTCTCCGTCTCTTCCCCGCTCGCTCTCTACACGTCGAACTATTTATACAACAGTACGGATTATTGATCGCTAATTATTCCTAGAGCTCTAAAGCGGCGGTCGGGAGCCTACTCGCTAATTAAACTAGAAAGAACTTAATCGCTAATGTCGCTCACGCTTAGTCTCAGTGTGCGGACTGTAGAGGACGTCTCGTTGCGCCGGAATCCGTGAGCGGCGCTGCGGTGGAACGAAGACACCGATTTGAAGATACGAAAGTTTAATCGGAAATCGAGCGTTTCGGGTAATTGTTTAACAAATGCTCGTTAAGGAGCGCTTACGGTTAATTAATCCTCTACGGTGGCGTCTAAAAGTCGTCTGTACGTCTATTATTACAATGTTTCTCTCGTTACCTCGAGCACCACAGTCTCCGCATTGATTACCTCCGATTGTACTTAATTCCTACCGTAGGTCATCTGAGCCGCCAATTGGGATAAACGTTTTGAATAACAAAAAATGATGAGGTCATTTCGAAGACGGCTTCAAAACTCGACTACCCTACGTTATTATCAATTAATTCGGTCAATGAAAAATCACACGAAACTCGCTGCCGGACGCTGTTACGGATATTGGCGTGTTATCACAGTGCTAAGCTCAATTCATTATCACTATCACTAACGTCTACTGGCTCGTCGATTTCCAAGTGAAAGTAATCCCGACGTTAAAAACTATCGTGTATAAAATTCATACGTCCTCTGCTTGCGCCGACTTAATTAATTCATGATTAAATCCAAGCGTTATCGCAAAACGGCTGTGACATTATTTTTCATCATTGTTAGCGAGCGCTCGGGGGGGGGGGTTAATTTTTATCGCACGTATTCGTCCAATGCAATGCCAAGCTCGATTCGGCATCGATTCTCCGTAAATGCCTACTATTATTTACCGAATTCCAAACAAAAGGGGATCGCACGGTCACCGTGATGTATAAAAATGCAAAGATGCAATTACAATATTATCGGCTGGCGTTTCTCTTTATGTATAAATTCATCGTTATCGGATGCAGTAACGGGAATTTTCTAAGGACCCGCCGATTGTCACAACGAGTCCGCGTGTATCTACCGCTACTAATACCTAATACTATTTATGTTTATCGTTATTACAAATAGAAAAACCTTACAAGTCTACCTAGCGCAGGTGTAAAGCATTAACACCACGAATTACGTTTGATTTTCATCCTAGGAAATTAGCGTAGCCTAACACACGGAAACGAAACGTATAAGAGACGATAACGGCGAATATATAATATAACTCGACAAAAATACAGGAATCAAACAGCGCGGAGAAATTAATGGAATAATTTAATCTTCGTACTTCACATACAACACTGGTGTTTTTCCTCTCTCTTATTTTTTTTTTTTTTATCAAAAAGGTCCGCAAATAATCGGAGTGGATACACATTAGACGACTTTGAGACGTGTAAGAAAATCGGAGGCTCGTTAATTTCTCGTTCCTTAGAGCCTGAATTTTTCTTGGCACTTGTTTAACCCTTCCTTTGTTCATAAACGCGTACAATAAGTACGAATATAAATATTTAGTTCCACGGTAATCGCGTTCGTTCCTAGGATCGCTCACGGATTTCGACGTCCACCTCCTCTCCACAAAATATCGGTATTTGCTAATTGTCGCACATCCTGTATCTCTAACGAGGGAATCCCATTGACTGGCAGTCCAAGAATCGACAGGCTTCCAGTCAAACCTCAATTGTCCACCATTATCCACCATTGTTCGGCATTGTTCGCCCTATCGGTTCCCAGAGCTCGCTCGTCTCGAATAATTATCCCAGCTGGGAATTTAAGTACAAATTCATTGTTTCTTACAATTAGTTGAGGATATAATCCAGGAATCGATCTCTCACCTCCCGAGGTTCAGGTCGACCCACCGTTACCGATACATTTCCTCTACGCGATACAAGAATTCCCGGCAGCCATTCGATGAGGTTCCCTCTACGCTCTCTACATACTGTACAAATTCAACAGGACGATCATACAATTAAACGGCAGGGTACAACGGGTTCCTACTATCGGAAGTTAGCACGATAAGAGTGCGAATACCACGAGGAACAGTCGCGATCATTGGGATCATCAGCCAGAGCACTCTTCCGATCGGCGCGCGCACATGTCTTCGGAGTCATTCAGGATGATACTCTAAGAATACAATAATCTCAAACAAACGCGTCTCGCTCCATCCTTTCGCCCTACAATCGTATAATCATCGGCAGAGAGCTTAGTACTCGCAATCAGTCGGTACCCGAGGAGCCTCGGTGAGATATTCCCTCGAAATCATCGAACGATCATCGATGATTCTCCCATTTCCCTCAAAAGCGTTCCTAGAGAAAAACGAGAGCTTTGAAACTAAAGGGTGAAAAAAAAAAAAAAAGAATCCAAGGAACCCGGGCAAGATTTTCATTTTCTCCGAAGTCATCGAACGATCATCGATGATTCCTTCGTACCACTCGAAGCGCGATAACCAGGCAAAGTGTTTAGAACTATAAAGTATACCAGAATGGACTTCCCAGTCGAGGATCCCCTTATCACCTGATTAACCGACTTCCATCACTGTGCAGCCCTTAAGTGCAATCAAAATGACTGATATACAATTTATTTTAAACTCCAGGAAATATCTGTTACACTGTTTCCCTTACACAGTCACACCATGGTTGTTGGTTGCTCCTGTCTGGCATGTTCCCAACGATCCGATAACCGGGAAGGTGGAATGGCTCGAGAGGACCTACGATCTAAAACTAAGGATCATAAATAAATTAAAAGTCGCCGGAGCACGTTGCCTTAACACGGTCGGCCTCTGAACGACAACTAAGGTTTACGGAAACGATAATAATAAGGCGAGCTCGAGAGTACAGAGGTAAGAGAAATTAAATATAACAGAGGAGAGTCTCGTGGGACGCTAACCTGGCCTTTTTACAATTAATTTGAGACACGCTTTAACAGTAGTCTACCGCTCGATTAGATTAACCCAGGATTAAGTCCAACCTTAAACCTCCATAAACGCGTAGACTGCTGTTAGGATGTCTAGCAACTGTTTAATGACGCGATGCTTAAAGTCTATCCTATCTTGCCTACTCCTGATACGTTATCACAATGGAATCCGGTTAAACTAGGTTTTTCTTTCTTTTTAAAAAAGGAGGATCACTAAATATACAAAGACAACAGAAACGCCTATCGGGTACTTAGACACAAACTAGCTCTACTCGTACTGAGATTCGCATAGAACTCATCCTGCCGATTTCTAATCAGGACCTAAGGGCTGCGCAGTCGACAAATCCCGAGGATCCTTCGAAGGACCCGGTGCATCCTCTACGAGTATTTTAAATCTCGGTTAATAATATCCTATCGGTGCAAGAAACTGAGATGGCCCATCTCCTTATCTCCCCCTAAGACAGCGGATCGATGCACCCGTTCGAGTGTACCTGCATTTTGATTACATTTACACAATTTCCGTTACATCCTTGCCGCGAGAGGGAGAGAGGACGTTTCATACAGAATTTATACAGAGTCGTCTCGAAAAAAAAAAAAAAAAACAAAAAAAGAAGTCAAAAGAGCCATAAACGTAAAGTACCATCGACCACGAAAGCAACGCTTGTGATGTCTAAAGTACCAGGGAACCATCTACATCCTCGAAAATATTTTTTAACAATAAATGACAATAAATTCCTGACATTATGAACACGAAGGATCGATTTTCATCAACGAGGAAGACGAGGCCACTCGCTGCAAGGAGTCGTCGCGAAAGGATTTGCATAAAAAAAAAAAGAAAAAGAAAATTGATAACCCGAATTGACCGCGAGGCGGTTCATTATAAAATTTACGATGAGACCAATCAACTCCGTCCGGAATGCAGTCCATTAAATTATCAAGCGAGAACCGGCAAGACTCATGGAAAGACTCCGTCCAAATAGTCCTTTGCTCGAGGAACGCTTAGCGAAAAAAATTCCGGATGACGAGCGAATCTTCAAAAACACGCCCCATTCCCTGCCGAATCGAGAACGTACGTTTTATAAATATCTCCTATATATATATAACGTGTGTATATATATATAATATGTATATATGTATATATGTATAACGCAAGTATGCCTTCACGACGAGTACGTCCTGTGACTCTCAAGACACGCGTCGTTGTCGATCGAGTCCGGTGTACGAGCATGCGAGTGGGATGCAACGACTGGTGGCGCCAATTAAAGTACTAAGAAATTTAATTTAAATTGTCATCGCTAAATGAAAAAATATCTTTCACAAAGTCATAAATACAAATAGGACGTAGGGAGGGGTGGGAGGGAGGGAGGGGGGACAGGTAACGAGACAGGACAGGGAAGAGGGCAGTTTCGAGCCGAGAGTGCGGAGGTCCGTGGAACCGAAGCTCGTCACGTCGAGCTGATCCTCTTCGGGGTCGCGTTTGTTCGTTCCCCGTTCGTGGCTTCGTCGACCGATAGGATGTTCCCCGAGTCGGGTGGCGTAGGCGTGGAAAACACTGTCGGATCGCAAGGGCCCTGGAGCCGCAGGCCTCTGGAATGATGACGCGAAGAGTCCAGGTGAAGCTCTTCGGCGAGTCCAGTCCTGGTCGGCGGATCAGGATGTAACTGGTCGACACCCCTGGAGCAGCTTAAACGTCGTCCCGTCGTGCTCGCGAGTCCAAAAGGGTCCTGGACACCGTAAAGCCTCGATTCCGCACAGAGGTGGCACTGAGAGGAATAATAAATAAGCACTGGGGCGTACCGGCGTTAGGGTGGCGCGATTTTCTCCCGTAGATACAAATGTTACACGGTAGGTTCCCCCACGGGGCTCGGCCGTCCCAGGAAGCAGGACCTCGTCTCTGCGACCCTCCGGAATGATGGCACCTTCTCTCCTTCGCCTGCCTTCGCCTCGGGACGTCGTACTCTCGGCTCGGGATCGTCGGAAGGGACTGGGGCTGGCGCGTGATCAACAGCGGGCGAGGGGCTCAGAAATTTAACGTTAAAGCCGACGGTAAACCGGATCACTTGATCTGCAGCCAGGGATGCTTCAGGCACTCGGCTGCGGTCGCCCTCGTAGCCGGGTCGAACTCGAGCATCGGAGTTAGGAACTCGGTGAACTCGCACGCCTCGCTCGGCGACCAGTCGTACTTCTCGGTCAAGACCTCGTAGAGGCCCCACGGCTTTAGCCCGTTGATGTGCTTCAGCTCGCCCTTCTTGGTGAAGAACATCTTGGAGTGCTTCCCGGACAGGGCGATGCGTCTCGGGATCTCCCCCAGGAGCTCGATTATGTGTGCCAGGTGGTCCTCGTCTCTGACACGAATACACAGCGGAGCGTTCATCGCGAATGAAGATCAAAGTTTCGGCGAATCTTATCCAGGGGGGTCGTCCGAGCCTCGCCTCGTGGTAAACCGCGTGAATGCTCGAAGAGGCATTCCCGAGGACGAGTTCGACGATTACCTGGTGGGTATGAACCATGGACTGGTCGACTTCGAGTTTCGAATACCTCGAATGTTTCCCTATCCACCAGGTAAATGCGTCTCACCCGTCAGACCCAGGGCCGCTGGAGGAGCCGCGATTCAAAGGGAACATCGAGAAGGAACCCGGCAACTGTTCGACTCACCTGCAGTAGTCCTCACCACTGTGGGGCTCGAAGAGGTAGTCACCCGTGGCCAGTTCGAAGGCCATACAAGCCGTGGACCAGATGTCGGCCGAGGTATTGTAACCCGCGCCTAGGAGCACCTCCAGTGACCTGTACTGACGCGTCTGTATGTCCTCGGTGAACTTCTTGTGTACCCAACAGGCGTTTCCGAGGTCGGCGATCTTGACCTCGACGTCGCAGTCTACAATGGCGGGGTCCAACGGCGCCACCGATGCTCGTTTCAGTTGCTTGGTCTCCGGTGGGTTTACCCCGCGCTCTGAAATTAGGAAACGGGGTACGTATTCATGGTAAGACCCATTTAAGAAAGCCACGACACACGGTTAAGCGTTCTCGAGTCTTACCCTCGCTCCCCTCGTCCATGTCTTCGGTGTCCGGTAGTAGGACACCTTCGCCGCAGCTTTTTTCGACATGACAGAGCGGCACGTTTTCGATTTTCTGGGACTGTTCCGGGGACGGGTTCTCGACCTTCTCGCCCCCGGCGAGGCCGTCGACGCCGTTCACGTGCAAAGGAGTAGCGCAGGGCTCGGAGAGGTCCGGGGAACCCTTGCTCTCGGTGTTGTCCTCGATGCTCTCCGTGTTCACATCCTGATCCGGGCTATTCGCCTCGGGTTCTCCGTTTTCCCTCGTGTTGTTCGCGTGTTTGTTGCGCTCCTCCATCTCCTCGATCTGTTCCATTTGTTTCTTAAGGAGCTCGTTCTGTCGCTTCGCCTTCTTCTTCAGCTTCTTCTTCTTGTTCTTCGACATCTTCGAGTTCGGCAAGGGCTCTTGGAACTCCTTGGGCGCCGTCGATATCAAGGAGACCGGGAGCTTCAGACCCAGGGTGTGAAGCTCCGTCGCTTCTGAAGCTAACTTCCTTATATATGCCTCGTCGACGCATATCAGAACGTTCTCTGGCTTTATGTCCGTATGTATAATTTTACCTGAAAACGGGGACGGGATTAGACTGGAAGATATTGCTCGATTAAATTAAGTGCTTAAGAGAAATAACCCGTACTCGTTATATATTTTCGTAAGTGTAACGCGACGTTAACTGAGATTATTCGTTATCTACTCCGTTCCCGTTGACGGGACGCGCATCGATGTCGCGAACAACGCGTCGCAATCATTATGCGAGTCACATAGGACTAACGGTCAGTGAATATTTTGATTTCGACTGGGATCCTTACATTTGTTGTGGAGGTAGTCAAGACCTTCAAGGACTTGTCTGATAATGCGTTTAACATTGTTCCTTGGTATCCCTCGATAGTTCGACTTGATGATGAGTTTGAGTAGGTTATGTCCGAGCACTTCGAATACCATGCAAACGTGCAGACCGTTAATTCCGCTGATCTTGAAGTCGTTAAGCAGCTGCACCGTTTTGTTGCGCTTAGGATCGTTGGGATCCGTGTCGCGCACATCCTTCAATAGTTTGATCTCGTCCAACGCGGTTTCCGTAAAGTGTTTCGCGGACTTAACCACCTTTAGCGCCACGAACCGTTTGTCCTGCCGAACATTATCGACTCATCCACTGGATACATTCAGGGAAATATCGAGTAGGATGCTCTCCTTAAACTAATCACTTATTATCGTTACCTGGAGATCCCAACACAGCCAGACCGTCGAGAAGTGGCCCCAACCGAGTTTGCGCGTGACATGATAACGATTCAGGAAGAAATCTCCTATCTTAACCGGATGATATCCGCCTCTACAATAGTCGGTGCTGTCCTCCTGTTCCTCGTCCTCACTGCTGTATTCGTCGTCATCCTCGATGGTCTCGTTGCTTGAACTATTGCAAGGTTCCAACCTACATTTAAGGCGAATGCGTATAATGACCACGTAAACATGTCAATCGAATTGTCTCCAAATATTTATCTAATCCTCCCCGACTTTGTTTCACAAATCACTGGTTAATAGCGATCCTTGACATCCACAGCTGCCGACAAATATTATAATTATTTAAGAGATAAGAAAGGTACATTACGCTACCATAAATTCAACATCCGCCACTGCAGCTATCGATTTCATAAATCTACCACGTGGATCAAAACCGCGTCGATCCCTGCTTACATCGCAGGCACAGAAGGCATCTTAGGATTCCTGAATTAATTTAATGAAATCAAGTCGGCTAATGACTCGCTACCTGTTGCTGTTGCCTCCAGGGTACTGTCGTTGCCCACCAGAGTCCTGATAGTGATCGGAACCCTTCGAAGCGGACTGTGTCTTTGAACACTGCGCTCCAGGGGCATCTTGGTCACCTTGGGAGCCCCCGCCCTTGTCCTTCCGTTTGCTGGGCTTGTGCCTCTTTTTCTTGGCCTGTATCGCCAGAACTCGCCTGTTAACGTCCGTCTTGGCGCTCATCCCGTCGGCAAGTGTCGGGGTGATTTCCTGCAGGGCGCACGCCGGGGCGGACTAGTTCCGACCCGAGCCTTCTAACCCGGTCCGTACCTAACCTCCCTTTCAGTCCAGCCCCGTCGAGAGAAGCTTCCTCGAGCCGGTGTCCCGGTCGGATCTCTCGATCGGCCAGGGCTTTTATCGCCTCATCTCCGCGACAGAGCGGCGACTGCCGAAGACTCTCGGTCGGCGATTGTTTGAATATGGCCGCCTCTTGTGCGGACGGTCCTCTCGGTCGTTTCCTTGGACCGTGGAACAACGTAGAGCACGCCTCGAGAGGCTTGACCTGGACCAGCTGTCTCGGCGAACAGCTCGGCTGTCGACCGGGTGAAGAATCGAGCCGACCAACGTAACTAGGAGGCTCTGCACCGGGCTGATATCTACTTATTTATTCGGTCTCTGTTCGGTCACTCGTCCCACTGCCGTGGCACCAGACACTCGGCTTCCGGTCACTCGCACTGTAGTGCGCGTGCTGCCACAGACTACAGACAGTATAGATAAGCACCTCGGTGGAGAAAATATGAAGGTCCGACGCGAACGCCGATTACGGTGCGGATGCTCAACATATCTCCAATATGATAAAAAAGATATAATTAATTAGTGGAAGACCAAAAAAACTCAACATCACAGATACACGACTAGCTGCAGAGTAGAATTTAATTAAGTTTAAGGCTCCTTTCGATACTTAAGACTAACATAAGCAAGACAAACTATGTTTCCTTCTTTATTTAACTTCATAAAGACATCAGAATATCACAAAGCTGTTCGATGAAGCTGTCGTTTCTTTAAGTATGGAAAATAAAAGTCGGTACAAATTATTTTCAACGGATATCGGGTGCATTTCTTTTTGTTAATGCAAAATGTATTAATACCGGAGAGAAAAAATTCAAATTCTAGCTGACAAACCATTTCAATAATTATGCTCAAATTTAGAAATAACCATCACGTCACAAGCCATCGCTTCACCTGTCAAGTAGCGGGTCAATCATTTTTTACAGAGGATACTTGTTTGTGCGACAACGGAATAGTGATGTATTTTGGCAATGAAATTGCCCTAAAAAATAAAAGCACAGATATGTACACGTATTGATTGTGCTCGACGGCATCAAAGCATTTGCTTCCAAACTGCGATCGGTTAGTTTCCTTAAAAATAGACAAGTACTTTCAATTGCTGGACCTTAAAATATGCTGTAAAATAAATCAACTGTATTTTCCAACAAACCTTCAACCGTTACTTGCATTGTAGCGATCTAAATGAACGATAGATGCAAACTTAAAAATCTGACTCTAATACCCGATGGAACATCAGAGGTAAAATATCACAATAAACTCTTCAATACTAAGTAATCGAATAGAAAGGATATTACCCGTTTCAGCACAATATCAGTAACGATAAATTACTCTCTCCAAAAATACCTCCCCTAATGTTCTTTTGAGACTGCAATTACTTTTAAACGTTGCAAACGTATCGGAAGGGTTAACCTAACACTTTCTTAGCACTCCTTCATAAAACAAATATACATAATTTACGGAATATAAATAGATCCTGCTCTATGACTAATACCCAAAACTAGAATATCAATTAGTTCTTTACATTCTTTCCCCTGCGAATTCGAAAAACGTTTTAGTTAGTACATATCGGTACAACCGAACGCCACTGCCATGTGGAACCATACGACAAAGTGCTGGTTCGGTTATCTTTGCGCAAATGTGAGCAAAAGTGCTAATTTGAAACCTCTCACCTGGTAACTGTCAAACTTCGTTCCTCCTAAAATAGCGTACGTCCAGGCGTACATTTAAAAGTCACTCTTAGAAAGTAAATTAAATACTCAATATAGATGCATGACTAGAGCGTTGTTTCTTCTGCTTTCCGACAGGCTCGCTTCTACCATCGCTGGAAACGCTAACGTTGAGCTGCGCCGTCGACGCAGTGGTCGCAGGTTCTTCATCCGACTCCAGAGGACTGATTCTGATGGCCTGGTACCACTGATTCGTCAGGTCGGTCATCTGGGACTTACAGTCCTTCAGTTCCTGCTGGGTAAATCTTCTCGTGAAGAAGGGGATGAAGAACTTGAGATCCCAACGGGCGAATCCGCGAATCCGCGATTGGAGAAAAGAGACTTCCATCTCTTCCTCCGTAAGCTCTGACAGGTGCTCCGAGTCTATTGCTTGACCCTGGAAGATTCATTGATTAGTCACCTGTCACGTAGAACCGTAATTTTAGTAATATTCGGAGGCATAAACCCGTTAATCTCTTCTTCACAATTTACCCATTCTCTGGTTTTACTGAGCGAGATTTCCTTCTCCCGCTTCTTCCTTCTGCTGCTCTTCGGCTTCTTCTCTGCGCGTAGGAACTTCAGTAGAGGCATCGTTGAGCCTCCAAAGATCAGAGTGGTGAACAGTACTATTATCAGCGTAGTCGTAATTATGACATGCCTCGTTTCGTCACTGAAGTCTAGATGGAGAGACAGTGCATACGATATTGCACCACGCAAACCACTGAACCACATGATGAACATCATTTTCCTTGTGATCTGATGTTCCCGGAAACGGTTCACCAGCAAAGCCAATGGGAATATGTTGGCAGCTCTTCCGATCAAACATAGCACGATCGACCATATCACCAAAGCGGGTTCAAACTGTAATAAAATCCATTAATTAGAACGTGTCAAGACAACTGGCCAAATAATTCTTAAATTGCTAGTGGAACAACTAAAAGTCTAATTAAAAAAATACGTTACCCTGTGTCTAAAGCTGAAGAGAGCTAGGCCCAGATATGCAAACACACAAGTCTCAGCAATAAAAGCAAGAGTTCTCATAGTTTGCTGCATCGTAATTTGCGTCACGGTTGACAGATTAAAATGAGTATAATGAGACATCACGATACCATTGAACAGTATAGCCATGATTCCTAAACAGAAAGTAACACGGAAACATTAAAGTAGGAAAATACTTCAATTACTGACATTTCTAAAATAGTATCAAATATTTTACCTGACAATTGTATGCCTTCTGCCAAGACATAAGGAGCGTAAGTGAAGACCAGCATAAGGCCAAATTCCAATGACGGATTCTTTCTGAGATCGACGTGTTTCAATAAAAGAGCACTGAGAAGTGCAAAGACAACGCCAATGCCAGCAGATGCAAAGAACATTAAGCAAAATCTGTTGATGCACAAAATAATCGCTTCTCCAGTTGTCGAAGCATTGTTGGATTCTAATACTGATGTAGTAAGCACAATAGAAATGGCATCGTTTAAAATGGATTCACCGAATACCAACATATTTAATACTGGATCTACATCAAGGGCATGGAAGATGGCAACCGTCGCTACAGGATCGACTGCAGATATTAGTGATCCAAAGGCAAAGCTTTCTACAAAACTAAGTTTGTAAGCTACCTTTGCTAGACCCAATAGATATATACCAGCTCCAATGACAAATGCGGAGATCATTGTTCCAAAAATTGCAAATACCATGATACTGCCAATATTCTGGAAAAAGTTACCCTTGTGGAGATTATATCCCGATTCAAAGATAATCGGTGGTAGAAGCACAAGGAAAAATGCCGTTGGCGAAAAAGCCTCCTCTTTCCTCCAGTTTGCTATATTCTGGTTCGACATCAAATTGATAATCATACCAATTGCTGCACCAAGGAATACAATAACTACCGACTCTGGTAAGTACTGGAAATTTGTTTGTAGCATAAGATGAATCAGTAAAATTCCTAGAGCCAAGACGCAGAGCACAAAAAATATCGACATAGAGCTATTATGTTCTTCTTCCGCCGAACCCTTGTCAGGTAGCACTGGCTCGGCTGGAGCTACCGTGGTTGTACTTCCATTTGTTGCATTAGTAGCATCAGAGCTCTGAGTGGATACAACGGTATCAGAAGGTACCGTACTCCCATTGCTTCCTTCCGTAATGTTTCCATTATGCGTCGTAACTGTCGGCGAAGACACATCCTTCGTGTCGGAGTCAGAATTTGCCGTCGTAACATTTTTCTCTGGGGGCTTGGTGGTTGCCGAGGTAGTTGAAACTTTTACGATAGCAGGTGGAATAGGTGTAGTTGAGGTGCTCGAAGCATTCAAGATAGTATTTATAGCGGGGGCAACCGTAGTAAGCGGAGAACTAGAGTTAACAGACGTAGCGGAATCATGTTTCAGAGAATTACTGGAGTTTTGACTTCTCGAGATAACTTCCTGTGGTTTGGCATTGCTTGTGTTGACTTTATCACTGGCTGCGGACTGGTTTACTGCATCGACCTTCTCCTTTGTCGTGTTCAATGCAGGTACGTGTACGCCGACATCAAGAGTTGTGCTCGATACGTTCAGGTTAGTTCCTCCATCGGTGGACGATGCGATGTAAGGTGAGCCAAGAATCAGCAATAAGGTTAAGAACAAGTACGGCTTTACGTCGGACTTACAGGACATGGTGAGGGAGCGCATTATTTAGACAGTTCACATTATTTTGTTAAGAAAAACAGCGGATTGAATCATCCGACCTCCAGGTGACGTTTCACTGCGTCTCAGCATTGATATAACCTACATGTATGATTTGCAACTTCACTATGTCACGAGTTACGTTTCAGTGCAGAGCCATCTATGGAAAGCTCCGCAACTGAACAACTTAAAAATTCAATATAACAAATAAGTTCCCGCGACATTCAAATCTATATAAATGAAAAACTGTACTGTTATGACAATCGTCATAATTTTATGAAAAAATTGTACCATAAAATTGTTACAAAATAGTAAAACCGACATCATATTCGATATTAAAAAATGTAGAGGAGGATTTCAAGCACTCTTTACGATAAATCTTTCGAATCATACATACTCGAGCTTGCAACTTAAAATGCAGTCTTATGCAAATCACTACCATCATTCTTGACGCTTGAACATTTAATAATTGTTCTAGAATCAATAAAAGAAGGCTTGATACGGTGGAAAAAATAAAGCAAGGTCCCACCGAGATTTGAACTCGGATCGCTGGATTCAGAGTCCAGAGTGCTAACCATTACACCATGGGACCCTCTTGTCAAATAACCTTCAAATAATAGATTATCAAGGCCGCGATAATTCGTTTAAAAATAACGCATATTTTTAAATATTTTCTGATTTTTTAATTAGGAATTATTTCAGTATCAATTGTTTTCATATCCCCACTATAAACAATTACAGATAACGTAAGGAAAGTTAGGGCTTCTTTTCTGCGATTCTCATTGGTTCATTCCATTCAAGGCTGCAAGCTCGCTTTTGCTGAATGGTTAGGTGTCACAGAACAAGTGTAATGATCAAGTGTCATTGTTTGAGGTTATTTTTGTATCCGTGTTGAGCGTAATGGTGATTACCGGAAAATGAGATCCATTATTGAGCTTGCACTCTATATAGCAGTCTATTTGAAATACAGTGAATGTCTTGTGCTGACTGCAGCAAATAAAACCACGGAGCCACAGCAGGAATATAGGCCTGAAGGACCTCTTGTAATGTGTAAATATTTGTGAGTACTTGTACCACCTGTCATTGAGTTATTTTTAATTTATCGGCTTAAATATTGTACTCTTTTAGACCCAAGGAATTTATCGAATGCGAAGAGCCCATTGACCATAAAGGAAACAAGACCGCAAAAGAAGAAACTGGGTTCGGATGCGTAAAGGTACATCGTCTATATTATTTCAGAGATATATTTATTTTAATAATCATGATTATCATTCTAGTTTGGTGGTTCACGTTACGAGGATGTGGAAAAGACCAAAGTATCTTGTACAGTTTTACCAGACATTGAATGTTACGGGCCACGTACATTTTTTCGCGAAGGAGTCCCTTGTATAAAATATAGCGGCCATTACTTTGCTACCACTTTATTATATAGTATTTTATTAGGATTTCTAGGTATGGATCGATTCTTCCTTGGTCAGACTGGGACTGCGGTAGGTAAATTGTTGTCACTAGGTGGCATAGGTGTTTGGTGGGTCGTAGATGTCATTTTGATAGTGACCAACTCTTTATTACCTGAGGACGGAAGTAACTGGAATCCCTATGTATAATATTTATATTACGTCTCATTTTTTTATATTTTTATAAAAAATGTATTACATGTTAGATAGTTTTAACTAAATTTCAATGAAATCATAATTTTTTCTGAAATGGTCATTGCTTTTAGAAAATTTTGTTATGCTATATTATTTCTCTAAATTCTGGTGACATACAACATGAAATCAGAATTTTCCTTAGAACGATAAGTTAATTAAATTATTATTAGTAAATTATTCAAATGAATTAATTATGCAAATTGAACATAGAATTGTACATCTGGTAGGAGGAATATTGAAAGCATACCTGTCATCATTTTTTACAAATTATTTTATTATAACTCATAATCATCAGGATGGTATAGTTCACTTAAAAGCCTGTAAATATATGAAGGAGCATTTCCACCTCTGAAAATAAAACAAGTAATTCAATTACCTGGTACAATTAAAGAAATTAATTTGTAGATTTGAACCTAGAATAATCTCAATCTTAACATTACTATCCCATTATTTTGTGGCATCAATACTTACGAATTTGAAATGAACAATGTTACCAGTTCTGGTGGAACATAATCAAACACAGGATTATATGCCTGAATTTTTTCCATCAATGGTGCGTTTGTACCACTGATAACACCTTGAGTTGGTGAGACGTGTCTGTTAAAGGCATCCTGTTCATAAGAACAAAGATACAGTGGGGAAAGTTTATACAATGGTAACAAAACCATAACAGGGACGGAATAATGTTTTGCAGCTTGAGCGACAGTATGAGACCCAGTAATTGCTCTCAGTCCACCGTTAGCCATAACCGTATGCGTGCCAATTATGACCTTATTTACACGTGACATCATTGCAAAGATTGCAGCGTCCGAGATTAATGTTGTCTTGATTTTTGCTTTGGCAAGATTCACAGCCATTTCATGACCCTATAAGATAAAAATATGCTCTAGATTTATGTTCATCAGCTTGCATTCAGATTTATTACTTTGACACACACATTCAAGAAGGGTCCACCTTCCGCTACTATAACTTCAAAAACTCGAGTCGATGCAGCCTTTTTAAAAAACTCCTCCACCGTTCTTGATCTACCAAGAGTCATTATAATTTCATTTGAATGAATATGCTCTGGAGCTTGTTGGGTGATATTTTCAGAGCTGAAAAAATGATTCCACTATAATTTTTACGAATATAAAATTGTCCCATTATTAGCACATGAACTTACCATGTTTCAAGCTCGACTTCAAACTCGTTAATATGTTCAATGAGTGCAGCTCTTAAGGACGGCACACACAAGGTAAAATCAATGTCTTGGTCCCCTTCAGACGTTAGGATTTTATGCAAAGATTCTTGGGGATCCGTCTCTTCAGTTTTGTTCTTTAATTCGGACATATATTCTTCTCGAATAATTTTTAATATTCTTCGTACCATATTACCGATACAAGCCTCCAATGGAATGGCGTTAATTAGGTACTTTCCATTATGTGTCACTATATCCATGATTTCCCTGCCGAAAGGCAGAATATGAAAATTGATGCTATATACTAACATTACGTACATAGTAATACCATGTTCACGTTGCCACCTACTTTGCCGTTTTCCATTCCTCGCTTGTGACAATCTCTTTCAGCACCGAGACTGTTGACTCTACAATGTCATACGTACCTTTAATTTCCCTGAAATTATATGGTTCTTAGAAAGATTTCAATACAACGAAATGATTTGTAAACAATTTTGAATTTTACAATAACTTCCCTCTTACCCGTAATTTATATTTCTAACTAACTTCAACACCTTGTCGTGCACATGATCATTTGTGTTACTGACCATGTTAACAAATTTGTATAATTATTCTAATTAAACGGCACTGTTTTTGGTTAAAAATTTTCTAGTCCTTGACAACGTCCGTCCATTCACGAACGATATTACTATGCAAAAATTGTTCAAAAATAGTTTACCGATAATACATTCATTGCAATTAACATAGAAATTACATCGATGCCATGTGTCATTTTCAATCACTTTTTTAATAGGCACTAATTTTTTTAATAACATCAGTGAATTCGGATGTAGCTAGATGGTCATTTCGTAAGGAAAACGTGGAGTCAGTTTTACCGACAAATTCCAAGATAGCGCCACCTACTAAGTTAGAACACAGCGAACACAGTTGTCAAACCAGAATAAAGATGCCAGCAGAGAATTTGACAAATTCCGCACATTTTGAAATTGTTCCACATCTTTGATAAAACTAGAATTGATAGATCCAACCTTAACCATAATTGTGTAACTAGTAAATAATTGCTTGTCATTATTCCTTAACAATCGGCAAACGATACCTGGACAGTGAATTACGAATGTGATTCTTGTATTATCTTCAAAATGAAGCTTAATATAAACACGTTCTTATCCAATACATCATGATAATTTTTATTAATCGAGAAACTTATTCATAATTTATGTTCAAAGTATAACTGATTAGTTCTTATATTACTGTGTTTGTATTATAGTTTACAATATAATAAAAGAAATAGATTCAATTATATAAGATATATACTGTAAATAAAGCAACGTACAAAAAATGGTATGAAGGATGCAAACTGTTAAATGATTTAAAATTATACAGTAAATTCATTTTTCAAGCCATCATGACTGCGATATTGGGAGGAGGTATAGCGGGTTTGTCTGCTGCTTACTATGCATTGAACAATCCAAAGATTGGTCCTGTCATATTATTTGAGGCTTCCAATCGCCTCGGTGGTTGGATTCGTACACGAAAGTCCAAAAGTGGAGCATCTTTTGAAGAAGGTCCAAGAACTATAAGACTTGCTGGTATCGGTGGAAAAAATACTTTAGACTTAATCGATCGATTGGATTTGACGGATCAGATTTTTTCTATAAAAAGAAATCACCCTGCAATAAAAAATAAAATGTTTTTCGTGGATAATAAATTATGCCGTGCAGCTACCGTTTTGCAGGATTTACTGATAGGCAAGAAGTTCTTTGATATGCCTATAATCCAGATGATAAGGAACGATTTGAAAGCTGAAAGGAATGTCAGAGGTGATGAAAGTATCTATAATTTTATAGAAAGGAAAATGAGTAAAGACGTAGCTGATAAAGTGATTAGCCCCGTATTATGTGGAATCTGTGCGGGGGATGCACGTCAAATTAGTGTAAATTTCCTATTACGTACTATATTTGAGTTAGAACAGCAACATGGTTCAATAATTAAGGGTATCGTAAAAAAAAAATTGAAAGAGATATTTACAAGATCAAATGAAGAGAATGAATCAAATACCAATACTGTCACACAGTCAGAAAGATTAAACAAGAGAGAAAGAACTGCAGATATCGCTAAAGCTGAAAAGTGGGCTATTGTAGCATTTAAAGAAGGGCTAGAAGAATTTCCAAAAAAACTTGCCAGCAATGTACGACTCCGAGGAGGAGACATCCTTATAGATCACAAGTGTGAGAAAGTTACATTTAAGCCAAACCGTGTCGAACTGGTAGTGAATGGAGAAACAAAAGAATATTCACGAGTTATCTCTAGTCTTCCTGCAAAAAAATTAGCAAGTTTGTTGCATCGGCAGCATCCACAGTTGGCAAGAGAATTAGAAGCTATACCTACAGTTACAGTAGCTGTTGTAAATCTACAGTTTTCAGGTCATCCATTATCATTGCAAGCTTTTGGACTTTTAGTTCCTCCGAAAGAGAAACTTCCAATATTAGGAATAATTTTTGATTCTTGCTTATCTTCTGATGGATCATCAACGGTTTGTAATTTATATTATTTTCTTCAACTACAGTATTCAACATAAACTTATGTCCAATGTTATTCACTGTCGATCCTATCTAGTCCATTGTTAATGGGTGATACGTAATTTAAATGTTTAATTGTACAGGTGATGACAGTGATGATGGGAGGAGCATGGTTTGAAGAGTACTTTGGAAAGTCTCCATCCAAAGATCATTTACTATCGGTCGCAGTCGAGCATTTAAAATCCATTTTGCAAATTCCCGACGATCCGGTAGAATTCAATGTAGCCATTTTGCAGGACTGCATTCCACAGCACATTGTGGGCCATGTTCAGCGACTTAAGCGTATCACCAATTACATCTCTGCGCATGGAATTCCTTTAGCGTTGTGTGGATCCTCTTATCAAGGTGTTGGAATTAATGACGTTATTCTGTCAGCAAAACAAGCCGTGTCTGATAGTGTCTGTTTCTCATAATAATTATGTTTCCTTTTGAGCATAAAACTTGTCATCGCTTCATAAAGTAAAAAAAACTGATTTCCATTACTTCAAATTACCAGTATAATGCAAAAGCCAAATCAAGACACAAATGAGAACTGAAAGAAAAATCTTCATGTGCATTAGATTAAGTAATAAAGAGCGCCAAACAGCACTCTATGAATACTTAATATTCGGTATTTTTTGTTAAAAAAAAAAAAGATCGGCAGAAAAATATAGACACATTTAGATTTTTCTATTGCTGTTCCCCTAACAGTATCTTTTTTTTAATCTACACATGCTTCAGTTGACATGCTGAAAAAAATTTGTCAATGTTATAAAAGGAATAGGCTAAGTAATACCTTAAAAATGATACTAACAGTTTTTTACATTTACAGTTGTACATAAGGAATACATATTGTGATTGAAGTTCACCTTCAATAATGTATAAAATTCATTATATTATAAATAAAATAAACTGTATATTGACGTACCATAGGATTATTGCGGTAACATAGAGGATGCATTTTTATGTACAAGTTCTTGGGTTTTTATTTTAATTACATTATTGAATCAATAAAAATTCTTCGGATATAATGGGCAGTTATTGTCAAAAGATGCAATTCACTGCATTCTACGAAATACAAATAACCTACATTTTAACTGAAAATCCCTACTAAATTGCAACAGACATGTCTAAATAAATACAATTAAATCATTCCTATATTCGATCACAATCAGGGTTTTTTTTACAAACGCATAGATACTTCAATTTATATGATAATTCAACTAATGCTTCTGAATGCTTTTCACTGATAACATAATTCAAAAAATGGAATGTTAAATAAAGCAACAATACTGTCATATATACATTCCACTATAATGAATAATAAAAACCTATAAACTATTATAATTTTGCTACTTCATTCAAAGATAGTTAACTGATTTGCATTCACTTTTGCATAAAAAATAAAAGTGCAACATTTCATTCCTGTAGATCTTCCTATTTAACTATGTAAATTAATACAAAACGTTTAGAAACTAAGCGTATAAAGCAACAAAAATTCATATTTTTAATAGATTCACTCAAATCAATCAAACTAATGATACTTTGTAATCCCAGGAAATAAAGTCTGTTCTTTGATAATTTTATAAAGTAGAAGTGTATACATCTTGAATATTATTTACGAAGTCAAAACTACCTAAACATAAATTTTAAAAATCATCCCTTTACTGGAATTACATAGTCTGGTTATGATTAATTACTGACTAACGGTACCTGCATACTTTACTTCATCAAATGCCTTTCTGGCCTTCTTTAGCTCTTCGTTCATTGTAAGCAGATCTTTGACTCTCGCATACTTCCTTGCATCTTTCCTGACTAACATACAAAATTACAGAATCGTAAGATACCTTCTTAAAATGTTACTTTAATACGCAGCTTAAAAATGATTACCTAAGAAAACGATGTCTTCAACTTGTACCCGTCCAGTACGTCCAATCTCCATAGCTCTGTGGGTCATTTCAGTGATGAATTCTATTACCAAGTCCTCCAACAAATCGACACTCTCCGTATAAGGATTCTGATCATCTCCGAAACCATACATCATACAGCGTAATTCTTTGGAAAAAAGCCGTTTCCTACCACCTGGCAAGGTTCCTCCAATTGGAATCTCTGCCTCTTCATCCTCGAACTGCAAAAATTTCACGAATACATTTATAAAAATATTACTCCATTCTCTAATTATAGGTTAAGTCATGTAAGTTTTCAATATTTTCTTTAGCTGTATCTTTGATTCCATAAAAGGCAATATCATGATAAATATATTCTGATTAATTGTCAAATATGTACCTGCTCAAAACCTTCCTCTGCGGCCATTAGGAAAAAGAAAACTTGTTGGTTTTCTGCTCTGAAAAATAAAATTCTTAACAATTGTCAAATTATTGTCAAATATTTTAAACCAAAGAGTATTAGAGACTAAGAGGACGAACTTATGATAAGAATTCATGTGCGCAATGCTCTGTTATAAGCAGTGCCCTCACGTGGCGTTTAGGAACCTTTAAGAAATATTCTTGACACATTTAATCGACCTAAGTTGACTATCTAGTTCAGTGCAGAATTTACAAAAATAACCTCTTTCGGCGTCGTACATACACATACACTGTTATGGATTGCGGTAACTGAAGAATTGAATTTTTGCAATAACACTATAAAAATGAATTTGCTAAACGGGTGGTTGATCAATAGGTATGTAACGACAGTTTTCTTTGCCTGACATCGTTAACTGAAGCTAGTATTTGATTTTCAACATCTTACATTTGCAAGATAATTTTTCTAATATCTGACTGCAACTCGTAATGATTTCATGTTAATGTTTCTGGTGAAATAGCTAATTACAAATGATTTGTTAATATTCTCACAATTGTAGGAATGCGGTGTTCCGTATGATCGTACGATTGCAATCAACGGCTACATCCACTTCTGCTTCACCGAACCCAGAGATTGTGATTCCACACAAAAAAGAAAGAGGACCGACTGATATTTTAAGAGTATGTAATAGTATATATTTAAATATGTATCATTATGTATGTGGACGATTAATATATATTATTTTATTTCCATGCTATAGGCCTTATCACACACGATTTCACATGATTCAACGGCTGCTCATTATAAGTTTCACGATGATCCATACTTTACACCCTTATCAATTAATTCAAAACGTAGATACGCTCTAGCAAAAGAATCAGGTAGAAAAGCTGCTATGTGGATTCTTCAAGAGCATGCTGATCTTTTTCAACATAGATTATCAGAACCTAAAATAGAGGTAATTACTTGTTCCATTTTTAAAGAAGTTTTGTCATAATTTTGGGAACATATAATAAATATATGCCATCTTATCATTGGTATGTACTTTTTAGGCATTTGCTCCACGAGCTGTTTATGACAATAAAAATGATGCTACAGAAGATGCTTTACTAAGTGCAATAAATCATGGAAGAGTCACCGATGCGATTAAGATTTATGAATTATTAGAAGGGGAAATATCAACAACGGGTAAACAGGCTCTTCTAGAATTACTTTGTTTTTATAACTCAACAGACCCACAAAGTAATGAGTTACATGAGGAACGTTGGTTTCAATATGCACAGAAAAATGTAGTTCTCTGGAAGTAAGTTTGCATCATTACATAATCATATCAAAGCCTTAATTTCCTGATAACATGCAGTATATATCTGGTATTTATTTGCTCCATTATAATTTCAACATATAATTTTAGGGACAACGAAATAATACAACAATTATTTACATTTTTAAAAAGACAGGAAGAAACACGTGCACTCGCTTACAATACTTTGATTTCTGGGACCGCCAAATATCTTCAGGTACTTCTCATTACACTTTGGTATTAATGATCATACAGAAGTCACATATCCACAATTATATTAAAGGGATCACAAGTTCTTTTAATACAAAAGTGAAATTGTTCTCTTGAAATATATGTAATGAATGATTTTATTTTTGCTAATTGACAGGTTATGACAACATGGGATTTATATGCAGAGTGCAAAGAAAAAAATATCCCTTTGAGTATCACCACTTACAATTATTTAATAGCAACGATACCAAACTTTAAATATATTATGGAAGAGCGAAAAGAGCTACTTTGGGAAATGTTAAAAGAAATTAATACAAATGGAATTAAACCTAATGTTAGAACATTGAATGCCGCTTTAAAAGTTGTTACTGCTGCATCAACTACATATTCACAGAAACTATCCAAGGACCTTGTCAGAAAGCTATTAACAGAGTTTAAAAATATTGGTATTAAGCCAAGTTTAGCATCCTACTATTACGTTCTACAAGCGTTCTACCAACCTAGTAAGAAATTCATTTCTTTGTTTAAAAATATTCTACCCAACTTCGTATTATTTTTTCTACAACTCATTAAATTATAAATATAGAGGGAACTATAAGCAACATCTTAGTAGAAATTATAAAAGAAGCAAGAACGCAAGACTTGACTCCACAAGATCCGCAAGATATCTTATTTTTTTCAACTGCAATGAAAGTGGCAAAGGAATATTTCCAAGATCGAAGTATTACTGCATCGATACATGACTTGCTAATGAAAGATGACAATTACAATTTTATTGGAAATGCTGGAATGGTAATAACAGAATACATTGTTACATTTGCTAGTTGGTCGTATATTGAAATAATATGAATATTTTATTTGCAGGAGGGCTCTTACTATCGTAATTACATGAACTCATTGCTGGTAACAGAAACATTTGAACGATTCATGGAGATATACAATACATTGGTGCCAACTATTTACATCCCAGAGTCATCTGTTTTTACTAATATATTGAATGCAGTTCAGAGTAACTCACCAGACATTGGACAATCATTGATACCATTATTATGGTCCCATATGGTGATGTTTAATTTTCTTGACAGGGACACTTTAGTACTTCAGATATTAAGACTGATGAGTGTTGAATGTCGTCCCGAAAAAACATCTCCACTGAACCAACAATTTGCTGAAATTGCTTGGACTGTTTGGACATACTTTCAGGTTTGTAACATCTTATTAACCAAATTTTCATAGTTTTGATTAAACAAAAGAGAACTCCATTTAGATTATATAGAAATAAATTTTTCTTTAAAATAAAATGGGTATTTTTTCAGGAAAAAAATTCGAAACTATTGCAAACCATAAATTGGCCTATCGCAGTGTTTGCATGTGTAACTCAACTTTTAATACGTGGGGATCAGTTTGAAAAGATGATAGAGCTAATAGCCTATGTGACAACGGAAGAGAGCATTACAACAGGTACTTTACCAGACGATGCTTTCGAAGAGATGCTTCTTACCTGTATCAACGAAGGGTACATAAAGGAGTGTTTCGTAAGTGTAATTTTTTGTTCTGCGTCCTTAGCTGTTGAACTGTATTTTTAACTAAGGTTTTCAAATTTCAGCTCTTATTGGAATATGCAGTTAAAGTGGGATATGATAACACAAATATGCTCGCAAAGAAAATCTGTCATACGTTACCATTAAACTCGACAGAGAAAAATAAGTTAATTAATTGGTTCGGGAAAGATATATTTGAGATTTCACACACACTTATTTAATAAACTGTGATTGCTTCTTTGTACATACATACATAGAGATTTATTTAATACTTCGCATGTCAGTGACCCAACATTAAATATCTCTGAGTAATCCGATAAGTCTGCAACGGTCTTAAGTACAAGTGATTACCTTTTATTCATTTCAGAGTATCGAATAAAATTATTTTATATTCTTTGTAGCGAGGCAGATGCATCAATATAAATGCGTCGTCCATTGGTTATGGCTTTAAGAAATTCAATCGTAAGCCATTGTTCCAGATTCCATTTGAGGCGCACGATGACCATGGTAAAATATTACTGTAACACATAATTGAACCCAGGTCCCTCGAACGAGCGCCCTCCCCATCGAAGAATGTAAATTGCACCGATGATTGACACATATCAATGTCCTTGTCCCTTGAGTTTTATTGGAACGATCAGTGAATTAAGTTTCAGAACGGTGGGAGGCTGAGGTCCCCTGTCAGGCAAACGCTCATTTCCTGCATTACACCGTGAAACATCGTATCTCCCCAGTGTATTGTGTGGTTGCACCGAGAGAACCCCAGGTACACCTTCGGTCTACAATAAGGAAGTCGAGGAGCGGCGTCAGTGCAACAACCGAGAAACAACATTAAGAAAAGACAAAAAAGCAGCTAAGAAATGGAACATACAGGAGAGATTACACATTTGACTCTGGACATGGTACGCCAGCTCATAGCCACGAACGAATCCGACGTGGAAATCACAAATTTACAGGAAGAGCCAGGATCCGGAAGAGGAGACAATTACACTTCTATGCTATATCGGATCCGAGCGAAAGGTGTTAAGCATTTAAAAACTGGAGAATCGGTCCCTTGCGAGCGTTCTATCATTTACAAGGTATTACTAATTAGTACAGTTCATTCGGTAGCCCCTACGTCAATCAATTCAATCAATTCAATCGTCTACCACTGCTGCAACGGTAAATGCAGACGTACGTATACAGAGACATTCAAAGCTCATTTAACAGATTCTTGCTGCAAGATCAAGGGTGAAGAATTACATAGAATGCGTTGCAAATGAGAAAACTGAAAAACTTGTCTCATAGCTCAACTCGTTAATATACTTAATTTTTTTTTTTTAAGGTCTTGCCACAATCCAGGGAACGTAGAGAGGCGTACAAAAGTGAAGTGCTCTTCAGGAACGAAGTGGCATTTTATACCCACGTGTGGCCTGCTTTGGATAAACTGCAGGTAGGAGGAAAAAGTGTGTTCAAAGGAGTAGCCAAGATCTACATAGCAAGGGACAATCTAATAGCCATGGAAGATTTAAGAGAACGAGGTTTCCAAATGGTCGACAGGCGGAAAGGTTTAGAGCTGGACAATCTGAAGCTCGTTCTGAAAGCTCTTGCCGGTTTCCACGCCCTCAGCTTGACGCTACGAGAATTAAGGTAAGATTTATAAATAACTACCTGGCGTTGCATTCAATAGCAACGTAAATTCCACACAAATTGTATTAATCATTTCCACCGCGGCAGACCCGAGGAATTCGAAGGACTATCAAAAAAAGGCGGCGACGGCGTCGAGGAGACCCTTTTTCGAATGGAAAACGAGGACTGGTACAGACAATACTACCGAGTAGCCGCAAATAATGCCATTGCGATGGTTTCCGGAGAATTGGCAGTCCGCATGGAGTCTAACAAAGAAGAAGTGATACAAAAGTTAAAAGATTTCCTCAACGAAAATACGTTTTTCCGCACCATGAGCGAATTAGCCGCAGCTCAAGGCCCACTCACCGTATTTTGTCATGGAGATTGCTGGACGAATAACATCCTTTTCCGGGACCCACGAGCCTCGAGTACGGACACTTTGGAAGTAAGTGGACGGCATTGAGTTAATATTCATACACGAATACATTTTAATTACCACCTTTCCACAGGACGTTTACCTGGTGGACTTTCAAATATCTCGCGCAAGTTCTCTGGCCCTTGATCTAGTAAATCTATTGTACTGTTGCACAACCGGCAAAGTAAGACAGGACAACATGATCCAGTTATTGAAGCATTACCATTCGTATCTGATGTCAGCCCTGCAAACGCTTGACCCGAAAGAGCCTCCAAGAGATCCTTCTGCCTTGTGGAAAGTGTAAGTCGGCGGTTCTCCTAAAATGAAGCATGAATTAAAATGAATATCCGATTAATTGAAAGGTGATTACAGACTGGACGAGGAGATGCGCCGATGTGGTCGATTCGGATTGGGTCTAGCTCTGGACGTTCTGCCTATCAGTACGTGTGATAGCGACAAAGCTCCAGATTTGTACGAAGGTGCCGAGGCGAATGAAAATTGTAAAACTCGAGCTCCTCCTCCGGGAGGTGCCGAATGTTCTCGTCTGATGACTGATCTAGTGTTGGAATTGATTCAAAATAGTGCCCTTTAGTTGGAATTTCCCGTAACAATGAAATACAGGATTTTGGAGTATAAAGTAAAAGAACATGATCGCGAGCCTAATATTAATCATCGCCTTAGGATACCGAGAAGAGCGACAACGCGTTTGGAGAAATTCCGGCGAGTAATCGGACGTTTTACTTTCGTAATAGTGTATTGTACACAAAGAACATGAGTCGGTTACAATACGTGAATTATAATGAGGACGCAAGGTCTGTGGATGTAGGTCGAAACGCGATCCAGAGTTACGTGTAACGCCGAGCATGAACGCTATCTCTTTCAGCTCTTTAAAGTTGAATCATTACAATAAAATCCACCCTTATTTAATGCTCTCTCTCTCTCTCTTTCTCTCTCGTTGATTTTTATAAGAAATTCTAAACCTACTAATAATGGAATAATACACTGTGCCTAAGGAAACGGAGGTTTTACAGTAGCCATTGGTCTTTTAAACGCCCTCCGTTTATCCGAAGAAAGACTTAGTCTCCCTTAGGATGTTACACAAAAGCCTGGACAATAATTAAATGAGACGTTGCAGCCCTTTGGATATCCTCGAAACGGGCTCTTATAAATACATGCCCGAAGGAAATAATCGCTCGTTTCCTTCTGTCGAATCCCGGAGTTAATTTTAATTGCTGAGGATTAATTTAAAAATGATCCCTGTCATGTTCGTGGAACCGTCTCACCTTTGTACAGCCGGAACATTGATCGCTACTTTCCGCATCCTTCGCGAGATGTTCTTATAGCGATCGAAAGAGGAACAGGCGGTCAGAACTTCATCAGTCGATCTATCAAAAATGTAGAGCCGTGTTCTTATCGATACTATTACTATCTCTGCAGCACAACATTCTTACAAAATTAAATCAATGTATTTCTACATTTCACTGGACAGTATTAATAGAAACAAATATACTTTTCCTTTCAGTATTAGCAAATGCCTCATAGTATTTGCAATTTTTAATTTAGTATACATAAATCTCCTGTACCCCGAGGAAAATACTATGTAAAAAATATACTGATACTCGAAGCAAAAGCAAATATTCCTTTATATTAACACCACCTATCGATGTCGGGCAATACGCTCAAATTAATGTGTTGCCTCCTTGTAGAAGTTCCCCGCAGGAATGTCCATTCCTCGTTCAGGAATACACTTCTCATCGGCGGTATATTTGTCTATGACACGGCTTCGTAAAAAATATGATGGAACAAAAAATGTATTCGTATAGATTTGACGAACAAGGAACGTCCATTACTTCGAGGCGCCTTTACCGTCTATGTGCAAAAAAACCGGCCTAGCTCTAGTACTCATTTTATACGCAGTTGTTGAAGCAAAAGAAACACTCGCCAAGAAAACTGTCGTTAGTTTTTCCCTTGTACAAATCCTAAAAGAAATACTGACGGACTGCGGCATTCTAGATCACCTTTTTCCAAGATTCCCCGAAAAATGTATCTCTCAGCTGATCGGTACGAAGCGCGGGTTGCCTCTGAGAATCTCGTGCAACCATTACGGAACGTCCTGTGCGGGCACCACAGAAGTTGCTCTGTACACAAATAAACCACGATAAAGTTTTACGCCTGTTGAGGAGGAGTGTGCGGTGGAGGTTGTTGGGCTTGAGCCTGAGGACTCGGAGGTTGCTGCTGTTGCTGTTGGGCACTCGGTTGCCAAGGAGGATGCTGTTGATTCTGCTGTTGCTGCTGCTGTTGTTCCTGGGCGAGTCGTTGATGAGCCTGCTGCCTAGCCCTAAATTCGGCAGCCTTGAGCTGCTCCAAGTGGAACTGTTGCCTCTCCGTGATCAGCTGTTGCCTTTGGTACTCGAGTCCCTCGCGTTCCCGTTCCATCGTAGTCTCCAGTTCCTCGAAATGTCGGAGCTTGATCTCTAACTTCTTCATCTGGGTTTCCACCAGAAGAGCAACCAAGGATTTTATCTTGCGCTCTTCCACAGCCGCTAAATGCTTCGCCTTGACTGCCGCAGCGGCCAAGGCTGCTGCCGCCGCTGACTGCAGCTGGGCATCTTTCACCACCTGAATAATAAATTATTAACGCTTAATATAATTAACCTTACTAACTTATATGTATACAGATTCGAATTTCAAGATCGGATGTCAAGCACCGCAAATGTACGAATAAATTCAGAATAAATTGAACCTTCTCCTTCTTCTCTTTCGCTTCCGTGTCCTCTGCCCCGTCTGTCACTTTAGGCTTGGTTTCGCCTTCGCTTTCCTTCAAATCGACTTCCATCTTTTCCGGCTGTTCCCTCTCTCCGTCCGCAGTGTCTTCCTTCTTCGGAGTCTGCGGGGGTTGCGGGTTCTCCGGGCTTTCCTTTGGTTTCTCCGGCTGTTCTTCTTTCTTAGCTTCCGCTGCCGACACAGAATGCGGCGAGGTAGCTGCCGTCGAAGGACCAGTGCTCGGAGCTGCAGATGCCGCAGGATCTTCCGGCATTTCCGGTGATCCCGTCCCCGCAATTCCAGATTCAGCCAGACCAGCCGCTGGGTCAAATTTCCCTGTTAGCGGAAAATTAGATTATTATCCAAAAATAAATTACCCTAAACGTACAAAGTGGCAATTATTACCGTCAGAATTAGCGCTAGCTTGAACGTTCCTTAAATGTTGGTCCAGTAGAATAGTAGGTACTTGATCTTTAATAGCTGCGAACTCTTCCATGGCTGCTTTCGCTGCACTTGCTGCGACTCGAGGATCCACGACAGAAGCGAGGAAAGCCACAGTACTCATAACAGGGTTTCCAGCTTTCGAGAAAGGAATTGGTTGGTAGGCCAATGGGCCCAAGCCTTCCGGTCCACCTTCTTCGAGGTATGGGTCTTCGATTGGTAATCGTAAGAAATGCAAAATGCACTCATCTTGTGTCCTCGAGCCAACATGTTCGCACACTTTATTCCAATCATCTTTATGAAGCTCTAGACCTTCCAATAACAAGAGAGTCTCTTGTTCCGTCCAATCTCGAGTGGCTCCAGCTGCTTGTTTATTTTTCAGGACGGCTGGCTTCCTTGAATACTGATCGATCTTTAGGCCAAAGTTTGCCATCGGTCCAGCTGCGCTCTTTTCCTCGGGTGCAAGAATATTCGGTGCACTTGGTTTCTTTTCCAGATCTAGTAAAGTCTTCGCTGCGGATGGCTGAGGAGTCTTCGGTGGGTTTGGATTAACCGGTGCTAGACCAGATGGAGTATCGGACAAAACATGGAAATGTGATGTTGGTGGAGGACCCATAGGAGTTGGTCTAGACTCTGCGTCTACTTGATAATTAATCAAACCCCACTGCTCCAAAAATGCATGGACGCGCATAATTGCACAAACATCGCCAGCCAAATTGCGCCTAAAAAATATTCCGAATTGTTAACATAAATTGTAAGATTATTTTTACTGCATTACTTAAAATAACTATGGTATCTGGGTAATTATTCTAAGAACGTCTACCTGCAGGCTGTCGAAGTGATGTACTCCGTAGGATTCAATCTGTACGTATCGATCATAAAATTTCTATAAGCTAGATAAATCTCTGGAGTTTTAGATTTGTTTTTGCCATTGAAGAATTCGGAAAGAGCACGTTTTTCAATGGTGTGTATCGAATTGTAGTCGAACCAAGCCGAATAACTTGGCACAACAATGTGATGAGTTTGTTCCGTGACATTATCCTCTGGTTCGTCTCCTTTTCCTCCTTCCCCTCTTTCTTTACTCGTATCCCTTTCTTCTCTATCTTGATTCCCTTGTGCACTGCCTTTGTCACCTGGAATAATGACAAATTTTAGATTACGATTGCTAAAAATCATTCATTATAAGTAAGACCTATATAACGTACCTTCTAATGGTTCATCCAAGTCAGCCATATTTCCAGACTTAAGTGGTTGTAGTTCGCTGTCTTGCTTCTTACTCCCTGTAGATGTTAAAGAGGTACTTCCCGTAGAACCACTACCTTGACCGGCAAGAGGTGCATTTGTAGGAGTTGCGACAACCTCTACAATTCTTGGCTCTGCCGGTGGATCTTCCATTCCTTGTGTCAGATCTTCTTCTTCTTCTCCTGCGGCACGAGACTTTTTAGGAGTTGCAGATGACGACGATGATGAAGACGTACCCTGAACTCCTGATGGTCCTCTTCCACTGTACAAATAACAAAAGTTAGATCAACCGAAAGCAAGTTTACATGAGAAAATTCAAAGGTGGTCATTTTTACCTCTTTCGCTTTCCAAGTTTTGGTAAAGGACTTGGAGACCTTTTTCTTTTCTGTTTCTTTGCAGCTGAAGGCGGTGGATGAGATGGTTGGGCCATAAGATCTTCCACGGAAAGTCTGAATTTATGAACTTTCTTTTGACCACTTTCATCCACTTCGTAATCTTCTTCATTCATCCATTCATTGTACTGATCAAGATCCAATGCCCAGGTAGCCGATACTTTGTACGTAGCTCTTAAAGAAATAAATGAAATAAAATTAAGAGTTAATATACTGGATGGAATCAATGATATCACCATATTTTGTTAATAAAATCGATACCTTGGACTGGCGTTAGCAATATTGCCTTCTGGGAAATCCCATGGAAGATCGAGGCTCGTCCATGAGTCGTAACTATCAGGAAAGTAATACCAATGAAGCAAAACAGATCTATCTCGTCGCATGCAAGGTCGTGCATATTCCTCCTCCATAGGGTCTACTAGTGGATAAATAATATGCGTTGCATCTGCTTCATTTTCCGCTACTGTTCCTTGATGTCGGCGAATTGCTTCTTTTACTTTTGTAGCAGTTGCTTTGTCAACATCGGACTTCACATGGATACAAGGTACGGTCATACATCGATTTTGGATTAATGAACGTTCTGCCGCCATTAACATTTCTACAACACGGTCCATTCGTGTACCTGACTGAAATTTGGTAAGCCATAGATTATAAACAGATCCGCTTTAATAATTAAGAAAAGTCTTGAAGATTATATCGTATAGATTATAATACATCTTACTTTGCCAACTGGGAAATCAAATCGTCGCCACCCTTGTTCATGCTTAAATCGATAGGCAGTTGCTAAAATTTGACATAAGCCTCCTCCAGGCTTAAAGTCTAGGAAGCATTTCACCTAAAAAGTAACAATATTTTAATCACAGCTCTGGAAATGTTTAATTCTTTATTTATACTGCATTACATACAGGAAGTCTCGTCATCGGAGGTTTCGCAACATTCTTTCCCAGATTATCTTCTTGAAACTGTAGTAGTTGTATAATTAAAGTGGATAAACTCTTATTGGTTGGTGGATCCGTTTGTACATACTGAAATACATGAAGCAGGAAACAAAAATTATAAAAAACTGATCTGGGGAGAATGGTAATAGTCGCTTGTAAAGTATGACCTCTATTTTATAAATATAAAATTATTTGTGATTTGAGATATACAAAACTGCATCAAATATTACATGATTCAATTGAAAATATATTAAATACTGTTCAAGGAGTACAAAACAGTATACAGTATGGTAAAATCGAAGGACCTGCGGGCTGCTAAATTATTGACCAAATTCATCTGTAGTGGTAGAATTAAGGTTATCAGTACGTGGACAGAAAATAAGCCCTCGAAAATGTAAAAAAAGCACATTTATAGGATAACATAAAGCCTTAAAATTAAGCGTTGGGTAGAACAAATATCCAATGCGACAGGAAGGCATCAAATTTCAGCGTTAGACGCCGGGTTTCCACGTACCTTTTTGCAGTTTTTCAGAAGCCACTGTTTAACTCCATCGAGCTGTGCGAGAATCTCAGCGGACTCAAAGAACTTAACGTTCGGTCCGCCGTCCTTTTTCGGGCCTAGAGAGAGCATTTTCAGGAAATTTTCACTCAAAAACCGTCAAGAACGCCACTGGACAACGCCGCGCCGATCGCAAACATTACACGCCTCTGAAGTTGGCCGAGTCCATTTACCGCCTCTGCTGTCAAAGTACGGTTAAATATTCTGGCCTTTTTAAATATTTTATTTTGCAAGAGGTTTAGAGAATTATTATAAATAATTACTCGGAGTCAAACTGGCAGAACCACTAGTCGCTTTTCCTGAAAAATGTGGCGGTGGGGTTAGACGTGAAGATGGCGGCAATCGAAGAGCTTGGCCAACATAATGCGCTAACCTAACCTCAACGGTCGTCTAAAAACGTCAGAAGGAATTTTTTGATTTTAGAGTAATACGTGAGAGAATCCTATCGTAAGTAGTTTTATTCTCTTAATTGCGATACAAGTTCGGTGGAACTTATCGGTATTTAAATTAAACTTGGGGAAATAACTTTAAGGTTAGGATTCATGATTTTTATGTATATACTGACTCATTTTCTACATACTGGTGAAAACATTGAAGCTATTGTAAAACCGTGCCGAGAGTTCATTAAATTTTTACCTTTCAACTTTATAAAGTCTCGGAATTGTTGAAGGTTATTATTTCAATATTTCAATGTTTTTTATGTTCACGATTCATTTTTAAGTTTACTACATATACAAAATTGCTCATGCATGATTTATTCGCATTATCCCGCCTATACAGGGTGTACGTAAAATTATAATCATACTATATTTAACTTCTACTCCGATATAGAAAGAATCTGGCAAACATGCCACACAAATAAATTTTATTGAAGTAAAAGCCAATATATTGATACTATGATTGAGAATAAATTAAATAATATTTAAATACAGTTTGATAAATGATATTTTTGTAATCTTTTAGGTGGCACAGTGATGTCCAGTACAAAAGAAGACATAGATATAAATGAGGCATTTGATAATTTATTATTTGCTGAAGACATAGCAGAAAGATCTGGGTACGAAGAAGGTTATAAAGTTGGACGAGTTCGTATAATTGATGGATATCATCTTGGTTACCACAGAGGAAGCACATTGGCTGCTCAACTCGGCTATTACAGTGGGATCATTGAATTATGTTTGCTGACAAAACATCTTCCTGACAAAGTTACTTGTCTAGCAAAAAAGTTGCTAGAAGAGATTAATAATTTTCCTAAATTTAATAGCGATACCCTCGACATATTAAACATTTTTGAAAATATTAAATTTCAATATATTAAATTTTGTTCTTTAGCAAAAATAAATGCGACATATCCTGATACTGATAAACTTGACTTTTAGTTTGATATTTTAATCTACTTTTCCCAGAATTGTGTAAAATGAATGAGTATGTGGACCACTTTCAGAAAGTATTGAGCTTCCTTCGTGAACATCAAAACTTAGTAGACTGCCATTTAGTTGACTTTATAACAGACAATTTATGGGAAAAATGTTTACCAGAAAAATTACGGCTACAACTGCAAGAAACCAAACTCACTAACTATTTAAAAAATAAACGCATGCAAGATGACATCGGTACCGAATTGCACAATTTTCTTAAATGTGCAAAGTCATTAGCTATGGATGCATGTCCATTCCTATTGGAACTGAAAGACATACCAGCATTTTTGTCGGATCACTGTAATATTAAATTACATCCAAATGAAGGGAACAATAATAAAGGAAAATTTGAATTCATGAAAAATAAAAAAAGACACGAAGTTGAAATTCTTGCTGGAATTATTTCAAAGCTCTCACAGTTGAATTCAAGTATTGTAATAGACATTGGAGCAGGAAAAGGATATTTATCAACATATATATCAGAAAATTATGGAATTCCTGTCTTGGCCATCGATTCTTCCAAAACTTGTCATAATGGGTCATTAAAGCGCCAACAATTAATGAGAAAGAAAAATGCCCAATCTACGTCATTAGTATGTCTGAAAAATTATAAATATAATATTAGCGTGCTAAAAATAATATTTTTAATGTGTTCAGACCTTTCATTTTATTTTAGGTACATTATTTAGTACATCATGTCAATGAAAACACAGACTACTTTAAACTAATAAAAGAGAATTGTCCTAATTATGAACAATGGAGTAATGTGATACTGACTGGATTACATACGTGTGGATCTCTGTCACTGGCCATTTTAAGGACTTTTATAAATTCAGAACAAATTAAAAGTCTTTGTGTGGTATCATGCTGCTATCACTTAACTCAAGAATGCCTTAACGGTCAGTATGAATTTTCCAAAAATGCAAGAATGCTTGCTCAACAATCGATGGAAAGAATCTCCAAGAAGGAAGAATCTCTCTCTCCATCGCTGTTTTACAGAGCGGTATTACAGGTCCTTCTACAATCAATGGGTAAATGAAATATTCTTCCGTATTTCTTAGCATATATTTGTCATGTATAGAATGGAAATTAAAAACAGTTACTTTAAAAATCCCACCAGGAAAATCTGAAATCAGAATAGGTCGCGGTGCGCCTTTGAAAAATTTTCCAACTTATGCAATCTGGGCTTTGAAAAAAATTGGGATTCACTCGGAAGAGGTATTTACAATTTTTCGAATATGTTGAAATTATATTGTACCACTTTCTTGATACAAGCTTGTTCACAGATTCCATCGGAGAAGGAATTAGAAGATCTATATACAAATTACATAGAATTAGAATGGAAAATGAACATTTTCCAATTGCTGAGAGTGTACATGGGTTCTGTCCTAGAAGCTGCCATACAGCTGGAGAGGGTAATATACTTGCAACAAAGTAAGCAGTGCTCCAAAGCTGCAATAGTGCAGCTCTTCAATCCTGTTCTATCTCCAAGATGTTACGCAATAATTGCATTAAAATAATTTTGGAGATACGGCAAATTGAAATAAGCAAAGTACAAAATGTACAAATTTATTTTCACTAATAAAGTCAGTTGTGAGATATAGTCTATATAAAATTTGGAGTACTGTACATAGAAATTGGTTAAAATATGTAAAATGTTAAACTTTCAAGTTTTTATTGGCAATCATGAAACACTGATAATTATAGAAATATCTTCGAGACAGTATTCTAATAAAACTTGAACAGGAATGTCTTAAGTAATACTGCATAATACCTAATAAATTATCCATGAATTATGGGTTGTCAGTTTCAGCTACTTGCAAATAATCCATAACGGATGAAAATCCTTCTTCTTGTACAGTGGGTGCTAAAATCCCTGTTGGTCGTTGCCCATTTCTAGTTCTGCAGATGCTACAATTACACAATCCTCGGCAAGGTGGGCAAATCCAATTCTGGAATGAAAACTTATATAAAAATGTGTTTAAAATATGATTTAAATGTGATAAATAGCACCATTAAACATACAGGATCTTTTAAAGCATCCACAGCACTTTCGCCATATCTGCCACGTAAACAAGGCCCACAGAATTGCCCTCTGACACCTATGCATTCCCCGGACCGGCATACCGTTTTCGTATCCAATGTCTTTTGTCTACACTGATGGCAACTCGAACCATTTATTTTAGAATATGTTTTACCAGAGCTTTTCTGTGCTACATTTTCTAACATTTCTTCCGTAATCTCATCAGGCGAAGGTATACTTTCTGGATCATAAGTTGACCGTGTTACATTTGTACTCGAACTTCTATTGCTTCCTATGAAAATATCATCACTTTCAGAACTAGTATTTTGATCCTCTTGATCTGGAAAACTGAGCGTCATCAACTGTATGGTACGTTCGAATGGTTTCGCCCAAGGAAACAAAATTTGAAGCTTTTTTCTCTTTCTGCCCGATCGGCTTTCCTGTTCGTCATCCGAGCTATTGTAAGCATCGGAAGCATCGTTCCTTGATTCACGAGCCTTACTTCTTGTATTATACCGTTTACGAAATTGAATACGAACACCAGCAGACTTGAAAGTACCTTCGTCATCTTTGCTCTTCCTGCGTCTCTTTCTCGGAGGGAGGTTTTCGTCATTCTCTAATTGTAAATTACTTTTGTTAGTTTCATCCTCTTTTTGCACCTCGTTGGTCTCTTTCTTTAAATTTTGAAAGAACTCTGCAAACTGTGGACAAAAACAAGCGTTTCAGTGAAACTCATTGTTATAGGTTAGGAACATTTAACTCGACATTATACTCACAAGCGCATTCCTTTCCTCAATATTTTTCTGTCGAAGAGCTTCATAGTCACTCATATCAACTTCAGTGAAAAAGAGATGGTTTCCTTTGGCTTTAATTCACTTATCGACAGGTTAGATGACGCGGTAACTGGTGGAAATTCAAAAATTTCCAACAAAAGCCGGTAACCCTCCCTTCCACCAGTTTGGACCACTTCCGGCATCTTCGGAGTTCGAAGGGATGAGATGTCTGTATTTCTGCCTTTAAAAAGCCCCGGATTGTATATGTCCCCTTGGTCAAAAGAGTCCATTAGGTTGCATCTCGGCAGGCGCATATATTATTAAAATCCATCGAAAAGTACTTGCATCATTTTATGTCATGTAATAACATCAAGAAACGAAACAATTCCACAGCCAGTCTCATAGTAATCTCTGTGAGTAGTACAACGTGTAAGTATAAGATGTCTGAAATCAATGGTGGGTCACAAAAAAAAAAAACATTTGAAATACTTACGATGCGTACACATACATATAAATACCCGTCATGAGTAAGAAGCAATTGTACTCCATGTAAGAAGCTAATAACTCCGAGACGGCTCGCAGCTAATCTTATCATGATTGTAGATAGAACGTCAGTTTACTTGGGTGACATTTAACGATAAGCCCGTGAGTTTCGAAAATCACCTAAATAGAAGGAAATGTAAAAATTCAGCATGCCGTGACAGAAGAAATTACCGCAAAGAAGTTCCAATAAGAACTTGAACGATTTTCAGGTCAAGGTCCAAAAACGAGTCGCAAGGAATATTCCACGTCCTATAAATAATAGTATGGCGGCACACTCTTCTTAAAATACCTGTTTTTAAAAATGGCCCCCCTCTCTTTCAGGTATCTGGAAGCGAAGTTATTCTCCAGAAATGTCCAAGGGAACCGCATCGCAACCGAAACGCTCTTTCCCATATCTTTTCATTTTCTGGGTTTGGTGATTACCCGGAATTATCCATCAACTCATTGACAACTGCGGCTTCCTTATCGCTGGGACGACTCGTGAGTGACCTAACAATAAGCGATCGTATTGGAGAGTCGGTAAGCCGGTATCTCTCCGTTCTAGCGAAGGCGATTTATTGGTTCTGCTCGGCTCAATGATAAATGATAAAGTCGAAGACGACCCAAGTCCTCGGTCAGTCTAGTTTCGTTCACTTGACAATTGTCTACACCTCGAGTGCGCTCGTCAGGATTTCCTGGGAGACTTTCGACATAGGCTGAGCCAAGGTACGTGCCATGGATAATTAAATCTTACAATTAAGGGATTATCCACGATTAAGGAGTTAATATAGCCTAGCCGATATCAAACCTACAACTTACGATATGAATGTAAATTACACGACTGACGCGAAGTTCAAGGCTCCCGAGATAAATGTGCAGAGGCGGTTATTTAATCTCCCATCGTTTATAAATCCAGCTCCTTATCGGTTGAACACCGACCTGAAACAAGCCGTGGAATTAATTTCGGATAGCGCACTTACCATTAAAGTAAATAAAAATTCAGTTTCATATTTCCGACCGTATGGTAAAACGTGGACTGATAAGTGTACCTTTTCCTTTTTACAAACAGTCAACATGGCACCCTTAGCCAGATTAATTTCAAGATCGATCAAGCCTCGCAGAGAGGCGAAAACGCTGCGAGTGCAATTTTCAAGAGGCCTTACATCCCAAGAAGTATTTTCCCGAGAGGACAAGTACGGCGCCCATAATTATCACCCATTGCCAGTGGCAATTAACAAGGCCGAGGGAGTATTCATGTGGGACGTCGAAGGCAAAAGATACTACGACTTTCTCAGCGCTTATTCTGCCGTCAATCAGGGTCATTGCCATCCGAGGATCTACAAAGCATTGGTGAACCAAGCCAAGAACCTCACGTTGACTTCGCGAGCGTTTTACTCTGACGCTCTGGGAGAGTTCGAGGAATTTATCACGAAGCTGTTCGGGTGGGTACATGATAGCATTCGAACGATACGAACCTCCTATTTCCGGATAAAAAATAGATTAATACAATCGGCGATCACGATCGCGCTATTCGACAATATTATCAGGCTTGATACCATGGCTGAGATGAATGCCGACGTCATGAACAAAATCAGCTACAGCAATGCAGTGTATCATTTATATTAATATTTCCTAGATACGACAAATGGCTGCCAATGAACACGGGAGTCGAAGGCGGGGAGACGGCCTGCAAGTTGGCTCGAAAATGGGGCTACACTAGCAAGGGAATTCCCGACAATAAGGCGAAGATCGTCTTCGCGGAGGGGAACTTCTGGGGAAGGACCATGAGTGCGGTGTCCTCGAGTACCGATCCGTCCAGTTATTCCGGCTTCGGTCCTTTCATGCCAGGATTCGAATTAATTCCCTACGACGATCTTCCTGCTTTGGATAAAATTTTGGCGGATCCACATGTGTGTGCCTTCATGGTAGAGCCTATTCAAGGAGAGGCTGGAGTCGTCGTGCCTCAGGTAATTTTTTCTAACGGATGATTAAGGCTGTGCTGCTGATTATATATAATTATCACATTCGTAACAAAAATGAATTCTTAGGAAGGGTACCTGAAAGGGGTCCGGGATCTCTGCACGAAGCACAACGTTCTCTGGATAGCGGATGAGGTCCAGACCGGTCTTTGCAGAACCGGGAAACGTCTGGCCGTAGATCACGAAGGCGTGCGACCGGATATCCTGATCTTGGGAAAGGCTTTATCGGGTGGTTTCTTTCCCGTGTCAGGGATATTGGCCGACGACCCGGTCATGCTTTGCATTAAGCCCGGAGAGCATGGCTCCACGTATGGAGGGAATCCTCTTGGATGTAGAGTCGCCATGGAGGCGCTGAAAGTTCTCGAGGAGGAGAAGCTTGCGGAAAATGCCGAGAAGCTCGGCAAGATCCTTCGAGATGAATTGAATAAGTTGCCGAGAGACGTGGTAACTCTGGCTCGTGGGAAAGGTCTTCTTAACGCGATCGTGATCAACAAGGAGATAGATGCCATGGATATATGCTTGAAATTGAGAGACGAAGGCTTGCTGGCCAAGCCTACGCATGGACACATCATCAGACTTGCTCCTCCGCTGGTAATCACCGAACCGCAGATTAAAGAATGCACCGACATCATATCCAAAGTCATCCTAAACAATTAAAAAAAGAATTAATTAATGACGCCGGCTCATTTTAATATTGTATCATTTCATTCTTTCCACGTCTGACTGGAGTTCTGGAGACAATAAATATTTTTCTACGTTCACGTTTCAGTTATAGTCTTTGTATAATCTTCAACTATTTCTAGATGTAAAAGATATTTACCTACGTGCAAGCGCGGCCGTCATTTTGATAAGTCAATCAGGACTGACAAGATATTGTAAATTGGTACCAGGCGAACTTTAATATACACTAATCTAAATTAAGAGATCGTTTAAAAAATATCCAACATGCTGTCATCCAATTGCCTGATAATTTTCACTTCGGATATCACCTCTCCGATAAAATGTCGGTTCAGTCGATTCATTGATATCTCGCCACACGATTGATAACGTTGTAGATTGCACAATCGGTAAATTTAGGAAACCTTGATATCACAAGATGCACATTAAATTTGAATCGGGATGTTTTCTGCAATTCCGTAGACTTGGAGTTTATTACCTCGGCGCCAGTGTCCGTATCTTTAGGTGACTTTCTTCGACTGCAAAGGGAGCCGTGAATTATCTTTGTTTACTATAAGCAAAGCGAAATGCATATCTCCAACAGTCGAGGGAATCGTCAAATAGAAGTTAAGCCTGCAAAAGTGACCCCAGGGACGTATCCAGGGAAACATAGAATTTAATCGCTGTGTTAACGAAAACCAAAGTGTGCTCTTAGTCACGGTGAGATTTTCGTCAGTGGAGGAATTTTGTTAAGTGAAATTAATAATCGACAGTAATCGCTGCAGGTAAATACCGCCGAGGTTTATTTGCCATGTGGCGTTTGCAGTGGCTCAGAGGAGTTTGTCATCCCAAGCTTTCAGACTTGTTGCAGAAGACGTTTATTGTTGTCATGGCTTGATACGTCTTGTGTACAAAAACAAAGAGAGCAAACAATGCCGGTCCGTACCTCCACGGTATAAATAAAAGCAATCAGGGATCTTTCCATCAGATATTTATTAAAAGTCGCTTGATGAAGATCTCCACCTCGTTCCATCGACCTCTTCGACCCTGCGAAAAGTGTAAGACGCATAAATAATTGCATTTAATTTCGACGATTCTACGTTCGCATAAAAAAATATACTTACATATATTGTTTATACAGAATCAAGCCCGGTAATAATTAAGCATCATGCAGTCGATAAGAAAGCAAATCCTTACCGTAATGAGGGAGGCGGAGGTGAAGAGGCTCCTGAGTAGTCAGGAAATTATAAATCGGGACGAGAAGTACGGAGGGATACATTTCAAGCCCTTGCCGGTGGTTCTCGCCAAAGGGGAGGGTGCCTTTCTATGGGACATCGATGGCAAAAGGTACCTCGACTTCCTGGCAGGATTCTCGACGATGAATCAAGGCCATTGCCACCCACGTTTAGTCAAGGCCATGCGAGATCAAGCGGGAAAACTTACGCACACGTCTAGGGCCTTCTTCACGGTTCAACATGGCGAGCTGGCGGAATACTTGACGAAGCTCCTGGGTTGGGACAGATTTTTGCCTATGAACACGGGTAAAATTTTCCTTTAATATATCCATTGATAACGGAAGTCATGCTCGATGAGACTTACCGTTCAGATTGTCTAAATTATTTTTTTAAACAGGCGTCGAAGCTGGTGACACCGCGTTGAAGATTTCAAGGCGCTGGGCGTACAGAGTGAAGAAGGTGCCCAGTGGAAAGGCCACAATCGTATTCGCAAAAGGTAATTTTTGGGGTCGCTCATTAGCCGCGATCTCTGCATCCACGGATCCAAATTGCTACACGGATTTCGGACCATACGTGCCACGTTTCGATAAGGTCCCTTACGACGACTTGAAAGCTCTGGAGGAGAAGTTCAAGGAAGACCCCACCGTTTGTGCGTTCATGGTCGAACCGATCCAAGGCGAGGCTGGAGTTATCGTTCCTAAGGTGAAATTAATTCGGTCATGTTTTCGGCTCTACAATTGAGAATTAAAAACATGTAATACTTACAGGAAGGGTATCTGAAGGGAGTTAGAGAGCTTTGTACAAAGTATAATGTTCTTTGGATCGCCGATGAGGTTCAAACCGGGCTTTGCAGAACAGGAGCCAGATTGGCGGTGGATCATGAAAACCAAAGGCCAGATATTTTAGTCCTTGGAAAAGCTCTGTCAGGAGGAATGTATCCTGTCTCTGGAGTTTTGGCTGATGATGCGGTAGGCTAGAATTAACATAAAAAAATTGTTAATTAAATTCCTCCTACTGAAAGTCCGGTGATGTCGCCAGGTAATGCTTTGCTTGCAAACGGGAACCCATGGAAGCACTTTTGGAGGAAGTCCTCTCGCCTGTACAGTAGCATTGGAAGCGGTAAAGATTTTAGAAGAAGAGAACCTTGCGGAAAATGCCAGAAAACTAGGGGACGTCCTGAAAGAAGAATTGGGAAAATTACCAAAGGACATCGCTACCGAATTTCGAGGCCGTGGTCTGTTAGCCGGTCTCGTTATTAACAAGGGTAATATTTTTCCGCCATGCTAATGAATAATTAAAACCTGGGCAGAAAAGTAAAACGATTCTTATGTTGCAGAATTCGCAGAAGGCTGGGATATCTGTCTTAAATTGAGAGACGCTGGATTATTGACGAGACCAGCTCATGGTCAAATTATCAGAATATCGCCTCCACTTACGATCACCGAAGAGCAGTTAAGAGAGGGCTTGAATATCCTTACGACTACCCTACGAAAAATGTAACAATTAATTTGTAATATTTTTATTATACGATATATGAAAGTATTCAAAGCACCAAAGTATGGGAATATTAACTGTAATGTTTTAAATTACCTTCTAATATAAGAGACTTTAACGAACGCATGTGCAGGATTTATTTCACTGGATCCAGATGCATGTGCAGCTGAAATAAAAATGCATCTCGTGATTAATTATTGAAAGCGTATATTACCTTCACTTGGATTCGTACAATTATAAGGCACGTTAATAATTACAATTGCCTATTTCAGTGACTTAATAAATAATTACACGCCGCACAGTTATTTCTATTTACAAGTATCAAATAATTGGTAGTCTATTTTCTTAGGTATGAGATTCGTTATGCCTTTTCGAGTGTCTCTTCAAGCTGAAGGCTTGGGAAAATAATTGATTGCATTGGTCGCACTTAAATGTTTTTAACACCGCGTGTACGTTTAAATGCCTTTTTAAATGGCTTGCCAGTTTAAAGCGTCTTCCACAAAGTCTACATTGATGTCGCCTCTCTAATTCGTGGGAAGCTTCGTGACTCTTTAAATGACTGGATTGTGAAAAACTTTTATCGCATTGTTTACACTTAAAAGGCTTTACTTTCGTATGAATCCTCAAGTGTTCCACGAGATTTCCCTTCTGGATAAAAGTTTTGTTACAAAATTCGCATTTGTGTAAATTTGTCGGTTTGTGCATTTGGAGGTGCACCTTTAAATTATATTTCTTATTAAATTGTTTGTCGCAGATTTCGCATTGCACCAAGCCTTCGCCGGTGTGAAATTTTAAGTGAGCTTTCAAGTTCTTCGCAAGGCGGTAACGTTTGTTGCAAATATTGCATTCAAAACTGTTGCTTTGCGTGGAATCACGTTCTTCATTCACATTATTGTTATGTATTTTTGCGTGCTCTGTTAGATATGATGGATATGGAAAAGTCTTATTGCATACTATGCATCGATGAACATTTGTGTTGCTGTGCAATTTTCTGTGCGCATTAAGTTTACTTTTTGATGAATATGCTTTGTCACAACTGGTACATTTAAAGGGTCGCTGACCAGTGTGCGACAACTGATGACTCGATAGCTTAGACTTTTGAGAAAATGATTTGTAGCAAGTGTCACATTTATATTTCTTTAATTTTGCAGTTGTATTTGTATTTAAAACCTGGTCAATTTTTAAATTTTCATTAATGGGATTGCCGTCACACTTGATTCCATTTTGTAAATGTTTACTCTTGTCAGGAAGTTTAGAAAAGGATAAGTCTTGGGAGGTAGATAATTCCTTCTTCGAATGCAATCCCAGATTTTGCACAGGATTAGGAATGTTTACGTGTTCTGCACTTACGATAACACTTTCAGAATAATTTAAATTCTGTATCTCATCGTCGTTATTCGAGGACGATCTAGGATATGATAAATTCTGGATAGATGTTTCCATGGAGTGTCCGATGCATCTGTCATAACTTAAATTACGTGCAATTGGATTTGATTCTTCTCCGATCTCTACATTTTCGTCATCATGTGGGGTATCTACATTGTCGGTACTATGTGTGAAATTGTGACTTATTAATTGAGTTCTATTAGTAAAGGTATGATTGCATAATGAGCAATGCAATGCACAGGCAGCTCTGTTGGGGTTTTCATTATCTATAGATAATGTTCTCGGCTTAACGATTAAAGGTATATGTCCTTCGGACACTGCATTGTCCGAAATTTGACTAAGGTTCAGATAAGAGGATTGAGACTCAACTATATGCATGTGCTGCGTCGGAGAACTATCCTGAGTAAAAGGTACATGAACCTTATTGTGTATACAGAGTTCTTGATAATTCATAAATACTGCACCACATTCGATACATTTCAAAGTTGTTTGTGAGTTATGAATCGGGACAAATCCTTCGTCCTGCTGATATAGTTTACACCCAGATACCGTTGTATATGATGTCAAGCCTGAAACCTTATTTCATCTATTGTTAGCGATATAACATCATGGTTTGTTAAGAACGTCCCAACTAATTAATAGCAATGAAATAATTACCTTTAGTGCAGCTTGTCTCAGGGCTCTATCGGCTGCTCGACATTGTTCTCTATACAGGAGGGCTGATTCAGCTCGGGTTACGCATCGATCGCACATTTTCTCTGGCAACCCATCACCTTGCCAGACCTGAAAATACACTCACTATAATATGACTGTAATAAATATTAAAAACTGTTTAATACTAACCTCTAAACAGGATAAAGAACGTAGTTTAGCTGCTAAAGAGGAACCGGCAGGCCCCATAAATAAACAAATCATTTTCTCCCCATCTTCCCTCAGACACGTTCGACATAATTTACTAATGTTTTCACTGTCAATTTCTTTCGTTACTATAAACATATTTAACATCTGATATTTACAGTATTAAATAATGTTATACATGTTTCTTGAAATATTCGTTGAAAATGTCGCACACTGCGCACAGAAAAATATCGGTTTTGAAACAGAGATGAGTTAGGAGATTACTCACGGGCAGGGTCGTGCAATTGCATCCTGTGCTGCCCTCTGGTTTCGTACGTCAGCTTTCACCGTTTTTTACCCCCAAGAGCGGCGCAACGAATTTCTGGTAGGGGTTCGCGCACTCGCGATGGCGGTTCACCAGTCTACCAGTAGCCGTTGCCGGCTCATGTACTCGTGATGACCGACCCCTCGGTTGCCTCTTTCTCGTCACCTTAATGGAAAATCCGTAATTATAAGATGATGCACTGGGAATACAAGGGTACCTTTTTCAGGTATCTGCGATCAGGTGTCGACCGGGAGAAGCGACGGTACGGTAATTGAGGACTCCCGATTATCACAAAATCCTAATCATCATAAAACCCCCAAATTCTAATAATCAATTTTGATATTTATTAATCAACTATGTATTAGACATTTTTGACGTATGATCGTAACCCCTTAACGCACAGATTTTTTGATTAAACACTGAAAACTGTTAATTAATTCATGCATGTAATCAAATCAATGAATGAAAAAGAAGAAAATACTTCATCTAACAGTCTATAGATGGAAGCGATTTGCATGAATAAGTAGGATATACAGGATTTTAACTTTGTTATGCATGTAAATGTAGGATTATTAATTTTCAACTGTGGAAATGTAAGTACGTCATTTTATTCGGATACTCCACCAATAAACATTAAAATATATTGATACAACAAAACGATATCAACATAAATTTGTGTAGTAGCAAAAACGACTTCTTCTGGTTCCAGTTCTATTTTTCGACCTCCCATAAGTACTTGAATGTCGAAGAATAAATACTGAAACAAAGATTTAATGTTTATGTCCTGTAGTTGAAGTAAAAAAATAGTACAATTTTATACGAACCAATGCTAATGCCAGTGTTCCAAGCAGGGCAATTCCTATTTGTAGCAACCTGATGTTTGTAAAATAGGTAACAATTGATACGACGATAATGCCAGCCAGTAAGACCATTGAAATGATGAAAAGAAATCCTGTATGTTTTGTCAGATCAAACTGAAACATTAAAAACATTCTTCGGCATTATTGCTATTCATACAATTTATAGAAAAGAGAAAGTTTAATGAGATATACCGAAGTACATGTTGCCACTATTGTTATTAACAATGTGACGATTGCAGTCATAACAGCCGCTAAAAATACAATTTCAGTTGTGTAGCGTACTGAAGCCACTGCTCCTAAGTATGACATCGATATGGTCTGTAAGAATATAAAATAATTGTGTACATAAAAAATTGGTCGCAGAGAATAAAAATTTTCAGTGAAACGGATAATTAACTAATGGTCATTATGCAATAGTTTTTTAATGAAGTATTAACTCACCAATATAATGAGTAATATAATATTGCAAGGAGATGTTCGTCGAGCTTTTTGGGAGCAGCTTATTGAACAATATGATATTAAGAATCCTAACCTAGTACAACATTAATAATGTTCTTATTGTACGTTTGCAACCTAAATTATCAACAAAACATACATACAATGCTATGATCCACAGGTACCAATGTTGTATCATGAATATTTGAAATTCGTCTCTGAAATTGAAGGAACAGAGAAATTTGACACTTTCGGTTCGAATAACCATTGGTCAGAATATCTATGTAATAATTAATTACATGAACACAAAGAGTCCTATAAAAATTGCCGTGAATAGCAATTGCATACATAAAATAAAAAAAACTTTTCTGATAAATTTCCTCCGGACAGAGGCACGTTTAAATTCACCGGCATAAGTGTCACTTTCGTTATCTGCAGCTAGTTGTCTTTCTTGTTCCTCCATCCATCGCCTATATAATTCATCATTTTCCCTTTCACGCTGTCGAACCATTTCATCAGTGACAGTAATTGTGTATGGTCCCTGAAAGAAGTCATTTCAAAATCGTTTATTTTTGTACTCGGACCAGAATTATTTTTTTAATGAACTGGGTTTCTAGTAACGTTACGTACACTTTTAATTTTTTGACCACGCACAAGAGGCGGTAATTGTGGAGGCCCTATTGTTATGTACCTCTCATTTTGTTGCTCATCCATTTGTCCTCGATATTCTGCGTAAGGAGGTGAAGGATTGTTTGGAACACTTCTGTTAGATGAATGCATGTATTTTTTACATAAGTATTACATTTTTCACAATATGAGTAATACAATAGTTGTATAAATATTTTTTAAGGTTAACGAATCGGTAACAATGACAAGTGCGAAAAAATTAATAGAGAGATAGAGAGTATAGTCTAGAATAAAATAATGTTCATAACTGGTTTATATTTTGACCAGATCCAGTCATGTTACTGAACTTTGTTAAATTTCTGCAACTTTACGAAAATCCATAGAAAAACTGTCAGATCGTATTTCTGGTTGAAGCCTTGAAAATAAACAGCTGACAGAATTTAAATCCAGGGATGTAATAATGTGTGGTTCTTAACAGAGTTGACGTATAAGAGATAAACCAGTTCAAATAGTTTTCAGTTCATTAAATTTATGGCGATTAATCAGGAAAGCATTACAATTGAACTTAAATTAAATCAATAATCGCTTTATATGATTAATGACACATTCTTCAAGTTCCTTAAAAAAGCAAATCATCATTTATAATTACTGGTAATTAAAGGTACTAGCAAGTATTTACACATAATGTCGGGAAACCAAAAATATACAAAATATATTGAAGTGAAAATCTAATGATACAGAGGGTGCATTTCTCTTCTGGAAATTATACGTATAATGTTTCATGCGAAAGTTAGATTGGCGAGTAATATAAATAAATCATTAATCCTAAACAAGCTAGACTTCAAAACTGTCACTTACGTTTTATGCGTATTTCTATGTGGCAAATATGGTTTTAACAGATTTTAATTCTCCTTCATCTGATTCTTACCATGGACAAGATATCAATTTCAATACAAATAAGGCACTTCGGGAGCAAATTCATGCCGAATATTTTCAATTGTTCAAAAAGCCAACATTTGAATAAATAATATTGGCATTAACAGCCGAAAAGAAAGTACACATTTTCAGGCATGGACTCAGTCATGTAAAAATGTGAAGATTGGAGTTGCCGAATGTTTTTCTCTTCACATAAGTATTTATTCGAAAGCTTTTGTCAGATATGCACATGTGCATCCGCAAGTGCCTTACTTGGATTAATAACTGAATCCGATTGACGTGAAATTATTACCTTACTTCGTAGTTTCAAACTTTGTTGTCATCGCGATAGATCAGTCTTGCAGTAAAAATTTGTAATTATAGTAAATTATCTGTGCATGCACCCGGTGCAAAGCGATTCTTTAAAGCTCAATGCAAGTACGTTTCGACATTCATTCTGGCTTCCAGAAGTTCTATTTAGCGCATATAATTTTCAAAAATGTCATTGGCATAGTTCAAAGAGAAACTAGGATCCATGTTGATTAAGTTGCTCTTGTATTTTACTGTATAATAACTGCAAAATAAAATTACTCATTAATCTAGTTAATTACAGCAAAAGAGAATGTCTGTCATATCATTTACAGGTGAATTTTGTACTAACCTGTTTCGTATTACTATCTGGAATTAATATAATCTTAATTTGGTCGGCCGCGGAAAATAGGCCGCCCAACTTTTTCTTTTTGTGCGCATCTTTAATGGAGATCTGAACACCTTTATCAACGATTCTTGGAGTGTCGCCAATTTCTTGCCACGTGTATGCCCAATCCACCTGATATATAAATAGACGTATAAAGCGTAAATGCAACGGTTTGAAATTTGGAGCCATAATAGGCGTAATAAATTAATACGAACTGTGTGAAATCACAACTTACCTTCCACCCCCCAAAGAGATCACAGTGCTCAATGAAGGAAATTCGCTTATCGGTTAGTAGAAGAACGTTCTTATTAATATACATGTGGTAAAAATAAACGTCCGTGTTTGCATATTTTCCTTTTTCCACTTCCTAAGGAATTATTAACACGATTATTGGAATATCAGGGTTGAATTATCGATATTACACGTCTACTTACAAGTAGAATTTTGTGACCCTCTGCTTCTTGGCGAACGAATGGTCGTACAAGACTATCTGCCTGTAAAAATCTTGGTGGTCGTACGCGTTTAACTTCTTCACTCAGTTCCGTTGCTCTGAGAAAATAATCAGGTTTTTAAGAACATCTGTTATACGAAGGACGTGACAGAATTTAGATGTCTGAAGTATCTAAAATTTTACCGTCTCACTGCTCCAAACGATCCACTGGCGAAGTCGATAACTCCAGCCGTTGGTCTCGTCACAAGTCCAACCATACCCTTGCCAATGCCCTTAAAGAATCCTTCGACTCCTTCTTCCTTAGCACCTGATATTGGTTTCATAACAACTCCAGTAACACCGTCATAAACGCCCTGAAAAGTACACGAATATTATTACCGAATGAATGTCACACTTTTTCTCACATTTACGAGCGATTTTAGCGAACCATCACTAATCCTTTCCCACTTCTTGCGAGTCCTTCCTGCAAATTCGCTGGTTGCTTATTCAACTGTTCTTGCCTCTTCCGCTGATAATCCTTATCAAACGTGAGGGCAGCTAATCCTTTTCCTGCGTACAAAATCGTAGTATTATATTGAGAAATAAGTTCCCGCCGTTTAAGTTACGTTGCGTTATGTTTAGCGTAGCGAATTAACATACCCATAGCTCCAGTAATTTTCGAAACAGCTCCTGCCATTCCTCCCACAGTGTGGCCCAACATACTTCTGACTCCAAGAAGTAAGCCTTCGGCAAATTCCCCAGGACCTTGGATAGCTCCTTGAAAAGGCTCATAGAACAAATCTTCTATACCTTTCATAGTGCCTACCACAAGTCCGTACGGATTGCCAATGACATCGAGTCCCAGGACGAGAACGTAAAGTTGTTTAATTGCTTGTCCAACGTAGTGATTGGTTGCTTCCGAGATCAGCTGTTTATGGGTCATGAAGACGTACTCTCTCTCGAAATACGCTAATCTATAATCAGCGATAAATCAGGGTATAGTTAGTACTTCGATCTCGAATTAATTTCCAGGGTGAAGAAAATGTCATACTTGAACACGATGTCGTTAATGTCGGTCAATGTTACGCCGATTCCTTGCAACAATACATTTAGAACCTGAGGAACCGCGGACGGTCCACCGCCACTTCCAGTCATCGAAAAGCTTATGTGGATCTATGAAATTGGGTTAAAAAATGAGACGTCGAGTGTTACAGTTAAGGTCTGGGATGTTGCGATTTAACTAACCTTGAGAGGAGAGAAATGTAACAAGTCAAAGAAATTCTTCTGTTCAGCCGTTCTTACTTGGTCCACGTGGAACATGAGAGGTTCATCTACGAGTTTCATATCAGTCTGGAACAACTTGCTCTGGAAGGAAAGAGTTTTTTTGAAAAAAGTCCCTGGTAGAGATTTTTGCGGGTCCTTACTTCTTCGGCTTCGTTGACTTCATCAGCCTCAAAGAATCCAATGATCGCGTTTAAAAATGCAATGTCCACCTTCACGTGGAACTCTTGTATGAGGACTTTGAAGTAACGAAATTGTTGCACGTTGCTGTGTTCCAGTAATCGCTTAACCATGCTAAGTTCGGCAAAGGGTTTTGTCACTGCAAAATAATCTCCGTTAATAATAAATTCAGAATAAACGTCACTGTAGTGTATACAAAAATGTTGAGACTTCTTACCGATACTCTGGACCATGCTCTTCGGTGGAGGAACCGAGGCTAGGATAACAGGGAAGACGCATTCTGGTAACTGATTGTCAATTTGGAGTCGATTGATTTTTGCGTGTAATTGTACTTGATGTACCGACGTTCGATACTGGACCCATAATCCCGTTTGGAAAGTGCGCCTCATGTAACGTCGATGGGGCCTTATCATTTCCATATTAAGGTAATTCACCTGAATATTAAAATATTACCAGTTGATAAAACTCTCAGTAATTCGGTACACGAGGTCAATGTATTCAGGGTAATTTAAATAATGGACATACCACTAATTTTGGCTCGAGCATCACTCGGAAACCAGGTTCGTTTCCAACTTGCACTTCGCACATGTATTTTTGATAGCCTTCCTCGATAAGATTCACTTCCCTAGCACTTAAGGCCCGCCATGGATTTCCGACATTTTTACGAGTCTCCCAAATAATTCCTGAACTGTATCACAAGCCGGGTTAAAAACTAACAGATTTTTAATACGTTTGTGTAATGAATCTTACCTTGCAATGCTCATGTACAATAATTCCACTCGATTGACGTTATTGACAAGAGATAAGCCAACACCGTGAATACTAAGGGTGATTTCTTGTTCGATAGCTTCTAGATCACCTACTAGTTGGCAGTCCTCCGCAGTCTTCAGATTCGTAGTGAACAATAGAATTCGCTGAGTTCCGTCAAGGAAAGATACGTGATAGACGTCTTCGTCCGTATCAGGGAGTTTGAAGGCGCCTAGATTGTCCTAGACAATAAAACGAAAATTGTACAATCTATAGATTTATCTTATTAGTCTAGTAACATGCCAGTGAAAATATTCTAACCTTTTTCAAGGTGTCTTCTATTTCTCTTTTACTGTTATCCTCCCATACCAACTTTCTTGGTCCCGATGGATTTTCCCAAGTATAGAACATTCGATTGTAGGGTTGAACCGCCCTAGAAAATAAAGAATAGGTTAGGTTTGCCCTTACCATTTTTTTTTTTAAGCAGTCTGTAAAAATATCTTGCAGGCGTACCTCACATTAAGGGATCCCTTTTCCCATAAGTGCATAGTTTGCGAAGTATGGTTTATGATCAACGAAGGAGCATTTCCTGGAGTGTAACCCGACAGAGAGATGTAAATTCCGCCCTCGTTAATTTGTATGTCTATGTTGATGCCTCCGTACTAAAGAGGATATAAGGGGAAAAAATTAAATGGCAACCAAAAATTAATATAGAAAGTTAGTAAAATCAACGGACCTTGTTATCTAGTCTCAGTAAAGTTGTGTGGACATGGGTGTAAACGAAAGATGCTGTTTTTTCCGGATGTCCTCCAACTTTAGCTTGCAGAGCTTTCTCCTCGTGCTCCGAACGAGGCCAAAATGCTGTGCATTCTCCAGGTGGTATCTAAATAGAAGTTATGTTATAAATGCATACGATGCGATCAGATTTGTTTATTTTCTAAGTACCTTGATTATAGGATCTGCTGGTCTATCGGCTTCCTGACATTCAAGTAGGAAATCAGCAGTATTTATAAGAATGAAGTAAGGAGTAAACGTGATCTGCTTCGTCAGTGAATTATAGGTTAATTGATTGTGCACCCCGATCTGTAATTAAAAATTGTTTAATTATGAATACTTTAATGTTCTGTCTGGAATATTCTATGCTCGATGAATGGCTTACCTGGTATATCATTCCATTATATTTACAGGCTACAACTCCTTTGCTTCCTGCGACATCTATAGAAAATTTATCAGACCATTCTCCATCTTCGACTCTTATCATAGCCTTTTTCTTTCCAAAGAATGCTTTAGAACGGAAAGAAAATAATATTGGCCCTTTGAAGGTTTCCGGATGGTAGATGACGTTTAAGTAATCATTAGTCTGGAATAAATGCAACGTAACATTTAGGAGTTGTTTTTAGTTTGTTCCTTTAAAGGGGAATTAAATGAACGAGTACACAAGATACAGATCCGATGTACCGATAGTTATAATTATCGGGATTTGTGATTTAATGCAAGAAAATTCCTATTTAATTGCCCCTTGATTGTTAGTGTTACATGACGCTGCCACCAAACGATGAAAGAAATGTTAAATCAGTCCCTGTACCGTGGAAAATGAAAACTGTTAGCTGTAACGCAACCCAAGCCTCAAGCTGTAAAGAATACAGAATAATACAGTCAACAAAATACGAAACATTGTACAAGAGGATTACAGCGAGTTCTTCCTTTTGCGATATTTATTTAACAAAAGCAAAGCAGCTCGATAACGAAAAATGTGTGACATTGCACTACAAGTGTCTCGAGCAAGAATAAATAAAAATCAAAAAAGTGTTAGCTTCTTATCTTGAATTATTCAACAAGTCTGTTCCCGAAGTACCAGTGGTGTCATTATATTTACTTGTAAAAAAAAAATCAAACGTGTTAGTTCAATGACACGCATATATCCATGAAAGTAACCCTGTTTAAACAAAGAGCCAGAAAGTACACGTAGTAAGTGAAAGTAAGCGAAAATTCTAAATCACCGAATGTCCTTTCTTCTTCCCGTACTGTCCACGTGGTCGGCGGGGATTTAAATGGCAAACCAAGTTCTGAAATATATCTTTCTGTGTTTACGTGTTCAGTCATAAAAAAGATGGTGCTTACGTTAACATACTGCTGCATACGTTAACACAAAACCGAGACCATTTACCACCTTTCAAAAATTCTTACCGATTAATCACGAGTGTACAGCGATTGTTATTGTAATTAAAACTGTCATGGTACATTTAAAAAATTGAACAGACATTAACGAAAGGGCAACTCAAATTCAAGAACAAAGTTGATAGGAAAATATAAATACTTCTCGATAATTGCAGTAAGATTTTCAATTAAATTGTACAGTTGTTACGACAGTTCATGCCAACAATAATGTATGGCATTGTGAGCAATAATTTAGCCGTACCGATACCAGCCATCTACGAACTATCCTACGTTAAGCATAGGAACGCGATACAAAATATAGAGATCTCTACCTTGACTGGGCTCGAGTGTTCTTTGCCAGCTTTACTTGATTTCTGGAAAACAAGTGAAACTCTCGTGAGTTCAGCTGTGGACGAAGATATATGTTCAGACAGGTAGCGTGTAATACGGATACAGCGAAGCGCAGTAAAGCCGATAAATATTAAAATACTTTAATAAAATAAACGAAAGACATCCTCGACGATTAGCTACGTCGATCTCCACTCGCTCCTCTCTTCGTTTAATTGGTTAATATTAATGCATCATACTTGAAGATGGTCCAGACTTGTGGATACACATCGATTTCGATAAGGAAACTCAAGCTGATATTTTACAACTTCCTCAATGTTTACCAGCAACATCCTTTCGTCATGTAATGGCAAATTTCTTGTTAAGAAGAAGGTAGAGTGACATCAAAGAATTAGTATTAGTAAGGAACTAAATGCAAGAAGCAGTCAAAGCTTATAAAATAATCTAGAGACAGTAAGGACCAGAATAGTGAAATAAACAGATTGTGGAAATTTAGTGCTCATAGTTCTTGCTTAAATATTTAACGTTCATTTTTTGATTCTCAATCGTTAAAATGTTGAGGAAAACAGTATCTACCTTACCACACAGTATGAAGCAGCGGAAAGTCTACATGGATCTATGATCGGTTCAGTTGCAGGGTATGACAGCTGGACTAATTTTTACTGTACTTACTCTGTATGATAACATCAAACCAGTCTTATTCAGCATCCAAAAGGGACAGTAAAGAGCCATGACAACGGAGCTGTGCTTGAATGACGTGTGCATTCCAAGATCCATGATAACCCTCTGGGAGCTATCGAAAGACTCGAAGGACCAGACAGAAAATTCTGGAGGGTTCGCTACAATTTCACCTTTACAGGACCAATCCTTCTCCAAGTATTGAGGCAACTGTAAAAATGATGATACAAAATTATAATATAATCATTCATGATTTTGACAGATCTCAGAGTATTACCTTTATAATGATACTGGACCTTCCTGGATCTATCGTAGGGATTTGCAAAGTAGTACTTGCTTTCAGAACCTGTTCTTCGGTGATGCCAGGCAAACAAATGACAATGTCAATGGGCAAAAAGTTCTTCAAGTACACGGATGGGTATAGGTGAATATTATAGATCGTACTGGCCATTGTATGCCTGTTAGTATTTTCAAAGTACACTTGCTCGATTTCTCCTACGGCCTGGAAATTAATTTTAATGAGTACACCATTTATGTTTTAAAATAGGATAAAATAAATAATATGAAAAAAAATAATATAATACAATTTAAAAAGCAAAGCTTTATGAACTGTACGGAGTGCAACTTTAGTGGATACGAGAACGACATTAGATTGCGTTAAATGTATGGCTATGAAAAATTAGAAATTAAACTATGGTTAAAAGGTCATGCATCATATGAATGTAAAGCAATTTTAAAATAAAATTGCTCCCGACTCAGATGAGAACTAATCGAAAGAACCTGTATTATGAACTAGACATACGAATGAATTTAAAGAACATGATGGAATTCTGAAAAACTAGCATTATAATATCATTGACATTTATTGGTTGAATGAATTAAATGAATTAAATAACTAATGTTATTGGCTGCGATAAATGTAATTCATTTATTGAAAAAAAAAATTCAAAGTAAATGTGGAATATTGCGATAATAAAATGCTGTGAAATAAATATAAGGGGCCGTCCAAACTTATGCAGACTAACTACCGGCAATACCTGTATAGGTGCCTCCAAATATTTCGGGGGTTCGGACTTAAATAGACTCAAGCACTTACGCTTGAAATAATTAAGAAAATTGGATGATCTCAATTGCCAGTTGATCATATTTAATAATAAATCGATAGAGTCGTTATTATAGAGGATACTACCGACCACGATCATCATGAAAAAGATCTAAAAGAAAAGCGCCATTGGTAAAGCATAATAAGCATTCGTAATAAGAAATGTGCAGAAATTCAATAGTTGCTTGAATATCAAGTCAGAAAGGTGAGTTATCGTTAGCACTTTGTAGTCATGGCTGCTCATTTATTAAAATAGCACAGTATCTTGGATAGAAATTTATCAAGATTGGACCAGCGTGCTTTGCGAAATAGAAAATCGAAAGGATACTGTATCGGTATGAATTATTTTCTTTCTTACCTTAATATAAAACGGCTCGACTGCATCATGTTTCGACCGAGATTCGCATTTTAGTAGCTTCGTCATGGAAATGGTTTTCTGCAAATCCTTCCAAACGAATGGTTCTATCGATACCATATAACTAAAATGAAATGTTTATTAATTAATCGAATAGTTGGATTTTATCGATACATGCTGGAGGAACTTACCCATTAACACTAAAGAATAGCCAATAAATGTTAGTCGGGGTATAAACAGCATCCAGGGGGAGGTTTAGACGTTCATCGGGGCCAACAGTACCAATGCATTCTACTTCGTTGCCACGCTTCGTCATGTAATAGACTGATACCGTTTCGTGAAAATGATTATGGATCTACGATGTCGAATACCACGGTGTCAGAAACAAAGAAAAAATAACAAGTCTTTTGCAACGGTATTTTTTACCTGTAAAACACTTCTGAGGGTAACAATAGTGCAACCCTCTTCGACTGCTACATCTGATATGATTCCCCACTCTTCGGAACCCTCCTTACGATACTTCAATGAGAAAAATCTCTTGTCTGCTCTAAGCACTGGGATCTCCAAAGAGCCAGAAATCCCTCTGAACTAAAAATGTACACTAATTAAATAACTAAAGTGAAAAGTTTGGTAGTTTTGTAAAAGGAAAAAATATTACCGAAATAACAAATTTACTGTGGTTTCTATCTTTGACAGTTTCAGACTTCAGTTGTTCCAGCAGTTTTGTCTCCACTTCCATAGCTCTCGGTGCTAGTTCTACGGATGCTCCAGTTTCTAAAATAACTTCCGCATAGGAGCTAGTACTGCTCTCACTTGTTATCTCTAGACCACTGTTCAGTACCTGCAGAAAGATTTGTATTTATTTTCCGCTACTTAAAATACGATAAGAATTATTTAACCGACCTTAAAGGAACTATTCTCCAAATTGAGTAATATCGGCAGTCCGGTTTCATTTTTAAGCAAGTAAGGTGCTATCTTTTTACTTGGTCCTTTGCCACTTGTCTTCATGGCACTAGAGAATGCATTTCCTAATTGGTGCAGCACATCTAGACATGTCTTTGTTACCGTAATTTCCAAGTTTTCCTAATCAACAAAATTGAAATTTTTTTATTAACTTACACTGCACATTTCAATTTTGTCTCGCTTTCAGTTCAGTTTAACTTACACGGGATATAACGTCAATAGACATTTTCGCTGTTTGGTGCAAATCGTCAGGATCGCTTTCACTACTTGGACTGATTACATTTGCGGCTTTATAACTAGACGATAAATCGTTGAATTGAATCTACAAAAAATTATAAAACAGATAACGAGACGAATAATGTAATCACTTGTATGAATTATTACTCGTGATGATTACCTTAGTTTTTAATTCCCATGAAGTCGAACCACGTAGATCACCTTTTGCTGCCTCTACAGGTTCGATTAATGGTTCCCATAAAGCCAAACGACTGTTATAATACGCCATAATAATGGAAGTAGTACAATCAATATTCATCTGTAATCAAAACAAATTTTAAAATATTTGCATATTTATTTTAATTTATTTAACTAAACTCTTACAGTTTTCGTGCTCCAATCGTTGACATTACTTTCTAGGCCCATGTGGAACAGAAGCATAGGTAGAGTTTTATTACCGATACCAGCTTCCAATGTTAATAAAATTGTAGGTGCAGATATTATAGCAAGTTCTGGTTTGTATACCGCAGTGTCTTCCTCGTCCGATGCACAAAAGTCTTCGAACACCTCCATCGCTACCTCTGTGAATATATCTATTTAATATTTTTACATTAGAGTTAAATTGAGTTATGGAGGATTTTTCTTCTATTAAAAATGTAATAAATAACCTGTCTTTAAAAACCAATAGTCGTGCTCGTCGAAGGGAGTGACTATCCAAAGTCCTTCATAATTTGGTTCGGGCTTAGCTACTTCGCTGTCCTCTGCTTCAGTCTTGGTAATTGTCTGAACGACGTTATTCAGTATTTCAATGACTCCTAAAAGACAGTGTTGATCGTTACATTTTTGAAAAGATACATTTAATGGCATTAAGAGATTATTTTTTTACCTGGTGAAACCGATATATGTATGTCGGTACAACAAACGTCTATATGTAAACCTTTTCCTTCGGGCGTAGAACCTGCTACGCTAATGCTGCAAGGTTTCAATACCTTGTAAAGTAAAACATTGAGTAGTTAGAAAATCAATCTACTATAATATTAGGAGTAGGAAACGATAATAAGTGTACGCACTTGGTATATGAAGTCGGATCTTTTCTCCGGATTATAGATACCAGTAGAAAGAGAAACATCCTTAATGGAACCATTTATGACCTGGTGCTCGCCTATCAGTCGTACTTTTAATATTAATTCAGTCTGCAACACGAAAAAAGTGTAATAGAATATTTCGCTTCAGGTAAGAATGAAAAAAAGTATAAATTACATATTGATATACATATATAATATATTACGAACATTTAATACGATGCAATTTGAATCGATGTCATCCATATTTTCCAAAAGAATGATATCTGGTTTTTCGATGTGCAAATTAATGGTCAACATTGGTGGTACGGATGATTGACCTTTTTTCTTATTCGTCACTTCGGAGCCTTTTTGTGAAATTTGTGAAGGCGATTGATTTGCTTCTTCCACGTTGAAGAAGTCCTTTATTTTCATCAAATAATCGAGGGAAACGATTATACTGAACGAGAAAACTCGGACATCAACTGAAACAGATTACAGTTCATGAAAATAAACAAGAGGCAGGAATAAAATTAAGAAAATTGTAAAGTACCAAAGATAGGTCTTATCGAGTCCTTACCGAACATGTCCTGTGGTCCATGTCTAACGGTAACATCAATCATACTTCTTACAGGTTTTACATCTCCTTCTAAGCTTAAATCATCTATACTAGGTACTTCCGTCGTTCGTTCCATAATTCTTATTAAAGAGCCTTTTCTATTATGCCGAGTATCATCTAAAGTGCAGTTCATAAGAAGAATTGATGTAGCCATTAATCCGTCGTCAAACATTCGGCCTTTAAGTGCTAAATGCGATAAACTGAACTTTGCCAGTCCATTTTCAGGCAAATGCAGGGGCGAGCTATCCGACTGTAACTGTAACGTGGATGAAAAATAAATACGTATGAGCAACAAGCGACGATTTTTTTTTTTTAATATTTTGTTTTTCTACCAAGTAAAATATTATGCTGCAAGTTCTTACCAGCTTTGAACCTCCCGTGAATAAGTTTATAACAAAACTATCCATAATGAATTCAAATTTCATGCTAGTATGTATTTGTTTCTGTGCTTGCAAGTCCAACGTTTCGGATTCTTTGATAGCTTCCAGCTCAAGTTTTCCTACGTAAAGTAAAAATATTATTAAATCAACGAAATAATGTACATCCAGTGAAATTTAATTTAGTACGAATAGACTTACGCGTCCTTGATTTGTGTAAATCCACTGCTACTTTTCTATCCTTTTGAACAACTGCTCTTGACGGTGGGGAGTCGTCGATACTTTCACTAAGATTCTCATTGAGGACTTTCATGATCATCGCGTAATCTTCTTGGCTGAGTAACAACTCAATTTTTTTCAGCCTGCCAAATAATTCAATGTCCGGAATGGACGTAAACCAAGCCGTGGACAAGTTTCGTTTCACGAGCAGCATAAAAGTAACAGGCTCCAACAATAATACCTCATTTTCAGGGACGAAACTATCTTTGTTCAAGCGCACTCTAAAAAAAATTCATTATAACATGAGCGGTTGTAAGAGTATGTGTGAACGTCGTGCTCCGTGCCGATATATCTTACCGAGACAGCTTCATATTTTGCAATTCGATTTTCATTTCATCGACTACAGGGTAATCTCCCGCTTCATTGGTAACGTCCAATTTTTTCAAAATATTACATACGGTTAAATTACCCATATCCATCATTAAACAGTGTTCACTCCTCGAATTCATGGGTACATATATAACGGGAGCCTACAATACGTGTTGTTATGAATATGTTGTATGAAAAACGTTTTCCGAATCAAGATTTTGATCTACCTTGATTTTGACAGTCAATTCTATCCGAGTGGCACTCTCTTGAACATCCTTGATGTTTGTTTTAGCAGCTTCCGCTGCAGCTGCCGATGCCTCCTTTATTGCTTGTTGAGCGGTTTGGAAATTATTCAAGAAACCCTAAATGACGATTTAAAATATAAATTCAGCCTGTTATGAAATGTAGTGTTGCATGACATTAAATACAATATATCTATTGATTAATTAAAAAAAAAAAAAAAAAACAGTTACGCCCTTACCATTACTGCTGTAACGAAAGAATTTAAGAACACGACTCGATGGCAGCCCATATTAATTTTAATGGACATATTATTTTTGTCGACTTCCTCTGGTTCAATGTTATAAATGACAGCTTGAATTTGAAGAGATTCCGATCCTTCTACGGAAACGATCTACAACAAAACCGTACACAATAAAATAATGTTCACAAAAAATAGTATCGATAAGCTTGAAATTACGTTTTTATATGCAGACATGACGTTGAGGTCTTTAATATTGACGGAAGCAAGCTTAACATTCGCTTGAGAATACGAAGCCTTCATTATATATCCAGCAGCCATCCCTTCGATGAAGAAAGAACTGATATCCCTGACGTCACTTGACATTTTGAGACTGATGGTTCCAATTTTGGCTTGGACCTTCAAGTCAATAAACTCCACTACTGTTTTCTTGCGCCCTAAAAGACAAAATCGTGAATTATAAATTTCAGATGTACCACTACTTAAATGAACTTATTTAAACTTATAGCTAAAAAAAAAAATAATAATACACATACGTGTCGCAGAAGTCTTGTGCCTTTGCTTTTGGATATGTTCTTTGAAAAACGTGGGAGTGTCTTCATGAATGGTAGCCAAATGACTTGTACGGCGTTGCTCGGATTGATGGATCTCAGGAGTATAAGCGCTCATTTTATCCTAGTCAAAATAAATCGTATGCAATTCCTCTATAGGTCTATTCAATAAGTAGCTCTAATTTTATTACCTGGAAATCTGACACAAACTTAAGGACATTGATAAGAGCTTCTTGATGAAGCAAGACGTCAAGTTTCGTGAATTCAAGCTGCAGTAGTTTAACGATAGAACCATGTCTTGTCACGAATTCTGGTGAATGTTTGCTGACCTATAAAAATATATTTCCATGAATATATTTATTTTTATAACAATTGGTAGGATCTGGTGCCATTACTTACATTGGTATACTGAACGATAATGAGGTATTCTTCGCTACCAGTGGTCATTGGAGTATTAATCATGAATATGTCTCCTTTGCCGTGATACTGTTTAACTTGAATACCACCTAATCGTAACATAATTTCTTGATCATAGGTTCGCTGTAACATTTCGGCTTCCAGTTGGAGCACTTCGACTTTCAAAAACGGAGATGCCGCTGATTTCCCCTGTCTAGATATAGATAGAGTGAACTCTACAAAAGGAAGAAGCATTCATTTTTACGTTTTCATAAAATAGGTGTATAAAATGGCTAACTAAAACTGCAACTACCTTTCATTACGAATTTCGCTTCCAAGTCGGTAGTTTGTTTGACTGCAGTTGATGGTTCCGGTGCCTTCTTGTCGACCATATTAGTTAATTCTTTATACAATGACAGCTGGGATACCGACTTCGCCTAGATAAATATTAATAATTTATATGAATAGTACGGCGCTTATGAATAATATGTTTAAATGATGTAAATACGAACCAGTGACAATCGCTGAGTTTCTTGGACTTTGTCTTCCTCGGGAAACGGTATACTATTCGCGATAGAGATAGCCTCTAGTATCCGAACATCTAAAGAGTAGAATGGATGCAACGTTCATAGTTAGCACGATATTTTTTAAATACATTTAAGAAATATTCAACTCAACAATGGTACCTGAAACATCAATAGTTACTGACGGTAATTGTCCAATCAATCTCATTTTGGGTAGAATGGGATCATCCATAACTAAACATTTATGGAATTGGACTTCCAAAGTTGTAGGATGTAGAATCGTCATTGGACTAGCAAAATCGGAAAGTGCACTTCGCCAATCTTCGTTCGCAAATGATACAAGTGCCTATAAATATTGTATTACGAGGCTGATATTAATTTATATGGAATATTTCGCAATTGCAACAGAAGAAAAATAGATGTACCTGAAAGTTTACTATCTTCAATACGAATCTATCATAACTGTATTGTCTAAGATGCAGTAAAATGTCTTCTTCCGATTTCCCCATGCTGACCAATTCCTTAACTGTAACGCCAGCCTTATCGTCTTTTTCTTTTTGCAATGAATGGATTTTTAAACTGCCCAAATTTATTACAAATAATGACTCCGTGCCGTTGTAGAAACCATTATGTGGCAGAATTAATTGGGATGCTTGAAGATCGACCTGTGACGAAGATAATATTTTTAAGATCACATAGCGACACCACATCAAAATCTGTCGTACCTGAATATCCAATACGGAGTGCTTCTGAATAGCATACTCTAAACCTAAGGCTGACATTTCTTTCAAACCTTCTAGTCTTTCTGCAGCGGCAGCTTGTATTCTGAAAATGTGAAGTATATTTTTACTGATATTAGAAACAGTATGTAAACATATAATGACTTACTGATTTAAGGTTGATGCATTTTGGATTTTAAAGAGATTAACCAGTTCGATTATAGTTTGTGCATCGTAAACAATTTGGACCGATTTAGAATTAACTATAACACGATCTCCACATGACTTGTCTAAAGGATTCTTCTCATACGACACAGCAAAGAGAACACCATCTGAACTACCACTATTTGAACTAAACAGCGAAGGTATCTTTTCTTCATGTTTAACACCGAGAAGTTTTAGGTCACTGATCGAAGCAGAAGCCCTGTAATTTATCACTCGTTAGTATTGCATTAAGATAATATTTTCAACGAATGAAATGTATTTACACTCACAATAATGCATTAGCAGAAGGTCTTGATTTAAACTCAACTCGAACGCCACTACATTCTAGATTTAAAACTTGCGGATGTTCTTTGTCAGTATCCGAGAGAATAACTTGGAGCCCATGTAAAAAGAAACCAGTATCTACCATTACAAATGTCTCCGGATAATGAGCTGGTGCAGAGTTTTCCTGATAGTCAATAGCACGGTATAATTTTTCTTTTTCTTGTGGTGTCATCGCCTCTTCGAATTTTCGCACTGCAAATAGAAAATATAATTTTGCTTTTCACTTTCATACAGAATTGTTGTGTTACGCAAAGATAAAAAATTTCATACTAATTGCTGCAGCAGAATTGAGGTCTTCTGCCTCTTCGGTTGGTGGAGAACTCCACAAGAAATCAAACCAGCCACGTTTTGCCTTTAAATTCTTCTCTTTCTCTGCAAGTCTTTCCACCTGTACATAAAATGTATGCATAAAGCAATTTCCTCAGTTAGAACTATTAAATCTACTTTCTCAAAAAACAGTACATACCTCCATTTCAATTTGTTGGCGAATGATTACTAAATTAAATATGTCCAGTTTCTTTTCACATTCCGTAAGACGCGTATCTATATCTTGCGTTACTTTCTTAGTTGTTAACTTAGAATGGTACACTTTAGCATAATCTCGACAAGTATCTCTATGTTCTTTCATATGATTCCAATCCCAATTCCTTTGGCACCTCCTCACTGTTTCTTCTAAAACACATTTATATGCGAAATGCCACCTAAAAAATAATCATATTTTGAAATTATATACTTAATATTTGTTATGTTACTCATTCAATTAATTTCAGATGAAATACGTACCACTCTTTATAATAGCCACGATAGCAAGGTACATTGGGTCTGTATTTTCTGTACGGAGCGGCTTTCTGAGCTTGTCCCAATCCTTCACCCATTTGAACTAATGTTTGATACTGGCATTTTGTTAGTCCTATTCTTAACCATTGCATCTCTAAATCCAACCAAACCTTCGGAATTGTATAGTTACTCCCATCAGTTTCTGGCTTAGGATTTAATTTTAGTTTTGCCTTTACATTTATAGGACCCAGTACTGTAATAAAATGCTATCGTATCATAATTATTTTTTACAAGTTCGAAGCAGTCGTTTAACAATTTTACGGATGACTTACAATACTGGTAATTTTCAGGTACATAGTCTATAGTTGCAATGCCCTCGGAGAAAAGGTGCAAGTACTTGGTTTCCGGTTCATTACTGAATTGTAAAATACTCGAGTTAAGATAAACTGCAAAACCATCCATTGTGCATAGCTGCGTATAAAAATTATAATTTTTTTGACAATGTTTTACCGTTCCATAAAATTAAAATGCTTGTTTATGACTTACTTTAAAGATTTGTTGTATGGCATACATATCTTTCAAATTACCAGTGGTTGTCCATGTATCGGTACAACTTTGTAAAGCAAAACAATTGAGCGTAAATCCGACAGAGAACGGAAAGTCTTTTAACGTCACATGGTCCTCGTATCGTACATGAATTCTTTTAACCTCTACATGAATATTCTTTATCATGCGTGCGATAAGTTTTTCCATCATAGAGTCATCCACTTTTTCTTGAGCTGTAAAATACCATAAATTAATGAAGATATTGGAGGATAATATATGTAAGATTAAATTATATTTTTTATATACACTTAGTATCCGCCATCTGTTTACTCTTCTCCACTCTGGCAAGTTCTGCACGTTTTGCCTCCAACTCTGCCTTTGCTTCCTTCTCTGGATCATACTTTATTTGATTTGTTGGAACGATCAATAGAAATAATTCTTCAACAATTGCATCGATCTGACCATTCCACATATCCTTGAATGGAATTTTTAGTATTAATTTTCCTAAAAGAAATATGGTGATTATACACGAAACAAATGTTTCTGCGAATGCTTCGGTATCTTCATCTCCCTTTACCTAGTCGTCCATACTCCAATTTAATAGGCAAATCCAGCATATCCAAGGCGGATTCTTTTATTAAAAGATCAGTTAGGACTACATCGCCTGCAATAAGAAAAGTACACTATTTGTTAGCAAAAACCCATTTTTTTTTTTATTAATGACTCGTAACTAAAATCTTGACAATTCCTTACCTCCCCATAAGCTCAATTTCAATTGTGTGCAGTCCAAATTTTCAATATACTCCCCCAAGACCTTGTTTAATAATTCGGTGACGATAGATTCGAAAACCATCTTGTCGTAGCTTGCGATACCTTATTGGAATCCAAGAACTCGATCACCTGTGCAACCTTCCCCTCGTGTTATGTTTTTAACGGTTTTTCTCTCGAAGTGCCGTAGCTAGGTTGTCCAAAAACACGAAAAAGTTCTGGTCTCTTTCATAACCTCTATTTGAAGATTTCGAATAAATCGCGGCACCCAGATTATTACGATAGGCAGTCTATTTTCGGAGATGACATAAACTCGGCCGCATCCTCGGCCAGCCCGTAAGTGCAAACAATTTGTACTCGTGTCATTCGTTGCTTCGATTAGCTGAAAGTCATGTCGTATCAAACTTGCTTAAATTCCTCACCGCACTCATCCGACTGACAAAGATTCGATAATCCACATTGTCGAGTTTTCCAAACTGGTTGACAATCGAGGATACTTCAACACTACGCATGTGACAAGTGTCTAAACCAGTGTTCAAGGTGTGGGAAGAAACACCGTGAAACGCAGGACGGGAATGTTGCAATACGCACGCACGCGTATTGAGATATCGAATGAGTTATTTATTTCAGCCCGACTCCATGTTTAGGAGGCAAATCCCTACTTTTAAATTTTTTCTGATTTCAAAGAATTCGCTCACGAAGAGAGTTGTATAACCCTGATTATGGATTATATTGGGTGTTACCTGTGAATACACAAGATTTCTGGAAAGCGATATAATCTTATCACTTACTGGAATTCTGATACAATACTGTATATACTATAACATAATGTATATAAATTTAATACACCTTTTCCGATATCATTATATTACTATCTTTATACATCTCAGGCATGTTAACGGTAGGTTATATCATGCTTCACTTCTGTTCGATTTCCTGCAAACGAATTCTATGGAATAAGTAGCTAATTTAAATTCAATGTCCATGCGTAACATGAATGTGTTGTTTGAATTTTATGTGGACATCCTTATTGTTCCTCAAGAATTCTTTCCATACGTTGAGTAACTCGCAAGATCAATTTTAAAAATGACAGAGGGGTGAAGCTAGATGGAACGAACAAAATTTACTGCTCGTTTTGTAAGTTATAAAAACGCTGTCGTACCATTGAAATAAATTCATTGCTATGATTAATTCATTGCCAGAACCATCTTAAACCTAAAATATCCAAATCAACCATGTCAGGTGTGCTAGCGGAACTGCTGTCCATTCTTCTAACGTAAACTTTCCGGTTTCCAGTATCTTGTAGATGTCTGTAATTATCCACCAACCATCCTTCGCCATTGGAAAGAATTCGAAATTTGTTCATCTATAAAGTATATAAAGGTATGATGTGTTACAATAAATTTGGTCATATTTATTACCTGTTTGAACGATATTGGTATAGGAGTAGGAAAAATAATCCACGCGACGGCCTCATTACAGGGAGGAGTAGTCAATGAACCTTTGTACATGTAAAATATATCAATATTATGAGGTATCAATGATGCCAAAGCGATTGAAGTGTTTATTTGAACTTCTGTGTTGTTCCACTGCACGTCAGGAAATCTCGACAAAATGGAATGTAGTTTTTTGTTGTCCTCCTCTTGAAGCTAAAAAAAGTCGAATATATTACAATCAAAGTGTTTTCCGCTTTCCTAAAATTACCTGAAAAAAGAATCCCAAGACTACGAGACCATCTTCATGTTCCAGAGCATGGCTTATATCGACATATGCCTTGTTTCGATGGATCATGTGCATTTCCATGGGAAATCTGCAGTTGTAAACTAGATCTGATTATTTTAAATGTAGAAAGACAATTCTTTAAATATTTAAGAATATTAACAGAATACCTAACGCCATTCAATATGTGCTCCGAGCCTCTATTATTCTTACTCCCCCAATGAAAGTGAAGACTTTCAAATTCGTATTCTCGACTTTCGTTTAGCATCGCACCAAATAGATAGGGAAGCCGTTTTTTTGAAAGTTCTTTGTTAACAGTAATTGAAACTGAAAAGGTCATCGAAGACAATCAAAATACATCCTCCGATAAGTATTTAAATTTCCTTAAATCTATTCTGCTTTTTACGTGATTTTCCAGTATTCTTCATTGTAATCGGCCCAGATAAAAAATTATGATAGCCAATCATTTCAACGGCTGGTAGAGGTAATGGTACAGCTTTGGTGGATGATATCGCTATGGGAGACTGCCATTTTCCACTGCACCGTTTAAATGTTTGTGCCCATATATGCTGTTCTACAATAAAAAATAAAAACCACGTTATAAAGTATGTTTAAATTAAAACTTATAAATACTACTCACGTCGTGTACTGTATCCAAAATTCCCATAACTACTGTGAACTAAAACAAAGACGAAGAATATGGGCGCGCATGAAGACTTGTATGTACAAATAATACTCACCAATTACAAGGAGGCACACAATTTGATATTCAAGATACATTATGATTGGATATTAAAATAATATACCTAAGGAAACAAGTAAATTTTTGTCCTCGGTCTGATGTTGAATGTATGATGACCGAAGACAAACTGTGATAAAATGCAGACTCCAGACAGCAATGAATGCATTCCTATTATATTGTTCTGCATGACAGAAGGTTTACTGTTTGAAAAGAATTGAATGTGTTTGAATTTTGACCCTGGAAACAATTTTTCCTGCGACAATTTTGATGTTCAAGAATATAACTTTGTCCAACATAGGTTATTTAGCTTATAACCATTTTTGCACAATAACTTGATGTAATAACCGTGGTAGTTAAGGCATTTGATATCAAAGAATAGCTTAATAGGTACATACATCTGGAAATGTATGACATTGTGTACGGAACAATTCATTTTCTAAGAAGTACATTTGTGTGAATGCGATTCATGCATTTGTCAGATCGCATCAGTATTTAATCGTTGCACATTGTTCCTTAGCTCCATTGTAATAAGAGAGGATCCATGACATAAATAAAATATTGTAAAGAAATATTTATTCATTGTTACAATATTATCGCATTGTAGCACCGAAATAGGTTATAAACTTTTGCACAAGCAATAGTAATAATCGCTTTTGGTGGTAACGCAACATTAGTATCATTAGGCAAAATATCCATGTCATGTTGTCAATTTAAGTATCTTCGTTAAAATTAGTAAATTGATTAGAGTAAACAATTTTGTTAGAGGATGCACAAAATGAGAAACTTACACCTGAGTTTGATATTGATACGCTTTCTGTCATTATCACGATAACAGTATTTTCACCTTATGATAAATTAAATTCTTTTAACCCCTGGTCTTATACCAATGAGTTATAGTTGTGCCTGGTAGTACGACTTGTATGTCAGTCTGCCAAAAAGGTTGCAAGACAAGGGGTTAAGACATCTACATCCATTGTTAATTAATAATTAAATGTCATAAGAAAATATCAATTGTACGCCCTTATGATTCCAGAGTTAACAATATTGTTAGTATGTACATGTAACCTTACGCACATATTCATATCACAGTTCCATATTATATTGATTATTTTTCTATACACTAAACAGTGTATAAGCTGAACAGTTTTTGTGGATACACTTAAAATTATCTTAACTATTACGTTGGTTGCAAAAAATTCTGTATCCAATATCGCATCCAAAAATCGATCTAATTAGATGCAAATGATATAAATTACTACAATAGATTATCACGTGCACTGGTAAATACAGCTTTGTATTTTAAAGTGCCATGATTTTTTCACGAATAACACGAAATTCATTGGACAGTAATTAATCATAATTATATATCTTGGGAAAAGAGGATTATAAATTCTTTTTATCTTGATGAATACGTTGCATAGTGAAAAACAAATACTTTAAAATTAGATAATTTTTACTATAGTCGGTGTCGAGTTCTCTCTTAACAACCTTCTCTTGTATGTACAAATAAATAGAATTACGAAATTCTTATATATCATCTACTTATCTCATTATGGAACAGTCTCAGAGGTTTTGGTAGCGATTTGTAAAGGTACAGAAAACAATTCTTCCCATGGTGGCTGGATGGAACTGATAACAGCATCTGCAGCTCCCGTCGAAACAAATGTGATAATCCACGTTTCTTCGGTACCAGCTATCTCGTCGAGGAAATTCAAATTGAGAGATGTATCGTTATACTCCTGTAAATTATTAAATATATTATTTTCAAGTTTTAGTAGTCGTCACAAATATTCATAAGAAAATATTTCGGACATTTGCACATACCACTTCGATTAGATTGCTCATTGCTTGGTCTGCTACTGCAGATGGTGTTTCCTTGCTGGCTGATAAGAGCCATTGCATTTTGTCGTCTAATATAATTAAGGCAGAAGACGTAATTATTAACGCAGACGACTTGAGCTTGACGCTCCTATTCTCTAGCTGAAGTATTGCCGAAGAAAATGCAGCAAATAGCCGTACTCTTTCCCCGTCTTTATGATATTTCGACTTCTGTAGTTGATTTTGTAACAGCGATGTGCAATAAGAGGGTACATTGAATTCTACCTCACAGCTACTGGGTAATGGTAAATCTGAAAGTCCAACAGAATAAGTGTCGAGTGTACTTCCACTGCCCGAACAAATGTTCCAGTTATCCGATATATCTTACTTACCAGTAATATAAAGAAAGAAATTCGATGTTCGCTGTATATCTTGTAGTATACACACAAATGTAGTATTACACGTTTCTTCATTTGGTTTATTAGGTTGTTGCACTTCGATTAAAATTCCTTGTTTAAAAGGCAACGCAGTAAATGATCGGAGCCTATTCATCGTCCAACCTATTTCCTTGTGCAGCCAACGTTGTGGATCTTCCCTGTGGAATAAAATTTCCTCATTAATAAAGTAAATAAAAACGTAAAGTATTTATTATTTATTTTACTACATACCCTTCAGGGCCGATGATTCTAAGTACATAAACTTTGGATGTAGACAGGACCAAACATCCTGGAAATACTTCTGGTTGAGTTGGCATCAAAATGTCAGCCTGCACATCACAATGAGCTCCGGTAAATGGTAAATGGTAACGCTACTATTGTAAAGAAAAATAATTACCCGCAATAATAGGACAAGCTCTTCGTTTTCCTGTTCGAAGACGTTCAAAATGATATGCAGCTTTATCCGATGATCCACGTTACTATAATCCGTGTACGAATACTGTATTTCGTTCCTTAGAAAATCAGGGGTGTCTTCGGACTTTGGCGACGGAGGTTTAATTGTCCCTATCCTCATACTTTGAAGCAAGCCTAAAGAAATTACAATAAAAGTATTCCAGTTAAAATTAAAATAAAATGTATAGAGAGAATTTAGAACTAACGGATGACGATTACCTCCTAACATTGAAGTCAGATTTGTTACAGGAAGTAGGGACGTCTCTTTTTCTATCAAACCGTCTTCGACTGTTTCGTTTTCGGTATTATTCCTAGCATTCGATGTATCATTCGTTTCCGAGGGTCTGGTCGATTTATTTTCATACGTCGTGCAAACGCTATCAGTAAAGGATCCTGGAAAATAAACAGGAAATTTGTTTCCGAATCTGAACATTCTGTAGACAAATGAGCGTGTTAACGAAAAAAAATGCAAACCTGAAGAACTACTTTCAGTTAAACCCGTCATAACAGGAGTTGTGTCTGGGATGGTTAAAAGAGAAGGAGCAATAGCAACGCGCCTTTCCTCGGATGAGCGTTTCCTATTTGGCGTCAAATTTGGCCTATGTAAGGAATCGACATTTTATTAATTATATACTGATATCTTATTTTTAGTTTAACGTTAATGTTAAAACAATTATTTCACTGTTATGCTCTAAGAGTGTTAATTATAACATTAAGATATGAAATATCAAGCAGCATTACTAACTTTGAACCTTCATCCAGAACTTCGATGCTACTTTGACTCGGATTACTAAGTACCTCGATGTCACTTTCGTATTTTTTTGCAATAGTACTTGTTGATGGTGTCGATTCCCTTGATTCGTCAAGACTAGTCGCCGAGCCTGTACACAGAAACATAAAATAATTTCCAGATAAGAAACAGGGAGAAATAAAAATCATAAATGGGTGTAGGTTGACTATTTGACAACGAACTTCTGAAATATTGTGTATCGGTCCAGATAGGTCCTACATTCATATTCCATGACGAGGTTTTGTTAATCCCCACTCGATAATTACAACCTCATTTAAGGTCGCATTACATTAGAGACATTAAAAGGGGATTAGTAAGACCTATAAAAATAAAAGTAGTCCCTGGAAAGCATCGGGGAGATCGAACGAAACATGTATGTATATTGAATTTTGAGACTTAGTCACGCAACTGCGGAGCGAAAAACGAGCTGAGTGTAAATGTGCCGTAAAATGAATTACTGTGACAAAAGCTTACAGCAGACATTGGCTTGTGGGCGAGAGTCAGAGTACACCAGAGAAGTGGTGACGGTAGTAGCTCCACCCTCTGTTCCACCTGCACCGGGGATTAGTATGTTAAAGTCCCAATCAACAATACAATACATTAACACAAGCTTGGAAGTATCCAGAAACAAAAAAAACTAGACACCCTCTGACATCCCGAACATGGATGAAGTGCACACAAATAATAGATATTTAGAAATTTCACGATATAAGTAAATCAGGTATGTTCACACGGTGCCTAGTATATATTATGTAACACTTATTATTTTTAGCATCGCACTAAAATTTTGAAAACCAATACCATTCAGAAAACATAAAACATTTTTAACACATTACGAAACAATCACACTCATGTCTACATCGACTAAATAGCAAACGGAAGAAAATAGCATTTTAGGTATAACATTGAAAAAATAAATAATTGTAAATTTAAAGGGAGATCACTAAAAAGAGGTTTCTTTTTTTTTACTTGCTTACTGGCAAAGGTGCAATACATAATCTAGAAACATACCTATACTAGAGTGTGATCCAGAATGCCTTAGACCAGAGCCCATAGGAACATATACGGATGGGTCCTTTAAAGGTTCACTCTTTGCTTTTCTTTCAGTATTTTGTGAATGTTCCACATCTGGTGTTGATAATTCATCTGTTTCTATGACCAAGGTGCTTTGACACGCAGGACATTTTGGTGACTTAATGCCTACAGAACAAAGTATGATCCATCAGTGGATAAATACATTGTTAAAAGTGTATGGATATGCATGGTTATAATACCTGATGCAGATACAGATGTTACCGTGAAGCTCTCTTCGTCTTGTGAAAAATGAGTGGAACACTTCATGCATTTGAATATTTTTAATATTATAGGTCGTACACTTAGTGTCTCACCAAAGGTTGCAACTATTTTCTATGTGAAATATTACGTATTATTTTAAAATTTAAACGGGTTATAACTTTTGAAATAAATTTGATGCATCACATTAATACATACCTTCGCTTCGTCAGGTTCAACAATATACACCCGATTCTGTCGGTCTTTTCGTGTGGTATCAAAAATAATATCAACTGTAGTCGGTGTCCCTCTACCCATTACACATGACAAAACTGTATTCGTAGCCCAGCGGTACTTTACCTTACCAGATATAGAATCTCTTTCTTTAACATCTCTGAAATTATATGCTTATTATTATTCAGAAATCTTGAGAAACAATTTATTCTAATAGTTCTTAAATAAAGGAACACTTACTCGGATGTTATAACTAAAAACACTTCTTCAAAGCTTTCCGGGCCCACTTTCTTTTGAACCAAATATAAGTCACCATTCTCTGTACATAAAAAAAATTGTAACTGTAGTTATTGTTTAATTATCTTGTATTAAAACTGATAGATGAAATTCTTATGTAACTGATATAGCTTACCTTCAGTTGGATCGTAAGGACTTTCAATGACCGTCGAAGTTACATTAACACTCTCATTTACTAGGGTATCACTATCTTCGCATGTTTCAATGCTGTTATCCAAAGTTTTTTCATCCTTATCCTCCTCTTTCTTTTCAAGAGTTTCATCCTTAGAATATTCTATATTTGTTTGATCCAAGTAAGAAGGTGAGCTTGGAAAATTTAATGATGCAGTCTGTGCATCGTTGACTGTATTAATAGAGTTTGACACAATAGGGGTGGACGATAGGATCGCTCCTGATATTCGTTGTAATCCCATAATATCTTGGACATACGTTCCAGCTTGACTGCTCAACCAGTTTTCTTCACCAAATTTTTCTCTTAATGCAAGAATTTGTCTCTTAGTTTCCAGATGATCCATTGACAGTTCTGTAAAATTATAAGAAATGAAGCAAATTTAAATACCCTTACTAAAAGAAAAAGAAATTACATGATACCTAATTGAGAGCTAGAAATAATGCTAGAGGCCATTTCTGAACTATTTCTTTCAGGATCGATCTCTGCTATTACCGCCTCCTTCACATTTTTTCTTTTTGTCTTTATGGCCCTTTCAACGCTTTCCGTCAGCTCCGATGACCTGTCATGGATAAAAGAAGCTTCCATAGATGTAGCTGTAATATCTGATGTAATAGAACCGGCTAAGGAATTTATATCATCTTTAGATGCAGCACATCTTAATTTAATTGAAAACGTCCGATTTTCTGCAATTATTTGTCTTTCTGTCTTGGAAAGTGGCATATTATCTAAAACAAACTACATACCATACATCAGTAACAACGAATACTTCCAAATATTATGTAAAACGCCTTTTCGTAGACCTAAATATTACCATGTTATTTGATAAAGTTGGATGTAGATGCTTTAAGCTCAATAATCTGTGCTTGCGGTGATATGATAAAGGATTTCCTTTTAGAGATACTCGTAGCAGTGATGACATTCCCTCCAATGGCCACAAACCTCTATGTTCAGTTAAACAGTTGTACGATAAATCCAATTCAGTCAAAGACTCCAGTCCATGGAGACCTAGTCAAATATTTTAAACTGAATATCCTCTGCCCAATTAATTTGTTCAAGTAACAACATAAGTTCAAGACTTACCATTAATACATTCAATATAATTATTTTTCAATATCAATATTTGCAACATGTGAAATACCGCTTTATTAAAAATCGGCACTGCTTCCAATTTATTGTACCCTAGATTAACATTCTTTAAATTTGGTAAATGTTCTAGTTCCGATACATTGGTTATTGAATTATGACTTAAATCCAATGTTTGTAACCAGGGTGTGAGTTCCAACGATTGATCTAAACTAACAAGCGCATTGTACGTCAAAGATAAGTGTTGTAGAGCACCCCAAACAAATCCTGAGGCAGCGTCACCTCCACAAGCCTCTGTAACATAAATCAAGTGGTTATGTTTATTTTTCTTAATGTTAGCTCTGTGCTGATAATTGACATAATATCGACAATTTCACTCACCCAATAAACATTTAATAGAACTGACACCTCTTCCCCCAGTACATACAACATTTTCAAGTTGGCTTCTGACAGCTTGCATTCCTCGTACATGTTCTATACAAACTTTTTGCAGCTCTAAATACTTCAAGTGGCGAAATTTGGTAATATCAATAATTTTAGCATCGTTTGCATTATGCGTCACTTTTAGTGCTACAGTTTTTTGCACAAAATCATGTAGGAACTTTAAATCTCTGAACAAGTCTATCTTTGAGCTGTTGCACACTTGAAAGGATGTTTCCAAATCATTTTCTCCTACTATTATGGAGAATGCATCGTTTAAGTTGCTCAACAGTGTCGTCGACAAAGTGAGCTTACTCATTGCACTTAACACTTTGTCACCGTTTTGGCGCAAGAGTTTTGCTAGTTCCGTGATTTCTTGCATACCAGAAACTGGCCTTGGGCCCTTAGATGCCAATGACATTTTTAATTTGTTATTAAAAATTGATGGAACAAATTTAAGTCACTTTCCCCATGATATCATTTCGGTGCGAAGGATATTAAGGGCACGATGCATTTGGCCATACTTCCTAATTCTTTAATGACATGCAACGATAGAAACGGTTATAAAAATACGAAAGTATCTTTACAACGTCACAATTCTACATTCATTCTCTATTACGTAAGTTTATAACCTATCATAGTACTGATACTCCTTTCTAGTCTTCACATGACGTCGTTTAATGGTTATTAATTCTTTTAATCCTTCTTGAAATTAAACGTAAAGTTACCCGATTCCATGTGAAACGATGGAAATCTCCTGGTATACGTTCTTTTACCTTTACTATTTGTTAAAAATTGTACATCAAACCAATTGAAACGACGATTGACAACTGAAATTGCATTGTTTGTGCGCGATCGTCTACCAACCAAGCTACAGAAACATTACAGAAATGAGTTGGATTCCAATTCGTATTCTGCCAGAGAGCTTTTAGGTTAACATTTGGTAACCTGGAGGCCACCCATCGAAACTTATCCATGTTTAGTATGGACACACATCTCGTTTTACGTCAGGTTCAAATGTTAGCTACAGATCCAAAAGCTCCGTTCTCATTTTATTCAGTACGAAAATCTACTATTGTTTTTATTTTCGCTACAGTCATTAAAATATTAAGGCACTGTGTTCGTCCCCCTGGTTTCTAGTCTCCATGTATCTTATGTTCATGGTTGAAACTGTTTGAATTTGCCGCCTCCCCCACTATAGGAGTTTTCCTACCTGAATTTACGACCACGGTTGCTAGGTTTGTTTTGTTTACAAACGGTTACCTTTAAGAAATCGAAATTAGACTTCGTATTTCATAAAGAGATCGACAAATAATTAGCAGAAATGTCGTTGAAGACGAAAGGAATGTGCAAAATAATCGCCCCTATAGAAATTCAGGTAACGAAAATCTTTTTTTGTTTATACGTTTAAAATTGATGACAGTATATCTCTTAAACTTTGAATCTCATACAGGTGAACAAGTTAAAGCAGCTACTTACAAATGATGATAATATCAAGACCATGGATATTGCCGTGGTAAAGAAGATATTTTTTGGTCAAATACAGATTTTGACGGATAAATTTTCTAATCTATCCAAGGAAGATGTAAACGACTATCCAGAATTGAAAAACAAAATCACTGGAATTATTGAAGAATTTTGTGTTATGAATAATTCTAACGAGTCAGTGAGTATTGGATAGATGACAGTGGAAAATGATAACTAGTCTAAGTAAAATTTGAAATTTATTGCTGCTATCGTTGTAGATACAAAATAATGCAGATCATTCCATCGAAGAGGTTGTAGAAAATCTCTTGAGTAAATTTAGTATGTCCTTGGAGGCTTTGGAAAAACTTGAGTGCCTTCCTTTAAAACAAAGATTTCAAGATTGTTGGGATTACGTCAAAGAAATGGGTCTCGGCGAAGGAATCGAAGACTTCCAAAATATCAAGGTAACATTGTACTTTCTTTAGAAACATTTATTTAAGAAAAAATAATATTCATCTGTTAGCTAATTTAAATTTATTAATTTTAGGAACTTGGCACTTCTATTGTCGAAGTCTTTGGTCCTTTGCAATGTTATAGAAAGAGCCTAGTATCGAATCTGTTAATGGAAAGGATTGCTTTATATTCAAGTCAGCTCTGTGTAGCCTTTGGTTTCCTAGTTCAGTTAATAGAGAAGCAGCATCAGTTGAATGCTCCGATCTATGTAAGACAGATAAATCGTTCTACATATTAGCGAATACATTGATGCAGGAAGTGACTTTTTAATTTTTATTCTATTACGATTAACATGATCTTTATTTATATTATAGAATTGTAAGAAGTACATTTGCGATAGAATGTGTTGGTGCTTCCAAAAGATCATTGAAGTTTTGGATAGTTCCAATCCTTCGCAAGAAGAAGAACATTTTGAACAGGAAAATCATTTTGTGTACAGGTAATTTGTTAAAAATATGAATAATGTATAAAAAATAGTATGAATCACTTGTAATATTTTTTGCTACAGAATGGATCTGGTACTGGATGTTATATCGGGTATGTCAAGTAAATCACAACAGGAACAAGTAGATGAATGTACAGAATTGTGGCTTGGAATAGAAGACGTTTTTTCTCATGCAATGGCTATTGCTCAAGTCTGTCATCCCTACAACTTCAAAGCAATTACAGGCGTATGCCAATCGATAATGTCAGAGTATGAGAATTTGAAAACACAACTCCTTTCTGAGAAGCCAGATCCTACTATGAATAATTTGTTTATGAATACATTGAACGATGCATTATATCGGCTGGAACGTAAAGTGAATGTTTCAGTGTTAACATTGGTAATGGAAGTATTCAGTGATCCATTTGGTGCATTAAAAAAACTCATTAAATGTTGTGGTAATTCTTTGAGTGCGAAGAAAAGGAGCAAAGCCGATCTGAATAATGCTATTGAAGATTTCGATCAAGTGACAGATAAGATGATGCAAATTGGAATGTTTGCTATTGCATGTTGCGGGGATATTACTCGTAAGTACAAATACCAGATAAAAATATAATTTTGTTGTTAAGTGGTAACTCAGTCAGAATGGTTAATGAAGGTTTAATTTTTTAGGCGTAAACAAAATAAGAAGCTGCCTAGCAAGTTTAGAAACACTAGAAACTGAATTAGTGCCAGCAATTGTCTCTTTTTATTTAAATCCAGAGGATAATGAAATGAGATCTAGTCTTGCCCTTTTAATAGCTCAATGGCAAGTGGAAATAAATAAATTGCACAATACCGTGGACGTTATTATTGATTCGGCAGCCTACTGTCAAGTAAAGATACATAATTTTAATGCATTATTATATTCCAATTCTTGCATTGACAAAAAAACAACCCAGAGTTTATTATTATTTAGGTCATTTTGGATGATCTGCAAGAGCGTGTCACCATAATGTCAGATTGTTTAGACAATAGAGAAGGTGTAACGCAACAACAGGTGCAGGGTGTTGTACAAAAAGCATCATCCCTGTCAAGTCAAGTATCGGCAACTGTAAAAGACATTGGTGATGGTATCGATCGGCAGACAATCATGATGATTCGTGAATTAAAAGCTGGTAACGTACAAATTAAAAAAATATAACAAACTGTATTCATTTTCGATATTAAAATATTTAATATCCAGAATGTAAAAATACTGTTACAATTAGGTTATCTAATTACAGCAATCATAGAAGCTGATGCAGCTTCTAAACAGTTTCTGACCGATAATGCAACGGAACCTCAACAGCTGAGAGTGATAAAACGATGTGAATTAATATTGAACGTGGTTAAAAGATTACAGCCTGCTTTGGTAGTAATTATGAACAATTCCATATTAATGAATACTAACTATGGAAAAGCGGGAATAGGACAAGGGGATTCTCTTCATGGTACTACTAATTACAGCATAAAATAATTATTCATTTTTATTTACGGGCTTGTTAAAATAATAATCTTTTTAGATTCTAGTATCAGTTTTCCATCGTCGATTTATGGATTGCCACGAGATGAAAAGACGATTTCGTATATTCGAACACCGTACACAGGTACGGTGTCCAGAATTTTCGTATGGTCTAAGTTCATCCTCGTAATTAGACTTAATAATATATTTTTCTTGCAGTAAAAAATTACAAGCCACCGTTGTCCATACAGCCAGCGAATAGTGTACCAAGAACTGAATCAGATATGTCGTGTTTAATTCCTTATATAAAGAAAGGGCACACGATACGTACAGAGCGGTCAATTATGTATAAAACACCACGTAATACCGAGGCTCATGATCAGTCATTAACAAAGAATGAATTGAAGATGCGTAACCTGTTTAATGTCAGGCAGCACTTATTCAGCAGAGATAGTTTTACATTTCAGAGGGAGATTGATTTGACGACAGAAAGTTTAGATTTGAGTGGTAAAAGTTATACATATTTTAGTACAGTTTCCTACGTTCTAGAAAAAATTTTTTTCGTTAACGACCAGTTTCAATTTTTCAGATTTTTTGAAGAGAGCAACATGCTTGACTGCCACTTTAAGTCCATCCATTTCTAATTCTAATACGCCGAAGGCACAAAATACTTTACGTGAGTCAACAGGCGATGGGAAAAATGTGTCAGACATATCGATTGACTTGTCAGAAAATGTCTCGGTAGCTCAAGAAGATCCACGCTTGTCAAAATATAACGATTCCGTTTCCCCACAAAAAGTGGACGAATGTTCCACTATTGGTGGCGGAGATGCTCCATCTGCCATTGAGACTCCAGAAAGAGTTGAGGATATTCAGAGACTGGATAAGAAAATTGCAATTATTCAGAAACAGCTATGCACGGAATGATTGGTTAATGAAGAATTACTGGAACGATTAGGAAGTGATAAAGTATTGTATTAGTTATTAATCGTTGAAAAGAAAGCAGTAATTTGCATAAATATTTTTCGTGAAAATATTTTTGTATTAAGAATGCAGTTTCCATGTGCTGGGTCTGAAAGATCCAAGGCGCTGAAATTTCTACTTAGAGATAAGGCATACTTTAGAGGTTAAAATATCATTTGCAACATGATTAGAATCGTGTTCGTTCTCTTTTCAGCCCGTCCAAAAAGTTAAATATTGTTAATAACAGAAGATTGTAATGTTTGTTTTAAACTATTTACAATTGGTTACCGTGCAATTGAATAAAACAGTATATTCTTCTAAAAATCCGGTGTTAATATTCATCGATAGGGAATCCTTACCAGGATGTAGAATACTTAAATTTAAAATTGGCGCGGGATCGTTCCTGGAAATGTGTAGGTGGCAGCACGGATGCAGAGTGAGCTGTCGTTCCGTGACCTTCACGTTTCAGGTAATTTGTGAGGTTAAAATTCTGAATTCTACTTAATTTATCCCTGTTGTTAATAAAATAAGTGAGTGGTTAAAGCAATTACTGTATTCGGTCGTTTGTTTTATTTCTATTTTGAGAGGTTTAATCACCCGCGACATAGTTTTGTCATCCGGACAAATGTCAATTGTATTGTGTGCCATAACATTTGATTGTATATTTTATTATTTATTACATTATGCAGTATGCCATAAATTTATAACATATTTACATGGTTAACGATAACTCAGAATTATTTTTTAGAATGTCTACGACGATTCAGTATGTCGTCGTAAGGGGTGATCTATTGAAATCGATGGGATGGCCTGTAGGGGCTGTGATAGCGCAAGCATGTCACGCATGTACCGCCGTTATTCACCTCTACTACAATGATTCCGATACACAGAAGTATTTAGACGACCTAGATAACATGCACAAAGTAGTGTTGGAAGTAAGTTCCCTAAATTAATGTTTGCTTTATACAATGCTAAACTTGAAGTTTAATTTCTGTGGTTTTCAGGCAACAGATGAAAATAGTTTGAATTCTTTACATAACAGTTTAGAAGAAAATGAAATCAAACATAAGCTTTGGATCGAACAACCCGAGAATGTACCCACTTGTCTTGTTACGAAGCCGTACCCAAAAGAAACTGTACAGAAATATTTTAAAAAGTTTAAATTATTCAAGCAGTGACAACATAGCAAACGATGAATATTCGAAACCGAATAATTATTTACGATAACTCTGTACAGGGAGACGCATTTGCAGATTTGTGCAATCGCGCTGCAATTCATGAGGTAATTAACACTTTTTATGCATTTATTTTTAACACATTTACACAAAATATGAAAAATAAAAATGGCGTAGCGTAGGAAATATACACAGAAGATGTATTACCATATATGTTAATATTGACATGTGTACACGTTATGTATTTATTAAAAAATTTGCGATATAACTAGTTAATGTAATAAAAATGTAAAATATGGTCTTAAGCTAACCGTATAAAAAATTATCTGACTTAATGGGCACAAATGAATTGACCATTTGGCAACCCATAACAATAAAACATATATTTTACAGTTCGTGTCGTTACTGTGCTCATCCGATGTGTTCTGAATTGCTGTCGGCACAAAGTACCGGCAAAATAATTTGGAGATTGGAGCTTCGGCAGTAATTTCGTGAAAGAAATCAGGGAAGATCGTAACATTCGCGACGTATAAATGTACAGCGTTTGGTGAGTTAACTTAATGAATCATCGAGTAACCCGATTTTACGGTGGAAGGTTTTGGTGGCATCCGACGAGGTACCGCATCCGAAATTCAAAACGCATCGGCCGTCCATTTGTACTAATACGTACATACAAAAGTTCATAAATATTTACCTAGAGCGCTAAGAAATAAAACTGTAAATTGCGATGCCCGCAGGTTTTGGAGGGTAGGTGGATCCTACCGATGCTGGTCGTCCAAGATCGACCCTGGTCAGTCCTCGCGGATAAATAAATAATGTGTTACTAAATACGTCTCTGGCGTCGAAGAGGGTCCGCTCGAGGCATTGCCCGTTAACCCTAGGAGGAGAGTTTCAATAAATTATTCTCCGTTTCTTCCCACCAATCGCACCGAGTCGGCGCTCGCTAAGCGTCCTCGCTTCCTCGGAACCGGTACACGTCGTTCGCTAGGGCGCACTTACGACACGCGTCGTTGTTATCCACGTGAGCATTAATATGTACACACACTGGGCGCTAGACACTGTAAGTACACTTATTTACAACACTTACTGATACGACGTTTAATTTAAATATTAACTCGGTTAATTACGTTTAGCAGGGGAACGGGTGGATAACGACGAGGTGATTTCCTCGCGGGACGAGGTCCGCTGCGAAGCCATCACTGTCCCTCTTCTTCTAGCCATTCGCGGAGAATGTTGCTCTTCGGCTGAAAAACGAAGAAAGACCATTAGCGAGACCCTGCCGAGGTAATTGGAAATACGCCACGCGGTCTGCCGGAGAAGCAAGCCTCCTCCACCTACGCGGAATGCCGGCCATTCTGCGGGGCACAGGGAAAATCCTCTCATGGGACTTTCAACAACGGGTAAAGATATTTCTTACTCGATATTAGTCGGACAACGTTACGAGTCAGTCGGCGAATAAGGAAGCGAGCGATTACTACGTGACCGCGAGACGCAACTGCCGACTCCTTCGTCAAGAGTCATCCCCTTATCAGGGAGACGTCGGAGACTGTTAATTAATTTCAACCTTTAATTCAAGTGCTTTTCGATTTCAGACTCGGCAGTTATCTCGGGCGGTTCCTCTCTTCTTCAACTCCCATGCAAGGTTAATTGTTCTACGGGAACGACATTACCAGGATGCGTTAGTTTGGTAGGAAGGTGAGTCGAGTTTCTGATAATGCGAGCTAGATGGTGAGTAGGGCAGAGCGCATGGTGAGTTTTATTTCTCCGCCAGGTTCCCATTCTGATCGGGATAGTCGTCGTCGTATTCTTCCACTTGCTCGTCGTAGTTCGTCTCCGCGGGCTCGGCGACCTCGATGGTGGGAGAAGCGGTGCTCACGATATCCTGCTGATTACAGAGAAGAGTGCCAAACATGGATTCGACCACTACACCCCGTGTTAATAGGCATTTACGGTTAATCCGTGGCAACGTCCACGAACGAGTCGGCAAGTATTTAGGAAATAGTACCCAGTGAATTATTTGTCCTCCCCTCGTCGACGGTTCGTCGATCACTCTACTAATTATTGCGTTCGATTTAATAGGAACGTATCATTGGCAAGTTAGTATCGGACCGAGGTGCCAAAATCGTGTCTGGATAAATTTTGACCTCCACGGTGGACTAGACGTGCACGCGCTAGTGGGAGTTAAATCGGACACGTATGGAAGCGGCGTATGTAGCGATGCAGTACCTGAGGTGGTCTCCAGCCACAGCCATCTAACGGAAGACCGTCAGGACCCAAGGGACAGGGTGCATCTAATCCTGGAACTCCTTGATCCCCTTTATCCCCTTTGTCACCTTTTCTCCCACGCTTCCCCGAGGCACCCTGTATGGACACGAGGTTGTCATTTTCGAGAATGCTCGCTTGGGAAATTCTCTCATTCTCGCGACGTGCAATTAGGCCAGGCAACTGTGCATAGTAGGTACTATCAATGTACTGTGCATCACCGGTTGCAAGTACGCGGATATGTATCCTAAGCCAATAGACGGGACGTTTACTTTCGCTTTGACGTGTACTTTTTATTCCGTGGTGGAGTCGCTTCCGATTTTGGAAAATGAGTCGAATTCTTCTCGCCTTGCTTATCTTTCCGGCCTTCCAGCTCACGTGATAGTACTCGCGATTCCAGGTGATCGTGGTGATAAGGTTTAGCAGTGATTACGAGCGATCATCGCGCGGTACACTCACGTGGGTTGAGGGCTTTCGTAAAATGGTGGTGGCAGCTTGTATGACGGGACTCTCGCTTCGTTATTAATGTCTCGTGCGGAATTTGTGTTCACTCGAAATCGTCCTCTTTCGGACGGGGAGGATTTAACTCGGGATTCCATTTCCACGGTGCCATTCCGCACAAGATCTCGCACGTTCATTCAAGGAATTAAATCATCCCCGTCCGAGGGAACCTTGCGCTTCTCCGGGAAAGATTCACTCCGTGGTATTTTCATGACTTTTTTTTTTTTCCCCCATCGAAGGAATAATTCATCATTATTTTTGCAGGCTCGAAGGACCCAGGGAATCTTTCCCAGCATCTGGGAGGAACGTCGAGACGGTTCTTCTCGACGTTCCCGGTGCAAAATGTGCAAGGTAGAGCTATCAGGTAATTGATACGAATTTTTCTATGTAATACTCACAACCTCGCCCACGGCTCCTTTCTCGCCTTTCGGACCCTGTGAGTGCGAATAGCAAGAACGATCGTTAGAAAATGGTATCGTTGTATCTTAGCCAAGTTTAAGAAAGCCGGGGAAGGCGCCATGCAAGACCGAAGGTTAAGACGATTAACGCGAGTGGGATTTTTCTTTCAGGTCTACGGGGGATTGCTTTTTAAACCGGCACTCCCGGGTTAGTCGGCCGCAAGAGCGAAGGGAAGAATAAATAAATAAAAGAAACGTGTCGAGAGGGGAGATATTGCCATCGGAAGGAGCTAGTCGGCGTACCTCTGCACCAGGAATCCCATCGGTACCCTGAGGACAAACATAAACCTGTTAGGTACAGAGGATAGATGCACTCGTGCGAAATATATTGGGGTGGGTCGTGTTATACGGTCTCGGGGGTGGTAGCGTGAAATAGCCAGGAAACAGCCGAACGTGCAACCCATACAGGCTCTGAATACTGCGCTTCTACATTTAGGTGTACAGAGGTTTGCGGTGGCGATCAGATTCCGATTTGTCGACCGATCGATCGGCCCCAATATTTGCTTGCTCTTCTGGAAACTTACGGGCAGGCCGGGGTCTCCTCGTTCCCCCTTTATTCCGGGCTCTCCCTGGGCGCCCTGAAAGTACGAGTTTCACTATTCTTCAGCCCTTGATGGTTCCATTGATGTCAATTAAAAAACAATGGAACGAGGGGCTGTTCACTTGGGAATCAATGAAATCGATCTACTTCTTTGATTGCCAATTTAAGTTCATATGATAACGAATTCATTCGGTAACAAGGGACAATCTTTTTAACATTTTTTTTTCAACGTTTTCTACCGATTTCTGCTTGGGATTTCCAACTGATTTCGAGCGTTGAAATCGATGATTTTCTGAGTGAATAGCCCCTCGCGATGTAATCCTATGATAGTCTGAATAATAAAGCGCGATTTAGGAGTTACCGCTAGAATTTTGGGAGCGATTTAATTATTTTCATGGTCCTTTAATTGTACTTTATCTTTTTCTTTCAGGGGGTGGATCTTAAGCCCCTGGTTCATCTCGGCAGAGGAGAGATATGAGGAATATTAAAGCGGCTTTATTATTCAGGTCGATAAGGTAAATCGAAGTGTGCTCACCTTCATGCCGTCTAATCCTGGCGGACCCTGAAAGGTAGAGGAAACCAAAATCAAATTCGATGGAAAAGAAACGTCGAACGAGCGCGCTCGTTGGCTTGGCTTTAATGCACAACTATGGTAGATGCATAACACCTCAACCGGTCGCTTAATCACTTTGCATCTCCAGTAAGAAATAAATTTTAATACGAAATATGCATTAGGGAGGAGTGGCCTTACACAACAGATCTCGAAGATACCGTGGGAGAGAGACAAAGAGTAAGAGAGAAAGAGAGCGGAAAGTGAGACGGTTGCTACGGGAGACAAAATGCAGATCGGGTAATTCACAATTGAACCAAAGAACGCCGAGGTATCTCGCAGAATAAGTAAGTTGTGGTCGCAGCAAATTAACACGTGTTAATTATCCCGAACTCTCCTGGCGTGATATCCTTTCATTGGTCGCCAAAAAATCAAGACAGGCCGAGGGAGGTTCGCAGAGTTTGGGACACAAAATGCAGATTTAAGCAGAGGGTGTACACGTATACGTATATAAATATATCCCCATGTTTAGAAATGTAAATTTACGTATATATTTATATTTATACGTGTACCACGAACAAAGGGTTAAGCATATTAATGGGGCGTCGTAAAAGCAAAGGACACAGGCACATGCACATTCTGTTTATTAATCAGGATATCATGAAACAAAATTGTTAGTGTTCTTCCGTGGATACGAAGGACATCGTCTTTTGGTTATGGAACATCGTCTTAATTAACAAATATANTACCCTTTATAGCAATTAGCAACTCCGAGCAACAGCCCACAAGACACATTCGCACGTAATTTACGTGTATTATACATGCATACTATATATATGTATATGCATATGTATATATTACGTTTACGAAAGGTCTAGCCGCAGAGAGACTAGCTTCACTTGTTTCGCTTATCTTTAAATCCTTAGACCTAGGGATGTCCTTAAGACAGTGGCTCGATTAAATTACGTTAAGTACTGTATGTTACAAGTTCGCGGGCCCGCCGACTCCTGGGGGGCCTCTCTCCTTCCCTTACGCCTAGGTACTCTTATGCTACAACGAACAATAATATTATAAAAGTAGCTAATATAATTACATCGTACTCCCGCTTTTTTTTTTCAGCTAATGCTAGTAGCTTATCGGAACGCAATCACCAACCCAATTGGACGAGGACGATTGACCCTGCCCCGATTGGAGGAATCTGATTAAGGCGCGTTGGCACGACATTCCGCTCTGTACAGACCTTTTCAAAGTACATCCGACCACCTCGACATGCTAACTTCACCTGTGCCTTCCTCTACGAGACACTCTCACCGTATTAATCGGACCTATCGATCACCGATCGAGGTTCCTCCTCTACGCTCGCATTTTTGCGCCGAAGAGACCTCTAGTCATTAATTGGAAAATCTCACGTCTCAGCTTTCAAAGCGTATTTTATAGCTTCCTTCGACGCGGTCTCATTTTGTCATGCTTCTCGTCCCATTAGTTCGGCTAGTCAGATTCCGTTTGGAAGTATTTTTTTCCTTTGGAGAGAGATTTTAATGGACACCGCTAGCACCAACGGTAATCGGAAAGTGTACTCGAATCGTTTAATTGCCACCTAAGTTAGGGCCGGATATTTTTAATCGTGGTTTTGGAATGTTTATCACGGAGCGATACACTGAGAGAAATTCACCGAGGGGAAGGTCTATTTAGATATATATATATTTTTTGGGGGGATAATTATATGTTCAATATTTAATGCAATGTTTTTGGTATAAGTGAGAGAGGTATGGCATTGCAAATTTAATTCCGTTTTCTTTCAGTGTATGCCTCCTGGGTTTACCGACATCCTGTAGACATCTCTATTTTGTATCTATGGAAAGGATGTCGATTCGCCAGTCAATCGAATTTCCGAGATAATAGCTTCCTGCACTCTATCCGGCGCACCCTGATGCCTCAAGACGGAATAATTGCGACTATTGCAAAATTGACTATCTACTTGTCGTAGCTTATAACACGGGTTATTGAACGTTTAATCGCTACCTCGAAACTCGTTGTTAACCTTGGTTAGCTGCTCCGTCGAAATCGGTTCGCAAGAATCGGCCGGCGGAGCGTTTTTCGGCCCTCGGTAATTGTAATCTCGATTTTAATCGGAAAAGCATTGCGCTTTCATCGGCCATTAGTTACCGGTAAACATCGGGGTACTACATGTCTCGCGTCTTGCAAAATAACATCCATAATCGTGCGATCAAGTAAACTATATATATATAGTACTGTATATATATATATATACAGTTTGCATAAATTCATGGGAATTATCGTGCGTTATGTATCGTGCGATATGTTGGGCAAAAATATACGAGGCGGCTATGCCCTGACGAATTTTCCTTAAATTCCAGCCGGTTGTCCATGTCCTCCCGCAATGCCTGTTATCACGGCACGTTATCATACGTCGCTACGTAAGAGGACTGCCGTTAAAAGGAAAAGGAATACGAGGGAAAATTCGTCCAGGTTCTCAGGATTCAGCCAGGCTTCACGTCATTGTAAATCCGAAGAGCCCCTAAATACGCTGTTAATAATTTTTGCGCTTGTACACCTGTGTCCGATGTTGCCTCCTTCGGGCTCTCTTTATGGACACGAGGTCAGAGGTTGGCGATCGCTAATTGAACCGTGTGACACCGCCCAAGAAATCGGAGCACTTATTCTCTACGTGGCGGCGTATTGGAAATCCTGCCGGCGATCCTGCGAGCGGGAAGGATCAGGCTGTTCGATAAGAGATTAGAGAAGACGGGGTGAAAGCGGTTACTTGAAATCGAACAGCCTGTCTGTTTTACGGCCAATTGCCGGGGATCTCGGGGACACCCTCGCCATTGGGAGGCCTTTTTGCGTCAATAATCTCTCGTATGTATGTACAGGTCGCGGTCGAAATTGACATTTTTGGCGAGGGCGTCCCCGGAATCCACGGGCAAACCGCGCCGGAGAGTCGTCGGTCGGTCTAAAGGCCCTTCTGTCATGCGAAAATATCTCTCATCTTTATCCGGGTCTATGGACGCTACGACTAACAATGGGGGGAGGTCGGTAATTATCATCGCCGCGAGTCATCTCGCGACAGGTGACACGTCGAATTAACACATCGACACCGCGATCTATGGATCGTCTCGAGACGACGTCGCTGGGATACCTCGAAGACATTGCGATCGAATCTCCTTAATTAATTAACACGGCTTTCGAGGTGAGCCTCGAGGAGCCCGGTAAATGGCCTAGTTTAACGTAGGTCCTTGTTTTAAATGTCGACACAATCGTTATTTCATTCCCCGCGAGGGCCAGAGACTCTTTACTTAAAGGTGGCACACCCTTACTCTACCAAACTGATTAGGCGTACCGTAGTTAAGATTTGAAACGTCAAAAGTGTATAAAAAATATCTCTTGCCTTCAATCGATTCGAGAGCCAATTCGTGCCAGGGAAGATAGGTTAGATATTGTACATAAAAGACGGTACGGCAATGAATTCAACGGTAATAGAGTAATTGATAACACGCGGTTTAATCACAACGGGGGAAGGTTTTTGCGATCGATCCGTGACTGCGTATGAATATTTAAAACATGGACTCGGTGGAAATGGTGTACAGATGTTCGGGGGATTCTTCGTATTTTTCTTTTTTTTTTCCTTTTTTTCTTTTTACACTGCTTAGCCTCGTGCCATTTTCCGCGAATGAAACGGTCCATTTACGTCGCCTAGGATTTAACTAATTAATTGTCTACGCGAAAGCAGGCCGTGCCAGTGTAGCGTCGTGGAACAACGAGTCGTTAACGAATCGACGTCGCAGCTCGTCGAGCCGAGGATTACTGTCGGGTTGCAATTACCATTAATTAATTAACGACCCTCGCGTGTCCACCTTTGCGCATGTCGACTTGAATTTAGGCTCGAAAACGTTTATCTAACGAAAGGACCCGCCGTGCGAGTCGACCTGGAAGCCCTGAGTCTTTCAGATCCCGACGACGGTTAACGCTTCGTAATAAAGCTCAGTCTGGAGTAATCGTTATGTACATCGGCGATTCGACTCGTGTTCCAGCTGAAAGGACTAACTAAAACTAGACCTTCCGAGATGCGTCGAGATTTCCTGCCCATACCTCGCTATTTGTATAAGGCTCCGCACTTACACCGCGCGTATACGCACTTGGCGCGAAACTCAGCCGAGTTCTTTACTAGCGCGAGGTAGAACGAGCGTTCGGAAGATTCCCTAAAAATCCGCAACCGCTCGCCTTGCCTCCCAGCTGATCGAGAATCCGGCTTAGATTTCGGTCCTCGATTTCGAAAAATACTTAAAAATTATTCGGACAACTTTCGGCCGGTCTCTGGGAACGAGGTCCGGCGAACGCCCTGACGTGGAACACGAAACGTCGTTTATTATTTTTTTTTCTAACGGGAAAATGGGATGAATATTTTTCCCTACGACGGAATTATTCATTCCCATTCGTGGCAGGATTACTGACATCTGCGGGAACGTCGTCGAGGGGGAATAATAAATATTTCGGAATTGTTTTCAAGGTCTGCTTCGTGTTCGACGCTCAGGTCGCCCTAGCGAGCGTTTAGACATACGTATAAGTTAGCCATGCAGTGAGCTTAGTTGATTTTACACATAGACCTTCATCGACATCGCTTAAACATTGTGTGACAAAATATATATCCGATGCTCGAGAAAAGTGTCAATCTGTCCCGAAACGTGCTCAGCTTAAGACGTAGATATATGCGTGTTCCGGGGGTCCCGGACGGTGTGCACTAGATAGGTTATTGTCGTTGTCTTTGTAGTACCTATCTCGTGTTAGTTGTTAGTCAGATCACCACGCGCCAACCTGTTTTTTTAAGGCGTCTGTTAATAATTTGGTTAATCCTCGCCGCTCTCACTGTGAATTGAAATGAGCCGCCAGTGCCAATCGATGCGAAATTTGGATGAGAAAAAAAAAAAAATATTTATTGTATATTTCGAATGGATTCTACTCAAGTTGGGTGACTCGACAATGTCAATGTAAGAGCATGGAGATACGAGGCAACGATTGACTCGAATGTTGGCGTATCGATCGTCGAATTAATTTCCCGACTTCTACTCGTGTCTTCCCTCAAGAGGTGCTCGACATCTCGATCTCGGGGACCGGGAATTAATGCTAAGCCACGATCGTAATCGAGAAGGGTGGTCGTGTCTTTAACGAGAAACCGAACAATTGACCGATGAAGGCATGTAATGATGATGTTACGAGCGAGAGGCCCGCGATCTTACCATGGTACCAGGTTTCCCAGCATCCCCGGGCCTTCCGGACTCTCCTCTCAGTCCCATGGGCCCCTGTAAGGATGAACAGCGGTTTAAGATTAAGTCCCATATCGCATAAAAATTCAGGGAAGCCTTGAAATTATTCAAAGTCCATGTAAATCGATTATACGTACGGGCAGCCCCATTGGACCAGGATCACCCTTGGCACCTTTCTCCCCCTGCAACGAGATAAGAGACCGTCGATAAAGAAAAAAGAAAAAGAAAACAATTCCTCGAGCCTTATTTATTTATCCAGAAGCTCACGGGATAAAAGGGCTCGGAGTTCGGGAACTAGTTTTTTAATGCGGTGATGTATGCTCCCGGGTTTCGAGTTTTTAGACCGCCGTGGAAGGAGATAGAGAGATAGATGGGGAAGAAAGGGGGCGAGGATACAATGCGGCCAAGATATGAAACCGGACTATATAAATCGGCGTTAAATTGTACGGGGTTGGTGGAGAAAAATCGATCCCATAAAAGTCCATTGTTGAGGGCGGGGGAAAATAAAGATTTACATCTCTGGGGGTAAACGGAAGGTGTGGGTTCGTCCTGGCGAAGAATTTCGTTTAGGGATAGGAGGTTGAAAGTAGGGGGATTAATGTTAATGTCAGTGAATTAAAATCGGGAATACTAATTAGTGAATTAATATCAGGAATACTGACAGGATCACCCTTAGCGCCGTCGTGTCCTCGGTCTCCCTTGATTCCTGGTGGACCCTGAAGACCCGGGGTTCCCGCTGGTCCAGGAGGTCCTGGTGGACCTACTATCTGTTTCGGAATTTTGAAAATCGATCAATCGACCCATGTAACACATTTTTTTTTCTCTCGCAGCGCCGGAAATCCGGACAAAGCGGAGCCCCATAAAATGGGGGGAAGTAGGATTAAGGAGGGACTTACCACTTCGCCTGCATTAACTTCGAATGTGCCGTCACCCTGAAACGAGAGGGAATGGCCTTGCTGAAAGTTTTCTAAGTAGAACGAATACACGCAATGCTCCCTCCCCGATAAAACACTTGGCCGGGGAATAATGAGCCTCCCGGCTTATGACCGGGAGGAAACTTGGGGAAACTCGTTCGCGTTTTGCGCCGAGCCGGCGATTTAATGGGGCGCAAAGAGTCTCATTTAAATTTATACAATTTATTTGCCTACCTGTCTTCGTCTCAGCTTTTTGTACTTCTGTTGGCGTCCGAGCGAGGGCCCATGAAAAGGAAATTCAGAAAGCATTTGTTACAATGGTCTCAACGCGCGAGGAGGGATATATCTCCTCCTTATATATTATATACCACGAAAAGAGTTGGACTCACCGATTCTCCCTTCTCACCCTTCTCTCCTTTAACTCCGGGATAGCCCTGTGGAATGAAAAGCAATCCGTTGAGCCAATTGTATGCGTAAGGAATCTCGCCCCCGCTTCTATCGGGAACTGCAAATCGCGACGAGGCGGGCAATAAAATGCAAACGAAGTCCCGGGGAAAAAAATAAAAAAGAAACAAAGTATAAAAAAAAGGACAAACTCCGAGCAATAAATGCCACTCTACTCGAGGAATCACCGCGCGATATTTTTCTGGCACAACCTCGAGGAAGAATAGAGAGGCGGGCCCGGAGTTGAGTGAATATAACGGAAGGATAATGGAAATAAAAGTGCGTAAAAATTAAGTGGAACGTACAGGGGGCCCGGGAAGACCAGGGGGACCCATGAGGCCCGGTGGTCCAATATCTCCATATTCTCCCTTCTCTCCTTTGGGACCGGCCTCTCCCTGAAAAATAAAACACAGGGCTCGATACAGGATTATAACCGACATCGAATGGCCGGGCTTTTATATCTCATAGAATCATCTCCTCGATAAACGTAAAGATTCGGAGAATTGGAAAAATTCCCATGGATTGGAATTTCCAGACCTCGTTCTGAAAACGTAAAAATTCGAGAAATCCCAGGGATCCCAATTTCCCATTTTTAAAGCTGTTATTTCTTTATTTTAGACCAGATCATCTCGTGAAAATGTAAAAACTCGGAAAATCTCTGAATTTTTCCGTTTTCAACGCGAGGGTGATTTTTAAAAATTTCAAGGCAGATCTTACGGGAACACCGGGAGGTCCTTGGATGCCGGCCTCCCCGTTGATGCCGTCCAATCCTGGCGGTCCTTGCGGTCCAAGATCTCCCCTGGGACCTGGAACGGAAGAGGGATGTCAGTTCTGACGACTGTCACTTCCGGGGATCTCTAATCTAGAGCACGAGGACCATTTCCATAAAGAACCACCGGAGGCTGCAGCGGGTCCATTTTGGCCCGCGAGACCTGGATGGAAACGAAACTCAAAGGGGGCGCGGAAAAAATCGCGATCGATCGACAACGATGGCTGATAACTGGTCTTGACAGTCCGGAACGGTTCTTGGCAGAGTTCTCTGGTAATCTACCTGGTGGACCAAAGCCCTTGGCGCCCTTCTCGCCCTGGTAACCCCGTTCACCGGGCTCACCCTTGGCACCCGGGGGCCCGGGGGCACCGCCTGTCATCGTGACACCTCTTTGACCCTTGACACCCTACAACGACACTGCAAAGTCAGATCCAACCAGGTCCTCCGTCATCTATTCTACTTAGAGTTTAGTGTTCTCTCTGGTGTCTCATTAATTCGAGGATTCGGTTAGCGTATCAGAAAGGATGGACCAGGGAGGGAGAGTTTCCGCTGATCGAAGTATAGTGTTAGGCACGGTCTTGGCATATTCCTGACATCTCATTTTTAAATATTCTAAATATACCCTCCTTCCTCAATTTGCGCGGTTTTTACAATATCTTTTTCTCATTTCTACCGACAGACTTTACGCGACGGGATTTTCGGTCGCGTACAAAACGCGAGAATTCCCGAAAATTGAGGGACGGGTGTATGTAAATAGCGATTGTACCCCGAGAAATAAAAAATAATTGGTCGAATCATATACAATTCCGCGAGACAATTACGAATCTTGTTCACTCGACTTGGTGTTTTTTTTTTTTTCCGACGGGTCTAATCGCAGGATTTTGTCGCCACGCGCGTTCCTTTGAGTTAATCGATCACTTTTTTTCTTCCGTTCTCGGAGTGGAAAATGTTAATAAATGTTTTGTTTTATCTTTCAATTCTAGGGATATTCTCGAGGAGGCTGAGAAGTCGCGATCTCCATGTATGCCAAAACCGTGGATCCGCAGATGTAGGATATTCTGGCACAACAAGTGATCTACCGAATTTGTGGAACAACACATCTACGTATCTACTGTTCATGCGTGTCGTGTCTATGGGTATCTAGTGGGGTTCACACATTTAGTAGAAAACCGCGTCTGTCGAGAGGACGTGTCAAGTGTCACGAGAAACACACATCGTAGAGTCTAGGAGAGATCGGTCTAAACAGAAAAGAGAGTGTGTACGTATTTAGGTGTCGGTTCTTGTACTTGTTCTTTTTCTTTCCTTTTTTTTTTTCTTGTTCATACTTACACGCGGGGGCTGCGAAGTTGCGATCGCCGTTGCGAGGTTTCGAGTTTTCGAGTTTTCGAGCTTGCGAGCCTCAAGCCGTGGGTGGGTATTAGTGATTAGTGGATCGAACCGACACACGGGGAAGTAGTGGGTGTTACTCGCTACATAAACACACATTAGTTACAAGCTACCTACTTTGCCGTCAGGATTATAACGTAAGTACGCCAAGCTGAGCTTAGCATGGGCCGAGTTCTTGCCTTGCAACGGGGACGAGCTTTTGGCCATCCGCCGAGCTTTCGGCGAGTTAGATCGATTTTCAGAAAATTAAGCCCCGTCTCCTTTGCGAAGCAATGGGGGACATTAATCGAGATATTGATTAACGCTCGAAAGAGCGTCGTCGAGCGATTTATCAGCGATTTATCAGCGCTTTATCAACGATTTGTCCAGGCGCGTCGATTTTAAGACACCTCGCGAGGACGAGGGATTTACCGTGAATTAATTAGACCGCGGAAGAAAATTGCGAAAAAAATTGTTCCGCCGCTCGGCGACCCTCGATCGTTAATGCCGATCAATGCCACCCTTCGTTGGAGTATATAGAGGATTTATGCCATACTTACGTTGGTCATTACGTATTATTTTAGTGGGCCAAGTAAGGTTCAGGCGTGGTTAAGTCGCTATTACGGTTAGAGCTTTCGCTTGCTCGCTGCCGAAATAATGCGTAGACACTTGCGCTGCGTCCTAAACTAAGGTAAGTACAAGAAATAAATCAAATCCGTTAATGCTAAGACACAGGGTAACCAAGGATTAAAAAAACAGAGACAGTCCTACGAGGGAGTCGTGTACGGGTCTACTCGGTACGTGTTATTTGCTGCCACCAACATTTTAGACGGACATACTTCGCCTATTCGCTTACGGCAAAGAGAAACGGAGGTACGATGCAGACTTAAATTAAGGGAGTAACGAGAGAAAATCATAAGCTCTTCGTTTGCAGCCGAGCGAGACGTTGGAGCGAACAAGCAGCGCGACGAAGAGTCGGAGAAATAAATAAATAAGTTAATACTGTCAAACAAAAGGTAATTATATCGGCCATATATTGTCCAAGCTTCTCCTCAACGACGCTGGAGTTGATTGGCAAAATTCGAGAAGAACGTTTAAGTACAGGTTAAAATTCCTGGAGAAAATTCGGATGCAAAATTCCTGGAACGGATTCGAATGCCGTGAAAATTCCTGGAAAAAAAGAATTAACCCCAGCGGCGTCTTTGGGAGGAGATTCCTTACTTTTTCCTTCGCGATTCTGCCACTCTTCATCTTCGCAGGGCCTTCTCAGCAGCTCGTGGAGCTTTTCGTGCAATAGTCAGTGCAGACCTATGGCTAGGGCATGCATTTCGTGGATGTCAGGTCACAAGCGGAAGTTTTCTCGAGCATCACCCTACATGCACCTCGTGCACCCCAAGGAGGGCTCGGATCGTCCTGGAGGAAATCGGGAGGAGCTGGAACGAAGGGATCTATCAAGGATCCGGGGAACGACACGGATTTCGTGGCTGGGTCGACGTATGAAAATTTCCGTCAAATTCGGAGGACCTCGCTGAAGCTTACCCTCTTCCCTGGCTTCCCACGATTGCCCCTGGGTCCGATAGGTCCCGTGGGACCTGGTGGGCCTTGCTCTCCTTTCTCCCCAGGGAGTCCTGTATCGTACGTATACCATGTACATCAGAATTGACTGATTCGCGAGCGAGCCTCCTTGCTCGATACCCGGATTTCGCCCTCTTCTGCGTTTAGGATCTATTCTAATAATCGTTAGCCCCTCTCGACAACTAAACGACCCGACTCGTGTCAAACGAAATGGTCTGCCCGATATTCCCACGGTACAAAGTAGACAAGTTGCGCCCCCAAATCTGATTTTCGACCCCACGCCTTGGTAAACGTCATACCGCAATCTGGCAGAGGTTCATGTACAAAAAATGTCGAAAAGTGGCCATTTAAAGTATTCAGGAATTAATTGACTCATGGATATAGAGTCATGTAAAAAGGAGCGGAAAGACGAGGGTTACTATTTATAAAATCTAATACATTTCTTTTAAATTTATTTACAGAGTGTTATATTTTTTTTGGCTTGGTCAGTCGATTAGGCTATGTCCTGGAAATGTATTTAGGTGAGTGTTTAAAAGTGTGGCACATCTTGTCGTCTTTGCATCATGGGCCTTTCGGAGGTTATCGAATGCATTTTTACTCACTATAAAGTGTCTAGAAAATTTAGACCGTGCTTAGCGCTTTTCCAGGATACCGAGAGGAATGCGATTGCGACTCGTAAAAGCGGGCGAACTACCCTTTCACGGGTTTAATTTAAAGTTTCATAGGAGGAGAAGAGGGGGGGAAAAAGGACAACACCCCGTAATGAGGAAATTCGCGGAGTAATGGGCTCCGAAGACTGGTCGCGCACCTCGGGCGTGTAATTAATTAACAGTTGAAAAACTGCGGGAATAAGTAGAGATTTCGAAACGGAAATGCCGTAGTCGCGACCAGGTGGAGGAGGGACGGAACTGCGGAAGTTTCGGAGCTTCTTCAGGGTTTCGCCGGGGAAAGAATCGTTATGGCGTGGCCGAGGAGATTCCAGGGCACGTACACCTCCCCAGGACTGGTTTTACCTTCGGGAACTTCCTCCAGGGATAATAATCCGAGATTTCTTTCGGCGCGATTATTGCCTCGCGAGTTAAGGGAGCTCCTTAAGCCCTTTCTCGGCCTTACGGGGTCCATGGGACCTTGGGAGCCGAAAAATGTTCCAAATCAATCGGAAGCTCGATCTAGAAATTGCAAAGTTTGGCAGGAACACGGGAGGAGAGTCCTGCAGGATCCGGAAGTCACGGCTGACCCGGAGATCCGCGTTTACCTCGCAGAAGTGCAAAGGGGCGCGTTAATTTTATCCCTCGGCGAAGTTCGCGAATAAAACCGGAGCTTTTTTAATATTTTCTATTTCCCGAGGTGGGAAACCCTTATCGCCTCGATTCGCGGATACTTTCCCCGAGGGGAAAGGTCGGAGATGTTTCCTCATATTCCGCAGGCGCTCGTTTATGAGCGGCCATTTTCCCCGTAGCGAGGTACAAATAACAAAAAGGCTGGTATCGCGTTACCGCGAGGGAGTCCATTCCCTGTTATCACCCGGTCCACGGTTTTATGAAGAAAATCGAGCATTACGGATTTAATCTCCTTTAATCCACTTAACTTTTCGAATAAACGGGCTCGGGGTTGCCGTAAAGAGCTACTTCCCAGCCAAGAACAACAGCGGCAACGTTATCTATACCCCGTGGATTACCCATTCGCGTTATCAGGGGATTCCCGATATCCTTAAGGCGACATGAAAGTCGGATCCGAGGAGTTAATCGTGTATGAAACTTTCCTACGAACCGGGTTAACCGAATTTCTTAAAATTCTCCCACCAGAACGCCTACCTTAATACCGGTAGAATGAAATTTTCTATGAAACCATAAGAAAAATGTAGGGAAAAAAAAAATCATTGAAAATCTAAATTTATGGGTCGGGACCTCTTTTAGAGCCTCCATATTCGCGTGGTGAAATTTGAAGATATTTGGCACGCCCAATTTGGATTAAAGTCTCATAAATTATTCATCCCTCGTAATTATATCGCCTTAATGAGCAATATTTTATTGGGGAGATTTTTCAGACGGGAGATAAAACGTCATTGAACTTTATGCACGTGTTTGGAAGCTGCGACTACCGAGAGGGGAGCTTTTCTTCAAAAGTCGAATAAAAGGTCTGGTTAGACAAGAATTTGGCGAAATGTGGGAATCGTCTTGCTTACCAGGAGGTCCTGGAGGACCCGGAGGACCCTCTAGCACTCCAGCTTCTCCATTGATCGACGTCGTCAAGCCTCGATCGCCCTTGTCTCCTTTGTCGCCCTGCGGAAACCAATACGGACGTTAATTCATCCCAGCTCGAGGCTTCTCTTAAATAAGCGTTTTGCCATAATCTTCATTACGGTATCAGCCGAAGGAATCAGCCATTAGAAAGTCCCTCGGACGTGCAGCCTATTACTCGAATAACGATATTGCCTCGTACCGAGAAGATAGATGAGATTGATTAAGAGACCCCATAGACTGTTCCCGTCTGGAAATACCGAGCTTAATTAATGGCGCTACCGTCTTTTTATTTGTCCCGGCATTACCGACAAAAACCATCGAAAGTACGGTCGCTCCATGAGAACGAACGAAAGCGGAATTAATTGTCTACCGATGCCCTTTGATCGATTTAATCGAGATCGAGCTCGCTCGCTAAATAATTCATCTCGCTCCGAGGGCGATAAGTATCGATTTTTTTCTCCACTTCTTAAATCCTCTATTTTTTTTTTCCATTCCAGGGAAAAATAAGCGGGCTCGATTTCATGGTATTTTGCTAGCGAGCTTGGAGAAAAGGGATTTTTAATGTAGATTGAGAAAGAAAAAAAATTATTCATCGACTAAAGAGAATTGCGATAACAAAATCCTGCGATCGGATATCCTCGAAAAAATTCCGATTGGGTAAAGAAAATTGATTTAAGTTGACGTGACATTTTTTTTGGTGAAGAAATAATTGTTTCTTGCAATTATATATGATTTGGGAAACCGTGTATATTTGTATCGGTCAGCTGATTTTTTTTTTTTCTCAAGGTGGAGATGTTAGGAAAGGAGAGCTTTTCATCCGAGAGATGATCATCGCGGGATAACGAGCCCACGCCATCTTTCTTACTCGTGCAAGGCAGGTCCGGGTTATTTAGGGGTAATTACATCCCAGAAGGAAATTGAAGTCCCAATCAGATGGTTAAGAGTTCATCGAGCGATCGGCGATTTCTAGGAAGTTAAGAAGGATCAGCACGTTCCCCCGAGACGCGGATTTCCTCTAATTAGGAGCCGCCCTCCAAAGAACGAGGAAACCGTCTCGGAGGTAGTTCCAGAGGCATTGTTCTAATTAATATTAGTTAGTTCCAGGAGGGAGGAGTAATGCTACTTCCAGGTCCAGGTTGTTAGAGCCCGATGGAGCCACCAGCACCTGTAACATTCGCATGTGTCGAAGGAACATGGGAACTCACGCGTCGTCCTGGGAAGCCTCGGGTCCCGTTTCTGCCCGGGACTCCCTAGGGAAAAACCATCATCTGTAAGTTCACTAGTTAATACCGCGACGACGCTTAACGATATCGCGGGGCCTCACTGGAATTCCTGGATGTCCTGGCAGCCCGGGGTATCCTGAGGGTCCGTGCTCGCCCTGGATAAGCAGTCTCGTGAGAGGAGAAGCAGAACCGTGCAAACGTCGAGAATCTCTCGACGAAGAAGTCGAGGAAGAGGTTTATCTCGAAACTCACCTTGAGGCCTGAAAGTCCAGGAGGTCCTGCAGGACCCGGGGGACCGACGGGCCCGACGGGTCCTTTTTCACCCGGAGGTCCCACGTCGCCAGGGATACCTTGTCTTCCATCCTGTCCAGGGATTCCCTCGGGTCCTGGGGGACCCGCGGGTCCGGGTAGTCCAGGTTCGCCAGGTTCTCCCTGTTAGATCCGATAGATTAGTCCCCGTCCGAGTCTCCACCCTGCTCGGTTAATTTTTGGTGAGTAGAAAATGAATGACTGATTAGTGGCACTCCATTCCCCAAGGTCCTTTTCCGTTCCAGGTGCAAAATGCGGTTAGAAGAGGGACAAGCGTCGTCCTTTGGGCTCTCGAAGGACCCTCCCCTGTCCATGGGGGGTTCCTCGTCATTTTGAAAATTTTCAGAACCGTCGACGGTGGGACCGAAAATTTCCTCAATTTCTTTTTCAACCAGCAGCGGATTGATCAATTTCAACCCCGCCGGGCGGACTTTCCGAAGAGCTCCCCTCGGCCCACAAATGCGGCCGTTCCGGCGCGGAGAAAAATTCCAACAGCCCCTCGAAGCCTGCCGTTAAAATCGTATAAACGTTTCCCGATGTGGAGCGTCTCGTTATTAATTAATAATAAGATTTCCGAGGGGAGGTCGACCGGAAGTCCGAAATCGGTGAACGTTTCGGCGTTTTTCCCATGATGGACGTGCACCCACCTTGCAGAGGAGGCTCGGATCTCGAATGTTATACCAGCTCCTCCCATTCCTCGGTAGGTGCGCTCCCATAAAATTGCCATAACGGCTCGTCATGCAGATATTTATGCGATAAACGTTAGATTTACAACCATTAGCCCGATGAAAATCGGACGGCGCAGCGTCGGAATAATGTGGCCACGGTGACGCGCGGACGGGTGTGCATAAATACATTAAAAATGCCCATGAAGAAACGTCCATGCCAGGCATGCCCATCGGCATTTGTATCGAACCATGCCCCGACATGCTTCAACGTGCCCTACGTGGATGTGAACTACGTGCAGGAAATGGATCATCTCGAGAAGAACTCTCGAGTGGTCGGATGACGAGATTGACACAATCGCGACGCGGAAGTTGACCGAGACATTACGACATTACGCCGCTAATCCGCCGTATCCTGCGTTAAATCCATTCTCAGGATTACCGACTGCCCGAGGAATTTTTCAAAACATTCATGGACAAATAGTTCCACCCGATCGCGAGGGTCGTGCGACGCGTGGGATTTTTTTTTTTTATACCGGCGCGTGCGACCTTTTTATACCGATTTTGACAAGATCCGTTACATACAAATATAGCCGGCAGAGTATCCGCGATATTTCTAATTGCCTCGTAATTGTTGCAGAGGGAAATTGAAGCTGAATTCCAGAATGTACCGAGGTATGGATCGAGGCATCGACCGAGTTATGCAGCGATTAGAGAGCAGAGTTGCGAATCACGCGATGGATGAAGCCATGAGAGCCGAATAGGTCGATAGCGGACTTACTTTGAGCTGCACGATGGTAGCCGTGGAGATATTAAACCCTCGATCCTGAAATTCCTAGAAGTAGGCGAACTACAGGTGAAAACCAAATCGCTACAAGGGCTAACTTAGGGGGGTTGCATGGAGGAACGATTATCGCGATCCTAGATATAACAGAGGGTTGCGAGTATCGTACTTTAACTTCCGGCATGCCTGATTCGAGGGTACCTAGAGGACCGTAACTCAAAATGATCACCATTACCAACCAAAACCATGTAGTGACGGCTGCCACGGTAGGCCGGAAGAGCCGAGGCAATTTACTCCAAAACGGAGGAGGGAGCGAGGACCTCGTCCTTCCCGATTGCCTTGAGGCGACTTTACATGAGCTTAGAAGGGCGATCGCAAATTTACGAGGCACTGTAAAACCTAGGTCACGGCATTCTCGTCGTGTAGACGGGAATACCTTGTCATGATTCCGCATGCCCCATCTCGGGCTATAAAGTGTCCCTCCACGTGGCCTCTCTTAGGCCACGATCAACTTGACCTTACGATGATCGGTACTTTTATTCCACTCGACGAGATGCTCTTTGTAAACTCAGGGACGTGACATTTGTCGGGACGAGGGTATAAAGATAATTGCAAGATCTTATAATTGCCGTTCTTAGCCTCCATTCGGAGGGAATCGCTGATGGGTACTTGATTACATTCGGTAAGAATAAAATAATTGAGGGGATTTATCGGCCCAGGAATTTCGCCACTCTTAGTGATTCTATCTTTAATGGTATGCGTAATTTGATGTCACTTGTTTTTTGCCCATCCAGGGATATCTTGCATCGGCTCGATTTTCGACCAGGCTTACCGCAGCTTCCGCCGTCACGGAGCAAAACCAGGAATAAGGAGATGCTACACCGAAAGCACCGCACAGCGCAACGACTAAGGTATATAAGAACAGTATACAGTACAAGTGATAAGTGTCAGAACCATAAACGAGCGACTTCTCTCGAAGGTTGTTACCTTCAGGGCGACGATTTCCGCATAGCCGAGCGTCCCGCCGCGGAGCGTCGTCACCGACCTCTTTAACCCCAATCCCTGTGCATTGACCCATAGGCAGGAAGATTGTTCATTTTTTTATTTGCATTACAGATTCAACGTGGCAGCCAGGGGAAATAGCCTGACTCTAGGTGAACGATAGGCCTAATTAATGGGATTTTAAATTAAAAATTGGAAAAATTTAGGAAACCCGCAAAATGGATTTTCCTCCGATAGAGCGCCGCGTTATCGGCCCATTGTCTCCGATTGGCTCTAAAAAGGAATGGCCGGTGGATTTCAGCGAGGATTTCAATTCCGAGAGCCGTCTCCATCCTGGTCGATTTTTCGATTTTCTTTCGCTGACCGCGAAATTACTCGCGAGGGATCTTTCGGGATATCACGAGATATCACGGCACGTGAGGTGGACCTCGGTGTAAACTGGCCTTTCACGTCGTTCCATTTCCGTAAGAGGATTATTGTTAAGAAATGAGGAAACGTCTCGATCCTTCCGAACCTTTCCGATGGGAAGATCACCCCTTCTGACGTATCGGGAGATTATCGACGTGCCGACTTGGATTTCTATCTAGCCACCGATATGGGGAAAATCCACGGCGGGGATTACTCGACTTTGGATGGCTAAACTCTGGAGAACTGCGCTAGGTTATTTATGGGCAATTTTATGAAGTACGGTGCATGGAGGAAAGTTTCTATGTGATGGAGTCAAGTACGGATATATCTACATAGAGACGTCTAAAAGTCAGCGCGTGAAGTGTCGGCGAAGTCAATTGACCGGCGCTTAAGTAACACAGTGCACATATTGATCTGTACATCGAGAAAAACCAGTGCTCGAGGGTGCTTAAATAATAGCAATTGCAAGAATTACTGACTCCATACGCGACCGGAAGAGCATCAAAAGCTATGCCGACTTTACGTCTACGTAGGAAAAATCTGGAGGCTCGAACGTACGGATGGAAATCATTATTCCTGGGTATTCGAGGGGGCGTTTTTTAGATCTCTGTAAAATCTCATCTCTCGAAAGGGTTCTAATATTATTTCGGAGATTCTCGGTTAATGTTAGATAGATACCTTCACGGCAGAGAAGACGTCGAATCCGGGGCTTCCAAGTTCGCCCTTCTCTCCCTTGCTTCCAGGTAGACCCTGAAAATAATAGACTCGTGTTTTTTCTCCAGTTTAATTTTTCTACATACACCCACGCCTTTTTCCAAGTGAAAGGTCGGAAGATAAAATAAAAATCAATACCGCCGGAGTGGCAGGAATTTTGCATTAAAATTCATGGCGAAATGTAACGCATTTCGTTGTGGCGGTTCTCCGAATTATTTTGGATCTTTCTTTTTGGACCGATCGGATCGAATCATCTATCGATCCTCCGGGGCATCGGAGGCGCGTAATAATTCTCGATAGAGCAAATGGAAATCTATATCCGCGATATTTCAGAAAAATCTTGCGCGACATTCCTGATCCTCATGAAAATGCAGGAAGGCGGACCACGCGATGCTTCCGTGGATTTTAAGTCTCTTCGCCGATGGCGGGGAAAAAGTGCAGAACTTGTTGCAGATTTATGGGGGAATTCTGAGGCGAATGGGAAATTTGGGGATTTTATGCGCTTCGAAATCTTACCGGGTCTCCTTTGGGTCCATCCAAGCCGATCGGGCCCTGAAATACATAATCTCCGATTAGCGTCTCCTCGGGCTCCCGGAAGTTGAGAAGGAAACAAAAGTGAGAAACTCGAGACACTGCACACAGCATCGCAAATCTACCTTTACGTATGCAGGGGAGTACTAAGAGAGAAAACGAAGGAGTAAATCGGAGAACACAGAGAACACCCCACAGATCAAGATGCTTCCAAATACATGAGTTCCAACAGGATTTATTCCACCGTGTGAGTTCGGGTTAGTAATTCTTCTACTTCACCGTTCTAATAGTGAGCTTTCGGTTAAATGGTCGCTGTTAGTGTTGGCAATGCAAGACATACGAAACAATTAAAGGAGTACTGGAACCCACGAGACCACCGTTGCGTAGCTGGAACAGAATGTTACGTGATGTCAATTCATTTCACAGAGTCGATAATTAAATGAAAGGACGAAGAAAAAAGTCGAGGGTGGAGAAGGACGAATTTTCCATCCTGCAGATGGAAACTCCGATTTTTTCTTTAAGTTAAGTAAAAGCGCGAGGGAAAAAAATTGGAGCGAAGGAAATAGGGCGCCGAGGTGTGAATATCAATTTTTTGTAAATCAAGTACAAAGGCGAGGAGAAAATTGAAGGTGGAGAACGGGTCAAGGTGTGAATTTGAATTTTTGAAAGTCGAGGAGAAGAGCCGAGGAAAAAATGGGCCGTAAGAGACAAGGCGGAGATGTGAATTTAAATTTCTGGACACTTTAAATGGGGGAAATTCGGAGATGGAAAGTGGGTCGAAGGTGAGAGGTGAATTCCAATTCCTCGGAGGATTTTTTTCTCTCGGATCTGCAATTTCGTAGAATCGGCGCCAGGACTCGCAAGCGGATTAATGCGGAGGTCGTTCGTCAGCATTTATTTCCCGAGGAATCTTTCCATATCGGATTTACGTGGACGCGAAACTGTGAAGTCACCAGGGCCGGACCGGTGCAATTTACAACGCGAGAGCGCATAATCCTCGACTAATATGAACACCCCGCTCGGAGTATTAATCAGGATTTGAGATTAGTGTTGATGAGGACGTGGGATACGGAAATTTGACGAGCCGTAGTAGGGTTTAATGTCCATCCCGTTATACCCGACCTACACCAATGACTGTACTACTCGGACGAACTACTTTGGCGCTGCATTTCACAATTTCTTGAACCATCCCCCAACAATAAAGAAATAAATTCCCAAAGTTCCATCTCCAATAAAAGTACAGAAGGGTCCAGCAAATTTCAGCCATATCGCCTTTATAAGTTCCAAAAATCGCGGAAAGTTTCCAATCGGCAATTTTCCGCGATTTCTTCGCCGCGCCAAAATTCAAGATGGCCGACCGGTCCTCACCGACTCGTCAATCGAATTTTCTTCAAGGTTTTGGTCATTGTGAAACGCGCTCCGTGAATGGTGCCGATCCCAGATAAGGAAAGGAGAAAGAGACAGGCAGAGGCCTGGAGAGATCGACTGGCCGAGAGAGAAAGAGAGAGGGAATCGTGAATAAACGAACCGGGAACCCAGGATAGCCGCGGAGTCCATTGAGTCCCTGCAACAAACCAACGCACCAGTCGTCATGTAGACAATACAAGTATCTATGGATGAGTCACATGAGTATTCGCGTGTGCTTTAGGGGCGAGCTTTGGGGCGTTAATAATTCACGGAAGGGAGCGATGCCGTTCCATCCTACGCATCGGCAAGGAGCCAGGAGAAAGGCGCTCCTGGAGTCCTACTTTACCGACCCGAGGCCAACGAATGGCTGCGAGCTTGCGACTTGCGAATCGCGAATTGCATCTCGATCTACGAGAAGACCTGGACCTCCGTCTCTTAGAAATACGAGATCCCCCAGAGAGGTAAACCAGTAAACTCTGCTCTCTCAATATAACCTCGATTTTGAAACTCCACATCTATTTTTCAAATTAAATTAATCAAAAACTGGAATAAATCGCTCTCGTCCCTCTAAGGGTATTCTCGATGTCCAAGGCACGTATCGACATTTTAAAAATTAAATCATGAATTAATATTAACGAGTATTAATTTTCCAGGGGTCGTGAGATGCATCGAATCCCAAGTCGCAACCTCTATCAGTCACCAGGAAGTTAATGCTCGCTCTGGGGGTTTGATCTTGAAATTCGAAGGCAAGGGTTACATTTTGCCCGCTGAAAGAGACGCTTCGGAGGCAGAGGTATCGTCTGTGTGCAGTATGCTATCGGATGCAGTTGTGCTCTAATTCTAAGGGGAAAAAAAAAAAAGAGAAAACGATCCGGCGAGTCTTGGATATTGGTGGTCCTTACCGTGGCACCCTGGTCGCCTTTGTCGCCCTTGGCTCCCTGAAATATCACAGCGAGAGAATTTAATGAAAACCGCCGAGAGGCGTCTCGGCCCACCTCTTGCACTGCCAATTCGACGACAAATATTTGGAAGCAGTCGACCCACCCGAAGGAGAGAGTCAAAGAAGCAAACTCGGAGCCGAATTGATACCAGATAGCAGTGAGGTAGAGAAAGAGACAGAGAAATTAAAAAGGGTGTAAATAAATAATAATATACCGGGAAACCGTTCTTGCCAGCAGCCCCGACCGTACCCTGTAAGAAGGGGTACACAACGTTAAATAAGACACCTCCAATACACATCGGGCATGCTAAGCGAATACTCGATTCAATTACACCATAGGAAATGGCCAATTTCCTCCATTTATGGGCTACACGACATGCAGGGTATTTATCGCTCCAATTACGCGGCCCGTTGATATTTACATCGCTGATTATACGTATCGCTCTTCCCGATATGAGCTTTCCAAAAAAGAGACGTCGATTTGAAATCGCTCCCAGAATCCGTGCAAATTCAGGAAGTCGATAGGAATTGACTAGAAACCTCGGATAAATGTAATCTAATTCATAATCCAACAACGACGTAACAGAAAATTGCGCAAAAAGGAAGGAGAAAGAATTTCATATCGAGGAAATGCGAGGAGAAGTCTGCCTATTTAATCCAGGAACTTCCTTAGTACCGAGGAGCAGATTTCCCTTATCAGCGCACTGATATAAAAAAATTCTGGCCAGCATGCTCGCGTCTATTTTAGGAAGGCTCAATTTTTTAGGAGAGGTCTGCCTGTTTAATTCAGGGAGTTCCTCAGTACCGAGAGCAGATTTCCCTTATCAGCGCACTGATATAAAAAAATCCTAGCTAGCATGCTTGCTTCCATTTTAGGAGAACTCAATTTTTCCACAGGGTACTTTCCATTCGACGGCGTCGACAAGCAGTGTCATCGATCCTACACCATGCACTACTAGCTTTAACCGGAAGTTGTTAATTGTAATCAGCGTAATTTATTGCCAGAGGGTAATAAGACGTGGAGGAACTTACGGGTTGACCGACCTCGCCTTTCTTCCCCTTTCTGCCCCTTTTCCCTGGCGGTCCTGCCTCACCAGGTGGACCTGAAACGTGATTAAACCTTGTTAAAAGAAAGAGTAAAAAGCGCGAAAACGGCCACTTTGTACGTACTCGGCAAACGTACAAGCTGTACCGGTAAAGCGAGTACACCGAGTACAAGCTCGCTCGATCCTCCGAGGCGGTGGAACGAGAACGAGCGCGCATCGATTATTGCCTCCGCAAATTGCATGGCAATCTTACATTTATCGACTCCCAATTGGACACGACTTTGTGGAGGTGATTGCGAAATGCCTTGCCAGTTAGCGCCGGTGACGAATGATTTTTTCCTCCCGTCCTGCGAAAGTGCGAAAATAATTCCCGTCCCTCGAGCTCGCGAGAATCCCCGCAATTAGAGAGCCGCTCGTAAAGCGAGAAATAATAAGGAACGCTCCCGGGGGAATTGTGCAATTTTAACGACTTCATCGCGACCCCCTCCCCCGAATGAGTATGATAAACAGGGATGCGAAATAAAAAAAAGAAAGAAAAAGGAAATGGGAAGGAAACATGATAAATAAAGCAGCCTCCGGGATGACTCGCGAGCCAGAGTGAATTAATCTCCTGGCGAACTTTTCTCAGATTTATTCAATAAAGTTGCAAATTCTGGCCCCGTGGACCATTTCTCATTTCTGCTTGATTATTCTCGATTCGATGCATAAACGAGGCCGGAGGTGGGAGGGGTCGATTTATTTTTTCAGGGGTGGAGTCGATATCGAAGTCGCTCGATTTTCAAGACTTCTTTGGATTTTCGGATTTTCGGAATTGCTTCGATTGGGGCGTCTTCGAAGCGGCTCTTATGGAGGGCCAATTTCCGAAATTCCTTCTCTTGAGTCGAAAGGGCTTGCCGACAAAGCGGGCGAGTACTTCTCGGTGCATAGGTGGGGTAATGGCGTACACGTCCGCGTGGGATGCACTCTCTATTTGAATAACATTATACCCGTAACGGGTTACGGAGTGATGCTGTCCGCATTGTCTACAAACTTGCATCTCTCGGTACAAGTACCACTGGCTTTGAGTACCGGTGTAAACCGAGAGTGATATAAATGCTTTGGTAAACCCGAGCCTCGGTGCATCCGCGGATTGCGATGCATTATCCAGGGTCAATCGAAATGTCACCGAATTCCGGCCATTGCGGCCTCGGTTTTGTTGCTTTTTGTTATTTTGTTATATGTGTTTAAAGTGGGATTTACTTTGTAAACCCATGTTTACACTTGTACGGTTAAATGGGAATTTATTGCAGAGGAGCTGCGCAGAGTCGAGCACGAATGTTCCCTCTATGTTATTTCTATGGCCTACGAAAATCTTGGGAAATTGGCGAAAGCTCCTGACAAGTTGATCGGGTAATAGATGTACTCTCGTGGACGGGTGTAATTTATTACGTTGCCGCTAAGTCAACTCTATTTACTTAATGACTTGCGTGGGCGTTACAAGTGCAGTAACCGAGACACTCGAAAGGAGTCCACACCGATTTCTCGTCGTTCCACATCGAGTAAAAGTCGAGACAACTTCCTCGCGTCCTTTAAATCTTATTTCGTTTTTCTTATTACATCGTTATCATTTTCATATCGTACGCAGAGAAAGAAAAGAAATTTCACTGAACCAAGAAAATATTTTGTCAACGGAGAATCATTTTATTCGACTGAAATAAATTCCAATTAATTGAATGCAACAGTTTTCTTTTTATTTTTTCAGGATTATGACGATTTATTTAATATAATAATTACTCGAGTCGAATTATTCTTGAATTAACGAAATATTTCTTTGGTTCGATGATAATTTCTTATCAGTGGAGGAGGCTAGGTGAATTTCTTTTTATACGAGGAGTGCATCCTTCGGTTCAGGAAAATCGGGGAAATAAAGTCGATAGTCCTCGTTGTCTTATCGTGTCGTACCAAGATAGAGATTCGTCCCAAGTTACAGGACAACCCTTTCGAGGGTTTAGGGCCGAAATCGTCCAATGCGTTTTATGTGGCTAATTTATGAGCCCTTTGCCTCCGGCTTGAGATTTATCGAAGGCGATCGAGGGTTTCCGACATCGCTCTTCCATCGATCCCTCGATTTTACGGCGCGGAAGAAGTGCCCCGGAAACAGTGTAAATTGTTTTAAAGCGTCATTAAATCCGGCGATGCCCTTAAACCCTTGAAATCGCCCTGAATGGGCCCCGAAGGTAAGAGCACGCCCGGAAATATTTTCTCCCCGTAAATCCAGCCTCGGAAATTTATTCCACCCCTCAAAATAGACGAATGGAATAATCCCGGAAGCTCAGTTTTTCCTGCGTTTCCCGGGAAATGTAAAAGCTCTCCCTAAGGACGAGTTTCTCGACCGTCCACCTAGAAGCACTCGAATCGATACTCTCGAAGTTCTCCGAACGGAAATACTCGACCATTCTTATCGTCGAGTCGATGAAATAAAGCCCTGAAGAAAACCCCATGATTCGAGGAAACTCAAGCCCTGATTGTCTCCACCGAGGATATCTTAGACACAGAGAGAAGAATAAAAAGCAAATTCGAGAGAAGGTACAGATGATAACAAAAAAATAGGGAAAAAAATTCCAGAGTCGATTTCTGGCCGAATTTCAATCCCCGGGAAAAGATTACCATTAAATGGCATTTTATGGCATTACATTACCTCGGATTTATTTCGCGGGGGAGGTCGACTTTCGATTATTTCTCCTTTTTTCCGGGCCATTCGGTCGCGATTTTACGACCTGGCACATCGAGTATCGGCCCACCGGGAGGCCGGCCAAGAATAACCCTGTATTTGCCGAGAAAACAGAAATATTTTCATAGGTTTTTCAGGGAAACGAGAACGCGCCGCCGCGTCGTTCGGGCATTTAACCTCCACGTGGGCATTATTCCCCCGGCGCAAATATTTTCCCGGGCTTACCTCGTCTACGCTTAACTTTTTCTCCCTTTTACCCGTGAATTTCCGGACTATTTCTGGCCAGGAGTCGAGCAGGTGCGGAAAAAGGAATCGACTTAGAAGAGTCGGTACTTTCGAGGGGATTTCGCGCGACAGTTATATCGGACCCGGCCATCGAGTTATACGGCGAGTTATCGGTAAATGAGAGCAGCAGCTGCATTTCGGACAAGAGGCACTGTTCCTGGCAGGTCAACAAATGCAATAATCCGAAACGACGAGCCCGATGGACGTCCCGTGTCCGGTAACGACTCAATCGGGCCGAGGACGCGGAATTTGGAAAAAAGGCGGAAAATAGGGGAAGCGAACAAAACAATTGGGGGAAAAAACTGGAGCGCGCAAGCGAAATCGATTTCCCCTCCTTCGTGGTATATCTCGAGCTACGGGGTTTTCGTTTTTTAAGACGTCATCGGTTACACAAAGAGTCGAATTTGTTCCCCGTGGAAATGCCTGGATAAGCCGCCTGCGGAGTTATCAGTCTTGCTAGAGGGTGATGCATGTCGGGTGTCGCCATTTGTCCGTCCACCCTGTACTACGTCGGCCTCTGCAGGGATATTTTATCCCAGCGACGATGCTCGGGCTCTTCGCTACATTTGTTTATCGAAACGAGCCCGCTAACACGCGATATTTTACTGAAAAGTCGAGAACTTTAAATTGGATATCCGCACAGGTGGCCGCGCCCCTCGAAGTGCCGGGGCGAGAATTAATGCGACGGGAGATGGAACGTAGGGACATTTTTTATACATTTTCCTCCATATTTTGTTCAACACACAGGAAAGAAATGAGCGTGTCGTGGGTACTGTAGATAAACTTACTGCCCCATAAAAAAGAAATATAGAAATATTAATTTCTTAAGGGACACGCGCGCTCTCTCTGGCGACCTGAAATGAAATTTCCACGTTGGGAAAAAGAAATGCCCCGAACCAAAGAAATTGTATTTTTTATTGAAACAATAATTATTTCGCTCGAGTCTTCGCGATGCCGAATAATCCAATTTATTCGATTTAATTCGAGTCAAGTAATCATCCTTCGAATTGACTTGATTATTTCTTTGGTACCATTCGGAGAAAGATTTCTCTGGTTCGATGAATAATCTTTTCTTTCAGGGTGGGTTTTTAGATAAGTTATGATAGAGATTCCTTTTTTTTTCACGAGGTTTCAGGTGAATCATTGTGAATTAAAATCAGACGTACAGGAAATGGGGAGCCCGGAAGGAGGCGTGACGAAGACCTCGACTTCATGACGTACCTTCGTCCTCGTTACGTCAAGTGACTAAGCGGCTCTTTCGGTGAAATTTTGGGGTAGGCCCCCTTCCGAATTAATAACTCGGGTCTGCAAAGCTCACTGGAAAACTACATTACAGATTCCGGTCGATTCATCGCTCGTCGTGTCCCGGAATACGCAGAATACCCATCGAGGGGTGACAGGGTGGAGCACTTAATATTCCCCGATTCGTCCCCAGGAATTATACATCCGATTCGCCGTCACGAAATGGAAAGCTGTCGGAATTACGCGCCCTCGGCGTGAATCGTGAAAACGAAACGCCACGTAAATTCAGACAGGATGTATATATACATGAATTTTAATACGTGGAATTTTAATAACAATTTTTGTCCGGAACGTTTCTTGGTGGAATCTTTGGATAACGAGGAAAGTTCACCTCGAGTCGTGGAAAGCGAAACTACGCGATCGGGATTAAGCTCGCGGCTCTGCTCGGAACTCGAATAAAAGTTTTCCAAAGTGGCCGTCTCGTTATCTGGGCCTGTTAATTAATTAATCCGGATATCCGGAAAGCCAATCGGGAGTTTTCGCTACCGCGAAAGGGCCCTTAGAGGGAAACAGTCGAGGCTCTCCAAGGGCGGAAAAAGCCTCGGACTTTGAAAACAGGGATGGAAACTTAATTCGTCGGCCAGCTGGGATTTACCGGGCCGGAAGTGTATATACCAGAAGTTTAAGAACTACGGTCAGCCATGTAGCTTCGTCCTGTCAGCGGTACAATTAATTTCGGACGTTTTTCCCTCCACCGAGAATCGACTCTTCGATCCCTCGGGAAAAGTTTTTCGGGGGCCAATTAAGTGTCGAAAGTGCT